AACACCTTTCTGAGCCAACATTTACGTTAGCCTATCCTTTATCATCATATCTTTTGTACTTCTCAAATTTTTGGCATAATGATTGATCACTCCCTCATGATAAACACTCCGGCTGCTCAATTGGTGAAGAGCAAGAACATGGCTACCTAAAGAAGGACTCCGTCCTTTTCAAATTGCAATAGTCATGTGTAGTGAGTGAGGATGAAGAGCATGCGTGTGTTTGCCTGTTTTAGGGTTCCCATCTGTAGTTCTTGTCGGCAGTTTTGTCCAAATTTGAACAATTCTTTCGCATTTTGACCATAATTCATTATGCGACATCTGCACGCATCACCAGGTGACGATCAACAAGTCTTCTACCACCACCCTCTACTTAAGATGATCATCTTCTGACTTCTTAAGAAATCCAAATAGATCACAAAAAAAATCTCTAATTCTGAGTCGACCTTATCCTTCAAGCGACCGAATTTTGACTTTATTTTTCTATTGTATCATGTAACAAGAAATTAAATTATTCAAGTTTGCATTTCTTCCTCTTGTTATATTTGTAATAATACGATCAAACAAGTATATTTTTTCCCTTCAACTTCGCAAGCATACTTGTTAAATCCGATGCTGATAATGCAGTAGCCCTTGGAGTTCAACTCATTTGACGCGGAGCTATCTCTTGAGGCCGGTCATTGCCCTCTTGCTGGGACAAAACCGCAGTGTATACAGTTCCTTGGTGGTGTCGTAGGTGACATGATGGTGTACAACTCCATCCTATAATCGAACTATTTGATTAGATACGTACATATATAAGAACTCTACACATGTTTGTGACTCACATACCTTCCCCACATGATTTCCTTAATATAAAGAATCAGCCACTATAGGTGAAGGGCAATTGCAAAAAACCAGTCACTATGCCAATTCGTAAAATCATTTTCTACCTTTATGTTGTTCGTTTGGAAATTGAAATCCGAGACGATCCCCTGCATTATTTACTCTACATTTAATGTTAATTTCAACGGGAAGAGAGAGAGAGAGAGAGAGAGAGGAAAGGAGATAGAGCGAGCGATTGTGGAAACAACGGGATGCCAACAGATATAAAGTTGGGGGGAGAGTCCATGAGACCGCGCCAATTATCTGCCGCAAACCGAACTTGTTGAGATCCCGGCAGTAGGTGTGCCAACGTACCGAGTTAGCTCGGCTTATGTCCTAGCACAGTAATTTACAAGTTATACCAAAATCTCTCCTGTCATATCTCCTGTCAGAAGACCTGCCTGTCGATGTCAGCATCTCCCGAGTGATAGAGCCCTCCAATCTCTAATCTCGACGAGGTAGAATCCAGGTGATACCTCACGGCAAGGAGATCATAGATGGAAGAATCAGTGGAGCAAGCAATCGATCTAGAGACATGACATTCAAAATCCGACCTACCACTGCAGCAGTGCCCAGCGAACCAATTCCTCCTCTGGCAATCGTATACTACACATCTTCTGCCAAGGCTGAAAAACCCCAGCGGTCTATACCTCAACCCCATGGACACTCCCGAGATGGAAGAAGCTGTGGAGCAACGAGAAATCTATGGAGAAAAGAGAAATTTATTTGCAACAGATGGAGTAACTACCAAATTTTGAATGAGGAACTCCTTCGGATCATCGACCTGCGCGTGACTGTCTTTGATGAATTTTCCAACTCCACAAATAAAATTTAAAAATGGAGAATTCATTGAATAAAAAAGGCCGCAGCAGCTTGTTCATTCTCTGCAAATGTAGATGACCGCTAGAGAACAACTTAGCAAAGGCTGCTGGAGCGCTCGTTCTCGAGGCCCTGGTGCATGTCCTCCATGTAGACGATCCTCCCTTCCTTGTGGAGCTCTCTGATGTGATCGAGGAGCTGAGGGAACAGGTGGAGGTTATCGCTCTGGAGAAAAACCTCCATCCTTGTTCTCTTTGAGATCACAACGACGATATTATGGATCCCCTCCATGGAGTAGAAGTTATGTTGAGATATCATCTCGCATACGGCTACCCTCCCATGGATCCTCATGTTGAGAAGGGCAGTGTTGAGCGTGGCCCCGCCCACATTGTCCAAGTAGATGTCAATCCCCATCAAGGAAGTACCTGAAGATGGATGAACAAATGATGATGGTGAAGAAGAAGAAGAAGAAGATCAGGTGTATTGCCGACCTTTTCATGGCACTAGGCAGGTCCGGCTCCTCGTAGTTGAAACATCATCAAAATTAAACTAGTTCTTGAGAAGATCGACTTGAAAGGGGAATCTTAGTTCCTCATTAGAGGAAGTTTATCCCTGCAAATTCACACAAGCTTTGGTTCTCTTTTGTTTAGTGTCGGTGCTCCCAATGAGTTGACCGACGACTCTGCATCCCGTGAAGACAAAGATGTGCTCCCCTTTCTTCGGAGAGCAGACCTCATAAGAATCCGGCCATACTTATTAGATTTGATGTCAAAGTGATCACATATATAAATTATATATTATGAGCTATCATTAAGTTAATTAATGTTAAAGTGATTCATTAAAGATAAATAAGAAATACAACATTTTTCGTAAGTATGAGAATAAATGTGTAGAGATCAAGAAATTTCTAATTTTATGATAGGCAAAATTGGAACTTGACATCAAGAGGCTAACCATCTCCTGGCTATAAATAAGGGGACCATGACTTTGGATCACACATCTCGTCAAAGTTACTCGTAAAGTATCCCATTACTCAAAGAGGAAAGTCATATAATTTTGACGACTCTTGTGTGTTGATCCAAAAGGCTAAAAGTCTAGGTTCGGATTCAGATCAAAATGGATTCAACTATGTTTTCCGTTCGCTCTTGTTTTCATTATCATTCTTCAAGACTCAACACTAGATCCTTTCCTTTGAATTTTCCTATCAATACTAGCATGATTGAGCTGTGATTTCATATTGACATGCTCTAGAAAAATAGAGAAATTCAATTATGTTTGTGAACCAATGGACGAAGGGTTAGACTAACCAAGAAGAATGCGGTGATAAGAGAGGAATCTTCTCATCCACTTTGCTCTTTCTCAGTCGACTCATGCTCGCAATCGAAGTATACTCCTCTCAACCCATAAATCCCGAGACCAGAGATCCCTTGGCCTGAAACCTTCGTCATTTATCACCATAACTCTGGAAATCCCAGATCCCTCCACGACCTTCATAAGAACAAGAACATCAGGAACAGTAAACACTTAACGACATCCATGTATTACAGATGAGATCCGAATTGAAAAATAAAGAAAAAAAAGAGGCAAAAAACAGTAGGAACAGTCAACATTCCAGAGGATCCGGAAAAGATGGAGAAAAAGGGAGAGAAAACACCAGAGGCGAAATACCGATCACAAGCCAGGAAATATAGGAACAAAGGGATTGCTTAATCATCCGTACCGATCCAGGAGTGAACGGTGGAATGCAGGAGTTGTGCAATTCCTTCATTCGGCCTCTCATGTAAGGGTCGCAGGATAGGCAGTAATTCTTGATGAGGACACCTTTGAAAATCCACCGTCCCCACTCTGAACTCCATATCCGTCTCCTTACGCGCCGCCGTGATGACTCCTCGGAAAAGAACCTACTTGCCCCAGACGTCCTCCATAGCCTACGAATCTTCTTCACGCTGGTTCCCACAGATGTTGAGAAAAACGTCTATTCAGAGAGAGAGAGGAGGCGAGCGGTTCTCAACCGTTCACTGTGCCGAACTCTGGAGAGGAGAATCCCGTTTTGACCACTTGTCAGAATGCATTTTCACAAATGAGTTCTTTCATGTCCGTTGCTTTGATGTTACACTAGTAGCCGCATCTCATCACTACTGATGCCGTCTATCTGCTTGTGTAAATGCCTCATAGAGTAAGGCAAGCGCCGCTTTCTGATCCCGCCTAAAGGCGACTGGGCGGAGCCATTACGCCTCAAGTGGCGCCGTCCATGTGCATACAGGACTGCGCGGGGGCCTGTCACCGAAGGTGAGCTGAAAGTCCTGCAGAAAGATGCCCTGCAAGGGCTGCTGCGGCTACAGTCGAAGTTCACCACCACCGGCGTCGCCAGTCCCCTGATGTCGTTGAACCGCACCTTGCTTATCTTCACACTGTAATCCTGAAAGAAATATGTTTTTCAGGCATTTCGTCGACCAGCTGGTTGAATTGTATCTCAGATAAAATTCAATGGCTGATGCAGACCAACTAATCGTTTGACGCCGGACATCTGCAAGGCGACATCTAGCCAAGGTACGTTTACACAAGATCAATTATCAGCTACATCAAACTTGTTCGCAAGTGTGAAAACTGTCTTCTTTGCTGCATTGCTTCAGCTCATCCAAACAAGAAGAAGTCGTATTCAAAATGGAGATAACAAGATAAAAGATACGCAATCTTTTAAGGGAGAATTAAGGCAAAGAAAGGATAAAAGAACAGCATCAAATTCTACAGCATACAGATCAAAGAGCAGTATCAATACCTTCGTGGTTAGGTTTCCTCCTTATATCTTAAGGCATGAGAAGCAAAAGAAACTCTTCACTACACAAGCATTGCCTCTTGACAGCACAATTTGAAGATTTATGGTACTGAAAACCAGGATTTAAGATTTCTGTTTACAGTGGCCAAATGAAAATGATTTACAGCACAAGTCCTTAGAACCTGATTTCACTAAAATTAAAAGATAGTATGCCATGCCTTGAAATGCAGGCTGCATAAAGGATGCACATTTATGGCCATCAACATAGGTGGATAAAAGACACCCTTCAATAAAATTCATTTTGCCGAAGCGAGAGGATATGTTTTTGCTTGATCCAAATCAACTGAAAGTGCCTGCTAGAGAACAGCATCAATCGTTGCCAGACATTTACACGTGTTGCAGAACTTCGTGGCAAGCCACCTCACCTCACCTCTTTTGAAAGCGGGTCATCTCCCACATGAACACTTCACCGACGCAAATTTCCTGGCAAAAGCCACAAACCTGCATAGGCGAGTCCCCGTTGGTTTATTTGATTTATAATCACTTAACCGAACAGACCCCTGCTGCCAATTTCTCCTTGTTCCAGTTCCTTCCTCCTTTGCTCTTCAAGTGGATCTGGACTCCTCAATATTCTTCGAGAGCGCCTAACATGAATATAAATCAAGCTAAAAAGTTGCAAGATATAAACTCTAAGCAAATACATATAACTGGTAAATGATAAGCATGGACACCTGTCTTGAGCATTTTGTGCAGGGAATGTTGGCATGAAGTCTTTCGATTTGGGCAGAGGAACTTCACAGAACCATTCATGGTTAAGGGCAGCATCTGCTGTTATTCGCTGCATGTGCAAAATGTGACAATAAAATTCAGGAAGTTATATATATAGTAAGAGAACATAGCAGGACTGAACTGTGCCCTGTTTATCTTGGTTGACGATACCTTCTCAGGGTCATAAGTTAACAGTTGGTTAAGTAAGTCGAATCCAGCCTCGGACAGAGTGGGACGTCCACAGAAGGATGTCGCTGGAAACTTTTCTCTCAACTTGTTGTACCTGTTAAGAAGGGCATTGCTCAGTGACTGACCAGCATATTGCGTTAAAACCTCCCTTGATGTTATCCATGAAATTTGTCCAGGGAAAGCCATAAGCAGAAATCCGGAAAATAGAGATAATGTACTGGTATAATCTTATTATTACTGTGAGCCACCTTCAAGAGATCAAATTAAAAATAAATGGGAACAAGTGACCTACGGTTGTTTGATGAAGTTGACTTTGACACCAGGTAGTTTAGCAAATCCTGGCCAAATTCTTTCATTGGGGGTACCAAGTATTCTGAATATCTGTGGCATAGTTTTCTCATGAGGGAAACGATGAAACAATTGTCTTCGAAAAAATGCATGGTATGTAAAATAGTTATTACCTTGTCCAGCTGATCAACTTCAGTTCTGCCACCAAACAGAGGCTCCTTTGCCAGTAATTCAGCCATTATGCACCCCAACGACCACATGTCAATATCTGTTGAGTATTCTTTGGCTCCAAGGAGTAGTTCTGGAGCCCTGCGATACACAAGGACCATGAGTTGGCCAATACCATAAACACAGGAAGGATAAAGAGTTACCACTTGGGCCTTTTTCCCCCTGAAAACCATAGCATGCATATGAGAGAAAAAAATGTTTGGAGACAACGAAACACATTCAGACGCTTTTGAACACACCTGTACCATAGAGTAACCACTAAGTGAGTGTACGGTTTCAATGGGCTGCCATACTGACGAGACAATCCAAAATCGCATATCTTCAGATCACCATGATTGTTCACCAGAAGATTAGAAGTCTTCAAATCCCTAAATTAAGATCAGTTGGAGGCATCACCAGATTGCATTGAGAGAGATGATGAAAAGAGAAAAACAGACCTAGTAAAAAAGAAAATACCTGTGAAGAACCCAGTTATCATGAAGATACTTGACACCCTCCAGAAGCTGCAGCATTAAACACTTAACCTCACTCTGGCTAAATGGCTGCTTCATCACATCCATAAGCCCTTTAAGATCATGTTCCATGTATTCCATAACCATGAAAATGCTATCAAGACTGCTTCCCACTACAACCTCTTTAACATCTACAATAGAGGGATGATGGAGTGAAAGCAGAATGTTTATCTCCCTGAGTGATGTTAGCGGGAAACCCTCTCTCTCTTTCTCCATTTTTACCTTTTTTAACGCTACTACTTCTCCGGTCTTCTTATCTTTTGCTCTATACACAACACCATAAGTACCTTCATTTATCTTGTTCAGCCTCTCAAACTCATCAACACTTCTGCAGCTTTGTAGCATGTTTATGCACCGTAGTGGAGGATGAGAGGATGTCAGAGTCTTCGTTAATTCACTCTCTGCTTCAGAGTCTGCATCTGGTTGTGGCATGGGCGCGTCTTCTTCATCAACAGACATATAATCGTTATTGTCAACGTCAAAATCGTGGCTTTTTTCTCCAAGTTCTCTAGAATCGGAAGACCTGGGAGTGCTGCCTTCAGAACATTCCCTTATAATCACCTCTCCAGGCTCAGGGGTTAGACCCTTGTGGTGCAATCTTGTGGAAACAGGCTCCGGATATTTTATACTTTCCTCGGGAAAATTGGCCTGACCAACATCTTGAGGCTCTTCCTGCTCAAAAGAGCCGTTCCCTTCAGCCCATCTTGAAGCTGCGATGTTCCATGTAGGAATGTAGGAGTCTTCATCTTCTTCCAGATGCCCGGATTCAAGATCAGTACTCCAGGGCTTTTCCTTCGCTGTTGTCACAGAGATGTCGGCATCGATCGCAGACAATGATTCAACCGGATTTACAATCGCAATACTCTTCGACGGAACAAACCCCTGAGGCAAGGGAGGAGGCGGAGGAGGCAGTGGAACATTGATTTCAGAGTTCTTGCTTCCTGCAGGAAGAACAGGGAACTGCTCATCGTCGTGGCTACCCCACATAACTGGAGAAAACTTCCTTCTCTTGGTAGGAGGCGACGCAGCTCCGTTCTCCAGGCTTGAAACATCAGTCTCATCCGACCCGTTTCCGCTTGATAGCTCTCCGGGTTCCCTATCAGCTGATCTGCCATTCAGATGCCGCGTCCTATATCCATCTTCCCCACCACTACCACTGCTAGAGCTGCTGCCGCTTGATGTGGCCCTGCTGAAACCATTTGTCACTCCGTTCTCTATGACATCATTGGGTCGATCCCGAACAAGGTCCTGGTTATCATGGCCGAACGGCTTCCGCACCGAACCCACCTGGTCGCCACTGTCTCCAGGCCGATAGTCTTTTCTTCTTGAAGCCTCGGGCTCCCTGTCCCTACTCCTCAAAGCGCCTTCTTGATGCCCTCCGTGCTTACCCGTCGCCATGATGAAAATCGACGAGAGGATAACCTACCAAGCGGAGTTCCACCAAAAGGCTAGGTAGGAATCAGGGAGCCCAAAGGAGAACCCCAGATATCAATACTGAAGACGAAAAAGGCGATGCAGAAAGCAAATTACGTCCGATATCAGGGAAGGGAGGGAAAAAATCAACAGCGGCATTTCGTAACTCGGACAGTCGACAATCCTGAAGAAAGAAACCCAACAGATGGAGCTGAATTCTCGGAGCGCATGATATCCAGGCTTCGCCCCTGGGATGGGCGGGAAGAAGGAAGGAAGGAGCAAATGGAACTGATGACCTAGGGGCACCACAATGTTGCGGGAGAGCTTCGTTCTGGTCGAGGAGACTCGGCGAAATCCAAATACCCTCAGCGCTGACTCCGACTGAATTGCGAACACCGGAATATGATACAAATCGTGGCGCACATACCGTGTACGTTTTCCGCCCTATAGCCCAGAGCGTGCGGCCCAGGCATTTGTAACCCTCCCACGTGCGAATCTGAGTGTGGGGCACGGCTGGGTCCGTTTCTTATCCTGCTGGAGCTTGTAGGCATGGACCCGCAGCGAGGGAAAAAAATTCTCTGCGGCCTCTCTCTCTCTCTCTCTCTCTGCTCGCCGGCGCGCCACCAGGGAAGACGACGACGGCAGTGCTATATACTCACAGCCGAGGTGGCATGCCTTCTCCCCGGTCGTAACCCTAAGCTGCGTTTCTCCCGTCGCGCCGCCATGGATGTTGCTACCGTTCGCAGTCCCACTCCCTCCCCCTCGCGTCGAATACTCTCCTCCTTTCCCCCCGTTGCGTCGCTTTCCCTCCTCAGGGGTCCAAGACCCTCGAACCGCTTGTTTGCCCTCCGCCGCCGAGGCATCTGGACGGCCTGCGGGGGAGCGGAGACGCTGGTTGCTGGGAATCAAAGGGAAGAGTCGAAATCCCCTGCATCTGGCAAGAAGGTGAAGAAAGACGAGGGCATAGATTTGAAATCTTGGCTGCACAGCCAGGGATTGCCTCCGTGCAAGGTATTGCTCAAGGAGAGGGCGCCACAAGACGGGAAGCACTGCTCCATTCATTACGTTGCAGCGAGCGATGATCTTCAGGTACCTCTCATAGCTGCGAACCATCTATTCAATGTTTTATCCGGAGAATGTCGAGTTGAGACCATGACTACTGCAGGCTGGTGATGTGGCTTTTTCAGTGCCAAATTCCTTGGTAGTTACCTTGGAGAGAGTCCTAGGGGATGAGACAGTTGGTAAGTGCGCAGTATTCGTCTTTTTCCCCGTAGCATCATTTTTTTTCTTCAGGAATAAAAAATTGATTGCAATGTGGATCAAAAATGATCTGCTCAGAACATTTTTGAATACTTTTTCAGATTCTGTAATTTTTCGCAATCGTATGGTCATCCTTTCAAAGTTCCTTTGGTGTTTCATTTCCTTTTTAAGTAATTACTTGGCCATGCGATAATGTATGGTATCCATTGCATGGGAAAATGCTACACTAAATATTTTATATAGTCACCATATAAATTCTTAGGGGCTTTTTAACCTTGGAGCTGTGAGAAACATCAATGTTTACTATTTTTAATTCATTTTTTTCATCTTTCTTCAGTAATTGCCATCCATATAATTATTCGTTTCCATGGTGTCTTTACAAAACTTTTTACTACTTAAATTTGGGTCAATAAAAGTACATGGCATTAGGAATAGAGATCTTCCATGATGAATGTTATCACATCTTGCTTCACATTTGTAATGATTGGCAGCTATCTTTTGTTGATAGGATTGCTTCGATTTTCAGGGCGAAACTGAATGCTTGCCAAGACGCATATGAGGAAGAGAAAAAATGCAGTAAAAAAGTTATTGCCTAACCATGGCAAAATGATGTGACAAGATTAGTTGTTCAACAAATTAATTGTGTGGCAAGGTGTAAAACTGTTTCACTAATCCAGAGATATACACCAAATTGATAAATTAAAAGAATCTAGTAGCATCAGAGTAAATGGCTTAATAAAGATTTGTTCACATTCTAAACTGACCATGGTAAATTTCATCATAAGAACCAAAATAGCCCGGTAATGTGGGTTAATGCTTAGAATTTATCTTATTAGGGTTTAAAGTCTTGGACTTTGTATGCTGTCGACATCAATGGTTGATCATACTTTAAGATTTTATTGACTAGTTGATTGAACTGATTTTTTAGTTATGAAATTAAATGACACTAATGGGTTAAGGAAGTACCAGTAGTTCTCTGCTGTGCAAGCCCTGTGAAAAGAGCAGTTTTGGATTTAAATTTATTTACAAAGCATGCTGGAAGAGTAAAAGGAGAACCAAATTGAGGTTGTAGAGAAATTAAGGATAAGTAACCCTTGCAATTCAATAGCTGGATAAGGCTATTTGGAGATGGGAAAATAAATAATCTTGCTTAGTGATTGGGTTTGGATCCAAATGGAGTTATTTACTGGAGATCTGCTGTGAAGGTATATCTCCTTATGGAGATGACCCGTTGGAATTTTCCACCATTGACCAGCAGTGGTATAATTTCTCCTTGATGTTTGAGATTGTGCTGCTTGTACGCACATGAGAAGGCAAGCATGGATTACTGAGCCCCCTATGAAAAATCTTTGGGTTGTTTAATCGACAGAATTCTTTCACAACTTGAGGGATGTTCATTCTTATGTTCAAGGTCTAGCTCGATTGGGTATGGATACAAACCCAATTAGAGGATGTAGATGGACGCATACAGGGAATTAAACCATTTGAACGGCTGAAAAATGGGAGCAACTGTCTGGATTAAGCAATTCTTAGTGGGAATGGACGACAAGGGATACTGATTTCGGGTAGTTCAGGTACTACCTTCTAGAGTCTAACCTGCTGTTAGAAAATGTTCATTTTACATATGAAACGATTATGAGAAGGTTCTATTGTTATATTTTAGTGGTGATTTGATCTTCCAAATAGACACGATATACTCATGCATATACTGGTTCACTATCTTCTAGCCACTAATATGCCACGGGATTGACATGGAACTTTTGTAGAGTGGCATCAGATTGTATCCCTTCTGTGCTTTTTTCTTGGCTTTTTGCAGCACTTGACCCTAGGTGATGTCACGTTGATTGTATGGGGTTTCATGTTTGATTTTAAGTGTTATTTCCCTCTTTGGGTTTTTTGCTTTTTTCGGGTGCTTAGATGTGTTTTGCCTAGACTACTTGGGTTGTATTCTAAAGAAAGATTTTTCTGTATCCTTTACGAGTCTAAAGGCTGTATGCTTTGACCACCTTCCTCATTTCCTTGAAGTACTACAGAAAAAAGTGCTGCATTCTATTCCTCTCACTGTTTTTATTTTCATTTTCTGTAGTATTTGATGAGGAAAAGGATATTCTTATGTTTATGCAGCGGAACTACTGACAACAAACAAGCTATCAGAGTTAGCCTGCTTGGCATTGTATCTTATGTATGAAAAAAAGCAGGGAAGGGAATCTTTTTGGTACCCTTTTATTAGGGAGCTTGATCGTCAACGAGGGCGAGGTCAGCTTGCCGTGGAATCTCCACTTCTTTGGTCTGAAAGTGAACTCTCTTACCTGACTGGCAGTCCCACAAAGGTAACCACCTAAAAACTCACTTTCTTTTTAACTGAAGGAATGAGGTATGTAGCACCATGTTTTTGAGTTAATGAGTGGTATGCCACATACTTTATCGTTAGATAAGTAATATTTATTCATTCAACATTCAGAAGTGGTTAACATCTGACAACATCCCCAAAACCATAATATCAAGGCGCACAAAATCTTTAATTTTTTTTACGTTTCATTTGATTTATAACTTCGACTCCAAGATCTCAAATTCAAGATCCAGCATACAGCTCAATCTTTTGGAGGAGCATACTAGCCAAACTCAACCTTCACCTCTGGAAGCATGCGCATTAACTCATTGACAATTCAACAGAAGATAGGAGTCCGAAATTGCGCTGCTATGCTTGGCATCAGAGTAGCTGCACAATTCAACATTCAACACTGCATAATAGCTATGCATTCCATTTAGATCCACGATGTTCTGGGAGATTGAATATGCTTGAAAGATACTCAGCTTTCCAGGTAATATGCTTGAAGGTGCTTGTATGAGCATGGATTGCCAATTCCTACTGTTTGTAAGCCAGTTCTTGTTTGTAGGACAGCCTCTCGGACTAGTTCATGTGGTCTCATTTTGATTTGATGATAAACTTTGACTGAACGTACTCATCAAAAGTCTTTAAGCTGTAGACTTTCTCTATCATGTAGATCTCTCCATGGTTCTGCTGCAACATAACAATATCCCCGAAAGGTGCAAAAACAGAAGCAGGCTTGGGAGATCAAGTTGATGAGCTTCAATTCTCACTAATCCATATTATCTTGACCTTCTCATTTAAATATTGATCTGCTTGGGCTTTGGTGAAGAAATAAACAACCTTTTGGGATTTTGAATAGATATTAATATTACTTGCTGCATCAGTTGAATCTCGGGCTTCTAATAATGCATCATTTCTTTCCTGACATGCTTCTTTGTTAGCCATCAAATGATTTGTCGAAGTAGCATATTAAAGGTTTTCATAATCCTTAGAGGTTATTTCTTTTATGATACTACTGCAGACTGAGGTTCTTGAGAGAGGAGAAGGAATCAAAAGGGAATATAACGAGCTTGATACTGTGTGGTTCATGGCTGGGTCATTATTTAAGGTGAGTTTCGTTGTGAAATTAACAACACTTGAAAATAGTTGTGTTTGTTTCTTCATTCTTGATCTATAATATTTCAGCAATACCCTTATGATATTCCCACCGAGGCCTTTCCGTTCGAGATTTTCAAGCAGGCTTTTGTTGCAGTTCAGTCTTGTGTTGTCCATCTACAGGTAAGATATTGATTGCGACTTCTTCCATTTTGTATTATATGAAGCTGTAACAGTCTAGTAGGCCTTTTGCTTATGATTAAGCTTTAAATCAATGTTTTTATATCGTTATAGATCCTAATGTGAAATTATCGTGCGAAGAAAAGGCTGCTGAAGTTCATTTGAAATATGTATCCATTAAATTGGAAACCCGAAGACTCCTTTAATTGTGTATTCTCTTCAAAAGACAGGCTAGAACAAGCTCTTTACAGAGCTCCACTGAGGACCAGAAAACTTGAAATTGATGTGGGGTCACGTGACAAGACTCTCTGGGGTTTGGGAAAGCAAGAACAATTTACATGCCTTCACATTTGACTGTTCAAACAATCAAGGGCACAAAGTCGTCTACGCTAACAATGTAGTATATAACTTATCCCCGGAATGGGTGTCAAGCGTTGATATGGACACGAATGTCAGATACAAGCTTGGAAAATAAGCCATAGGCATATGGGGGGATTTAAGGACCTTTATTTTTATATTTTGTATCTATGTTCCTTTGTATGCCATGATAAAATATTTTCCGCACTTTTTTAGATATATGTTAGCTCTTACCACTAGACTGTTGCGAAGATTGCTTTTCAATGCTGCCCACGAGCAGTTTTAGATTCCTATAATTATTTGGTCAATTTTCTCAATTTGCAAATCCATTCCAAACCTGTCAATACTCCAGATGTTTATTTTCTGCTGTGCTATAATCATTTGATGTACCAATTTCGTTCAGTTACAATTGGCTGGCAAGAATGTCCCATAAGCTGTGCCAGGCTAGCAAGGGACAGCCGATTAATACTTTGAGGTTAACCTTCATGTCATAGAACGCTAAAAAGAAGCTAAATATAAAGAACTGAATAAGTTTATCAGATGAAATAGAAAGAATCCCAAAAAAAAAAAAGAAACGTTATTGTATTATACACCTGAACGTCTGAATTAGCAGTCCTCTCATTAATCTCCTTAGGTTGTTGCATAAAAGATTATGAAGAGGATACTGTTCAATCTCTCTGTTCAATGGAAAAGGTTGTCTACTTGGTGAATGTGTATTTGCTTTAATGACTTATCAAAGCGTTCAACCAATGCCGATAAATTTACAGTTGTCATCAATAAACATATGATGCACTTACATCTGCTTCTGTCGATGTCTTGGTTTCTACCTCGTTTATGTATTGGGCTATCCAACTCAAAACCTCTTGCAAGTCACAGTTTGTTTTTCTCTCTCCAATGTGGGAGATTCTAGTTTGACTGATATCAATGGTGAAATTTACCAAATATGTTTTTTTGAAACCAGAAAGTCAGTTTGGCCCGAAGATTTGCTTTAGTTCCTCTTGGGCCACCTCTATTAGCTTACAAGAGCAACTGCAAAGCAATGCTGACTGCGTCCGGGGAACATGTTCAATTGGTTGTGGATCGTCCATACAAGGCTGGGGAATCAATTGTCGTGTGGTATTCTATTTTTCGTTTTACCTTGAAATTCGGTAAATGTATCTTTGAGCCATCTGCGCAGTGACAGTCAAAACTGGTAGTAATTCTTTTTTCATTCATAGCATTCTATCCGGACATATTAAGCTTTGTATTACACAGGTGTGGACCACAACCAAACTCAAGATTGCTCTTGAACTATGGTTTTGTTGACGAAGATAATCCCTATGACCGTCTAACAATTGAGGTGTGAAGTGGATTCCTTGGTGTGCAGTTGTTGTACTTATTCATTGGGAACCAACTTTCTTGTGTGTGCATGTTTGATCTAGGCATCACTGAACATGGAAGACCCGCAATATCAAGACAAGAGAATTGTTGCCCAGAGAAATGGAAAGCTAGCCATCCAGACCTTTCAAGTATGGAAACTTATTTTTTGTGGTTCATTTTGTGTAGATCTGATTCGATATGGCTTCATTTTCAGGTGCAAGTGGGAAGAGAAAAGGAAGCTATCTTGGATATGCTTCCTTATCTGCGATTAGGTTACGTTTCAGATCCATCTGAAATGCAGTCGGTGATTTCTTCTCAAGGACCTGTATGCCCTGTGAGTTTAGGTTTCAATGTTGACCTTTATAACTTGATGTTGTCGATATGGGACGATAAGTCATGCATTTGGATGCGAACATAAGGGAAATATTCTTTTGTAGCACCTTTATCTAGGTCTACATTCATCATATATGTCAACATCAGTATATGATGTGTGCTTCCCTAGTTATCTACTGAGCATATATTTTGGACCATCTGATGATTGTAATCATTAATTATTAGGGGAGAGGAAGAAGAGAAATTAGTAGGTTGGGATTTTCTCCATCTAAATACTAGTAGAGTGTTGTGATGAGGACTTCAGTAGAGGCCATCCGTGTCCTCCGGAATAATAGAGTATTTGGTACAGACTTGGTACAAGCTTTATGAGGAAGCCAAGAGCCTTGGGCTTGAAGAAAGGTCAAATTTTATGGTAGGATTTTTCGTCATTAGCCGAGTACGTGTTTCTGTTAATCAGGGTTTATATTAGAGTTTTTATTGATAATTGTGCAGCTGTCATACGGATCTGAGATCCCCTAAGATGCTAAAAATATTCACGACTGACATATTTGAGCAGGTTAGCCCATGCATGGAACGAGCTGTTCTCAAGCAACTTTTTGACTATTTCACGTCCCGCTTGGCAACCTACCCCACAACCCTAAGTGAAGATGAAGCCTTGGTAATATTTACATCGATTCCTGGCAGTGTTCTCAGTTAAGACACTTAGTCCTAGGTTCTAACTGGTTTCAACGTGACCCAGTTGGCGGATGAAAACTTGGATCCCAAGAAAAGAGTTGCAACTCAACTGCTCAGGCTGGAAAAGAAAATGTTAAATTCTTGTGTTCAGGGAACCGTTGATCTCATAGACCAGTTGCCAGATAACTCTGTCTCTCCCTGTCCTGCTCCTTATGCTCCTATCCTGAAATGAAGGTAATGGTTTCTATTTGGTCTGGAAACGTGTTTCTACCATTTATTCTAACGTGCCCTTTATTCCGAAATGATGTTTCATTTCAGAACTAGTGAGATCGAGCTGATGCTCTTTTGCAAATTGGAGCTCATCCATGGAAGGTTTCTTTCTATGGCTGCGTCAAATGCTACATGGCAATCATGGTAAATGGCGCAAATTCATCCCCTTGCATAAATTTGGAAGTTTTCTCATGGACCCCTCATCTCTGGATCGTTCCACTCTTTCATAAATGAGATTTCTGGCTGGTCTAATGCACCAGCGCCCATCATTTCCCCTACTTCTTGGTACTTTATGGATCATCTTTTTACGTTGCTGATTCGATTTTGTTTGTCTTGATTTGATTTCTCAGATAAGTGGATGCGAGTTGATGAAACAGGTCCCCGACGGTTGCCCCGCATATCGAAGAAGTGTGTAAGTCTCAGCTATGTCCTGCGCTTGCAAGGAACCGAAATGCGCCCCCCCCCCCCCCCTCCCTCTCCCGCATTTGCCTTATATTCATGTGTGGATACGCACATTCTGTAACTGTATCGAACTTTGCATGAACAGCATCCATCGGAAAGAAAATGAAGAGAAAATATTGCCTGTATTTCTTCTCATCCCTCTCAGAGCTGCTGCGCTCTCCTCGGTCCGTTGGGTCGACTCCCTCGGTTGGTCTAAATTCATGTCTCTTTGTGTTCCAACTAATGAGCCCGTCTTAGCGTCTGGCTTGAGCTCCTCGCCATTCTCAATAAGGTATGCAACTCAAATTCTACTGAATATCCTATCATGGCTGTGAATCCCCCTCATGGCTGCTAGGAGAGATCTGGGTTTTACATCAAAAGGAGGTGGGGGGTGGAATCTGACTGGGCTTTTAATTATAAGTCCTGTTCAGGCGACGCGATGCTCTATGAATTTGAGATCACAGCAGATTCATGGAATGATTTCTTCGTTATTTGCTCCCCGCAGTAGAAACAGCCAGGTGCGGCGGTGAAGAGCTTAATCCTCAACCGCAAAGGGAAGGCAGCCGGAAGGTGAAGGAAGACGGCAGGTGGCCGGTCCTCCTGATGTAATCCGCCCTCTCCGCCGTCCTAGCGGCTCGCTCGTTCAGCTTGGCCTCCGCGTTGGCACGCTTCTCCTCGGCGATCCTCCGTGCCGCCGCTAGCTTGTTCGTCAGCCTCTCCTGCGCCCGGGCTTTCAGTCTGTCGGCTTTCACCTGGACACGGAGGTGCCAATTATACATGAAAAACAAAGATACCGAGAGAGAGAGAGAGAGAGAGAGAGAGACCCAAGGATTTAATAGTTTCATGAGCAGAGTGGTTTGGTTCCGTAATCAGAATTATGAGCTAAGTTAAAGTTCGCTCAGAGATTCGCCTCAGAACCCCTCAGTGACGATGAATTTTCCCACTATGAATCTATGGCTGTTACCTCCATTCTCTTCATCTCCATCTCAGCCTTCCTCCTCTCGCGGTTCTCCCAGGCTTGGATCTTGACCTCCTCGCGTTTGTATCTGAAAGCATACAGAAGACTCAGAACTAGCCGTGACGGTGGCCACTCCACAGAGAAAATTGCATAGAAATCCGTGAATGACGAGATAGACGCCATGGGGTCTTCGAGATCTGATCTTGACCTCGCCATATCCTTGGCACGCTCGGCCTCATCCCACGCCATGGCTCTGGACTCCAGAGAATCAGGAATCCTTGACTGCGCCGCTGGGCTGGTCATGTTGTCTCGCTCTCCCTTGCCGAAAGCCAGGCATTCGTTCTTCGTGTCCAGATTCACGGCGCTCGCCTGGTAGCCCTCCGTGGGGAAGCTCCTTTCGGGGGTGGAAGACCTCGAAGAGATGGGGCTCCTCAACGCCGGCGTAGTAGCTCCAATGGGCGTCGCCGCCCGCGACGGCCCCTGGCTGGCTACCGGCGTCATCTCTGTCCCCATGTCCCTCACGCAGACTGCTCTCATGGCGATTGGGCTCTCCCCCATCGACTGGTTGATCTTCCAAAAGTCTATATTCTTGGTTTCTCCCTCCTCTCCCAACCCGTCAATACTGCTACAGGAGAATCTCCCCTTCTGGGAGGCCGAGTGGAGGAGCCGCCTGTCTTCGGCATTGGAGCTTCGTGGCTTGGTTTTGGAGTGGCCCTCTTCGCCGCCGCCGCCGCCGGAGAAGCCGACCAGCCACTTCTGGGCGTCGTCCCATTTCGACGGCGTCGGCTTCCCGCGGGGGCCTGCGACCTTGCGGGGCTGAGAGGCCTTGCTGGGTCCATTACCTCTGTGGAACTCGAAGTTGGAGGAGTTGGAGGAGGAACTGTTGCTGCGATTGTCCGGGACTGATCCACCATTTTCCTCAGACGTCTTCATGCTGCTTCCAGTGTTCTACAATGGAAGATATATCACCGCCCTGTGAGATCTGACCGGTGGATGAGCCTGATTGGCACTGAAACCCCCTCCACCATTGGTGATATTCGGAATCCTTTCTTTAGAACCGGGGAAGACACCAAAATCTACACCAGCTCAAGCAAAAAGAACATCTGTAATGGTGGAGGTCGATAAAATTCACCACGAAAGGAGCCCAAGAAGAGCATATAAATCCTATTTCCCCCCCGATAATGCTGCAGAACTCTTCCACGCCGAAGGAGAAGAAGACCCAGAGATTTTCACCGGGATGAAGAAGTTGAAAAGCAAGATGCCAGAATACTCCACTGCTGGCCTCAGAAAACCATCGACAGCCCTCTGCGAGGATTTTCCAGTGGATGCGTCACTATTATTCAAACAAAACCAACATCACCAGACATTTGCGGATGGACAGGAGCCGCTGCGACCGGCCAATCCCTTTCTACTTTCCATTCTCAGGCCAAGGAAGACCAGATTGCAAACACATTAGCGGCGGCGGCGGCGGCGGCGGCGGCAGCGGCAGGTCCAAGGACAAAGCGGACGGCGGCTGCAACCCGCTAATCTCAAATCTGAAACTCCAAATTTCTCAGCCCCTGGCCAGATGAAGGAAATATATAGAGAACTAGGGGAAGCACCTAACGGCACTCCGGCCTCCTAGGACACTGCAGACGCCTAGCAACACAGCAAGAGCTGTCTTCAGAGGCCTGGTAAGACATTTTAAGCTTGACCGGACCAACGAAGATGAAGATGACGACGGCACCGTAAAAAAACACGGATTAACCCCTTTCACCTTGACAATGTTCATCTGGTGTTCATCCGCTTGGGAAGCGTGAGCCCCCCACCCGAAGAAAGAATCTTTGGGAGAAGGGATCCACTGGGTGCCCTAAAAATGAAGACCCTTCACCCCCGATTATCATCCCCACCAAGCTCTGGTCCCCCCCCCATCCCTCTGAGGCAGCCCACATGGAGTCGCTCTGGCCTTCTGGACAGGTTCACTCCCCGTGTCCTCCCGGCCCCGTCGTTAACGGTAACCGGCGGCGACTCGGTCTTCTCCAACCCGGCGAGTCGGAGAACCGGTCCCCCGCCCCCCGCCCCCCAATGCGCCGTACTTGCAACGGCTACAAACGTCACCACATCGCATTGAAGAAGCTCCATCCGACACGTGTTGGCGGTCGCTCACGTGATCCAGCTCAGAAATTCACGTGGGAAATGGCGCGAGATAAATGCCCGCCTGTTTTATTCCGTTGATGGGTAGATCATGTGGGCCCTTTGGACCACATCCCGAGAATAGAACACTTACTGTCGCTCGGTGGCCCATATAACTAATGGACCAGGGAATGAGAACATGCAGGTGTTCCGTTCCCCCGTTTGATGGGCCCGAATCAAAGAGCCGCTGCGTTGCGGGAGGGATGGTCCATCTGGTCCCCCCCAATTCTGGCCCATTATTGCCGTCTTATCTTTCTCGGGGAGGAAATTTCCTTTCTCTTAGCACTTATTTCGGCCCAAATTGATTGCTGTCCTGGCCCACCTGCCGTCGTCAGTCTCGGGTTAGCTGATGGTTGCGATAGATTGTTCTACTAAATGTCTGTCATTAATTATAAAATTAAATTTAAAAATTAAGAGAGAGAGAGAGAGAGAGAGAGAGAGAGCGGGGGCAGGGACGGCCAGGCGGACCAAGCAGGGGAGTTCTTCAGACATGGTGGAGGCTCCTCAGAGGACTGGACGGGAGAAGCTTCTTCTCGCGATCTGAAGCTCGACGTTTTCGCGATCGGCAGGTTTATCATCCTCTCCCTCCTCCCGGCTTTGTCCGTCGTGATTCAAGGCGAGCTCCGTGCTGGGGATGAAGAAGGCGAGCTCTGGGCTGGGCTGAGTAGGCCCGAAGTTGCGACGGTGGAGGGGGGAATCCGTGAGGCCCTGTCCTTCTGGTCCGAATCCAACCTCCTACCATCTGCGAGCGGCAACGATTCGCCTGGCAAGACGCGAGCGCTCGTTCGTCTAGTGAGGTTGTGGTTGCCCGTACGAGCGTCGATCTGAGATTTCTCTGTTCACCCGTGACTCTTTGGGAGCCCTACGTATTGGTTCTTCGAGGGCGACATGGCTGGAGCCGCCGGATGTCTGAAAAGACGGGGTCGTCTTTTCTTCTCTCCTTCGCGGACGAGTTGTGGACACCAGTTCTCTTCACTATCCCCATTGACCGCCAGCCTCGTCAGAGATGGAAAGGGGGGAGCAGAGGTAGGGGAGTGCCATGTGCCCGTACTGATTGTTGGTGCCGGCCCTGTGGGTCTTGTCTTGTCACTGTTCCTCTCCAAATTAGGTAAGCATCTCCTTGTTCCCAATTTCCTCCCGCTTCTTTTAATGTGGTCGCTGGTAAGGTCAGGTCCAGTCTCGGGTTTCGTACGCAGTAGTTGTATGATCGGCTTCTCATGAACGTGAAGCCCACTCATCGTAGAAGATCTGAAATGTGTAATAAAGAGTTTGAAATATGTTTTTGTATTAATAATCATTGGCATCTGGATAGAATGAAGAGACTCTACAATCTCTATACCTTCAAACCAACAAACCTGGTGCCTGATACCTCTCATGATGATAGTTTTTTTATCTCTGTGCTGTTGTTAATCGTCCTCCCCTTCTTCAATCGAACCCAATGGCCAATTTGCGGACACTATGTAAATATCACATCAGATCATGAGGCCTGTATAATTAATTGTCTTAATAGGAACTATCGGAAAACAATCCTCATATATTTTCAATCCGACATCCTAAAAGAGCTGACTGGTGGCTTCCCTGTACACGCCCCAGAATTTTCAATCCGACATCCAGAAATATGTCACACATCACATATTGTTGTGCCTAATGCTGCATGCTTAATTTTTTTTTTAATATATCGTAGTCCAATATTTTTAACGTCTCATTTATTGCATGAGTACTTTAAATCAATGTTGAACCGTTAAGTTTTTTCATACGAGCATAACTTCTTCAATTTCAAGTATTCCTGATATCCCACCTTACATTTGAAAACTTATTTCAACACTTGGTATTATATTTTCTCCTGTTCTGCTCCAGAGATGAGCAGTAAACACTTGGCCTGATGCTGGGTCATCTAACTTGGATGATCTTTAATCTTTATCTGTAGGAATCAAGTGTGCTGTCGTAGAGAAAAGCATCACATTCTCTCAGCACCCCCAAGCTCATTTCATTAACAATCGTTCCATGGAGGTTTTTTTCTAATCCCCTGATTAGATTTCTTCTGGTAATAAATCGCTAGGCGAACTAATGTAGGCAAGGTGAATGTTCATACGGGGTGCTTCATTCTGTTGATGGATGTTTCTCAGACCAGTTCTCGGTTGAGGTTGCCGAGTATCTTCATGTTGAGATTATTTTACGTAACCGCATATTCATCAAAATTTTATAATATTATCCAATTTCTGAAGAAGTAACGTGAAAATTTTGTATAATACATATGCGCTTACCTCTTGACCAGAGGCTCCTTTCAGCTGTTCCGGAAATTGGATGGACTGGCGGAGGATATCCAGGGGCTGCAGCCTCCAATAGACCAGTGGAGAAAATTTGTATACTGCACTTCGTTGTCTGGGACTATTCTAGGGTCTGTAGACCACATGAGGCCCCAAGGTACTGCTTATCCTCATTGTCAACTGTTTAGGTTTTGAATTTCACCATATGGTACTTAACCTTTGTTTCTCCTCTTCAGATTTTGAGAAATTAGTAAGTCCAACATCCGTTGCTCACTTCTCACAGTACAAATTGACTAGGCTTCTGGTGAAAAAGCTAGAAAATGTTGGATTTCGTGTTTGTGGGTCTGATGAATCAGGTCTGAGTGATGATATGGTGTTTGAGAAGAAGATCTTAATGGGGCATGAGTGTACCTCTATACATCCTTTTCCACAGGGTGTCAAGGTGGGAGCTTCCTTTTACAACGATGGCAAAGTGATGGAGAAGAAAATCCATTGCGAAATCCTTGTTGGGGCGGATGGAGCGAGGAGTAATGTCAGGAAATTGGTTGGTATAGAGATGAAAGGCGAAAGGAACCTTCAGAAGCTGATCAGTGTTCATTTCCTAAGCAGAGATCTTGGACAATTCCTCCTGCATGAAAGGCCAGGAATGCTCTTCTTTATATTTAATCCAGATGCCATTGGGGTCCTTGTTGCCCATGATCTCAGCCAAGGGGAGTTTGTGCTGCAGGTAGACGATCATGGGTATCCAATTAGGAATATTTATATGCTAGCTTCACATTTCTGCCTTTGATGGAATCCTGGAGTGATTCCAACATGAATTTGCTTTATCTAAGTAGACAGATATTTCATCAACTTCAAGCTTTGTTTCCCGCTTGCCTAATTGAAATCTTGACTTTCTTTTCTTTGACTATTGTATTTTTTGTAGGTGCCGTTCTATCCTCCTCAGCAGTGTCTTCAGGATTTCAGCCCAAGGGTAACTTACGATTCATCACTATGTTACTCTCCTATTAATTTTTATTAGGAATGGTAGCCCGAGATTTTTGCTTTTGTCACTATGGAAAGCATCCGATTGGAGCCTTTAATCCCACTAAACGTTCTCTTTTTTCCCTATCATCTTCTTTTTTTCTTTTAAGTTTAACATCCACAGTACAATAAACGCTGTATCTGTACAATCTAAGCTCCAAATATTTTTCTCATTTTTTATTCGAAGACCTCTTTTTTCTCCTTAGCAGGACCTCAGCTTTATTTGCTTCAGCCATGATTTTTTGCTTCATTTAACATTTTTAATCAAAGTTGAATGCCCCCAATGTTACAGATTTCCTCCTGTACATTTTTGAAATTGAACTGTTCCCCTTTGTCTCTTCTACCCTAAATCCCGTCCTGATAATCTACAATTCCTACTTTTTTTTCAGGTGTGTCAGGAAATAATCTGCAACCTAGTTGGCTGCAAGCTTCCAGACGTACAGATTGTAGACATAAAGCCATGGGTGATGCACGCGGAGGTTGCTGAGAGGTTTGATGCATGTGATGGCCGAGTCATTCTTGCAGGGGATGCTGCACACCGTTTCCCTCCAGCTGGCGGCTTCGGTAAGTCCTTTGCTAGAAGCTGCTTTTATCCAAATGAGTACCCTTTCTTTCTCCTGAATTCATCTGGCATTCTTAGCAAGCTTCTCATAAAAAGGTTAACAAGCCTGGCTGATCCTTGAAATGGTTTAAATGAAGAACATTTAGCTACTGTTGTTGGGCACTATTGCGAATTTCTTTTCCATAGAGGTTGAGAAGTTTCAAAAAGCACTTATTTTGGGATATCTTATCCTGCAGGGATGAACACTGGTATCCAAGATGCTCATAATCTAGCCTGGAAAATCGCTGCTCTGTTTAATGGCATAGCTTCGACTTCTATACTTCAAACTTATGAAATGGAGCGCCGACCTGTAAGCGTCTCTCAGAATTGTCTCTTTTTTTCCCCCATTTTGGATTGATATATCTGGCTAATGTTCATGCCTGACTGCTTTCAGATCGCACTGTTCAATACGGAACTTAGCATTCAGAACTTTAGAGCAGCCATGTCGATCCCTGCTGCACTTGGCCTAGATCCAGCTGTTGCAGATACAGGTTAAACGACGGAAAAACAAAAAATCACCGTGAATTTTGCTTAGACTTTAGAAATTTTGGAATCCTCCTCTGTTCCTTATTCGGGTATGGTGCATGTCTTCTCTGGCAGTTCATGAAGCCATCAACAGCAGCATTGGCTCTATCCTACCCTCAGCAGTGCAGAAAAGAGTTATGGAAGGAATTTTTGCTATAGGACGTGCCCAGGTTTCGGAGTCTCTTTTGAACGAAAACAGCCCGCTGATGTCCTGGAGACTAGCAAAAGTGAGGTCTATTCTGAATGAAGGAAAGAGCCTTCAACTCCAGTTCCCCGCTGAAGATCTTGGCTTCAGGTCTGTATCTTTTGAGCCCCTACTTCATAAACTTTGACGTGAGGTAATATACTGCTCAAACCGTGCTAACAAACCGTGCTAACAAATAATGAAATTCGGTGGAACAAGGTTACAAGATCAAGCTTGATCTCTGTAGAAGATTTGTTCAAAACACAATATATATTAAAGTATGGCCTCTCTTGTCAAAATTCTTCATAACCAGATACTTGGAAGGAGCTATGGATAGTAGTGTCTCTGGTAGGATAAAAGACAAGGAGGAATCGACCAGTGGATGTAGAGGAGAGTCGAGAGACTATGTTCCCTCTTCAGAGCCTGGATCACGCATACCACATATGCCTGTGAGATTACTGAACGCATCTGGCGACAAGGTTTGATACATCTGAGTCTCTCGCCTCTTGTTGTGGCTTCCCCTCTTGTCTAAGGGCCGTCTCATTTGCAGGACATTCTATCTACCTTGGATCTTGTACCTGCGGATAAACTCGAGTTCCTCCTCATCATAGCTCCAGTGAAGGAATCCTATGATCTTGCACTGTCTGCTTTCAGGGTGGCTCGAGACTTCGGAGTGGTGCTCAAGGTTTGCACCATGTGGCCTCATGGTTCGTTTGATGAACACCAGAGTGGAAGTGGCCGGGCGCTGGAGCCATGGGACAACTACATGGATGTAGAGGAAGTTAAGCCCTCGCCGTCATGGTGGGAGACTTGCCAGATTACCAGCGATGGGGCCATCATGGTCAGACCTGATGACCACATTGCTTGGAGGGCGACCGCCAAAGTGGGCAGTAATGCCGTTGACGAGATGAAAAGGGTGTTCTCCCGAATATTAGGAAGGAGTATTGTCTCCGAATAGATGCGAGGCTTTCACACGGGTTTGAAAAAAGTTGAGTAATTGAGCAAAGCACTGCTAGTTTCTTCCAATACCTTATAGTGTACAAAGCGTACTCAAATATATCGATATATTTATTTATTTATTTATTTTTATAAATCCCTCAAGATGTTCATACACTTTGCGCCCCAAGTTATAGAATATATATTTCATGCGTTTGTCCATCTTCTGTAGCTATAGAATTATTACCCGCGCATCTGACTTGACTTCTGGAGGGATTCTGACTCCGCCATAACATTCCTATAATAGTCAACTGGACCCCACCAATTTTGACCTAGGAAAGTGCATAAATTAGTCCTCCAGGTCACCAAGGTGGTTCGATCCGACCACCCGACGCAATCCTAATCTAATTGCGGATAACAGACTACTGAAATTGGCACATTTAGCAGTATACGCGCGGTGAAGGACTTTCACTAGTGGAATCAAACACTTCATTCACCAGGAATTGATCAGCGACAGAATACAACAGGGAGCCTATAAATCATGGCAACATCGAAAAGCAACGAGTTTCAGGAGCACAGCGATTACCAATTTGAATCGATATATGGGGTTGTTGGTTGGTATCGAACCCGGTCGTCTAAGTATGAATTCCAGCGATGCGGATCGTGTACGCTATAGTAGCGGTGAGGAATCCCAGCAAACCACCGGCGATAACCTGGGATGGATGCGAGAAAGGCAGAGGCAGCGACGGTTAGTCAAATCTTCCAGTGGTTAAATAAGGCGTTCCCTAGAGGGGGAGGAAACCAGCCGAACCTGAAGGGGAGTGTGCCCGAGGAGTTCTCGCAGTGGTCTTGTTTCAGCTAAAGGGTGCTCCGGAGGGAGTTCATACACAATCTGATTCAAAACCTGCGGGGACATCATATTTGAGCCGAATTTGCCTAACGAGACCAGAATAAATGAAATCATCAAAGCAAAAACGTCAATTTTCAGGAACGAAGTCGCGGATCTCTTTGACACGTTGAATTCTTGGGAATACCCAGTCACATTTATTGCACCGCATGTATGCACAAAAAGTGAGCATCTTTAGGAATAGACAATAACTAAGTGTTGCACTTTGAAGTTGAAAAAAAATTAAAGGAAACAATTTTTTTGTTTTAGTTTCCTGTAAATATTCTGACATTTGTTAGAAGCCTATGGCTTCATCAAGATGGCATAAGATCCTCGTCCAAGAATATCTACTCTAAGAAAAATCATCGATAATTGGAACGCCATTAATAAAGGAATACCTTCCAGGAATATTCTCTGTCCATTTAAGTCAATTATTTTTTAGAATGAAATTTTCTGATTAGGCGCTGTCCTGTTTGACAATAGAATTATTTTTCTAATTATCATGGATGTGACGTTCCACATGAACTGCGGAGAATCAGTAAGGTCAGAAATCGATATTTATAATAAAGCCAAAATAATCGGAAGAAAAGTTCCTTTTATCCAGAGATCCTCGCAGTGAAACTGATCAAGCTAAACTGTGACTAGTATCATGATAATGTGGATCTAACTTTCTGTTGGATTATGATATACCCGTGAAATTTTATTCTGACTCTGAGTAGAAAGGTAAAATATAAAATAATTAATAATTAAAAATTATTTCGACTATACTGCTTATCTGGGTATAGATTTTAGTCCCAAGGGTGATTTGGCATACCCATTAAACTTATGCTTACTTCCAAGATATGTATGCAATATGGTGTGGTTCTCGCATGCATTTTTAGTTAAAAGTGGAAAATTCTCAGTCATAGATGACGTCAAGCATTGAAAATAAAAGGAAAAGAAGGAAAACGTGATTATTTATGATTTTCGAGCATTTATGAATTGGAAAAGTCCACAGGAGACTGAACATTACCTCTGCCTGCTTTCCAGCATGTAATCTCACCCCAAACGCATCATGCATTACCTGTCAACTAATCTGAAGTTAAAAATCCCCATTAAAATTAAAAAGGCTTAAAATATTCAGCCAAAATATTCACAGATAGAAAAACGAGGATTTGCTGCATTAACATAAAGGAAGACATGATAGATCCCAACTCCTTCGATGGACTAGGGCAGTGCAGGAGATGGTACTAGAGAATATACGTAGAACTGATTTTAACTTGACAGTTTTCTGATGTCTTACTACATAGCCAAATATGTCCACCAATTTAGGCCAAAATTCACATGGTAACAATGGAGCTCGAAGATAGTTAGATAGATAATCAGCTTATGGCGAAATTTAGTAAAAAGAGACTTGCCAGGAGTCAACTATGAAGAGCATCCAAAAGCAACCACGCAGGCTAATATATTCACGGTGGACAAGATGAATAGTACAAAAAATGGAGCATTCGACTCACAATACACGCAAAAATCGCTGCAGTGGCAAATATTGATCCACCAAAGCCATCTTGTAACCCAACAGATATAGCAAGAGCTGTAACAGTAGCGGAATGAGATGACGGCATCCCACCAGATGCAATGAGTTGCTTAGCATCCCAGCGTCCTTCTTTACACCTGAAAGTCTAGAAATAATAAATTTGAACTCACAGGAGAAAGATTAAGTAAAAGAATGCATCTACCTGAATTATCTAAGAAATCTCATAATATCGATTAATTCGTGTATACCAAAAAATTAAACAAATGGCAGTTCAAGGTGATGATGCAACAGGATCAAAACTATACGTTGACTTCACATGAACAGATTTCCAGTTTGGGATAATTTCTGGAAGCAAGTTCGACCGGCCATGGAGCTGTCTGCTAATAACTAGGGGTGTAAACAAGGAGAAAATGACAATCCTGAAATAAAAAGGAGGCTAACGAGGGTTATTTCGCGGGTTGGTAGCCGAGAAAGAAGAACGAGTAAAGAAACGAAATAGGAATTTATTAGATCCTATCACTTTCTTACTCTTTTCTAGTTTTCCCTACGGACTAAGATTTCCTCACCCGGGCCATGTGAATTAACCAGCATTCAGTCTATACCAGTGTACTACAATGAATACTTATTTTCGCAGCTCCTCAAATCATGAAAATAAAAGGTTGTTAACTAGAAAAGTCCACGAGTTGGGCTCAACCAACTGACCTCGGTGTTAGTGATGTTTTACGTTGACCTTACCTTACAATGGGAGGAGGGGCGGGACAAATGCGTGGAACATCCCAGTTCAAGTCCAGCAAGATCACTCAATACCATGATCCTCATTTCATTAGATAACTTGTCGGAGGATCATGCTGTATTCGTAAATTTCCAAGCTCAAGTCATTGGCCTCCGAGGTATTTTCAGTTGAAGGTGAATAAATTTTGAGAACTGTTTACTTTCCTTCACGATCTACCTTCCTGGACTCGCTTATTCTTCTACTTGATGCAAGTCCCTGGTACACTTTAACTAGAAGAAAACTCGAGAATTTCCCAGTCTTTTCCAAAATCACGACGCTAACATACGTGTGCAGCAGGAGTGTGTATTCGAAATGCGGCTCAAGTAAATTCCTAAAATATTCCAGATCCCACTTAATGCGAGAAGTTTGATATAAAATTGATTCCTAGATGTCTTATGAGTCGTTAATAGCGCGCAGAGACGTCCGGTAATTATGAAAGAGACACAACAGAGCCCAAAACACGGTTGGAAACAGATGATTACAGTATCAAATAAGACGTCTCCTGGATCGTGGTGAAGCTAGCTGCTTGTCGTCTGAAGCGACGAGCATTTATAATTCCTTACCGGTAAAGCGTTCAGATCAAAGTTGTCGCTAAACTAAACACCGGGAGAGACAACGGACGATCGTCGAAATGAAAAGAGGACGAGAAAACAGGCAAGACAACACCAGAAAGATAAAAACAAGCCATGTCGAAGGAGGGCAGGAACCGAACCCCTCCGGTGAATAAAAAAATAAGAGAAAGAGAGGGAGGAAGATCAATCGGCCCTCAGCATTGAAATCGTCGACTTGGAAAGTGTATGAACGTACCGAGTAGTGAAGATCTTGGTAGACTGGGCGATGGCGAAGGCGAGAATCGCCGAGAAGAGGGGATAATTATGGAGGATGGAAGGGTACGATGCGGCGTCACCCGCAGAAGACAAGGACGAAGCCGACGTAATTCCTCCCACGTTGTCCATCGCAGAAACCTTCCTCCGCCACCTCCCCACCCTTCCTCCTTCTGCAGCAGCTCCCGCTAGCGCTGCTGAAGAAACGACAATGACGAGGCTGCTTCCTCGGCAGAGCAACCTTCCAGCGTTCAACCGCCGAGATCTTCTAGACTCGCTCGATGCCTTCCCTCATATAAAGAACGCCAAACGGTCCGCTCGGCGGCGCCGGAGCGAGAGAGAATATGCTCCCGGTCCCCAGGGGAAACCGGAATCTCCACTCCCTGAGCGCCAAAGTGGGTCACGTGCACCGGAAGTACACGGTAACACGATCTCCACCGTCCAAATAGCGATCTCGACATGGGCAAAGACTGGGCCCGAGCCAGCTCCATTTCGCGGCAAGCAGCTGCTGGCACCGGCCCCACCAACTCAGCACTTTTTTTGTCTATGAATCATTTATTGAAATAATATTTCCCAAATTTTTGTGCATTATTATATCCTAAACCCTCAGCAAGTTGTACGATTGGCAGTTCTTACACCGACCCCCGTCTTCCACTTCCAAAAATAGTCGTAAAACTATTTTTAATTATTATTATTATTATATATATATACTTTAAACAGGTAAAATGCGCGAAAATATACACATTTCCTTCGAACGCAGCCGATGTTACACGGTGGCAGCCAAGGGAAGTACGGATGACGCTAGACGGCTCCCCCTCTGCCGGGCATGCTGATGAGTTCCACGGCGGCAGCTCTCATGACGGCGGGAAAGTCAACCTGTGAATGCCGGCCCCTGCAGAAGGAGCGAACACAACTTTAAACGTGAGAAACGCCCAGTAAACCTTGTGGCAACGGGTCCTGTCGGAGGAGGTTACCAGAAATGGGTGTTTGACCAGGTCGCGTAGGGAAAGGCTGGGCTGGGGATGCCGTGCATTATCCTCGCCACCGCTCGCGGCGTGAACTTAACGTGCGGGTTGCTCTGCAGAAACACCTGTTGCAGGCAGGAATGTTGACTTCTCCGACGATGGGTAGACGAGGGAAGATTTGGCTTCCCATAGCGGACGTCTCTCAAGGAAATGGACGCAACTCACCTTTATATCTGCTCGAAGAAATGGGCTGCAAGTTCACGGTGAAACAGCTTCAGCGAGATTTTTAATGGGTGGGGTGAAAGGGGTTTTACTGGAGGTGGTCGAGAAAAGAAAGAACATTGCTGACCTGCTCTTTGTTTCCATGGTCAGCGGCGGGTCTTGAGAGAGTCCACCGCCCCTCGCGAAGTAGTCGAGAATCCTTTTCCGCATGCATTCTGAGTGCAAAGAAGACGAGCAGCCACCGGTTCTCTTGCACTCTTTGGCGGCGAACATTGCCGCCCCGAACATGGCGTCCAACTTGCGTATCTGTTAGCAGACATGGTAAGATGAAGTGTGGATTTGCTCTATGGATTAGTCTGAACCATCCACGTACCTTGCAGATTTCGACCAGGCAGAGCCACTTCGTCAGGTCGGTCGAAAGGGAGACTATGTCCTCTGGTCTTTTCATAATCGCGTAGTAAAACGCCGGATCCTTAGTTTCATAAGTGATTTCCCCCGAGGACTGAATATTTACACGAAAGGACATCATACAGAAGGATGAGAACAGCGACCAGAGAAAGAAAACCAAGAGATCATAGGATATCCGGTGGCGACTGAAGAAGGCAGCAAAATAGGGGTATCCCACGATGCTTTCAAGTAGGCAACATAATATTCCATGGGAGGAGCATCAATATTCAGACAGAAGGCATGGTATCCAGGCATTTAGCGGGTGTTGCAAGGACAAGCTCTTGGTGTTTACATGAATGGAAAATAATTATGATTGAAATACACGTGCGAACCATCAATGAAGCATTTGGGGAATTCACAAGGAATGAGAAGGAAGAGGGTTAGTCAGTTTTATCTGACGTGAGATGATAAATAATGACAAGACTTCTAAATTGATTTCCATGAAGTAGATTCGAGTGCTCGGTTCCCTGGCTAGGAGCATCACACCTCATGCAGATTGACCGGTAACTGGACCAATGAAAAATGCAAAATTTCATAGCCCTCTGAACTCATTAACACGGTAGCCTTATTGTTGTTGTTGTTGTTGTTTTGTTTTTTTTGGGTGTTACGGTTTATTACAAAGTAACGTGGCAAGGGAAATTTATAAATATTAGTTTTTTTTTTCCTTATTTTGTGATGACTTGGTGATGGCAACACATTGAATTGTAGGTAACAGCTTCCTCCAAACAGAGGGAGCATTGAATCTGTTATCAATAAAACGGGGGAGCAATAAGTTTGCAGCAGGAAAGGACTGAAATGAACGATCTGTAAATAATCGTACATTTATAAAGTTTTGGGAGGCCTTTTTAAAAGTTATTAAAAAACAAAACGTTTAAAAATAAAAATGCATGAAGCATTTACTTCGCGGCGTATCTTTTAAAAGTAAAGTAGGTCTGACCACTGGACGCTGATTTTTAATTTTTCTTGGAGAAATCGTCATTTTTAATGTAGCTGGCTGACTGAAACTTCCTATGAAACTGCCGACTTCGTTGGAAGTGTCCACAGTTTTTAACAATTTGTTCCTCTGTAGTACAGACTGACAAAAAAGATCTTGACCTCACTTGAGAACCAAAAAGTAAGGCCAAATAACGCGCTGATGGACAAATATGAGTAAAGTATGAAAATCTTGTAGTTCGTAGAGGAACACTAAGAACAGGATCAAGAGTAAGCGGTTTGCTTAGAACTGGTCAGAATTAATTGAAACTGAAGCTTGGACCATATGAGACAGGTTTAATTCTGGTTTCCGATTTTAAGTATCGCAATCGAAGAGAATGCATGATTCTTTAACACTAATCAATGCAAATACAACTGCCGTAAGCAAAATATTCATAAGAATCGCAAAAAATTGATCAACCATACCTTGAGCTTTTGGAGATGATTTAATAACTCGATAGCCGTTATTCTCGTACTATTTGCTACAGTGGGTATATCAAAGATATAGTGCCCTTGCTTGGCTTCGGATCTGAAGCGATTCACCAGAGAGCAAGAGAGAGAGAGAGAGATAGACAGACAGACAAACAGAGATTTAAAACCGAAGTCACCATTTAATGCCAAACAATTCATATCGCAAAAAGACTCACTTTTTTAAAATTGCTGCAACGACAATGCTCTTACCAGAAAGTAAACTGGGAGAACTCTGCAACAAGAATTTTTCATAAAAGGAAGTCAATCAAACACATTGTTCCTAATGATAAAAAAATTAACAGTATAGGTTATGTGCAATATAAATGAAAAGAAAAGTGATTAGACAGCAAATAAACGAATACGTTTTAAGGATTAGTAAAAGATGTATCAAAGTTATCCGAATTATAACAACATGGGAAGTATGCAGTAAGAAACATTTCTGCGACTCTACCACCAAGTCAATTCTGTTCCATTTAATCTCTTTTCCATGGCCACATAACTCTACAGATAAGTAAAGGGAAATCTTTTTCCTGTTACATGAATCTTCACCTGGACACAAAAGACTGTCTCATTGTCTGGTCCAAATGAGGTCACTATTGCACCGCCACCTCCTTTCCCGATCTCAACAGACAAGCTTGCGCGTGGCATAGGAAAAAAAAATAAAAATTACTTATTCTTAAAATGGCGGAGCACCGACCTTGTGAAATTGCAGTGTACACGTGACATTAGTTGGTGGAAGTAGACGTATATATTGAACTTCACCTAACTCCAGCTGTGTTAGTACGGTTAATATCACCTGCCACCAGAAAATGCTTGCTTTTCACTTTAAATCAAAATTGCTATGCGAATAAAAAATTATCCACGCAGAAATGAAATACTGTTTCGAATGTGGATGAGAGTAAAAAAAAACCTCTTCTTTCATATCAAAGGTCCGAGCTGCGAATTCTTTAACTAAGGAGCAAATATTTCCAGGTGAATTGATCTTGTAATCAAAAATTTGGCAGAGAAGTCTATTCATTGCATATTCATCGGTACCATCACTAAGCACAACAACCGAGATAATGTTATTTGCCTTACACTGATACATGAGACTGAAGATGATGGAAAATAATTTGCCAGAACCTGTAAAGAAGGCTACGAAGTTTGTAGTATGTGTTATCATCGAGGAGGAGATGGCAAAGAGAAAGTCTCCCGTCTCTTCCAGCACGTCCAGTTTCCTACAAAATCAGATTTCATTCAATCCACTGTTCCATGATGCCGACTCAGAAACCAGATCCATGTATGTGGTAACTGCTGCCGAATATCAAAGACCACCTGTACATATTCTTCTAAGCTTTCTGGTAGGCTATAATGAATCACCTGAAAATATAAAATCATAATGCCATTTTTAGGTTTTTTAGCACACAGCAAAATATGGGGGATGAAAGACCCTAGATAACTATATGATCTGAACAAACAAACTGAGGGACAATGCATGGAAAATAATGCTGAGCAGAATATATAATGTGGACATACTGCTCCAACATCGCGTTTATCGAGACCCATGCCAAACGCTACAGTTGCCACGACCTAAAAGAAAACAAATAAGAAAGAAAGTTACCGAAACAGGTGAACTACCGTTGTTCTTCCCTTGGACAGGAGAAATAATCCTAAGACGTCAACCATGAAAAATTTTAAGCTGATCAATAACATCAATGGGGTAGATTGTCTTACCACTCGTATTTTATTTGCACAGAATAGTTCCTGCGTGCGACTTCTATTCTTTGCCCGAATCCCACTGTGATAACTCTATAAAGCAAGAAGTTTGGTCACATTAGTAGCAAAGAATTAATCAAATATTTTATACATTAAATACTGCGGCATGAAATAAACTGGAACCCCCAGTGAATTGACTCACCCTTGCAGGAATACCATTATCACAAAGATAGCTGCCGACCAGATCAGTTTCAGACTGTAGCAGGAACACATTAAAAATGATGATGATAGAGTTATCGCAAACAATGCAGTAATAAAAAGAAATCCAATGTTAGAGACAATCACCACACAACAGCGGGATGACACAAAAAAACAGTTCCAAGATACGGTGATCTTTACGACGATCGAATTAAGGAGTGTACACTTCAAGAACCAGTGAAATTTTTTCAAAATGAACATAAACTGAATGGAATATAAAAATGTTAAGCGCAAGCAAACAAGCATGCTCAGCTAGATTGGATGAAAAAATCTCCGGGAAGATATGGCAAGGAGTGGCAGGCCATGAGTAACCCCTGCTGTCCACATGGTTTATAAGCCCAGCGCCCACTGAGGTAAATTCAATCTGAGTTTGGACTCTACTTAATACTTTTCTATATTCTCCAACCTTGAAAGGATTTGCATTAACAGCAGTCTGATGAGGAAGTTCCGTAAGAGAAGAAAGTCCATCATGAGACTGCACAAGGCTGTCAGACAGAAAATATTCCTTCAGATGTTGAATGGAAGTAGTTTCTTTCAGGATTTAATTTCACGAGCATTATTTATGTCATTAATGGAGCTTTAATGCGCGTAATTAATTTTGAAATTTTAGAATCAAGTGGAATAGTACATTTTTTCCTGCTTATCAGATATTAAGAAGTAATATTTTAGAAAAAAGGAATGAAAGACACATTTAAAAAAAGGCATCATCAAGTAGTTTTGCCTTGTCACCTTAACAAAAATATAATAAACCATCGCCTAGGTTGCCTTAAAATTTTTGATAAGGGGAGAAGCTGTTGTGAGCCGACTCATTACATATAAATTACATGATCGTATTTTCAACGGACAACAAAAAAATGGCAACTTGAAACCATGTGCACCTTAATTTGAAGTATGAAGAGACTACAGCTTCCACATATAGAACTCTTGAAGGTGAAAATGGTGAAAGCACATGTTCTCCGCGATGTTCTCTGTGATCTTATCAGTTTTGTTTTGAAAATCAGAAAAGAGTGGTGGTACAATATCTACCAAGCTCAAGCATGTACAAAGCTTGTATGACGTTCGTCACACAACTACTAATCAGTAAGATGGAACATTAGTCTAAGTATAAAGCAGATGACAAATGGCACCCAAACGCATCACAAAGGCGCACAAATGTATGCCCAGCTACAAAGTGGGTTCATGCACACTGATAAACCAACAATACGCGGGCCCATCTGGAATCATGCACAAGGATTCATTGGGTAAACCTATAGCAACTAATGCAGGATATGTTTCAAGCTTCTAAGAGACATGTGTCACACAATAGAAATGATGAAAACTGACTCGAACTTGCAGATGGTTATATAGTAAGTAGATACCCATCACAATACTGTTAAACTTTGGAGGTAAGAAGACGAACCTGAAATTTACAATATACAATGATACTCCGCACTTCATTCAAAGGTGAAGACTTTAACAACGCCAATAAATCCTTCAACCTATGTAATTTTTGAGAAGTGAGCTTCAAGAAAAAAAAACTAAAACAAACCCAAAAATAATACGTGCCTGTTTCCACTCATGGTTACATGGAGCTCTAAATTTTCCCTCATATTGCATGTTTGAATAAGATTGCAAGGTTTGATGTCCAGAGAGCGCATTATATCATCCAAGGTTTGAGTTGTTGAAGTTGCAGTCATTGCAAGGACGCAATCAACGGAGAGCTTTGTTTTAAATAGTGATGACCTCAATCTCAAATATGATGGCCGGAAGTTGTGAGACCTGTCAAACAGTGGGAAAAATAAATTTTCAAAACATTTGCAAAACGATTTCGTACAGAATACCTAAAGATCACTGAGAACACAAAAAAATACAATTCTGCGGGGGTAAATTACAGAACGTCTCAGACAATGAAAAAATAGTGCACTTGAACATCCCGATGAGATTTTAAGGAATCGGATAAATGAGAAGTGGATATCTATTCGGCCTCAATAGTCTGTGTCAAAAAAATGCAGAAAGATCTACTAACCACTCTGAGAGGCAATGAGCTTCGTCAACAACTATAAGTGATATAGCTGGACCATCCTCAAATATTCCTAAGAATTTTGAATCTGTAAACCTCTCAGGAGAAACAAAAAGTACCTGAAGCATAAATCCAAAAAAATAGCAAGTATGTTAGCAGCTACCATCCTGCAGATTTTCCATAATTGTGAAGAATTAAAGAAAAGATATATTTATACATAGAAATCTGCATGTGAATATCATTAATAAGTTGACAGCTATATCAAGAAATAGGAAGAAGGAGAAGAAAAAGGAAAACAAGTAAAACAGGAACGTGCTGAAACCAGAAAAAATGAAAGCAAGAACTGATAAAAAGATCCATCCGAATAACATTATGCATGGAGTGTCACAAAGGAATAACGCATAACATTGACAATGCAAATATAGATATAGGTCAATGGCATTTGAGTTCTGGAATGCAGAATATTATAAAAACATCTGAAAAGAATAAGGTAGGGCCAAACGAGAGGGAAACTACAGTCCAGAAAAAAGAAAAAAAAATTGGACGAACTTCTGATAGAGTGTGTCAACTCCACATGGAAAAGACGTACAGGTATTGCCCAAGAAGGCCAAACTGAATTACTAAAAACCCTATGAGTATATGAAACAAGTATAAACAAGGTAGAGCAGATTTCTATGTATGAATATATCTTTTCTTTAATTCTTCACAATTATGAGAAAAGTAACCCAGCTATAAGCCTTTTGAGATTTACCTTCAGTCTTCCATGAAGAATTTGATCGAGCGTTTCATTAACTTCCTCAATTGTCTAAAACAGGAAACCATGTCTGATAAGCAGATCTTCAAGATAAAAGCAGAAATACTGATACAGAGACTGATAAGAATGAAAGTCACCTGGTTGCTGCAGAGGAGACCACCAGAAATTAAAGGAGGCAGCTGCCTAATTTGATCAACCATCAATGAAACCAAAGGACTGATGACTAAAGTTAAACCAGGTAATATCAAAGCAGGAAGCTGTCAACCACAAGGACACAAGCAACTTTATTTAAATAGTAAGAAAGTTGATAAAGTGCCGGGTCTTTATTCAACGGCAGAGCGTAGTTCACCTGATGTTAACTCCAGAGATAAGAATCAACTAGGCAGAGAGAATATACCTGATAGCACAAAGACTTCCCCGCACCAGTTGGCAGAACAAGCATTGTTGATTTTCCCTCTAAAATCTGTTTTACAGCTGTGAGCTGCCCTTCTCGGAATGAATCATAACCGTGGGTCAATTTCAAAAGTTTCTGCAGATTTTCATCAGATTGATCCTCTCGAACGGCAAGGATAGCCTCCTCCACTATACCTCCGCTGCATTTTACGCTTCCCTCTTGCCTCAACAGCGTATCTGAATCAAAAGAGTCCATTTCTGAACGGTACGATCCTGCTTCAGCAACCCCTCCAGGTTTCACATCCGGTGCTTTCCTGCGGGATCTTGAAAATCGTGAAACAGCAAACTTTCTCTTTCCGTTTCGATATCTGAACTTTTTCCGGCCATAAGTGTTCAGGTTTAGTTTCACGAAGTTTCCTTCGTTTGAGAATTTGAAGCGTTTAGGTGTCTCCGTCATGGTCATTCCGGAAGGCCCACTAATCCAGTTAGGGTGTGCTTTCGCAACTCTGGCACCGCTTCGGATGGGCGACAGCTCATGATGCACCTCTCTAGAGCCTTCGTCTATGCGATGACTTACCGCACGGCCAGCACCAATAATCTCATCTTCTGAGTTACCTTTCTCGGGGCAAGCCGCCACAGTAGGTGAAATGCCCGTGCTTGTGAAGAGATCCTTGTCGATCTGGCTATTGTTAGTTTTTCTATCTCTAACACTAGTTTCCGGACCGTGGCATCGAAATAAACCGAGGGAAACTTCATCAACAAGATCATTTGCGCAGCTGTTGCCACCCGTGATCCCATCCTTCCCAAGCTTAACAGGATCAAGGCAATTGCCCCCATTGATCTCTACTTGCTCAAATCTCGCCGGGTCAAAAGAAGGTTTCCGAGAGATAACGGAGCTCGAGAGGGAGGCGGCAGGGTTATTCCAATTTGGAATCTTCACGGGGGCGAAAGGAAGCCTCGAACAGTCGGGGGAGGATAGAAAAGAATCTGACAAATCATGAATGGCAGATTTGGACCTCTCCCTCGGCTTTTCATACTTCTTGCACTTGGACGGAGCTCCCACCTTCGATACCGATTTGCGCTTAACAGGCGCCGACACAGCCGACGGTGGTCGCCGCTGCTCTCCCGGCGGCGCGGCGGAGAGCGGTCGTGGCGCGCGCCGCGGAGGCGGCGGCGGAGGCGGAGACCCCCTCGGCGGCGTGGCGGAGACGTGAGAACCGTCCGAGTCGGAATCGGACTTCATGCCGGGACCTCCGCCAGTCGAAGACGACACCAAAAGAACAGGCGATGATCGACGCGCTCGCCGGAGGCGTTTCCCGCCTCTTTCTAATTTATACCTTTTCCCGCCAAAAGGTCGGGCTCGGCCACTGCACTCTACGGTAAGATCACCGTCGCGTAACACATCAAAAGAATTCCTTCAAAAAAAAAAAAAAAGAACCGCACCACCGAAGACTGCTCGAATCCTTCTATCAGGATTAACAGATGCTTGACTGCAGATGACCACCGACGGTGGTAAAGAATGGAAGGCGCGGAAGTCAACGGCCACCGACGAAGACATGAGAGGAGGACATCATCAATCTACATACGTGCTAATGAGAAAGAGAATAAAGGAAACCCTCTACATCACGGTGCAACTGCACATCTTCGACGAATCCTGCTTCAGCGGCTTCGCATGGCCGACCTTGTCGGGAGGCTCGGCCTTCGAAGGTGAGAATTTGTGTATTTTCCCGTTGCTTCCTGGCTCCGCAGCCATGATCTTCGCATCCATCTCAGAGATCTTTCTTCGGGCCTTCGTGGACTTCGTCGTGCTTCTTCGGGGCGACCTTTCGTCGGATGCAGGCTTCTCTGGCGAGGCAACGGTGGGCCGATAATCCTCTTGGGGAGATGAGTGCTCTTTCTCCATCCCAATGGCAGCGGACTGGAAGGCAAGATCTTGAACGATAGAGCTACAGAATAGTATGGTGTCTGTCGCCTCTTCCAGAGTTAAGCATCTGGTCTTGTTTCCTACGGGGGCCTCGACCATGACGCCCGTTTCGCCTGTCATCAATAAATAAATCTGAAGTTCGAGCCGAGTCCGAGATGAAAAACCCACACAAAATCCAAGAAAGCAAAGAAAAAAAATCTGGCGGTATCAGATACGAAGAACAGCAGCTTTCATGAGCAAACGCGGAAGGGAGGATGGGATTATGAAGGGTGAGGGAAGCAACTTTGTTTCGGGTAATTTAGATTTCTTCTCGGGCAGTGTGTCTCTCAAGTTTACAATTATTCGTTTTGAGAAATGAATGAACCTGAAACATGACAGAAAAAAGGGGAAATGAAGAGTAGGGAAAGCATACCTTGCATACGATCAGGATGAACAATGCCGTCAGTCTCCTCCAAAAGAGAATAAGTACGAGACGACTCGGTAGTACAACTCAAGCTTTGAGAAACATCCCTCTCGATTGGTAGACACATGAAATTTTCATCAGCATCTACACGACCCGGTAATGCACCGGATGAACTCTGGAGGGGAGGTTCAGAAGGAGCGCCAACATTATGTGGACTACCATTAACTGTCTCATCTACCTCTTTTGGACAGGAATCTAATGCAGTTGGCGCTTGATCTTGTGAAGCACCTTCAGCATTCACCGATGAAGGGAGATGTTCATCATTCAGAGCATCTGAAGCGGGCATGTGGTCTCCGATAGTGTTCTCTGTCTCATTCATCAACTCCAAGGGGCAAGAAATTAGTATTCTGTGGCTCTCGTCAGGAACAGTTCCATGAGGGTTTAATGTTGATAACTCTACGGAACCACCAACCTCTGCTTCACTGCTGTTCATATGAACCGGATCTAAGACCTGTGATTTCCTCGAAGCCCCAGAGAGAGACATATGAGTGCTCTGAGGACTTGAACTCGGGGAAACGCTTGCACCCTTCGTCTCATCTTTAGAACAGCTGAACTGGCCCTTTAGGAAGTCTTCCGCCTGCCTTGGTGGACTCAGATCGACAGTTGATGACGATGGCTCTCCACCCTGCGTGCTGTCAGCAATAAGGGGCCCGTCTTGAGCAGCAGAGAGAGGCATCAGAGTGCTCTGAGGACCGGCAATCAGGTCAATGTCTGCACGCTTCGTCTCATCTTCAGAACAGCTGAAATGGCTCTTTACAAACCCTTCCTCCTGCCTTGGAGAACTCAGATGGAAAGCTGATGAAGATGGCTCTCCACACAGCGTGCTGTCAGCAATAAGGGGCCCGTCTTGAGCAGCAGAGAGAGGCATCAGAGTGCTCTGAGGACCGGCAATCAGGTCAATGTCTGCACGCTTCGTCTCATTTTCAGAACAGCTGAAATGGCTCTTTACAAACCCTTCCTCCTGCCTTGGCGAACTCAGATGGAAAGCTGATGAAGATGGCTCTCCACACAGCGTGCTGTCAGCAACAAGGGGCCCGTCTTGAGCAGCAGAGGCAGACATCAGAGTGCTCTGAGGACCTGCACTCAAGTCAACGTCTGCACCCTTCGTCTCATCTTCAGAACAGCTGAAATGGCTCTTTAGAAAGCCATCCTCCTGCCTTGGCGAACTCAGATGGAAAGCTGATGAAGATGGCTCTCCACACAGCGTGCTGTCAGCAATAAGGGGCCCGTCTTGAGCAGCAGAGGGAGACATCAGAGTGCTCTGAGGGCCTGCACTCAAGTCAACGTCTGCACCCTTCGTCTCATCTTCAGAACAGCTGAAATGGCTCTTTAGAAAGCCATCCTCCTGCCTTGGCGAACTCAGAAGGAAAGCTGATGACGATGGCTCTCCACATAGCGTCCTGTCAGCAATAAGGGGCCTGTCTTGAGCAGCAGGTCCTTTATCGCTGTTAGATCTTTTCAATAAAAACACTGGAGTGCCCGCTCCTTCAGGACCACCGATTCTTATGTTCTGATAAGAACTGAAGGAATGAAATCGTTGGAGGCGACCACCTGCTCTCGAATAAGCAGAAAAAATTTCAGGCCCACATTCGAACTCGGCAAAAGAAAAAATCTGTTCTCTTTCATTTGCAGTCAACGCAGTAGAAGAAATTTCCGGCGAACTGTCACGATCTTTCTCCAAACTGCTTGGAGACTTGCATATTGAAATCTGGCCGTTGATGTCTTCTGTGGCTTCAGGAATGTTAATTTCAGGATGAGATTTTTCACACGATTCATTCACAACTACAGCAATGTTTAGATGAATTGGTTGAATATCCGACCCAGATGGCGTCTTCTCGGACAAGCCTGCAACATGCGCCACACATGACGTGGGTAGATCTCTCTCCTCGCTGAGCTGGCACACATCAACATCTTCATCGGCAGTTTCAAGCTTTTGAGATTTTTCTTTGCAAACAGAGAGAATTGGCTCCAGTGGAATGGAACAGACATCAGAAAGGACAGGGACGCCAGACATTAGCTGTTCAAGCTCTTCAGCGCCTATGGTTCTCTCCATGCTCCCTCCAAAGTCGCCATGAATATGTTGAGGTTTCTCAGTGTATAGTTCATCTTCAACAGCTGCAACCCCATCCATCTTATCAAATGTAAATATCCCTTCTTGGCCATGAATATCCAGCATCTTCTCTGCTCTACCTGCCATATCATTCTGTCCATGCTCGCCACCCTCAGCCTCTGGAGCAGCGCTAGCATCAAGCACAGAACCTCCATCGCTGCTGGTATTGGTAGATGCATTCATGGAAAACATAGGGTGGTCCATATAGCTTGCTTTCCCGACAGAGAAGGACCTTGCAGGAACACTCGACAAAACGGTTTTCAATATGCCTTCCGAAGTTTTGTGATGATCCTGAAAACGAAGATAAAGATAGAAAAGCTCTGTGAAACAAGATAGAAAAAAATTGCATAAACACGTTGAAGCTTAGAAAGTTTTGTTAAAAATAGATAATTCATTTTTCATTCAAAGATAAGTATTCGATTGAGGATAATAGGTTGAAGAATATCCAGCTCCGAACGAACAACAGCAAACCAAAGAAATCTGAGAGGTTTCGCCTCAGTGGATTTGTTTAAGTCTGACTGACCACATAAAAAATTGTACATATTTAAGGCGAATCGATGAAATAAAGTAACAGGGCATAGACTAGTGATTACATAAATATAACGAAAAAATAAAAATTATACAATAAAAGTCGCACCTATCAGTACAGACATTAGATTTCATCCTTGCCGTAGCATACAGTTCTTCAGAAGAAAAAACGAATTACAAAAAACCATAAATCAGATAATAAGAAACATACCATCTGTCGAAGTGCAGTATCGAAGGAGCTCTTTGGAGCATAACTTGCGGATACTGCTCTGGACAGCTTATTGGACTGTACCATACTTCCACCGTTTGAGAAACGTCCATTTTTCCTTAACATCAGGCTGTCTGTGGCTCCTCCATTGACTGAGCGCAAGGAGTCCTCATTATCATCCCCAGATGACCCTATAGATCCCTTGCTATGATTGCTGAAAGAGTCTTGATCGTGACTGTGCGAGGAGCTGACACTTGTAGAAGCTGTTGGCGACATGGAATGCCTCGCATTTCTCAAAGGTTGGTCCACTCTGTTTTTTTGTGTTGGCGACAAACCTCTCGCACGTGATGCCGGCCGATCAGGGAGAGAAGATCGAAGGCTGGAGGAGGATTCCGAGCAAAACCCAGGGGCGTTTGGTTGCCATCCTCTCAGCTTAGGGGATGCAGAGCTCCCTCTACTGGCCTTCACCGGAGAGGCTCCCTTCCTTGTGGAAGAGGATATGCTGCCACTCCCACTTGATATGGAACTCATTCTCTTGACTGTTGGAGTAGAAAATCTTGGTGTAGGAACTACGAGTTTACTTGGGGGGCTGGAATGTCTTCCTGAAACAGGCAAACCAATCGCTGATCGGGCAGATGGGCTTCGCCCACGAGGACTGACACTGCTTCTACTTTTCCTGCCTCTGCTTTCTGTCTGCGAAAAGAGGACAATTTTTCGGTATGGAAATGTTAAATCGCCACGTGAAAGGATGTTTCTTAGTCCTCGAGTTTAAAATACATATAAAATATATAGGAAAGGAAGTAATCGTGACCCACTGTGGATGACTTGGTGATGGAAATAGGTTGAGTTTGAGAACTGCTCACTGGCACCAAACCAGCCACCTTAGGCTCGTCATCGTCCAAAGAAGGAAAGAGAGGAGTCTCAGGAGGAGTTAATAGCCTGTTTTGCAGCACAAAAAGCAAGCTTTTCTCGTCATATACGGTGAACCACATGAAGCAAAGGTGCTACAATGAGAAGCAGAAAACGAAGTAGATTCTCAAAGAAAATCTGAAGCACGACCATCTAGACAGAACTTGAGGGGTTTAGAGATAAATTTTGGCCTTTATGTTTTGAAGAAACTGGAACCCACAGATGGCATTCCTTCAAATGCCCCTGACTTGCCCAAAAAATAAATGTTTCGCTATGACACTGTAGAAAGTTTAGGGATTCTGTTCCTGCATCGAGCATCACAATTTGAACACAGGAGACTGATTGGAAGAGCTGCAATTTATGGGTTAAGGTTTATGATAGATTGATCTACGTCGGTTGGACTTGCAGCATAGCATGTAAGAAGATTACAGAGTTAGGGATGAAGATGAAAAAGTGAATTGGAGATCATCAAAATCTGAGTGGAAAACTCACCATTCGTAATCGTTCTTTTCACATTCCGCATTCAGGAGGTCGTTGCTCTCTCCTTGGTCTGGATTGTTCAACTTGAAGTCCGGAAAGTATTTCAATTTTGCTGGCACAAGCACGTTGGCATGCAGGAAATAAGATTTAGTACAGCAACGAAATGATGCTTTATTCGATGATAAATTTTAATGGAGGAAGAGTTACATAAGGAGTCTTCAAAATCATCAGAGGAGCAGAGCAGGAATTCATCCCTCTCCCTCAATTGCATGTCCTTGAACAGTGCGAGATCATCCTCTTTGGCTTTGACCAGGGACCTCGTGCTCGTGCTGCTGTTCCCCGTCATGAGCTCCCTCCGGGAAGAACTCATTGAGGGTGAAGGAGGCATTCTTCAGCAACTCGAATATATGGCCTGCTGTTACAACTTTCTCAGCATCAGATTTCTGATTCCAAGGTGAGGATTATATATGGTACCTGAGTCACCCATTCTGCTAAAATGGTCACAAATGTTTTCACTAAAGAGATATGCAACAAGAAATTCATTCAGTTCTTCCAGTTCAATCACTGAAAGAGCATAAAACTTCAGTTTGAACCACTGCTCGACTTAAACTTGCTCGAGATCATGAGCAAAAACGTTTATTCCGATCAACATAGGGATGCTTAGAGTTGAAACAAAATAAATTAATTGAGACTGACTAAAGGGCAGGCAGGGCATGTAACCAAATATTGGAAGTAAAATAAAAGGTAAATTTCCGTCAATTTCGTGGTGAGAACTGAACGTGGAGAAACAGGCCAGCGTTGAACTCCACACTGTTGCTTGAACCAAGAAAACGGAGCAGGAAAACTCGACACTGTGGACTCCCTTACCTTAGTCACCGAAGGCTGCCTGCCCAATCTCCTCTGACGGAGGAGCACTGGCCAGGGCTCCGCCCTAAGCCCCATCTCCCCCATCCATCACGACCCAGTCGAGGGAACGAACCGGCCGGCGGTGGTCGGCGGCATTCTGCACTCCAGCTCGGATACCAGCCACGGAGGGAGAGAACCAGAGCAGGGGACCGGATCAAGGCACCCGCGGAGGAACCCTAATTTCCAAGCATATTCCAGGGATTTGGAGGGCGCCCCAGGGTAAGTGACCCGAACGAAGGCCAGATGCAAAGAGACTACCAGGATCGCGAAGACAACTGGATGGAAGAAGTTCCCACAGGCCCCGCCGGGGCAGTTTCCTGGCTTGTTTTCCCTTCCCCTCCCTCCTTTTCTATTCTCCAGACATTAGTTTACTTCCCCTCCAGGATTCCCCGCCGGCAAGCTTCCGGGTGCATCCCCGTTCACACACTCTGCTTCCCGCTGTTCCAGGCTTCCCTGCGCCGTCCCGCCCCAACCCAGCTCTGTTTTTTTTTATTTCTTAGAGAAATTTTCCTTCTTTTTTGTCTAAAATCTTAGCTCATCTAGTGCTTGCTCCCACGAAAAAAATCCACCTAATCATATCGAGGGAAACAAGTTTAAATCTCGAGGGGTCTGATGAAGGTCTAGAAGAAGATCTGCACCATGGCATCGCCCCTCCCGTCCCAGTCGGCCGTGGATTCCCTCTGGGCCTCATCATCAGTATTTAATGACAAACGGCAGCCCCTATCCTCTCTGTTGAGTCAACGATCAATAAACTCGGCCCACAAGTTAAACTCGAAAAGGACCGACCATTGCCACAGCTTCGCAGCAACCTATCAAGTTGGCCCTGCCGCTCGACTGGTACCGTCAGATCCGAAGGACGATGGGCTACCAAGAAGGGAGATAACAACGGCGTAACGGCCGCCAGAGAGTCCCTCACCGCTGTAGTCGCCGTTGGGCGCTTTCGCAGATCATTTCCGGTGAGATGGCCCAGTCCCGGAAAGGCGACTCTCTGGCTGCTTCCCCTCTCTCTCTCTCTCTCTCCCTGCCTGCTCCTTGCTCGGCCTTGAACATCTGAGTATTTTAAACGGAGACGGTACGTCCCACCGACCTCTGCGGTCTTGTTTGCAGGAGAAGCAGTTGTCGCCTGAAACCAGCCGGCGGTGGTCTCTTCTGGCGCGTGATGGCCACACGAAGATCAGATCGGCCCGCAAAGAAAACCCATTTCACAGAGAACCCAATGGGCAATCGCCCTGCTCCCAGCTCGGCCCACTCTGTAGCTTGGCTGATCACTTCATATGATCCACTACACTCTCATGGCTTTGCTACGGCAGAGGGGTGGGGCGTCCCTCTGGAGTTGGGGCCGTCGTCGCCACCGGCGCTGACGCGGCGCTGGTCCCCCCCTCGGCGTGGCGCTCGTCGCCTATGGTCCCCGTTCCGTAGGTCCCCAGTTTTACCTGCATTGGCCGCGCAGGGGTCTATGAATGCGACCAGGGGGACGGAGCCCTGTAGCTCAACGGCATGGTACCTCTAGCACTACGACATTGTGAACCTCCGTGGGACATCACAGTGTCCCTTCAACGATTATTCGTCCCCTCTCTCTCTCTCTCTCTCTCTCTCTCCAGATATATATATATATATATAAATAGAAAAGAGAAGAGAGAGATAAAGAAAGAGAGTATATAAGAAGAGCACTCAACGATCAAAGAACTCCTGGACTTAATGATGCACAAAAGTGCTGGGGTTCTCCTTTTATAAGAGCTTCAAAAGTCTTTAAGATAGTATGAAATGGGTGCTCTCAAAAAGCCATTTGTTTTTGTTACAAATGATTCACAAAGAACCATGTGACCATATCTCACGAACACTCATTTTCGTGATAAAATGGTTCACGTAGTGTTTCTCACAAATGTCATTGGGTCTCATTTATGTGCCTCCTCAAGCTAAGGTGAATATCACATTGAGCTTGTTTTTAAGTCATGTGCTCTTCAATGCTCTAGTTGTAGGTCATGAATTAATTTATCTACTTGATTAACAATGAAGGTAATGTTTTGACGAGAGATAATCAGCCACTAAAGAGAGTTCACAATAAGATTATATACAGAAAAACTCACTGAGGATAAAATAATATTAGCAATTATGTGCATCGGTAAAGTAATAATGGGTGTGAAAATGAGTTTAGAATCATTCATCTTGACTTATTAAAGCATATCTTATCATACTTCAATAGAGAGATCACAAAATTATTAAGATGACTATGTAGCCCAATTTCTAATAAATAACAAGTTTAGATAAAATCATGAATTATAAATTCAATACTCAATGATGTGGTGTGAACATAACCCCTTTTCATCATAGTCAATAATAAGAACATCATCTACGTAAATCAAAATTATGAGTTGTGAATTACTTGAGTAACAATTGAACAAAGACTAATATGTCTTTAAGCTAAAAAATCACTTTCTAAAGTCGTGAATTGTCATCTAAATTGTGTTATACAAATTTAACATAAGTCATATCAAGATTCGTGAAGATAACAAACATAATATATAAAGAGATGATACATGTCTAGTGCTGATTAGTAAATATTGTCTCTTCAAAATGACTATGGAAAAAGGTATTAGACACATTTAATTATCACATAGATCATTCATATTTAATAATAATTATAAGAATATTACATATAATAATCTTAATGATTTCTTTGAAAGTATTTTAATTATTGCTCAATGCTGATTAGTGCTGATTATTAAGTATTCTTAATAGTTTTATTGATTACTTAGTGCTGATTAGTACTTGATTACTATCAAAACCTTTTAATCATGACCTAACAGAACAAGTATTCTATCACTATAATAATAGAATTAGGAACTATTAGACATATATACAAAAAAACCTTCAAGGAGCTCCTTGTTAAAATGTTTCACACATTCGACATTACATTGTTCAAATTGAATATAGGTTTGACAACATATCGTGTGATGTATGTCACTACCACAGCCACAACCTCCACCCAAGTTCTTGTTATGACTTGCAATGGCACTATTGATTGAAAGGTATCAATAGTTTTTGTAAAAAAGTGTTGTTGTGCCATGATTGTCTCATTCCCAATAAGATGATCAATGACATCTTCTAAAATAAGTGGTTATATTGACATTGTAAAACTAGAAATGAGATTATCATAACTTGGTCTCAGCTCTCTTAGAATCATCATAACTTGATCGTCAATTATCTTGATAGATTGAACATATTTGTAAATAGATGATTTCACACAATGGTATGTAGCTATGAAAGCTAGATTTTTCTGTTTAAATTAGTTTTTATTTTATTTTATTTTATTAACTTGTAAAAAAAATATAAGATATATTGTTAATTAAAAATCTAAAGTTAAAATACTTAGTGTAATTTTTTATTATTTAAATATAAAAGAATAAAATATAAAAATAGTATGCCCGCTAGCAAGCCAACACTCAGCCCCTAACCTAAAGGGGCGTTGCGGTCGAGTAGGTAGACCTAAATCCGGGGAGTCATGAGCTGAGCTCGAGTGGTGAGAAACTTGTTTCATGCATTCATGCACGTGTGCATCACTCTCCTATCATGTCTCTGTGGCCAACTTGGTCATAGACAAGGAATGTCATACACACGTGTGTACATGAAGGTGGACCACCTTTTTTGTCTTCTCCTAAGATGGTCTTAGGCATTATTTTATTTGGGGAGAATAGATTTTTCCTTAGAGAACATAGTTTTGATTTATATTCTACTTAGTTATTGAAATATTTTCGATGTGGGACTAAAGTTTCTCATATGTTTCAAGGCAGCCACCTAGAGTGTGGTGTGATCTAACAATGTTTAGCTAGCCACGTCATCAAATAAGTCAAATCATGTGGCTAACAAACTGTCACGATCTCAGAAGCATTAAGTAATCTATTGACGATTCGTGAATCCGATGTCGCTCATCACACAAGTGGCCTTAAATGATGATTCGACGGCTAAAAAGGTGCCACGATACTAGAGATTTAGGTTCCCGATCGGTAACGATTTATGATGGGTTGATCTTGCATTGCTCAATGCATCACGGGACCAAGCACATCTGATCCAATGGATCGTGAAGTGCCACAATATTGGAAACTTAAGTTCTCACATGCATCACCATTAGGGATATAAAGATAATAATTAATTATTATTTAGTAAAATAAATATTATCAATTATAATTAAAATCTCGATGATAGTCACAAATATGGAATCCGTTCTTCTCTCTTGTCGTGCAATTAACACCTCCAGCGATCGGCGAGCTCGTTCCTTCCTCCCCCAACTGCACTCAAGACCTTCGCCAAATGGTCAACTCTTCCCTTCTCCCCCCAAACAATGGTGACAGTATGATCGATCCCACCTTTCGGTAGATATCTCCGACAAGTGGTATAGCATTTTCGAATGATACTTCTGCGACTTCCAGCATAGTGTGACACATTTGAATGAAATCAAGCCGCCACATCGATATCTCCAATTATCCAAAAGGTATACTAAACTTAGACAATGATTTATTTCCTACTTTCAGTATTTACTTACCTACTTTTGTCATTTATTTATATTTTATGATAAGTTATTTCTATTTTATATATATTTCGATAGAAATGAGTAAAACTAATTCAAAATTTAATGAATGATTTGTATTCTTTTTATGAATCCTCTTTAACTCATCTAAGATTAAGCTAGAATCATTTTTAACTTATTTTCTATTAATTTTTGTAGTAAAATCTTGACGTATTTATGTTTCTGATGTTATATGAATAATGAGTATTTTTCTATTTTCGAACATGAAATCAGCGAGATTAAAGGTTATTTAATGATCATTGAATTGTTGAGACATTCACAGCTGACCTCATGTCATGTGTGTGAATTTTCGAGCACACATTCATCTCGGAATAATAGTCACCATAAAAACAAGTTGATCGTATTTCTTTCTTTATTATCGTCTTATTTCTCTCTCTCTCACTCTCATGATACCAATTCTCTTTCTGTCTCTTGTGAGATCTCTTCTCCATCGATCGATCTCCTTCTCTCTCCTCTCTCTCCTCTCTCTCTTGTGAGACCTTTCTCTCTCTCCATCTCACGTAAGATTTCTCTCCATCTCTCTTTCACGAGAGATCTCTTATCTCTTTTATGAGAGCCCTCTCTTCTCTATCTCTTTTTTTCTTTTCTTTCTCTACTTCACTTCCTTTATTATTCTCACCTCAATCTTCTATTTTATTATTTTTATTAAATATTAATAAAATATTAAAATCACTTTATATATAAATTAAATTATTTTCATGACAGATTAATCAATCTCTTCGTGTTTGACCTAAGACTTATTTCTCTACTAATATTTTATTAAGTCTTAGTTATAAATATTATTAGATAATGTGTACCTAAACACAACGACAAGTGCACATCAACAACTAAATGTATAATTTCAAAATTTAATACTTAACACAAGATGTAAATTTTATTTAACTAATACATCTTTAGATGTAATAAATCAGTTACTAGTAGAAAGAGAGACTATGTTAGGAATGATATGGGCCATAAAAGTATTATTTAATTTATTTTTTCATAGTCAATGGTCTACATTTGATTGTCTAACTTACTTCTCATTAATTGAAATCTTGAGAGATAACATATTGGAATAGTTGACAGTGAACATATATATCTATTGAGGAGAGGATAAATTGAGTTCTTAGTGATAAACAATTATCACATGAAAAATTTAAGGGCAATAAATGCATCACATTTGAAGCTACTATCCTTGATTGATATGTTGTTGAGTGCTGAAGTTCTAATATCATGTAAAAGAGAAAAGAGAAGATAGAGAGAAAGAGGGGAGAGAGTAGGGAAGAAGAAATGAGAGGAGAGAAGGTCACTCAGTGATCTAGGGACTCCCTAACTTGATGATAAACAAATGTATTAGGGTTTCCTTTTACAAGAGTCTAGAAGACTCACCAGGTAGGATGAAATGGGTGCCTTTAAATGAGTTGTATGTTTATGTTAGAAATGGTCCACAGGGAACTGTTTGACCGTTTCTTACGGACGCCCAACTCATTTCGGTGAGAACCTATCTATGAAAGATATTTCTCACAAAGACTGTTCGGTCGTTGCTCACAAAGATTATTTCTCATTGGATCCCGTTTACACCTCTCTCCCTCTCTCTCTCTCTCTCTCTCTCTCTCTCTCTCTCTCTCTCTCTCTCCCTCTCTCTCTCTCCTCCTCTCCCTCCCTCTCTCTCTCTCTCCTCCCTCCCTCTCTCTCTCTCGCTCTCTCTCTCTATCTCCACTCTCTCTCTCTATCTCCTCTATCTCCTCTCTCTCTCTCTATCTCCCTCCTCTCTCTCTCTCTCTATCTCCTCCTATCTCCACTCTCTCTCTCTCTCTATCTCCCTCCTATCTCCACTCTCTCTCTCTCGATCTCCCCTCTCTCTCTCTCTCTCTATCTCCCTCCTATCTCCCTCTCTCTCTCCCTCCTTCTCTCTCTCTCTCTCTCCTCCGTCCTATCTACTCTCCCTCTCCCTCTCTCTCTCTCTCCTCCCCCCCCTCTCTCTCTCTCTCCTCCCCTCTCTCTCTCTCTCCCCTATCTCCCCTCTCTCCCCTCTCTTTCTCCCTCTCTCTCCCCCACCGCCCTCCCTCCATCTCTCTCTCTCTCTCCCCCATATCCCCTCTCTTTCTTCCTCTCTCTCTCCCTCTTACGAAGTGAGCAGGAGGGGAGAAGGGATGCAAGACTGAGAACTGCCCGAGTCCGAGCGACTGCATATTGTCGGAATGTAGCCAAACAAAACCCACCATACACACCTATATGTAGAGATGGATAGATAGATAGAGAGAGACAAAGAGAGGAGGGGAGGAGGAGGTGGACTAAATAATAATAATCTACGAACTCTGTATGACAATTAAAATACAGTGGAAAACTGGCTTATTTACAAATCCGCTATTTTTTTAGCTAAAAGCAAATTATACAATAAAATATGTTTATTACGAAATTCATTCAATTGGACCGACATAAGAGTAAATTTACTACGACTCAATAAAATCAATAATTGGACCACCCTTCCCTCCCGCTCACAGGAACATAAATCCCATCCGTGATTTCAATTCAGGCACGACAATCAAGCGAAATTGCCAACAACCACCAAACAGCAAATGGCGGCTACCCTTTATGCGTCCAGATGTTCCTGGCATCATACAATACCTTTCAATCAATAATACCCTCGAGCTAATAACAAATTCTATAAACTCTAAGCTAATGCTTGATTCCAGCGTGTCTAACTCGAAGGAAACTGAATATAACCACTGGTAAGCATGAAATCTAACGCATCGGGCGCTAATATCCTATTTTCCAGCTATGTATTCGATTTCTACCATGTAAAATGGAAGAAAGAAAAAAGTCTAATTTTAGAAATCTACGATAGGCAGGCAGAGTCGACAGAATCGACTACACCGCCAGTTCTCTCCGGTTTGCGTATTTTATTCTGAATCGGTATCGTTCCGTGAAGTAATGAGATCTAACCTGGGTGGAACTTGCGCCGAAACCGGAAGATCGATACGATCCGACCACAATCTCCAACAAGTTTTCCCCTACGAATGCTCGGCGTCGTATTAAATTCGCCGACAGTATTCAAACCCACCGTGGCCAATGCACAAAATATCTTCTTTATTTTGATTTTTTAGACACATACCTTGATTTACTTATTTTTTCTTCATTTTTCAGTGAAAAAGTCGACAATGCGTGGAGACGTGGGACGGTCCGGTGAGACCGGGAGATCGGAACAGGAGATGGAACTGAACGACGAGGGTAGCTGAATGTACGAATCCAGCCACCCAACCAAGACCGGCAGAACACACGTGGCCCCCCGATCTACCGCACCACGGTGACCGGTTTGACGAGCGTGATCAGCCTTCCAACGTGGGGGCGTATCTGCCCGTCCACCATACCTACCTTCGTCCATAAAAGTCCCCCCCTGCAGCACACTCAGATGTACCTCAGCAGCAGATCCACCGGACGCATCTCCTCGCTCACTCCCCGCCCTTGACTCGTCGATACTCCTCGAGCTCCCGCTTGCCGCCATGGCCGCCAAGATCGAGGAGATCCGCAAGGCGCAGCGGGCCGAGGGCCCGGCGACAGTGCTCGCCATCGGCACGGCGACGCCTCCCAACGTGTTGTACCAGGACGAGTACCCCGACTACTACTTTCGGATCACCAACAGCGAGCACCTCACCGATCTGAAGGAGAAGTTCAAGAGAATGTGTAAGTAGAAACTGACTGTAGACAAAAAAAAAGTTTGGTTGTAGTAGCTAGTTTGCATGCGATCTGTATGGAAGTATTGACGGGAGAAGAACAATCCGCAGGCGACAAGTCGATGATCAGGAAGCGGTACATGCACCTGAACGAGGAGATCCTCAAGGAGAACCCCAACATGTGCGCGTACATGGCCCCGTCCCTGGACGCCCGTCAGGACATCGTCGTGGTGGAGGTGCCGAGGCTGGGGAAGGAGGCGGCGGTGAAGGCCATCAAGGAGTGGGGGCAGCCCAAGTCCAAGATCACCCACGTCGTCTTCTGCACCACCAGCGGCGTCGACATGCCCGGAGCCGATTACCAGCTCACCAAGCTCCTGGGGCTGCGACCCTCCGTGAAGCGCCTGATGATGTACCAGCAGGGGTGCTTCGCCGGTGGCACGGTGCTCCGACTGGCCAAGGACCTCGCCGAGAACAACCGCGGCGCGAGGGTCCTGGTCGTCTGCTCTGAGATCACTGCTGTCACCTTCCGCGGCCCGACCGATACCCACCTCGACAGCCTCGTGGGGCAAGCGCTCTTCGGGGACGGGGCCGCCGCCGTCATCGTCGGCGCCGACCCGGACCCAGCCACCGAGCGGCCGCTGTTCCAGCTGGTGTCGGCAGCGCAGACCCTCCTGCCGGACTCGCAGGGGGCCATCGACGGACACCTTAGGGAAGTCGGCCTCACCTTCCACCTGCTCAAGGACGTTCCCGGGCTCATCTCCAAGAACATCGAGAAGAGCCTGGTGGAGGCCTTCGAGCCGCTGGGCATCAAGGACTGGAACTCGATCTTCTGGATCGCCCACCCCGGGGGTCCGGCCATCCTCGACCAGGTGGAGGAGAAGCTGGCCCTGAAGCAGGAGAAGATGCGGGCGACCAGGGAGGTGCTCAAGGAGTACGGAAACATGTCCAGCGCTTGCGTGCTGTTCATTCTCGACGAGATGAGGAGGAAGTCGGCGGAGGAAGGGAAGGCCACCACGGGCGAAGGCCTCGACTGGGGGGTGCTCTTTGGGTTTGGGCCAGGCCTCACCGTCGAGACGGTGGTGCTCCACAGCGTGCCCATCGCTGGCCAGTGAGTCTTCTCCAACGCCACGCCCCTCCGCTCCTTTGTGCTGCGTGATCCTGTTCCACGGTCGAGAGCGCCGCCGATGAGGGAGACACATGGCGGAGCTGGTGTTCTTCTTGCAGACTGCTCGTCTACTATCTAAATGTGTGGGTAAAATGGTAGCTCTGCCCAAATAATATTCGACACTGTATCGTCTCATTTCACGCAATCTTTTTATGTGATGGATTCACCAAATTTGAGGAGATCCGACAGCAGTGGTGCATTATTTTACGCACTTAGACTTTGAATCCCAAGGCTTCCTGCACTCAACTATTTCCACAACAAACTATATTATAATTTAATAAGTTTTAACTTTAATTTCCAGTTGTAGCTACGTACTTGCCTTCCCCCTTCTTCCATTCATAGGATCATGAGGTTTCTAGAGAGGGGAAGAGGGGCAGTGTGGTTAAATACAATACTTTATGTTAAAATAAAATCAAAAAATAAAATAGCAAACAACTATCCCCTGCATGAACTTCCGAGCGTGTCTTATACTTCAACTAACAAAATCAAGTTAGTTAAAAAAATTCTTGTTGTCCCTGGATAATTTTTGTTTTTATTTTTTATAAATATTTTCTTTTCTTGTAATTGAGCCTGCAGAAGTAGCGTGGTGCGTAACAAGGCATTTTACATTTTTTCTGTATGAAAACTAGTACTTTATTAAATGCCCGTGACAGGTTGAGGAACCATCACCTTCGGGAAGCCCCGTGGAGCCATTCTCCGCCACACGATCTACCAACCCGTCTCACGACCCGGCATCCTGGGTCCATACACTGGCGGAAAAGCTTGGGACGCTGGGTTGACCTCTCTCTCTCTCCCTCTGTGCCCCCTCCCTTCTGATGATCAGGTTGCCGACTCGGAGGGAGGAGATGAAGACAAAGAGGTTGGTACGCGGTGGCAAATAAAATGCCGAGTTGCGCCAGCATCATGGTAACTTACGACTTGAAGGGACACGCGGTCATCATCAATTGTCATCGAACCAATGGCCATGCAAGTTAGTAGTATAAAATGAAACCACACATTCAGATATTTCATCACGTCATCTTTCTCACTATTTCATCTTCAATGCATGTTTTCAATGTTATACCATTTCAGGGCCGTTTGTAAACAAGAAATATCTACACTTTTACTTGTACAAGTGGATTTAATAGAATTATAAACTGTCTTAAACGAAGAAGTTTGATTACATCAGCGAATCTGCTTTGAAACACACATTCTTGAATTTTTCTGAATTAAATATATGTTTAAGAAAGATTGTTAGTTAAAATGTCTCTTAATATAATATTTAAATAACTTATCTTCCTATGATTATTAATAAGTTGATATTAACTTTTAAAGAAATGTTGATAAAATCTTGTAGTGTGAGTAGAATCTAAGGGAATATTGTCCCTACCGACAATTCACTAGAATGTTGGTATTTGAAGGAATATTATCGCTAACAAATCAACACGTCTCTTCCTCGCGTCTAGACTAACATTTCAAGATCTCAACGAGCAAAGCGACGTGATAAATTATTGAGATTAATGATACTAGATTCTGATTTTTGCGCAGTAAGACCCTTGAATGTTCATTTTATTACTTTTATGCCCTTTCCTAGGCTGACATCAGCTATTGTCAAACTTTAGAGCATGAGCTAAAGAGTATTCAACTTGCCAACGATTTGGTAGTAGGACAGATGGACGCGATTCCTGGCCAGCTGCTGTTCTTACCGAGTCAAACGGGCTGCTTTTCTCGACTCGACGGCTGTGCTCGCACAAATTTCATTATAGCCTTGTACAAAACTTATATATTCTTTTTAGCCTTATATTTGCGAAATACCTTTCCACCTTGACAACTTTGTGAACATTGGCATTTTATTCATATGCACGAGATCTTCCGTTGACTGTTCATCGACGGATCCCCACTGCGTTGGGAGCTTCAAGAATAAGGTCGATTTCGGACAAGATGAGCGAGTCACATTTTTTCGTATGCTTCCATCAGAGGGGCGGAGACGACGATGCCGTTGTTCTGGTTGCTGCTCGCGGCCTCCTTCTTCCCGCTTCGGAGCGATTGCAGTTGCCGTGATGGCTGCGAACTCGCCCTGGCTTCCTATTATGTCACCGACAAGCAGAACGCTACGTACATCGCCTCCCTGTTCGAAATCCCCTTCGGGGATATCGATAACTCCTTCAGGCCTTACAACCCTGACTTTTCCAAGGACAGCATACAGATGAACTCAAGGATCTCAATTCCATTTCAATGCGATTGTATCAACGGCGAATTCCTCGGCCGCAGCTTCCCGTACACTACCGTGGTGGGGGATACATATGAAAGGATCGCTTCGGAACATTACCACAACCTGACGACGGTGGAGTTACTTACACAGACGAACGTCTATGAGGTGACACAGATCCCTAACAATGTAAAGGTCAACGCAACAGTGGCATGCTACTGCGGCGATGCAGATATATCTAGGGACTATGGACTCTTTGTAACATATCCCCTCCGTCCCGGTGACACGCTGGAATCCGTAGCTAGAGAAGTTGGGTTTTCCGATTTGGATATGCTGCGAAGGTATAACCCCGGCGCTAATTTTAGCGCTGGTCAAGGGATTCTGTACGTGCCTCGTAATGGTGAGTTATTTTGATGCACCTACTCATTTTTTTCCAATTTTACATCATATTTTATGCATGCTGAGATTCATTCCACCAGTCATCATTTTTGGTGTTTGGTCCACCAATTTTGTAAACGCAGAGAACACAAATTCAGTAAACATTTAGAGTTTACAGTGAATAGAGCTTCTGTAGAATTATGGAGAAAGGGCACTAAGTTAAATACTAATGTTGATGTCAAATTCTCCTCATGGAAAGGTGATTCTGTAGACTGTTTTGGGAGAAACTGAGATACTCACCGTGGTGGAGTTAATTTCTGGAATATGCTGACTACAAAAGGATTATAAGCCAAAATCGTGAAACGTTTGAACAAGGTTTCCTTTAGGTCGAACATAAGAAACTTCAGTCGTGTTATGTACTGCCATATCCTTCTCATATATAGTTTCGTAGTTCGAAAGGGAGTTTATGCTGTATCAGAAAGTTCTTCTCTACGTAGGATATGAAATTGATCTGGGATTGCCTCCAATCAACAATCATATGTGTCCGCATAACCCCATTTTTAATTTTTCTATCCATTTACTATTACATACTCACAATGAATAATTATCGGGATTTTAGTAAATCTTCGCGTTCAGGACATTGGTGTCATCCCAGCTGACTGAGTTTAATCTTTGACATTGTCACAAGTGAAATCTAATCTCTTTCTTTGGTTATGAGCTGCCATTTTGAAGGTTGCTGATATGTTCCATTTGAAGCGTCCAATAGTTTTCCCTGTTTGGTGATTTTCTTTACGTTCCATGCTGTTCTTCCAGTGATATTTCCTTCATTGCATTGATATATCGCTAAATCAATGCACGTAATTTTATAATTTTATAATTTTCTATTTACGACGGCACAATTTGTCTGATACCTGGAAATCGTTCTATTTGAATTATAAGCAAATAAAGATATAGAGAGATTAAACTCAGGGTTATTCTAAACGCTGGGAGCTTAAACTTATGATTGTAAGAAAATATGTTGCTTCTTACAATCAGGGTTATTCTAATACTGGTAATAAGCAATATATTTGAGATCTTATCTCGTAAATGTTTGGGATGGTGAGCACTAGTGCAAGACATCTGAGGCTCTTTTATTCATTTAGTATGTGAGATACGCCATGGGTTTTTAAAATCATATTTCTCGTGATAACTCAGAGATGTCGCTTTAAAGTCAACGCTTAGCTCGAGTTTAACTTTCCTTGTCTCTAGTTGGCAGATATCTCCCTGATTAAGTTGCTGACGTATCTACATACTCTGACCCGTGCAAAAATGTAGGTGTGACGTCCTGGGAATTGAGAATTCAGTAAACTTTCCATATCATGATAAAGTTCTTGTTAATTCCCTGGTATTGCACTGGCCTTTTTATTGATACTTTTGTTGTGAACTACTACGTGAGAAAATTGCGGGATGATATTACTTTGCAGCAGTGGTGCACACCATTTCATCACAAAACGGCATCTGCTGCCCTGTCAAGGATTTAACTTATAGATGTTGAATGCCATGTAATTTAGTGCTTCCAATGCCCTAGGATGGTTGACTATTATGGAACATTTCGCTGGACATAACTAACCATATAAGTTTGAAAGGTCAAAGCATGAATGTTAGCACTCTGTTTCGACAGAAACGCAGCTACTATGTCGATAGTAAGTTCTGTGATTTCTTGCAGGCACCATTGTATATGTTTGCGCAAGTAACATGGGACTCTCATGTGTTTTCCCTCTTAAAATGTTCATCCCAGAAAATGATTTTATTTATTTCAGAACGAAGCCTCTGTTAATTTTTCTCCCTATTTTACCTTTGTTTTGCAGATACAAATGGAAGCTTTCGCCCTCTAAAAAGGTATAAATTTTTTAACTGTTCTTCCAAGTTTATCTTTCTTCAAGCAAAGTCATTGTTAACCAGTCTGACGATAAATGTCCAATGTCTTTTACTGTTTTGCAGGACAGGTGGTTATAAGATTATTTATGTTTCCTTCGTATTTTTTGGCTGTCTGTTATTCAAACCAAGTTTTAGATCAAGTCATGATACGTTGAGGAACTCTATCAGAGCTCATGGCTGAAACTTTATTGGTCTAATTGGATCGACAGCAGGACTTTCACCAGGAGCTATAGCTGGAATTTCTGTGGCTGTAGTAGCATCGCTGTTCATCTGTCTACTTATGTGGATTTATTACAGAGTAAAGAAAAGAAAGAGAGGCATATTACTATCATCTACTGCTGGAGATAACTTCCACGCAAATGGAGTAGGTAAAACATTGTTTGGTTATCCATTTAGATGTTATTGAGGTAGCCAAAATCTCTTTGAGATTTGAAAGTTTGAGTTATGAGATAGTCAATTTTCTAATTTATGTATGCGATTCCTCCATCATGCTCTTATGGCCTTTTGATACATATGCTTAAATGATACTCACTAGAGTGCAAATTGCGCATGTGCATGTACACCACAACATGAAAATGGCTATGTGGTGAAGTTGGGACTTTTTCCTGTCGATTATATCCTACAAGAGACATAATTGCGAATTTTTTTCCCTTCCAATATCCGTTGATGGTGACTGTGGTTTCCGGATTTGTTTTCTGTCTTCCAGGTCCTGTATCTTCATCAGACGAAATTTATCAACATCCCAAAGTTGAAATGAGATCCTCATTTTCCGGAATTCAGATGGACAAGTCAGTGGAGTTCTCTTATGAAGAACTTGCAAGTGCTACAAATGATTTTAACATGTCTAATAAAATTGGTGAAGGTGGCTTTGGTGCTGTTTATTATGCAGAGATTAGAGGAGAGGTTTGCTACATAGTCATGTGCTTATCCTTGCACAAATGTTTTCTCTTGCCAAGTGTTACATCATATGCTTGTGGAACGTTAGAATTTTTCCACCACATGAGATCTTCCTTAGTGAACGTGCATAATATTTACTCTTGGCAAGGCTATATAATTTCTAATCTGCGGATTCTGAATTCTGGCATTGACAAGATGAATTGTAGTAGATTTATCCCATAAACCATGATAATTTGGTTTTGATGTGAACTCTGATGATGAGCACATTATGAATGAATTTAAAATACAATTAATTTTCAATTTACATAGCATCATTGATTTTTCTTCTGAACGTTTGTGGGATATGCAAACTGCGTAGCTAGCATCTTAACCTACCTGTTTCATGCTCGAGTGCTGATTTGTCAATAGGCGTAAGTGAACTTGCAAAACCTCTCGATTCTGTAAGGATTTGAAGATTGGTAGACAAGAAAAGCTGTTTTTGGTTGATAGGACGGCGTGGACTTGTGTCGTGTCCCCTGTTGTTGGAGCATCTGTGCTAGAAAAAAGTACTTGGGGGAGCATCTTATGCTATAACCCTCGTCATAGTAAATAGTTGACATCAAACAATGATAGAGTAAACACAAACGCAACCAATTTTATTTTTTTTCAGAAGATCCAGAGGGTTATTCCTAGAATCTGTTTTCGAATGTCTGCCAATACTGTGTATATTGAGTCTTGAGAATGGAAGACATCAGTACACAGGCATGCTGACATGTGTGTGCAGGAGAACATTGAGGTGCAAGGCACAGCAGAAAATGTAACGAAAATCTCGCTAAATTAAATGCAAAATAGAGACTAGAAAGAAGGAAACAAGTTCTGTGCTTTCAGCCCCAAGAAGCCATCCCAATTTCATTCTTATATTATGAAATCTTCTGTTATATATTAGTATGCCATATCTACAGTTTATTCGCAGCAAAAGTTCCGAGATTTTGTCTTAAAAAAAGTCAAAAAATGTGTGCATGCGTGTGTTCTGAGAGAAGAAAACTCATCCTAGAAAGCTCATATTCAGTTGAAAAGTTCCGGGCTTCACTTTGCCTTTATAATGAATGTGGTTTTCTACAGTGCAGATTGATATTGAGATTGATTCATTTAAGAAACGGAACTGTTTTCCTTATTCAATCATTATCTATACGAATACTTACTCATTAATCATTTATCTGTATCTATATGAATAACATTGACGGTCTCCTCCCAATACTTTGATCCTTACTCCTGAGGGCATATTTGGGATCATGGAAACATCAATTTGGCAGATGTATTGCATTTTATCTTTAAATTTAATTTTCTTGCAAATGTAACCATCTTTCTGGACTTCTCCATCGATGTCCTCTGACCATAGAATTTTTATTTGGGTCTTACAGAAAGCTGCAATTAAGAAGATGGCTATGCAGGCAACTAAAGAATTTCTTGCCGAGCTGAATGTCTTAACACATGTTCATCACTTGAATTTGGTATTAAATTTACGTTGTTTGTTTTAATGTTGAAGTTTATATGTTACTTTCCGACGTGCATTCTTCGTATTTCTTCCCATCTCATTGTGTATGAGATTTTAAATGTATGTAATTTTTTCTAGCATCCATTTGTTATCAAGTAATAATGCAGTGTTTCTTCTCATCTCATTGTTTTCGAGTCACTGAAATCATTGTAATAATGTATCAAGAAATTCAACAAGTGGATGAATTGGCCAACCATTCAGGGGAAAACATGAATTTGGTCATTTTCATCATAGTTACTGTTCTTGACATCATTTCGATTTCCTTACCAATGTGATGATATCTTTTGTGTGTTTTCACCCATATTTATGCAGATCTATCGAGCTGTGAACTTGGATGCCAATGACTTACCGTAGTGTTTTCGTACATTCACCCTTTCAAGTCCCCATAATATTTTGATTAATGCTATGTATAAACTTGTGTTTGTTCACTGTATAAATTACCACTTGGTCTTCATACTGCGATCTCCAATATGGTATAATAGGGTTGTCCCAGTTAATTGTTTTTGAAGGGATTGTATTGATTTGAGATGATTTTGAATATAAATTCCCAAGTATTGGTGTCAACTCAGTTAGAGTTGTTATGAACGGCAATGAACGGAGTATAATTGGTTTTTCTCTTTCAGCACGTATAATCTATTAGAGAAGCTGGCCTACAATGTTATGATAGGTTTTTATTCCAAATTATCTACAGGTGCGTTTAATAGGATATTGCACTGATGGCTCACTGTTCCTCGTTTATGAGTACATTGAGAACGGCAACTTGAGCCAACATTTGCGTGGTTCATCTGGTGAGATCAGTAACATGACAAGTTGAACCTTCTTTTGATAATATCTTTCTTACTCTCTTATGCTTCTTGGTAGTTCAAATTTCACATTGGTTTGAGATGTCTCTTATTTTCACAGGAAAGGGGCCCCTTTCATGGTCAGTCAGGACTAAGATTGGCCTTGATTCAGCAAGAGGTCTTGAATATATACATGAGCACACTGTTCCACTGTATATCCATCGTGACATTAAATCGGCTAATATATTGATAGATGAGAAGCTTCGTGCAAAGGTAGTCCTCAATTTCTCTTTTTATGAAAGATTGAAGATCCTTGGGTAGGATTCAGGATTCCTGACTCGCAATTCTTTTTAGGTCGCAGATTTTGGATTGACAAAGTTTACCAAGCCTGGTGATGCATCTTTGCAATCAAAGGTTGTCGGAACATTTGGTTATATGTCTCCTGAGTAAGAAACCTTTCTGCTTGGAGTATCATTTTCTATGCAGAAAGAAAAATCTGTAGTACTTTTTAGATATGCTGAAATGCTGGTCGATCTTAAGTCCTAAATTTTTCGTTATTCTGGTTTATGTAATTTGTTTAATCCTTTTGTCTTCTCCTTCTATAAGATTCTCATCACTTGATTCTAAAACGAAATGCTTAAATTGACTTATTTTTTTGTATCCCATGAACGATTTGTGTGTTCAGGATTTTGGCTATCTTTCAATCCTTGTGTATTTCAACATGGGACTAGTACTTCACATAAATAACTGGGATAACTATTCTAAAACACTTATTTCATTCAGATGTCTCATATATTATTTACCTATATTTTTGTGACGGTTGACATAGCTATTTGTTTATACAGTTTTAGAACACTACGTGCTACTGCCAAAATTTGCTGATGTTTTGAGACTGTTATTCTTTGATTCTCCAATGCTTCTTTGATGATGCAGAAAATGATGATACTACGTTGTAATTCTTTAAAAAACCATCAGCAATGGGCCGAACGTTGACTGAAGTGGTTGGTAGCTGTTTTAAGAAATCACCGTCTAGAATACCACGCCACTTTTATGTTTCACTTGCATATGGAAGTCTTACTATTATTCTGCAGCAAAAAAGGAGAAATATTATTTACTATTTTTTATTTGCTGCCAGAAGACAGTATGAGATTGTTGCAATTTCATTGATCTAAGCTATTGCACCTTGTAGTTTGCACCCTGTCCAAACATGAATTGCCATTCAACAAGGGATCTGATCTCTTAGTCTACACACGATATTTTCTAAGGTCTCATTTCTTATTTGTGCAAAAGCACCTGAAAGATTGAGAAAGTGGCTGTTATATATACCCTATTTGCGAGGAGCCATCGAAATTATTACTTTATTCCTCACATGAATGACTCGAAGAATGCACTGAGCGTGGGGAGTCTTAACTGAGAGTACAGTAGTGGGTTTTCTTTCTATCTCCTTAGTCCTGGTATAGAAAAAATCTTTAACTTCCCTTCCAGATATTTGCCAAGAAACTGCATTTTATATGAGTTTCGATTCAGACAACCATTCCATTGTGATGCAACCTCGCTCAAAGTTGTGCAATGATAAGGACACTTTACCTAACTAAATATGGACACAATCCATTGGAAGATGATCTGTAGATTCTGTCTGGCTTCTACACAACATACAAAGTTCTTCCGATTCCCTGTCTGAACTTGCTATAGTGTTTCACACGCTGGTGACGTTTTTTGAGCTACTTCTTACATGAAGTTTTTTATTTCCATATAGATGATCTTCGTCCAGAGTTCCTATCAAAATACTCTTCCGCTCCATCAAAAGAGATTCTGTTAATTAGAAAAAAATCTCCTGTCTTTATTATGCCCCGTTAACTTTTATTCTTTCTCTGTCTGCAGGTATGCACGATATGGTGAAGTCTCTCCAAAAGTAGACGTGTACGCTTTTGGTGTTGTTCTTTACGAACTTATTTCAGCAAAACCAGCGATTGTCAAAACCAGTGAATCTGGCACCGAATCCAGGGGACTAGTTGATCTGGTGATTTCCTCACCCCTTATCCCCGATAACGGCTTCTCCCTGCTGGTCTCAGTCCTTTTAGGTCGATCGGTAAACTAAGAATTCAAGCACTCGGCAGCTTGGATCATTTATCAAATCGTCCTTCGGCATCGCAATAACCTCTCCGAGCTGTTCTTCTTAAACCCATTTCATCTAAAGACTATTTTCCAAACAAATATTAACTTATTTATTTCTGTCTTGGTCTGCAGTTTGAGGTTGTATTTAGTCAGTCCGATAGCTGTTCCTCTTAAACCGATTTCATCTAAATACTATTTTCCAAACAAATATTAACTTTTTTTTTTCTATCTTGGTCTGCAGTTTGAGGTTGTATTTAGTCAGTCCGATAGCTGTTCCTCTTAAACCGATTTCATCTAAATACTATTTTCCAAACAAATATTAACTTTTTTTTTTCTATCTTGGTCTGCAGTTTGAGGTTGTTTTTAGTCAGTTCGATGGCTGTTCTTCTTAAACCCATTTCATCTAAAGACTATTTTCCAAAAAAATATGAACTTATTTGTTTCAATCTGGGTCTGCAGTTTGAGGATGTTTTTAGTCAGCCCGATCCAAAAAGTGATCTGCCCAGGCTAATCGATCCAAGGCTGGGCAGTGATTACTCCCTTGACTCTGTTTACCAGGTGAGCTTTTAAGTCAATCGGGAATCTCTTTCATGTACATTTAATACATTTTCCTCGTCAGCATCAGGACGCCCCCTTGTTTTTCCTTGCCTTCGTCTGTTAGCAGATGGCTCAGTTGGCCAGGATCTGCACGCATGAGGAAGCCCAACGGCGGCCGGACATGCGGGAGGTCGTTGTCGCGCTGATGACGCTATCTTCTTCCACTGGCGGCTGGGACGTCGGTGCCCTCGTCGGGAACCCGGCCCTCCTCAACCTCATGTCCGGAAGGTAGTTCTTACCCTGCACAGCCTCCTGTCGTGAGCGAGTAAACAGAGACTGCGAAGCCCCCCAGCCCCAGGGAAGGGTTCTTGGATTGTTCTTGTTTATTATTTACGGCACACAATAAATTTGTACTGATATCCCATCCGTCACTTCATCAAAAATCTCTGTGGGTCTCTAAGAACAACTCATGTATAATTAATGACACGGAATTGCTGTTTGTTGAGTTGTTGGGCGTTCGCTATAATATTCTGTAAATCTTTCAGTACACGATTCACTGAACCTACAAGGTTTGTGAGTTGGGCATTGGATTAAAATCTCCTCCGGTCTGTCCTCCCACGGGGCGAGAATTGTGCAGCTCGGATCAAGCTGAGCTCAATCTGGGAAAAATCAACACGAGTCTGGGCATTATCGGACCAACACCCAGTCCTGGGGAGCCTCTCCGAACATCTCTGAAGCGAGAATATTGAGAGATAGATTCGACACGTTACAGTCAGCGTGCGGCGCCGCAGGAGAGGGTTCGAATTCGGTAAGACTCTAGATGGGCAAGGCGGGAAAGGAGCGGGCGAAGGAGAGACGGGAGAAGCGGCTTCAGGAGATCTCAGAGCTCAGGAAGATCCCGTATCCTCCGGCCGATCGGTGAGAAATCCAGTGCGTATCTAATATTTTCTCTTATGCCCCTCTCTAGTGACCGGTTCTCTCATCGTTCTTACCTTCTTTCTCGACAGATGGTGGTCCTCGGACACGGTCGCCGCGGTGACTGGGAGTTGCCGGGGAATAGGGTTCGAGATTGCTCGGCAGCTCGCGGTGAACGGGTTGCGCGTTGTCCTCACCTCCAGAGACCCCAGTCGTGGCGTCGAGGCTATGAGCGCGCTGAGAATGGAAGGCCTGGACGCCGATTACTGCCGGTTGGACATCACCGATGATGCCTCTGTGCGGAGCTTTGCCGACTGGATGCTCACCAAACACGGCGGCATCGACGTCCTGGTAGAGGCTCCTGACCATTCTTTGCCGTCTTTGTTCACCCTCTTGACACCAATTCAAAATCAAAACCATAGGACTTTGTCGTGTATGCATATATCTCATTTAGCATATTTTAACATAGTTTTCCTTTTTTTTTTAATTATCTTTCTTGCTGCTTTATGCTCACTCTCTAGCCTCCCTTTGGCAACGGCACGATAAATCAATAGTCTATGGTTAAAATTTGGAGGTCTGGTCTGTTCAAAGGTGAACCGATCAGAATTATTCCGGACTGCAGTCCTATTGAATGCAGGTCTGTCGGTAAATTCATGATATCAGATACTAAAAGAACTTGAATGAGCGTATATGATTTTGAAGTCGTTTTAATTATTCAGTCTCCTATAACTTACCGCGAGCTCTTTGTTTACTTTTAATTTTGTCACAAGGACAAGAAAACATTGAGGCAATGATCTAGGGTCTCGACTAGCTCTCTCAGGATCTCAGCTGGAGGAAATTTCTGAATTAAGGAGGTTAGTTTTGATTAGTGAGGATCACCATGAATAAGGAGGGATATGTTGTGGTCTGAAAATGAAAGTGAAGAAGTATGGGGGGGTTGCAGGATTTCTTTGAAGCCTGAAGCTGAGGCAAATTGTGCGTTGGATTTTCTTTTCTTTCCGTTCCCGTATTCGTTGTGCTAAGCATTAATATATATTAATTCTCTTTTTTTGTCGGGATGATGATCCATTTCTTGTTGAGACCTCTTTAAACCAATGGGAATTGGTGGAATTTCCGGTTGGTTGTCTGCCCAATGCTTTTGTGGGTTTTTTTAAACTTTTCTTCACTTGCTGATCGAGTGAAATAAATCCCTTGGTCTCCTCACGATATGAAATGGTATATAGTTATACCTAATCCGTGGCCTTTATGCTGTATGTGGATGAGTCTCGGTCTGTATAGGATATCCTTTTGCTGTCCTCTATGAACATGGCAGAATCTTTATTATGGAATCCATCCATGATAAATTTTATTTTATTTTGTGTGATCTGTATCCCTTCGTGCTGGCACAAATACTGCTCCGTACTCGAACCCATTTCTATCAGACGTGTACACTCTAACCTGATGCCAACTTGTACTGCGCTCTTTCTTTTTCTAGTAATTTTGGGAGCATAAGTGTCCATAAAACTTGAAACTTTTGTCAATGTTCATTCTAATTCTAGTTATATCACTGACTTTACATCGATTCATTACATGGTTATCATGACCAGACTTATTCTAATTTCGCTAAATCCCAGCCCAAGATCATGGTTTACAGTTCACATTTTGCAGCCAGACTAAGCCCTGTGGTTGTGAATCAGAACCTGGGAAATTTATTTTCTCTACGAATGTTGTTATATGCAGGTTAACAATGCTGGCGTCAACTTTAATAAAGGTTCTGAGAATTCTGTGGAACATGCTGCCGAGGTGATTGAGACAAACTACTTTGGAACAAAGCGGATGATCCAGACAATGATTCCTCTGATGAGACCTTCCACTTTTGGTGCTCGAATATTGAATGTGAGCTCCAGACTGGGGAGAGTTGATGGCAGACGTAACGTAAGCTATTCCTTTTTTTTTTTTTTCCATTTCATAGAAACATTTTTCATGATCTTAGATCACATCATGGATTATGAGATCTTGCCGCATGGTGGTTTATAAGTGGTAGAGCGTGTTAAACGTATCTTTCCCCTTATTTTGGCTAAGTATAATGGCAAATCGCAGTCTCTTGTCTTATTCACTGATTATTAAGTTTTGCAGAGGCTTGGAGACGTGGCTCTGAAAGAGCAGCTTTTGAAAGAAGACTGTATATCGGAAAACCTGATCGACCAAATGGTTGCTGATTTCCTCCAACAAGTCAACGATGGAAGCTGGGTATCAAATGGCTGGCCACAAGTGTTCACTGACTACTCACTGTCGAAGCTTGCGGTGAATGCCTACACGAGACTGATGGCCCGGGCCCTTTCCAACAGGCCCGCGGGCCACAGAATTCACATCAACTGCTACTGTCCTGGCTGGGTGAGGACTTCCATGACTGGCTGGGCTGGAAACATCTCGGCCGAAGAAGGCGCTGACACTGGAGTGTGGGCTGTCCTGTTGTCAGATTCCCCAGATGGGAATTTTTTTGCCGAGAGGCGTGCTTTGACTTACTGAATTGTTCTTAATCACCCAACATCTTTAAGCTCACCCAAAAAGCTGAATCCAGATGCCATCAAAAGAGAAAGGAGGCACCGTCTCGAAGGGAATGAACCCAGAGTCTTGAGCTTTTCATACTCTGTTCTATGAAGGGAATGCCAGTGAGCCTGTCTAGGGCTCGCTAATTTCACAAAGTCCCATTTTTGGAAAAGAGAAACCCCAGAAAATGGACTCTGGGCCGAACCCTAAGGAAACCAAGGGTTGATCTGGCCCACCCAGTTGCATGCTTGGCCCACGGTGGATTCTCCCGGGTTGAGGGGACCCACCTGTAAATGGGCCATTTTCTGAGCAATTATATGGGCTGTAATTATAGGCCCATTTAGGTAAATAATCGAGTAGGTAGGACGACGCCTCGGTCTCGTGGCCCAATAGCACTCACGAAAAAGAGACGGAGAGAAAGAGCCATCGAGTGGGCCAAAATGTATTGGGCCAATTTGGGCCTAATCGATCGTCAACATCTCCACTATCATACTAAACCATAAATTAAGGCCTAATACCTCACCAGACACCCCCGCCTTCAGTGTTCAGTGAATTCCTCAGTAGATATTGAAAACCAATGAGGTTCGGTTGCCACCTCGCTTTCCGCACCTACTAATCGAGACGGGCCACCTTCTGTGAGTAAAAGCTGACGTGTGGGCCCAAAAGGGGCTCGGGCCGTTTATCCTCATGTGAGGAGAATGATCGGACGGTGGAAGAGGTGGGAGAAGCATCCTGATGGGCTATCGGGAAATGTTGGGCCCGATAGCCTCGATCCGAAAAGAAGACAAATAGGTCAAAGAGGTTGACTGGAGACATGCAGACGTAGACGCCTGCAGAATATGCTGAGGGTGGGAAGAGCTTCGCTTTCTTTCCTCCTGCGGGCATTGATGGAAGTTAGTGGGCTCATCGGGGAGGTGACGATGGAGGAGTTGACCTAGTCGGCGCCAGGTTGCCGTCCATTTGAATTGTGGGTCGTTCGGAAGACGACGGAAAGGATTTGGGGGAAATTTTGATTTTTTCCTAGAGTCGGTGTGATGGTTCGAGGGGGGTAATCAATGTGTCGAGTGCGGGGCCAACTGAGAGAAGCAAGCTAGGGGCAACAGCAGGAGTTGTTGTCCCTTCTCCGACTGGATTGTCGTGAATATGCCCTACGGGAGCAGGTGTGGGGTAGTTTTGAGGGTCCCCGGGAGCAGATTCATAGCAAAGATATCTTTTGCTGCTCTGGAGGCTCAAAAGGACAAGGCTTCTGCCGTAATCTGCTGCAGAATATTTGCGCGGGATGTAGCTTTTTTGCTTCCTGCAATGTCGTTATATATGATGTCTAATTTTGGTCCCCAACTATTGTACGAGGCAGGAGTTTTCAGAGATCCTATTGTGGCCATTGCCTTAGGGAGGATTTCAGGTATACCGGAATAAACCCATTTTGATTTTCCTCCTCGATTTATGGTCTAGACATACAACGGGAATCTAGATTTATCTGTCAGTTGCCTACTGAGAACTACGGTAACGCAACGATTGCAAGGGAGAGAATGCGACGAGGATTCATCTGAATTCCCGGGCCATCTTCGTTATCTAGGCTGGGATAGATGTCTCCACAGAATCATTCGGCATGTAATCAACTCAGCAAACGTTACCACTGATCCTGAATAAAATAGAATGTATATGTAGAAATTTATGCGCGGTGCCTTATCTCCTGATGATCTTTTTTTAATCTTCTGATATTTATATTTCAAGTCGACTCACATATTTTTCGTTCACCGATGGCGAAGGAGTCTCCTGTAGTTCAACTTATCTACGTTCGCTTCTGATTTTATTTTATTTTAAATGAAAACGCATTTGTTTCCAGGTTAAGTCTCTCAGAAAAATAATCATCAACTCCCATCCAAAATTTTCTTATCAATTATGATGTATGTGCTCATCTTATTAAAGAACTCAAGCTTATGAGATCATGGGGTTCTCCTCCCCTCTATTTTCTCTCCTTCATGCCTTCTTTTCCCGTAAAGACTGTTACTGTTATGTTTTAGGTCCAATGATTCAAAATATATACTCAATCAGCGCTACACTGGATTGAATTGGAAACTCTGCCAGATGTCAACAGTTCTCCCAGCTGTCTTAGGCGGCGTTGCAGGAGCTGTGGCATTGCTTATGCTTCTGGTGATCTTAATACATTTCTGGATGCTGCGTAGGAGCGTCCCAAGAACTGCAGAAAGCAGCTCCTCTGACCCTTCTCCTCAAGGTGGTGCTCCTGTTCAGGAAGCCATAGTATGTCTGAGGGTTTATGTCTCCAGTCCAGTTGAGTCTAACCCCCAGTTATTGAAATTTACAGGTTCTCGGAGTGTTGAGTTGCCTCTGACGGTTGGCATCTCTTACCCATCTGATCTTCAAGGGGCAAGATGCTTCTCTCTGGAGGACTTGAACAAGGCCACTAAGAACTTCAGTGAGAACAATTTGGTCGGAGAAGGAAATTTTGGAGAAGTATACAAGGGCCTGATTCTCGATATGATAGTGGCTGTTAAAAGGCGCTCTGCTTCCCCAAGTCAGGAATTTGTTCAAAAGGTATTTGGAACTCCCACTATGGAACCAGTGGGATTTTCTAGCTTCGTTGGCCCCCCAGAATTTTCTTTTTATCTTCCTGGTTCTAGCCTCTCTTAATTATAGTCATGGATAGTATAATCACATGTTGACATACGTTCATTTCACGCGTTGACTCCTGAAACTTGTACACTCTTCCGTGTTTATCTTCCAGGTGCAAAAGCTTTCTTCAATTAGGCATCGGAATATTGTAAGCCTGCTGGGTTACTGCCAGGAAAGCAACCTTCAGATGCTTATCTATGAATATATACCCAATGGCAGCATTTCATCCCACTTATTTGGTAATTCCTTTTACTTTCCTCTCATTGATTGCATTCTCCATGTGATTTCCTTGTCTGAGCGCAAGAAAATCTCTAATCTTCGTTGTAGGTACCTCCAACACGAGACTAGAATTCAAGCATAGGCTTTCTATTGCTTGTCGAGCAGCTAAAGGTGATCGTCTGCCAAATCAGTGAGCATGGGTAGTTTTCATGGTATTGGTTTCCCCTGAGATGCAGCGATGAACATAACAGGCCTAGATTTTCCATGCCGAATTGCAGTTATTCGTTTGAAATTTTTATGAGACCATAACATTGAGTGATATTAAGGTTTTTTCGTAGGTTATCAAAGCAATATTGCCGGTTTCTCACTCTTTCCCCTTCGGTCAGGTTTGGCTTACCTGCATTCGCTCAATCCACCTGTAGTACACATGGATTTCAAGACAGCAAATGTCCTGGTGGACGAAAACTATATACCCAAGGTTGCAGATGTAGGCTTACAAAATTTTCTCAGAAGAAATGATGGTGCGGGCCCGTCTCAGACAAAGGCGGAAAATCTTTTCTTGGATCCAGGGTAGTTTTTTCTTGCCATTTTGAAGCTCATATATCTGATTATTGTACCCAAAACGGAAAAAAAAATGTATTTTGGTTAAATAATTCCGTCTTCGTCAATGTTTCTGGACAGGGTCTGCGAGTCCAGATCATTTACTGACAAAAGTGACGTCTACAGCTTCGGAGTTTTCCTTCTGGAGCTAGTGAGTGGGACGGAAGCTTCACAACTTCAGTTCACCGGATCCAATCAAGGCATTACTGAATGGGTACTTGATATTCTTTGTGCCCTCATCATCTTATTTAATTTATCTCTTCAAGAGTTTTCCATTCAGATTATCGATATAATTTTCTCATCTTCATCACAAATAATCCTTTATTAGAACAGTTCCTCTTTTTTTCTTTTCTTTTTTTGATACTGCAGTAAAGCCGAGGAAAAACCTAATCATGAATTCTCTCCTGAAGGCGCAAGACTACGATGATTCCAGCGACATATCCGCCCTCATCGATCGTAGGATGGCGAGATCTTTCACCGATAAAGGGTTGAGAGACTTGCTGCGGCTGGCGGTCTGGTGCTTGAACCCTTCCGCCGGCGGGCGCCCCCCGATGAGCTTCGTGGGGTCAGAACTTGATAGAATCCTCGATAAAGAGATGAGCTTGACGACGATCATGGGGGAGGGCACCCCAACGTTGACCCTCGGAAGCGAGCTCTTCATGTCCTAGACAGCGAACAACGGCCTGTTATTCGTGTTCATCGTCCGTTGAGCAGATTCTTATTGCCGTAACCAGCCGTTAGGTAAGTGTAAAGAAAGCGGCTGTGAAATAAATGAATAAATATTATTATTATTTCATTGGAACGAAATCGGAGCGGGCTCCAAATGGGCCATGAAGAAAGATGGTGGATATGGGCCGGATAGGAGTGGCCTGGTTTTCCCGGGGAGTTGCAACGGTCGAAGTTTCCGGATTCCCCTGGCGCCTCTTCTTCCTCTGTAGACCGAGCTCTTGAAAATGGAAGCCCCGCAGGTTCGGGCTACCAGAGTTAGAATGGTGAATTCTCCAGGAACTAGTTGGATTGTGTTGCATCTGGCTCGGTAGAGCGAGAAAGAGAGGGATCAATCTCAAGATGTTGTTCGAGGAGCCGATCTCCCGCCAGCGCCGCCGCGCTTTTATTACTCCCTCCAGGAGCGCGCCTAGTTTCTCCACGTTCTACAGGAGCGCCAGCTCCGGCAGTGGCTGGTCCTCACCTGCTTCCTCTTTGTCTTCTTTCTCCTCCGCCTCCGAGGAACCTGCTTCTCGTGGAAGCTCCCCTCCCAAGTTCTCCCACAATGCCAGAGTCGCCGTTGTCCTCGTTCCCGCTGCTGCTGTCCTCCTCGGCCTCGGCGGGACTCCGGTCATAACTGTGCTAATGGTTGGCCTTATGGTTGCTTATGTCCTTTACTCCATCCAGATGAAGCCGGCCGCCTTCTCCGCGGTCTGGTTGTCATTGCTTGTAGCGCAGATTGCTTTCTACTTCTCATCCTCCCTATCGTTTCCGTCTCCGCCGCTCACATCGCTTGTTCTGCTCTTATGCGTTGAGACCAATTTTCTTATTGGCGTCTGGGTCTCACTCCAGTTTTGCTGGATCCAGATCGAGAACCTCTCGACTGTTATCGCTTTTGAGCGTCTCCTCTTCGCATGCCTGCCTGTCACTGCCCCGGCTATCTTCTGTTGGACTGTTGTATCTGTCATCGGCATGACAAATGCGGCCTTCTACCACATGGTGTTCTCATGCATCTTCTACTGGCTCTTCTCTCTCCCAAGGCCATCCTCCTTCAAGTCGAAGCATGAAGCCGAGAATCAGATAATTGGTTCCCTCGAGAGTTGTCTACATGCGCTTCACCTTCTTTTTGGGCCTCTCTTCTTCCACATTTCCTCCCACCATTCCTCCATCTTTTTTTCTTTCTCGTCTATCTGCGAACCGTTGCTTCTCTTCTTCATTCCTTTCTTGTTCCTGCTCTATGCCTCTACAAGCCAGGCACTATGGTGGGCCACACAGAACGCCGACTTCTTGCATAGGCTCCGCGTTGTGAATGGTGCAGGTGGAATGGTGGTGGTTATGATTTGTCTCGGATTCAGGGTTTTTTTCCATTCACATGAAAGGTTCGTGCATGTGCCTCCACCTCTAAACTGTTTCCTTGTCACGATGGTCATGGTTGGAGGAGCATCGGCGGGAGGAGCTTACGCTCTTGGTTTGACCAAGAATCCAGTGGGTTCCGCAGCATTTACAGCGTTGATGGTTCTAGTCAATGCGGCCGGTGCTATTATCATGGGATTTCCCGTTCTGGTTGGTGGAAACCTTTTCCAAGACAGTAATATCTGAATTATTTTAAAATGCTGTTGATTTCGAAATGATCAGGATTCGATTATTTTCATTCGGTAATAGTAAGAAATGTTGGAAAATAGCCTGAGAATTTTTTTCATGGGGTAACGATACTGTTGCAGCCAGACATAGTTCAACTGTGTGATAAAAAAATATTCCTAGTAAGAATTATTTCCATGTCTTAATTGTGAAGACATTATGTTTTAAGCAGTCAGACATAGTTCAACCGGAGTATGATAAAATATTCCTGATATACCCTTTCCACTATGCGAGAAAGAAATGTTTATTGTTTCAGAGAGGAGAGACTTTTTATTAGACCATAATACATGTCATTTACTCAAAAAATGTATTGACTTATGGTTTTAACGTTATATTTTTAAATAAAATTTAAATCTGCTCCTTTCAGTATAATAGGAGCAATATTCCATTGTCACTCATAAGAATCATATAGAATAATATTTAGAAAGCTTGATTTTATTTATATTTTATTTTTAAGATGCTCTAATGTTAGTTTCTGTATATTTTAGAGTAAAAACAACTCTAGATGCTGCTTATTTTACTTATATTCTAATTAATGTTCACAGTTACTTATTATTCCGGGTATAAATATTATAGTAGCAGCTGAAATAAACGTTTTGTTTTTTCGAAACATTATTCTTAAATATTTATTTTGGGAAATGAAGTTGATGTGTTGAACACAGGCCATGTTTTATATTTACTGAACTGATTCCTTGACGTAGATTTTCATTTCTCCAGCACACATTTGGAAACGGTTGAATTAATATCTTGTACTTGGGAAATAAGAGTTCAGCATTGTCAGAAGAGATCTTAGTTGTCATTTGACTGCTTTTGAACAGTCATGTATTTTCATTTTCTGTCCTCATGATAAAAGGGTTTTATTTTCGTTGAAGATTGAAGATTGAAGAAGGTTGCATACATCAGTCAACGTACATGTTAGTTTTTTCTCCCCTTTAGCATCACACGGAAGTCAAGACATGGTCTCTTGGGAAATATCGTATTGAAAATATCTTTTTATTCGTGTAATCGAATACAAACTATTACCCTTGTAGAGAATTTATACTGATGTAATTTCTGGTTTTTTGCTAATATGAGGGCAATGATGGATATTCTCTTGATAAAAAGAATTATATAATGTTTTAAGAATAACAAATGCGACTTTTTTATGAAACTTCACTATTGGCATGGGAGTTCATCTGATTTAGAGTTGTATTTGTCATTTTTTGCAGTTAATTCCTCTTCCCCTGATTTCTTGTTACTATTTGGCTCGATTTTTCACCAACAAAAGCTTGGGATCATATTTTGCGTTTGCAACATTAACGACTCTCATGACTACGTGGTTTTTCGTTGACACCTATTGGGACCTGGAAGTTTGGATCGCTAGTGTGCCATTGAAATTCTACTGTCAGCTGACTATTGCAAGTGTTTTCTTGGCAATGATTATTCCGGGTCTGGCGTTTATTTCACCAAAACTGCAGCTACTGACTGAATTTTGTCTTATCAGCCATGCACTATTGCTCTGCTACATAGAAGATCGGTTTCTCAATTATACAGATGTATATTGGTTGGAACTTTTTGATGATATGATTTACCCCTACTACATGGTTATAACCACAACGTTATTGGGTCTAGCCTTGTTGTGGAAATTGATTGTGAGCTACCGGGTTGGACGGAAGGCCATTTGGATCTTGATGTCACTGTATTCTGCGAAGCTCCTGATGATTCTTATTACTTCAAAATCTATCATATGGGAATCAGCAGTTCTGTTTCTGGCTGTTTCTCCTCCGTGGCTTCTTTACAAGTATGAGCTACACCTTGTTACCGTTGACAAACACTATCTTGTTGAGCAAGTTTGCCTATCCTTCCCATAAGAATGCATGCCTACGGACATAATGAATTACAAAATGTGGCTACTATGAACCGAGACATGATTCCAGCTTATAGTTACCGTTCAAAATTTCAAAAGATTCTCCCTCCTGTCTGAAGAGTTGATTGTTAATGGAAGATATCATGAGGAATGTGCCTTTTCTTTCCTTTGAAAAGTTCTCACTTCCATGTTTCTCGTAGAATATTGGCTATATAATTTTCTAATTGACTGATAAGGTAGCATAATTTAGTCACTTCTTGACGAGGTATCATTGTATCTCCATTATTAATATTCGCAACAAGTGATATGAAATCGAGATTTCCATAATCCTTGACTCCCAATCTCTCGTTGGCTGGCCTTCTGTAGAGACAGAACAAAGGCATCTTCAAGAATGAGGTCCTGGCAAGGGTTTTTTCATGTTGCTGTTGTAACTTTTTCTGTGTGGCTCTTTCGAGAAACAATATTTGAAGTTCTCCAGTGCTGGAATGGAAGACCCCCTTCAGATGGTCTAATGGCGGGATCTTATATACTCCTGACGGGTCTTTCTTGCGTGCCAATTGTTGCCCTTCACTTTCCCGATGTTGAGGTACTGGTCTTATCTTTCTATTCAGCAGCCATAGGTGATCATGCTTAATACACTGTCAGGTGTTTGGTGCCATCTTTAATAATGTTCCAAGTAATGTTTGTGAACTTCATAAACTTTTGATGATGCCAAGTCGCATGTGACTTAGTTTCAAATAGTTACTTTTCTTGTTCCCTTGTGTGGGCACAAGGAGTTTTCAAATATTTATTGAAATTGACCCCTAAGATAAAGTTTGACTCCCCACGGAATGGTAGCAGTTGTGTGGACATGAACTACCAAACCAGGCGACGCCTTTAGGATTCATAGGCTCACAGCATGCCTGCTTTCTCATCATCATGAGCCTTGTGCAATTCGATTACCCGAAAAATGGCTTTAATTATTTATGTTTAACTCAGTGAACTCAACATTTTCATGTGCTTTAATTGTAAGTTGTGTGTTTTCTTATCGTCATTGCATCTTTTTTTTCACCGTCTTTGTTAATATACACAAAATGAGCTATAAATACGATGATGATGACCAATGATCCGAGTGAGATCTGATTCACTTGTGGCCGGTTCGTCCGTCATCCCAAATCGGCCCGATCTCAGTAAAGTCTGCGTCATTTTTCCTCTTTCCAGTGGTGTGTCATCTATTTTTCTTTTCTGCATATCCTCACCCTTTTTGCTCCAGTAAAATAATCAAATTATGCTAAAAGTTCATCTGATTCACGTGCTTCATGCCACGGGCAGTCTGCGAAAAGATTTCTGGTGCTGGTGATCGCAACTGCTCTGCTATTCATCCTCACGGAGCCTTCTTTTCCCCCGCCACTAGCTCATCAGTCAGACTTGATTAAGGAAGCTCATCAATATTCCGACGACATGTTACTGTATGGGCCCATCGAATCGAAGCCGACATGGCCAGCATGCCTGCTTATTGCGACAACAGTGCTTCTCTTGGCAGCGGCGACATCCGCCATACCCATCAGACATACCATCAAGTTCAGAGCCCCTTATGCAGTCGCAGTAGGCACAACGCTGGGTATCTACATCTGTGCAGAACACTTCCCGAAATCTCAATTTTTGCACCCTTTTATAATAACTTCCGTCACCTGCGGTTCTATCTTCCTGGTCTTCACTCACCTCCCTTCGGCTTCAAGCCCCAGGCTCTTGCCCTGGGTATTCGCTCTACTGGTGGCGCTCCACCCAGTGTCTTATCTCTTAGAAGGCCAGCTAAACACGGCAAGCGTTACAACGAGCGAGGGAGCAAGGGAGACACTTATGGGTCTTCACGCCACGCTGTTCATGCTCATTGCCCTGCAAATTAAGCTCCGATTGGCTTCAAACGCTGGCGAGAAAGCTGCCGAGAGGAGCACTTCACAGGCTGTTTCCAAATCAGGCCGCTCTAGCCTCCCCGCCAAGCTCAGGTTCGCGAACCAACGGAGGGCTTCCGTCTCAATCAAGGCGTTAACATCTGAGGCGGGGTGGACACCCGCAGTGGGGAATATATCGACGGTGCTGTGCTTCGTCGTCAGTCTGACGCTGAACATGAAGCTCACGGGGGGATCCGCCCGCTCCATATTTCTCCTCGCCCCGATTCTGTTGCTGCTCAACCAGGACTCGGGTATCTTTACTGGCCTGGGGGACAAGCGGAGATATTTCCCGGTGGCGGCTGTCATATCCGGCTACCTGTTCTTGGCCGCCGTTTGCCGCATATGGAAGGAGCTGTCGGAGGGGGATATTGGAGGCCCCGGCTGGGTTTTTGCGGTGAAAAATGGTGGCCTTCTGACGTTGGTCTCGCCCAACCACGTTAGCCTCATCCGCTTCATGTGGGACTACGCGAAGCAGACGGACACACAGCTGCTGCTGCTGACGGTGCCTCTCAGCTTGCTGTCGGTTATTGCGGCCGATGTCATTCCGATTAGGGTCCTTGGGTTGCTGGCCGTCGCTTATTCTTTGGTGCAGTTCTTCGTATCGACCCGTATAAGAATCGCGGGAATGAAGTACATCTGAAACCACTTGGAGGATGACCGTATTGGTACTTTTTTTTTGCCCTTTTCCTTTTAGGGTTTGAAAACCAACCCGTTTCTCTTCATGTCAGCAATCCCCGATATCCTCAGGAACTGCGGGGCTTTCGTGATCTTCACCTTCTACAGATTATATGCCGAAGAGGAAACGGGATCACATCTGTCGAAATCAACTTTCCATTAAGATCATATGCTGGTCTGGACCTTCTTCACGTAGATCCTCGTTAACAGGGCTCGTCCCTAGACACGTTCTGCTCGTGTTGCACACGATGACAGAACCGTATCCCAAGATAGGCTGTTCAACTTAAGTATTCACTCTTCGGAATTCCTTCAGGCTGTGACGTCAGGGAGTTGACCTAGGGAGGTAGATGCGGTGAATGTTCTGGATAGAAAGCTTCACTCGGCAGGCGGGGCACTTCCTTTGGAGGAGTATGGCGTCAGTGATGCACGGCTTGCAGAAGATGTGGCCGCAAACAGTTGACGTCTCCTCCCTCATGATTCCCATGCAAATGTTGCACCTCAGCTTCACCTCTTTCGTCACGCGTGGGCCCGCTTGCCCACATTTTCTCTGTCATATTCATCAGAGATTGGAGTCAAAATGCACGAACGAAACTACAATGCACCCACTAAATCGCTGTGGGGGAAAATACAACACTCATCGCAACTTAACTGTGTGCAATTAAGTTAGCCAATATTAAAAAAAGAAAAGGAGAATCTGGGCAAAGGGCATCAATATAGTAGGCCCTAAGAGCCCAGAAAAGGCGGAGAATTAGGTCCGCTGGCAAGTCCATATAACTAGCATCCGATCACGGAGTGGCCCATTCAGTGGAGAATGCAGACATATCCCTAGGAACAGGATTTCCTTTTTTGGGTAAGAAATTCATCAACGTATGATGCATGCATGCATGCATGCATGCTGTAGGATTGATACAGTAAGCAGAGACATCCCTTATCCAAGTAACTAGAATGTAGAATTCTGCACTCTGTAGTGAGTTTGAATTGATTGTTGCAGAGAGACATCAGTCATATTTTCAAGTTACTCACATGCACCAGAGATAGGCACTTATATCGGATTTGGGGCACAATGAAAGCTCTTCAAGTGTTTAATACAAACTATATCAGTATTTTTTACCCCAATCACTCATCTGATGCCAACATGTAAAACGTCTGCATAGGGAAACTGCTTTCTGCAAGATTTCTAGAGAAGAGAGGATGAGCAAAGAGGTTCTTCATTCTCCCCTATGCATTTACCGAGGATGACCCACTCTCAGTAGATTAGAAAAATACCTTGTGATATTTCTTAGTATGCTGATCTTGAACTCCATCTTCAGCTACTTGTTCCTCTTCACTCGGACTCCCAGTGCGCCGAATAGTGCTGCCACACAGTAAACAATAAGAAACCTGTGATTCCCACGGTAACTGAGGTTTCAAGGGCTAAACTTGGAATTTCACATTGATTTTTTTACTCAGGAGCAAGAACAAGAGAGATCTTGGGGGGAAATGGGATACTGTATTCCAGCCGGATCTGACCTGCACTATCCTATCTCAGAGAAGCTCTATGAACAAATCAAATCGTCCACGGATATATCTAACAAAACACTTAACTGTGTGCAATGACCGTTGAATTTCCAAGCGTGCCTGAAAATAACTACCTTCTCTCGGTCAAGATCCATTTTACCATTTTCTGTATACATGTGAAGATAATTTTCTCAGAGCTCTGAAAGAAGATGCGTGCTCTCCATACTCTAATTAGGCATTACATCTTAACCACATCTGGGCCAATTCAATCAACCGGATAATAAATTTGACCCTGGAGTTGCTCTCAGTCTTGATGCAAATATAAAAGGATCAAGAAACTTCGAAATAACCTCATAAGGAGCAACGAAGTAGTTATCACATACAGATTGTCCTATGCAGAACTTTTTAACAGGAAAAAACTCATGGATTCTCTGGTTCTGAGCTCATCCCCGCTAACCAATGGCTTTTTCAAGCTATCCTACATACCTAAACCAATGAAAACCTTCCTCTGAGAGCGTGGTGCCCGATGAGGGAAAAATATCATTCAGGATAAATTTTAATAAACGACCATCCGTAAATTAGTGATGTGATTTAAAAAAGGCAAAGGTTTTGAAATAAAAACTTTGAAGGACCACCATTTAAGAGCCAAAAATGCCTAGATAGCATAAACTTAACAAATAAATAGACAACAGTACACGACCAACGTCATTCTCAAAATAGACAAATGGCGAGGCCCTTTGAACGACATGAAAATATTCCAGTTGTATACAGAAGAAATACATATTTTATGCAGCATACCACAAGGATGAGATGGCAACACCCAAAGAGTAGAAAACCGGAAATATATGAAGAAATATATTACCTCCTAGTCCGAGGCGCAATTCTAAATCTTCTTCTCTAAGCACAGGTACCCAAGAACTTGAGCGAGGAAAGAACCCAATTGTCTGCAAAAAAAAATCAGTCGATAAGTGACTTGGAATTCAAAAGGAACAAATCTTAAAGAAAGGCAAAAAAATGACCAGAAAAGGATACTCTGTGGGGCGTACAAACCTCTCTAGAATCTTGTGGAGAGTACATCTCCACGTCACTATCTTCGTCGATTGTAATCAAACCAGGACGGTCCCTAACGTAATTGTTAGCCAGAGTCCCTCCCTTTAATGAGAAAGTGGGTGCCGGTGCTAGTCTCAGCTCGAGATCTTCAGCTAACTCCCGATTGGGTATTGATCTGAGAACTTATCTGCCTTAAGAGACAAACTCCAGATTACCTGAATATCATTGGGAATACGAAAATTAAAAGATTCGAACAAAATTACAAAAACTGAGTGCAAACGGATCCTTCCGCCTGAAATTGAAAATTTTATATCGATCCCACCATCGGATAAATAATAGATGAGAAATAACGAGGACCGATGGGTTTCAATAATACAAAGAAAAATAAAGATAGCACATAATCATTCAAAGAAGATAGCACTGAAAAATGAAAGGTCACTTTATTTCAGATATTGTTCATACAAAAAAATGAAAAATCTAAGACCAAGTGAACTATAGCGAACACCTTGGCAGAAACTCCCCGAGGGACAAAACATGACAGGAGTCTGAACTCGGCTCATCCCCCAGTCAGGGAGATGGACACGCAGATGCGAGAAAACTTCCTCGGAGCACGCAGAAAGAGCGTAACGAGCGATAAACCCCTCGGTACGACGGTCGGCAAACCCAGAGAGCGAGGAAGAGGAAAGAGAAATCTGCGGAAAGAAGGCGAGAGGAGATTCTTCCTGCGAGACGGATTGGAGAGCGGGGGAAAGGGACGAACGCACGTAATAATGGGCTTGGACCATTGTATATCCATTAATACGGACCAATATCATTACTATTTGAACGCAAATGGGCCCAATGGGCTGATACCACGGACCAACATTTTAGTCAAATATTTTTCCGCATTATTATAAAAAATACGCTTAAACCAACATTGTACCACGACCTGTTATCCAGGTTTTCGTATTGTACAATAAGAGAGAGGGACGTTGAAACTTTAGATTTGTAATGGCAATCGAAAGGTCAGGGGTGCTGACCCATGGCGGTTCTCTGGCCACACAGACCCAGGTGATCGGAAGTGCGGCGGTTCCTAACTATTTTGCCTTTTTCGGGAGTGACCATCAGGCCGGCAAGACGACGCGGTATGCTTTTGCCGTCTGTCTCTCTCTCCATGGCGACCATGAGGCGTGCGTTGCTGCTACTCCGGCAGAATGGGTTCCTCGGGGCTCCGATGCTCTCACGATCACGGCACAGGTGAGGGATCGGCTTCACCTCTTGTTCTTCCGCGCTGATCCATCTGATTTTGTTCGATTAACTTGGAATCACTGCTCTAACTTTTCTTTTTCAACATTTCGCCAGTAACTTCTTGGGATCAGTTTCTCTCTTCTCCTCAGAACATGAATCCGACACCGTGGACCTTTCCAACGAAGAGAGCAAGCGTCGCGTTTTCAATAGGTATCGTCTGGGAAACCATTTTTTGCCCTTTGTTCTGGAGGATCGGCGAGTCGAACATTCTTTATTCATGTCATTTGGTTTTCTAGGTTGCTGTATAGAAGCAGGCAACGTGGATTTCTTGAGTTGGACCTCGTCTTGGGGAATTGGGTGGAGGAGAACATTCGTTCGATGGATGAACAGCGGATTAAAGCCCTCGTGGAAGTTCTGAACCTGGTATTTACCATCGAATTCATCAAATTTTCATTTATTTAATGGCCTAGTGATTTTCATTGTTCTTAATGATTATATCAAATATTTTTGCAAGCATCACAGTGCCATTCGTTGGTTTTCTAATGACCGAAAGCATGTGGATTCACAATCATACCCGTTAACTCAAATGCCCTCCTCGTCTAGAGATAAACTCACATTGAAAATTTGCGTCATCTCATGCAAGTTTTTTTACGATATTTTTATTAGCTCGTCAAATATTATTCAAATCTAAAAAGTATGATTGATTTAATTCTCACATTCATCTAAAATGTGTTTCCTGATAGAGTCATACTCATTAATGTCTGGTTTGCTCTATCTCTTTTCTTGTCAAACTTCTATTTACCTCATTGCGTGTTACCGAGCTTTCTGCTTCACTATAAAGTTTTGTCTATGAAGGTCATCTGCACATGACATCCCGATCGAATAGATGTTATTAATGATCAAATGGCCTATACTGAACTATAGATGATACTGTACGAAGAAAAATGGCGGATTTGCGCGATACTTCCTAGCCTTACACTTAACTCATTGGTTAGAAGAGAGTCCATGATCTCTTGTCCGTATAGACGAACAATTTCATGGCTAATAAGGACCAAACTACGCTGAACCAAGTTTATTAGGCTTGGAGGACGACTGTTCTAGTCTTGTGGTTGGAACGCTGTTGAATATAGTTTTCTGTCCTTCGTAAGGTGTGGATTTGTGAAATTGAAAGATGGGTGCTGTAAGACAAAATGAAAGATGGCTCTTCCATTGTATCACCTTCTTGTCATAAGGGATGGTTGAAAGGTCCTTTTATTCGTTACAAATTTTGTCACTAATCTTCCCAATGTGAATACCTGGTAAGTTGATGGCATTTAATTGACTTATAGCTGCTCAAGCAATCTGAGGCTCCAACACAGCACAATAATTAAAATATTTAATTCATTATTTTGCAACACACACATGTGTGTATGTACGTATGTATGTATGTATGTATGCATGTATCCATGTATACGTCTCCCAAACTGCTCACTTCATTTCTTTTCTTCTAACCTATTTGCTGTTGCCATCATTCATCAATAGATGCCTGATGAATCCAAGGAGCAGCCACAAAGTTGCTTGCAAATTTTAATAAGCGGTCGTAAACTGGAACGAATTTTTGCCAAAGTTGTGGATTATTTTGGACCTTCCTCAGTGCTTGAATCTCATTAATTTGCAACAACTTACTGGGTTTTATTATTTTAATATCAAAAATCTCACTATTTCCTCAATCCAATAACTCATTAATCTCAACCAAACACTTTTGATTATGAACTGACTGCCTTTTGAGAGTTTTAGATTCTCTGTATTTGTTACTTCGACTCCAACATTTGAAATCTGTTGTTCCCAGTCAGCCTTTAAAAAATATTTTTGATCGTCAGGAAAACCCAGACTTGTGGAAGTGGCTCACGGGGCAGGAGCAACCTCCAGAGGCAGTCAACAGGAATCCGGTGAGTATAAAGTTAACGCGCAAGCACATACTCTTCGCCGTTCGTTTGCAACTAGAAATCCGTTCCTCACCCACTGTTGGCCCATCGAACAGGTATTTAATGCCGTGCATGCCAAGGTGATGAGCAATTTGGACAGCCACGCTTCGGCCTCAACCAGGGCTGCTCCGGGTCAGCCATGGGTCAGAGGTTGGGACGATAAGAGGGGACTGGACGGCCCAAAATATGGAAACCAGTGATCTAATCTCGAATGAAGCCATGAAATCGAATCGAACTCGATGTTCTTTCTATTTTATTATCGCCTAGCAATTAATAAACTACTAGACCTTTCTCTGGTGGAAATCTGTTCTATAAAATAATGCATCCTTTTCCTTGGGAGTCGCTGATCTTCTGTATGAAATAATCATTATGTGATTTGACCACGCCATTACAGCGAATCTTTAGTCTCCTTGGACGCGATTCCCGGGTAATTGGAACATCCCAATCGGTGGTCCCCGGTCTGATCGGGGGGAAGAGCCCAGATCTTCGCCATTAATGTCTCCATCGTGATCACCACTGATGCCACCACACATATCAACGGAGTTCGGAAGCAAAGGGGGGGGAAGAAATCAAATGAAATCAATACAGCCTCCGCCACCCGCAGCTGTCGTCCTCCGCCGACTTGTAAAGAAAATTCCGCTGGAAGTCCTCGTTGGTGAATTCGTTTGTGTTTATATCCGCACATAGGATTAAGTTGAGTTGTATAAATGTACTTAAAAATCAGACTGTGGGGCCTCCTCTTCCGGGCTCTGCGGGTTGGCCCATGTGATGGCCCTTCCCCGTCGGCAGGGATCCAGCGATAGACGATCCATTGGCCCATAAAATATCAGGAACCGGCAGCGCAAGATCTCCGAGAAAACAGGGTTTTACTTGTTTTGCATATTAGCCCTATCCTAGTTATGATTTGTGTAAATCATACTTAAAATGGTTCGGAGTGTAATTGTTCGCTTTAGAAGTCTTATATGTGCAATAATGTTTGCCGTTTCCAACAGGTGAGTATTGAACCGAATTTAAAACTCGTCGCATGTGACTGCCACGACCCCCCGGTGACCCCGACCTCTTAAAGGTTTTTATTTTAAAGTTGATAATTATTTAATGGAAACATCCATTTACTGCTCATTAATAAATTCGGAAATCAGCAACGGATTCGTTCATTTAAAAGTCTGAAAATTTCGTTCTCCCTGTCCAATCATGTCTCCCTCATTTCTTCTCCCCAAGTCTGATTTCTGATGCCCAGCTCCCTCAGAATTCCCCGTCCCTGAAGTCGGCGACGCCCGTCCGTGGAAGAAGGGTGGGAATACGCCATGACCCTCGCTCGATGAGTCTAAAGGGCTGAATGTGGCTAGGAATTTTGATCGTTTCTTCAGGCTGCTGATCAGAGCACCGGGGGACCATCACCGGTGCTCTGGTCGTTCTTCAGGCTGCTGCCGGTGATCGTCACTCTGAGACGGAACCCGACGCCGCCGTCGACGGATCTCCCAGGCGGCAATGTCGGTCCTCATCGTCCTCTTTCTCTGTTTGGTGTCGTCTCTCCGCACCGCCGGAGCTTCGGATCCAGTGGCGGGGGACAGGGAGGCTCTCCTCGGCCTCAAGCGTTCCCTCGAGTATGATCCTCTCCACCTGCTCTCCGGTTGGAACCTGGCAAGTGGGAGTCATTGCGAATGGTACGGCATCACCTGTGACCTGATTTCCGGCAGGGTGACGGCACTGAACCTCACCGGTGCACTGGTTGGGAGACTTACGGTCTCCATTGGGAACTTGACAGAGCTCAGGGTGCTCTCGCTCTGTGGCAATGAATTTTACGGGGATTTACCTGCGGAGGCTTTGGCGAGGCTCCGATTAATGGAAGTCCTCGAACTGCAGCAGAATAATTTTTCTGGGGTGATTCCCGCGCAGATGGGCGTTCTTGCTTCGCTGCGTATTCTCAATGTTTCCTATAATTCGTTCTCCGGCACAGTACCAGATAATCTGATCGGACGCTCGACACTTGAAGCTGTCGATCTATCGCACAACCATCTCGCAGGGAAGATTCCGATAAGTCCGGTGGATGCTTGCAGCTCTCTCAGTGTCTTGAAACTTTCGAACAATTTTTTCGTAGGTGAGATCCCGCGGGAAATAAGTAATTGTCGCAATCTCCGCTCGTTGCTGCTGGATGGTAACATTCTAGAGGGTCGCATACCCGCTGAAATTGGTCGGTTACGTCAGCTTCGATTTCTCGATGTCTCCCGGAACAGTCTGACGGATACGATCCCCCCTGAACTTGGAAACTGCACCAAGCTCTCTGTTCTGATACTGACGAATCCCGATGATAGCACAGCTCCTGTTTCCGAGTTCAACGCCTTCGTGGGATCAATTCCGTCTGAGGTACTCCTCCTTCCAAGCCTCGCTTTTCTTTGGGCTCCAAGGGCGAATGTCGGCGGGCATCTACCGAAGAGTTGGAATAACTCATGTGGGTTGAGGACTCTCAATCTGGGCCGGAACTACTTGGCTGGGGCGATACCCGAGCAGTTGGGAATGTGCAGAAACCTTTCATTCTTGGACTTGAGTTCCAATGGATTTGAGGGCTCTTTCCCTGTGCAGATACAAGACAATTTCTTGGCTTATTTGAATATTAGTCATAATTCATTGGATGGATTGCTACCTGGAAATAGAAACCCTAGTCGGTCCATGAGCAGGAATTATAAGGATGAAGATGCCGGCTTATCTTTTGAGGAAAATCTCGAGAATCTCTACGCAAGGAGATTTATACGTAGTGCTCTTGTGAGAAACCCATTTGGTCCAATCTCCGATCACGATCCTGTTGTACACGATTACAGTTTTAACAGGTTCAGTGGCGCCTTGCCGTCATTCTTATCACTGAGTGGTCGGAGACTTTCATTCAGCCTGTTTTTGAACAACAACAATCTCAGTGGATCACTTTCTTCTGCTTTGTTTGCACAGTGTGAAGATTTACAGAGCTTCAGAGTGAATCTGAGTCGGAATCTGCTGTCAGGTTTCATCCCTCCCAGTGCTCTATCAACTTGTCTGCAGTTGACAAGGCTGGAAGCAGCCTACAATCAGCTGACTGGACCAATCCCCACTATTGTTGGCAATCTACTCATTCTCTCACATCTTGACTTGCGAGGTAATCGCCTAAATGGCGCTGTCCCCCAAGAACTGGGAAAACTGAAGAATATGGAGAAACTTACTCTCAGTGAGAATAGTTTCACCGGGGAGATCCCGTGGCAACTTGGACAAATTGTTTCCTTGATAATTCTGGATCTTTCTAATAATAAATTGACAGGGACTATCCCATCGAGTTTAGGCGACCTCCCAAATCTCCAAGTTTTATTATTGCATCACAATAGCCTTTCAGGCATAATACCCTCATCTTTCTCTAATCTCTCTAGGCTTATTACATTGGATGTCTCTTTCAACAACCTTTCAGGTCATATACCTCATCTCCGCTTCATTAGTTGTGATTCCTACAAAGAAAATATGTTTCTTCAGCCATGCCCTGATCCAGATGCTACCTCATCTTCTGGCCATGCTCAGGAGAGAACTGAACAAAATCATATCTTCCAGCCTTATATCATAGTAATAGTGGCATCCACCTCTTTCTTCGTTTCGATTCTCATAGTTTTAATTCTCTTCCTGACCTTTTCTAGAAGGAAAACTGATCAGCTTGCTCAAAGCGGAGAGAAGGTGCTTGTGAGCTTTGCAGATGCACCGGCTGAGCTGAATTATGAGGGTGTTGTTGAAGCAACGGGAAACTTCAGTATAAAAAACCTTATTGGAATGGGTGGATTTGGGTCTACCTACAAGGCAGAACTGGTTCCTGGATTCCTAGTGGCAGTAAAGAGGCTTTATATTGGAAAACTTCAAGGCCTTCAACAGTTTGATGCTGAAATCAGGACCCTGGGGAGGATCCGACATAAAAATCTCGTGACTCTAATGGGGTATCACATGGGAGAGGCAGATACATTTTTAGTTTACAATTACCTTTCAGGTGGGAACCTAGAGGCCTTCATCCATGACCGGTCAGGTAAAAATGCCTGCTGGCGTGTGGTTCATAAAATAGCACTGGATGTAGCTCAAGCTTTGGCATACCTTCACTACTCTTGCATTCCTCGTATTGTCCATCGGGATATCAAGCCAAGCAATATCTTGCTCGATGAGAGGCTAAATGCTTACCTGTCGGATTTTGGTTTGGCTAAGCTCTTGGAAGCTTCAGAGACACATGCTACTACCAATGTTGCTGGAACATTTGGCTATGTTGCCCCAGAATATGCAATTACATGCAGGGTATCTGATAAAGCAGACGTATACAGCTTTGGGGTCGTGCTTTTGGAATTGTTGTCTGGAAAGAGATCTCTTGATCCATCGTTCTCAGAGTACGGCAATGCATTCAATATTGTTGATTGGGGGAACATGTTGATCCGAGAAGGGCGGCATTCTGAGTTCTTCTCTCCACTCTTATGGGAAGCTGGGCCAAAAGATAATTTAGTTGCTATGTTGAGGCTTGCCTGTTTGTGCACTGTGGAATCCCTACCTATAAGACCGTCAATGAAACAGGTTGTTGAAAAAATAAAAAAGCTGAAGAACTACTAAGAGGTTCGTGCATGATGATTTCTATTGCACGAGTAAGAACATCATCGAGTCGACCATACGTCATTTAAAACTGTCAGGTAAGTAGAGACGTCTACCATTTATGTATTATTGAATTACCTTACATTTGACCATCTGATACCTCGACTTTTTTTCCTGTATTCTTTTATGTATGTTTCAATTTTTTAATGGGGATTTTATACCTAAAAGACATGGTTATTGAATAAGTGGTCCCAAAAGTAGATTTTTTTCTGCTCATAAAAACCACTCTTGTTTTCTGAAGTGAACCTTTGTCTTAGAGTGAATAGATCAGCACCACCGGCTGTCAATTCAATAATCTAGCCTCTGAACCTCCTGAACTATTCTGTTTGCAGTTCCGAGGTAGTTGGGGAATTATCTGACTGCAGCTCTCGAATTTTGATCGTGCAGTGTGGCTCTGGAGTTATGCATCATTTTGGACGCCATATTACCTCTTCCTCAATGTTTGTTGAAAGACTGCATTGTGCAAGATTCTGGGCCAACTCAAGGATTGCCTTCTGGTTCTCAATGCGAAGGTAATTCTAGTTTTCTATGATGCTGTAATTTCTCTTTATACCGTTCTCCTATCTGTAGGCGATCTGAGCCTCTGTCCTGTAGATCTCTTACGGCCCAGTTGTTTCTCCTTGGTAATCAGTCCTCTATAAACAGGAAGATGGAATACGGAGTCCAACATGTTGCCTGACATCAATTGAGCACTGAAACAACTGTCATTCACTGAGGTTAATAGATAGTCGCTTTCCCTCTTTCTTATTCTACTTATCATTTCTCTTGGCAGTCCCATGCAGACTACATTCTCTCATTTTCCTTGCAGAAATGTGAAGCTCGGATCCTCAGATTAAATGGTGAATAGTAGTCAAACTGGTTCTTCGTGCGAAACACATGATAATCTTAGGTTGGAGAAGATATGCTTACGTGAGAGACGCAGTTTCCGCTCCTTGGGTTCGCGAGCCCTATAGTTTTCTAACGTGTATTGAAAAAAAACGTGTTGAGCAAATCTCACGTAAGCCCACAGTATTGCCTATTGCCCATTTTCAAACGCATGCAAAGAAAGATGGAATTCACATGTGAACAATTCGCAGAAGATCACAAGATTCCAATATCTCTGCCTGCCATGGGTTTTTTCAAGAGGACTTTTGTGGCCTTTCTATGTCTTGTTTCAGAAATTTATTGAAGTGGGCATCGCTTCTTCGATCAGCAATGTATCATTCCACAGTGCGGAGATTCTTGGGCTTCTCACAGAATCGCAGATATTTTTCTCGGCCACGGGCACCGTCTCCCCGATGCATTACCGGTTGTGGTGACATTCGAAATTGGTGAAAGAAATTGCTTTGATTTAGTCTTTACCTGAGACATAAGTGTCTTAATGGAGTCTTCAAGTGGCATCGCCTGTGTTCAAGTGGCTGACGTACCCTGATTTCTGGCCTGATGTCCACCCTTGGCCCCACCCGTTCACCATTTTTGTAATTTTTTAGAAGATTTCTGGTCTGAAGAACACTACGGTCCTTGGGGGGAACTGTGGTCGTCGGGAGATTCTTCATGTGCCGCATTTTCTAAATGTTGAAAGGGAAATCCAGTGATTTTTCCCCAACAAAAAATGTTCAAAATTCGAATGCTGCGTATTTATTTTGTGTGGGTGATTTCGCTCTACTTTTCTAATAGAATTATTGAGAGACTTGAGAAGAATGGAGGACGACTCACATTAGTTGTCACGTTTATCACCACATATTTCTGGAATTGGAGGGGTTTTCTTCTAAGACCGAAGAGAGGGTAGGGACTAGAAACACCAGACGGAAAAGGCTCAACCTTACGTGGTCAAGAAGGAGCGTTGTGGCGGTAAAGGAACGAAGCAAGCCTGCGCAGGCCTCCGGACCCTTCTTCTTCCTTGGCCCGAGCCAAGCCTCGACGGGCGCCGCCACCGTCACCGGCGCCGGCGTCGGCGAAGCACCACGCGGGAGCCTGCCACTGCGGGCCGTTCAGCACGGCGCCCTCGTCGAACGTCATCACGTTCATCGATATCCCTGCAACGCCACACAGCCAAGATCATCCAACCTTCTTAAATCGGGCGATCCCCTTTTCCCTGCCCAATTTCAGCTCGATTCTCTTTCGGCCTGATCTGACCGACGACGATGATGGCCGCAATGTAGAGGGTTTACCGTCGTAGAAGTCCCAGCGGACGGGCCGCTTGGTGGCGACCTCCTGGTAGTACCAGATGAACCCCAACTTCTGCCAGCGGTCGCAGAGGAACCCGTCGATGCGCACTCTGCCGAGGTAGGTGGCGTCCGCCATGAAATCCGGCCGGAGAATGCCGACGGGGAAGTGCTCTACCCGGCAGGAGCCCGCAGGACCGAGGGTGTAGTAGAAGGTGGTACCGTTGCCCCACTCGACGTCGTACATGACTTCCGTGAGCTGCCACTGCATGACGATGATGTTTCCTGCGGTTGGGCCAGTCGTACCAGAGGTCGTCCACTCTGAGCCGCCCACTGCTCGTCAGGTTTGTCAGCAGCCGCGCGTGGAATTGCGCCGGCCACGGCGCCGGGATTGGCTCCTCGCCGCCGCCGCCGGCCGGCCGCTGCGCCGGCACGCGGGCGGCACTGCAGCAGCAGGAAGAGGAGCCAGAAGAGGGTTCTATCCCAATCGCTCAAGCTCCTCCACATTGTGGATGAGACCCAGTGAACTAACGGCAGCTTCCTATGCCGACCGAAATATATATACCCCATATACACGTGGCGCTTTTGGCGCCGCCCGTGGGCCGACGGCTTTGGCGAAGCGATAAGCCATGACATCAGCATGCGCGAGATCGTGCAGTTAAAAATCTTGTTTCCCTTCGATTCATCGCGAGTCAATGGAATATAAAGAGTTACAAGATCGACCTTGGAAGTAAAATCTACACACAAGCGGCAAAGAAAGAGAAGTTCGAGCAACTCGGAGGATGATAGATACAGGGGGAGACGGCGGGCATCCGCTTCGGGGGATTGAAAGAAGACCTGCACGAGCAGTGACCAGAGGGTGACCTTAAAAAAGACGGCGTCAAGCAGTGATGGCCTCCTGTTTCGCTTTGAGCACCAGCTCCTCGGTGGTGGTGCCTATGATTTCATTGGCGCGTTTCAAGCCCACACAGTATATTCTTCCGATGGTGTCCTGAACCAACATGGGAAAGCCTCAGACTCTTCCAAGGGTACTGTTACTTACTGTCTCAGAGAGAAAACGGATTAAGCAGGGAACGGAACACATGGGATTCCCAGCTGTGAAACGGGAACTCGGGGAGGAAGATATTGAAAGATATCTCAAATCCTGAAGGAGAGGTCCGAGAGAAGTAGAGATCAGAGTCGAGAGGAAGAAAGCAGCATCATGATTATCTTACCAACATGTCTGTGATTTACCTTAGTCTAATAACCTATGTTAAACTAGACCATGGTTTGCCAACTGGACAAATGAGCAGACTCAATGTCGCAAAAATATGTGAACTTCTGAAGAAAAAAATTGAATGAAATTTTGCAATCTCAAATCGAGCTTGCTTGTCGATTTTCCCCACGGATGATTATTTCTTCCATGCTTAACATGGCCTCGTGTGGGGTCAGAGAGGTCAGATCAGGTTTGGCTTCAGCAATCTAGTCTAAACACAGAATTTTCTATTTCAGCTGATCAAAATACCTATGAACAAGAATTGATGAGCTTTTTATATCGACGAAAGAGAGATACAAACTACACGAACATGAACTTCTTACCCGAGCAACAACGCCAAGTTTCTCTAACTTTTGAACAGCATCTACAACGTCGAAGTTGCACTCTTCGTTAAATTCTTCTCTGATGAGGGCCTCACACTGATGATCGAGATCCTAAATGTCCATTACAACACAGAAGAAGTGACGTGAAATTCAGACCTAACATTCCGCGATGCAACGAAATAAAACTTGTTAAGTAAATGATTACATACTTGTATAGTGGCTTTTCCCTGCTCCATCAGAATAAAAAAGGAAAGTATAACTTCTTTGACCTGCAAATCAGAGATTCCACCGTTATTAGTTCTATTGCAAGTAACTGGGTTCCTCGTAGAAATGAGTTCTCGATTCTGGAAGCTATCCGAAATTAAAAAAAACTAATCAGTTTGGTGCCTACTTCCTGTTGAATGACATCATCACATAAATGCAACAGTGTTCCCCTTCCACTGTCCAATTGTTTGTCGTACATTGATTGTGTGATTAGATTTTGGTAAGCAGCCATATTTTGCTGAAACCTGTCAAGAATCAAAGTTCAAAAAGTGACATCATATTACTCATGACAGTTAAAATGCAACCAGAATTCGATAAAACAGATGGAAGCGAGTACAAAATTCTTAAGCTTTGAGCAATGAAAGTACGGGGAGATGAAGACATTATTTGATAGAATCCAAAAAACTTCAAAACAGAAAATTCGTGATTAGCAGCATTGTGATTGTAACTGTGAGAACTGGGCACAAAAGAACGACCAGCAGTAGGAAACGCAATAGGGCGGTGGTAGAGCGGTGAAAGCCTTGTTGTCTCAGTGCTACCATGACAGCATCGTGGGACAGGAGAAAATGATGTTTTTCCGGGAACATCACCGGCGATGTTCGTTTTGATATGTCGTCGTTGTTGAATCTTCCACATATTCTCTCCAACCATGGATACAAGATCATCAAAGATCTTTGTGGCTACATGCTTAGAGTGGATTTTTCCCATTCTTGGTGGAACAGAGTCATTCTCCACCATCGAATTATATGCCAAAAGATGATGATCATTCGGAATCAAGGAGAAACGACATAAGCGCACCCTGTTGGGGTTCCAAACTCAGGCCATGTCGATAGACACATTGTTAAGGATTTCACTGACGAGGAAGAAGAGAATTTTGCAGAGAATAACAAAGAAAAAGAAATTGTACCCATATTTAGAGGAGAAAGCATGAGATGATTGAGAAGAGCATCGGTTTGAAGCGACACTTACGTAAAGTAGATCTTAGCACAGTAGCCTATCAGACCAGTGAGTATTGCTATAACAACCCAGATATCAGCTTTGGGCATCTCAAGCGAGCTGACAAGTGTAACCTGATCATAATATAAATAATGAAGATTAACAAAGCGATCAAAATAATTATAATGCATTACACTGGTTACAAACAAAAGCATACCAGCCCAAGGACAACAGAAACAAGAAACTTGACCCAGTCCATCGGAGTCAAACTCGGATTCTTCTTTTCAGGCTGTAAGACAACATAAAGCACTAATCATTGAATAGGCACGGCAGACCAAAATCAGAAACTTGAAGAATTTACGCACACTTTATATTCCCATAATAGCAGACTATTACCAGAACTAATTCCATATCTGCCATAGGAATATTTTTGAAGTGCTTGACATAGATTCCTCTTTCTGTCTTCTTCTTTGTGCTTGCACGCCTGTAATATATCAAATTTTAGTGTCGGAGCAAATGTCAAGATCCACTGCTGAGAAACTATTTTCCATGGAGGTGGAATTTGGAAATTTTGGAAATATTAACATTAAGCAACCCAATCGAAGGAGGAATTCAATACCTTTGTATAAATAATAAAACAAATCCTGCAGTAAATCGGATTCCGTAAATCTTTTATGAAAGAAATATGAGTTTACTTGCCTATACACAACAATCATCCGATCAAATGTCGGTTCTTGGATCGTGATCTTCCCAAACAAATTTCTCATGCTGCATTCACCACAAACATAAATATGTAAAATTACAAACTATAAGGCATTTTACATACAGTATAAGTAAACCTGGAACCTCAGTTCATTCTCAAGCCGTTTCCGTTCAACAACTAGATCATCGTGATCAGCATCTGGGGTTATTTCGTCATTCTTCTTCGGATCTGTAGATCGTTTACTTGTTTTTCTAGTAAAAATCCTTTGAAGCCTGTACCGATGTTAAATATCCAGCCAATGGGGAAAAAATTAAAATTCAAATAAATGCATAAACGCGTCCTCAATAAAAACTTTTAAAAAACTAGAAACCATGATACACTTAAAATATCTTACCTGGTAACCCTAAGAAAACATGCCCAAATACGAGAAATGATTATATCCAACTTCTCCATGATGAAATAATCAGTTGTTTCATCAGATCCAATACCCCGACGAAAGATTATGTACTTTTCAATTTCCATGCAGAAAGACAGATATATTAGATGCTAGAATTAAAAAAAAAACTCAAAATTTTTGGAAATCTATATCATTTCCATCATGACCTCAATGCATATACTATCAGCAAAGAAACATAAAACAGACATTGCAATTAAAATGATTTTTTTTAATCAAAACCAAATGCCTGTAATCAATGATCCGTGTCCCAATATCCAAATTCAGGATGTCAACACCATAAATGATAAAAAAATTAGAAGACCAATGTTATTCAGTCCATATTTCTACAATGTCGATCAGCTTAATAATACAGGTTTAAAAGAACGTTTCCCTTTTGCTATAAAGAGTGCGTGGTTTATCAATGCATAAGTAATAAATATGATATAAACCATCTCGTTTCCTAGTATCAGGTCCTGTAGCATGGAAAGAAAAACACTTCAACTAAAAATAAATTGTGATTGGAATAACCAAATTATGTCACTGAACTCTAGAAAAATCAGATGCATAATAAAGTGGCACACAATAAAAAAAATGCAGAATCATTAGTTTTTTTGCTATTATATATATGCCAAATTTTCAGGAATCTGGTCATCACCAATTTTTAAAAATTAAAATGACCTTAGACAAGAAACCTTTTCAAAGACAATATGTCAATTAGATGACATAATTATTGGGCCATCATATCAGGGAAGTATTTTTATACCATTCTAGACAACAGGATTCTTAATTTAAAAATCAAATTACATCCTGGCATGTTCCCAAAGGTTGAAATGTCCCAGCAGCAATAAGTATTAGAAAGGCAGAAAAAATCAAATTACTTCCTGGTATGTTCCCAAAACATGGTTTGGGAATGAACCACAGTAGATCAAAGACAAGTGAGACTCAAGACAATGATGACTGATGGATCTGAGAGTAAAAATTAAAGTTCAGAATGCATAAAAATGTAGAATTATTTCATCATCTTTATTCAGTTATTGTACAACAAGTTTAGAATAATACCTTATCAGAAAACTCTGGGAGATTTTCATGAGGATGCTTTGAAAAATAACTTTGTAACAGTCTTCGGTCAAGCTGCAATGCTCAAAGTGACACATGATTCAGTAAATTACCAAACATACTATTTAATGTAATACATAGAAAAATTACTTGGAAACCTTTGATTCATCAACTTTGATGGGGAGGTTTAAAAGATACTGTCCAGACTGTGCAACTTCAATCTCCTCATCAGTGACTATCTTGAAGTTACTCTTTTCCATTACCTGCAAACAAAAAGCAAAGAAACATATATGAAATATCTCTTCAAATCTCCAGGATATCGCTGTAGTATCCCCTTCCGTAAACCAGAGAGAATAGATCATGCTCAATACCATCCAATACTTTACATAAATATTTACCCAAAATTTTAAATTATATGAAAAAATCAATATATCCACAACATTAAATGCACAAATCAATATATTCACAACATTAAATGCACAAATCAATATATCCACAGCTCCATGAGAACGTGGAATTCACTGGACAACATAATAGGGAAAAAAATAATTTTTCACTGTAACACCCCAATCAATTTCTTTTTCATACAACGTTTTCCATTCTTCTAATGAACCTCCGACTAGTAAAGCAGGAGTTTCCCGCTAAAATTGATAGTATCTAAGTTATGATCAACTAATACAGTGGAAAAGGATTCCTATGTTCCTAAAAGAGTAATTTGGAATTTTATGAAGTTTTCTAAGCATTACAGAAAATGATACACAATAAGCCAAAATCATAATCCCATTTACATCAGACATTGGATGAAAATGTAAATCCTCTTCATAAACCTCTATAATTAGTAGTAATCAAGTAACCATCTATTTACCAAATTCTGGTATAAACCAACAGGAAACCACCAATCTAAAGTCATTGGACCAGCTCGAAATTTCATACAAACATGCATCTGGGAACTGTAAGCATATAGTCATAAATTGATTAAATGCAACTCTTGTGTCCATTAATGGTGCTCTTTATGAGTTTTTAAGTCGATTTAGGAATCCATTGATTTAACTAAGGATATTGCACAACAGGGATAACCAACAGAAGGAAAAATTGGCAATCGTTTCTTCAGTTTGAATAGTTGGTCATCTCACTTAATTATGGCAGAAGTCCAATCGTGAAATATTTTAACTGAATCTAGGGAAAACATTATGTCAGCATAGTTAAAAAAACCCTGGATCTGCAAAATAATGTTCCGATCCACAATAGTCGACCTTTCTAATGCAGCGAAAAACTCAGAAATAAACATGGTAAAGAATTTGGAGGCTAGAAAAAATAAGGCATAGGAGCAATGCACTTATCTGAAGCAAACATAAAATTCATTAGCAAATGAGCATGGGAGCCAATTTAGAAAAGTGTCTCCCTGGAAGAATGGTTATCATAAATTATGAAATGAAGCCTCAAAAGTTTGGATCATTGTCTCATCTTATATGTTTAGAAAACAACTGAAGTATAGCTGGACGTGTTAAGATAGATGTGAAAACGCGAAACACCTTGTTTGGGAAAAATAAGTATGCTGATGCTTGTTTCTCTAAAAAAGAGCAGTAAAATGTTTCGTTGTGATTGCAAAACATTTACATGGAATTTTTAATCACAGTTGTGAGGTGAGAAAATGATCAATCAAGCAAGACTGCCTTGTACTGCCAAGAAACTGGTTTAATAAAATTCAACAAACCATATGGTTCTCATTGGAAATGATCCAGGAAAAGGTTTTCATTGACAATATGAGAAGCATGAGACACCTAGTTTACCTGAAACAAATATGTCAGAAAATTCTGTTCAAGAACATCAGTGTCTTCTGACGAGAGATTCTGCTGCTGCAGTCTCTGACCACCGTGAGCCGGATCAAACAGAGAATATAATTGCTGCAACAACATATAAAGGGGAAACTGGATTCAAATTTTCACTTCAAACGCAACTATATTTTCTAACACTATAGAGTAACGAAAGTCGAAACAAGCGAATCAGCTTACCATCAGATCCTCAAATTGTAGAAGATACCATGCTCGGATCGTGTACTCAACTCTCTTGCACAGTTTCAAGAACTCAGCTCGATCAGACCCGTGCTCTACATGGATAAAGAAAGGTAACATGAAAAACAATCACCAGTTGACGAAGAAACGTCACTAATTTGAATCGAAAATTACACTCACCTACCAATCTGCTACACATTTTCACCATTAAAATATGAGACAAGTATTGCGCAGAATTTAAACCAGGAATTGACCTGTTTGCTTTTTACTGTGACCTTGAAAAATTAAATGTTGAAGGTGGAAGAAAAAATGCAGAAGGAACCCACAGACTCGGACTTTGGCGAGGAATTCAAAAGTAGTGCGCGAAGCGAATATTCCATGAGAAAACATCAAAGGCAATTAAGATACTAAAGAAACGAAGGCACGAGGATATATAATCAAAACGAACCTCAAAGACGGTAAGCACGAAGCCTGGGCCCGAGTAAATACCAAAATTCGGGAAACCGCAATAGAAGAGCACTGATAATCAGAAAATAGTCAGATGAAAGAGGAACGGTTACAGCAGATATCTGATCACAGGAAATAGAAAAATTACCAATAAGACCAGCCAGGTGCATGATGAGTTTGGGCTTCAGGATCGGCACTACGGACTCCCGCTCAATCCTTATCACGTCTTTGTCCTTCGCCATGATCGCCAATCAAGACCAGTCCGGCGTGCACCGCGAGAACGAAAAATGAGAGCTGGTGTGGAAAGCCTTCTAGGGCCTCGGGAAGGCCTTGCCTAGTGTTGAAAGCCTTCTAGGACCTGGTGTCACGCGGGGGGTCACCACACCTGGCCTTTGGAATCCCAGCAGCTAGCTTGCACCAATCCAGAGATATTCCAGACTTGTAGGGAGAGATCGTCGGGCTTCGGAATTCCGGTAGCTTCTCTCTGAGAACAATCTACAGCGAGAGAGAGAGAGAGAGAGCTGTGAATGAGGAATGTTGTTGTGACACCCGAGGGAAGATGGTTCATCTGTTTAGCGTCTGATTAGCCGAGCGATCAAGGTCGACAGGGCAGATAACGGCTTCCTGTGTTATCCATTTCATCAGCGAAACACCCGGCGTTTCTGATAGCCGTCTGATCAATTAAGGGGTTACGACTCGAAGGATGCTTTCGTCTCGTGCGCCTATTTCATTTGAATAAAAGGCCTTCGACGTCGTGACAGCTATTGTGTGGGCCAGACACCGACACCACGTGTAAGACCCAATTTTGCTCCAGATAGCCCAATGTGGAGCACATTTGGGCCTGAATTATGGTAAAATGGGCTGCCATTCTGTTGGGCCCAATTAAAGCAGTCCGTCGGCCTAGAGGCCCCATTCCTTTGCTGCACCAAGATCTCTCTCTCTCTCCTCCCTCCCTCCCAATCGGAGTCACGTGACTCCCCCTCATGCATTCAAAGTGAGTCGGTCCCGTCGGAAAGGAGGAGCCTTTTGCAGTCGCGAAAGGGAGAGTGCAGTAGTTGGTTGGGTTGCGGGGAGCGATGAGCAAGGAGTTCCACGTGGCGGGGCGTGGTTCGTACACGCCTGCACGGCCAGACCAGGACGCCCATCCGCGATGTCTGCAGCATAGTGCTGGGTCGCCGAGTCAGCTGGGCCACCTCTCTTATTGTCTCGTGATAGAGAGAGAAGGCAACGCTTATAAATAAATAGCATTTTAAAAATACATTAATAATTTTGAATACTTGAATGAAAATATAGAATTTCGAATTATCCGTCGGGGATCAGACTACGTTCTACAATATTTTTTTCATTTTAAATAAGGAGAAATAAATTTGAATGTGGCCCACTACCCACAGATAAGGACATCTTGTTACGATTAATCAGATTTGAAAATTATGAAATTTATTTATCGATTTAAAATTTTAATTGGGCTCTATTCTGATTGCCAAATCCAGAAATAATCTGTCGATCCAAACGGCCTGTTGTACAGCGATGAACGCGTGTGGCGGGAGGAGTGTAATGTGACTATTTTACCCTTATCAATATTAATTATTTTCCCGCAGGACGAGGTCCCCCGTGAAAGGAGAGGAGTGGAAAAGAGGAGAAAAAGGGGAGCATTCTCACCTTTCGGTGGGAGTGCCGGCCAAACACGTCGCCATCACGGTCCGACCACCTCGACGTTCTTCTTCCTTCGGGGAGCCTCCTCATGCCTGTCCACCAGCCTCATTTCTACCCTCCCCGCTCACCTTCCCCCGGGACTCCCCACGCTGAATCCACGTTGGCCAGGTACAGAGATTCGGGGAAGGAAAGCCGTGGTCACCATCTTAGCCGAGCGCCTTTTCCTCGATTTTTCGATAGAGAGGAGGACGACCTGTTCTTCCTAATATCGGCATCGCTCATCGCTCAAGAGGTTTCTTTCTCCGCCTCTCGCCCCAGCTCCCCTATGTGTCTATCTACGTATGCATATATCCTTCTCTCTTATATGCCGAGACAGCTCCTCATCGTCTCCTTCTTGGGATGCCAGCCTCCCTTCCGCAACCTCGTTGTAGAGGTGCTGTTCTTGTATGTTTTCATTGTTTCTGTCAAGGTAGGGCACTCTCTGTGAAGGGATCTCCTTTAGTCTTTGTCCTGATCCCACGATCATACCTCCCGTGGAGACTTGGCAGCGACGTTCTCCGTACAAGTTTGTGGAGTCGTGTTTGCGTGTCTAGGTGACTAGTGACTAAAGCGTTTTCATATGTGATGTTTTTTTAATTTTTCTGATCGGTTACTATTTCTCGACCCTTTTCTGTGGTATAGGGAGGCGCTTCCTCCTATCCTTTTTCGCAAATTATGCCCAGATCACCGTGAAACTATTTTACTTTTCGATCGAAATCTGATGAATTTCATTCATCCAGAGTCCCAACGGTCATTGCCAGTTTCCCGTCAGTTTTCATCGTTCTTCCTGATTTCTTTGCGTATAATCTGTCTATTTGTTAAGTTTTCCATTTGCATTAAAGGACATTTGTTTGAATGATGTGCCGACTAAAATCTGCAATGTAATAATCCTATTTATCAAAAACTATTCGTATGCTGCTTAAACTATGGTGCGATTTGTATTTTACGCCAGCTCGTCAGGTCATAATGAAAAATATGATGGATAATTCATTTGCACTTTATATCAATGACGTAAATTTAATGATAATCCAATCATTCTGCTGAAGATTCAAAATAAAGGAAATGTTGGATGGTTTATGCATAGTCTTTTAGTAATGCTGTCTGGTTACCATGTCAGACAGATGTTATGCAATTGCAAGCTTTTTTTAGTGCCTGATAACATATGAACCTGATGCACAATATCATCTAAATTATTATTGTTTTTCAAGCAAGCTCATGAAAAAATAAACACTTAGACATCAATGGCTCGTTCTATTGATTTGTTGCTTCTTCAATAATGTTACTTCTTATTTACATAAAAAGTTGGTCAATTCCAAGTTTTCCTACAAAAGTGTGAAGACCTAGTGGGTAAGAATATTTGACTTTTGCAGTATGAAAAGCCTGAAATATCTCCAGATGGGCTTTTGATGTTTAGAAATGTTGGCCCAGGATTAGTATGATTTGGCTGTTCGAGTTAAAAAAGTGTCTGCAATTAGTATCCTCTTCACAATATTGCCTGAAGGTTTTCTCCAAGTCCTGAAATTTGATGATAGCTTTTGCATGTTTGAAGGGATCTTCATAGGTTATTAAGAATGCCGTTTCTCATTTATAAATTACAAGACAGCCTTTCAACTGATGCTTTACCTTTTTGGGGTACTGAGGTCTTATCTGTCTATTTCTTCATTAATTTTTCTGCCTTTATCATGTTATATTTTGTAAAGAACTATTGTGTATGGTATGTTTCATAGACCTCTTTTATTTCCTGAAATGTATAGCCCAATGTGAATGAAGTCAGGCACCGTATTTTCTGAGTTCATTTCCCTATCTTCTCTCTACGGTTTGCTGGCTGATAAGATCACTGAGGTTGACCATCCAGCTGGGTTGCTTTTTCTATTTCGTACTATTATCAGAAAGGGGCCAGCTGTCTGCGTGAGTCACCTTCTTCTAAGCTCTGCTGGACGAATAACTCATTTAGTAGTGAAATATTTCGTTTTTTGTTTTCTTTAAATTTCAGGGCATTGAAATTCTTTCGTTTTCTCTTTATAATGCTATATCTTACCCTTATTTATCTTTCCTTGTATTTTTTTCTGAAATTAGATCGATAAAATCGCAGATTGAGAAGCAGAAAACATGGATATCAACGCAAAGGAAATCATAACTAATACCAGGAGATTTCTGGTGTTTCTGATTGTAAATATTTGCCGATCAGCTTGTGAACACCCCTTTCTTTTGGGAGTGTTCTTTTTCTTGCTTCTTTTGTACAGATGTCTGCCATATCTGTTTGGCTTTCTGGTATCTTCTTCTCCAGTCGTCATCTGCACTGCACTTCTTCTTGGAACTCTTCTGAGTTATGGCCAACCAAATATCCCTGAAGTAGAAGATAAGGCAATAAACCTGTCTTCTTCACAAGTATTGGATACTCCCAATGGTATTGTTTTGGGGAAAGATGTTGACTTCTCTTTGGAGGGTCATATAGAAACCAGAGAAAAGGTTGAGGAAACTGCTGCAAAAGAAGTAAAATCCTCTCTTAAAGTTTATCGTGCGTGTAAACCGGCATTTTTGTCAGAATCTAATGAAGAGGAAGAAAGGAACCCAGAAAATGTTATCAGTACAAGCTCACTAGCTGAGGTGGACAAGAAACAAGTCTGCATTATGAATACAGCGGCAGACAAGGAAGAAGGCAGCAATGGAGGGTTCTTCAAAAAGTCCGAACTACATGGAGGAAATTCACTACCAGATTCGATAGAATTAGCTGATCTTGTTTATCCAGCTACTATCAGCCAAAAGGAGAACGAATATGTCAAGACAGAAATTCAAGAATCTTCAGCAGAAGGCTATTTTGATTCTTCCCTTGATTTATCCTGGGGGCACATTGATCGTCATGATGCATCTGAATCTGATTCAGATCATGCTGAGAGCTCTTCTCCAGATGCTTCAATGGCCGACATCATTCCGATGCTTTACGAGCTCCATCCACTCTTAGATTCTGAAGATCCTCAACCTGTTAATGCCTCTGCTAATGACGTGCATTCCGCTTCTGGGGCATCTATGGAGGACAGTGAGTCAGATGATTGTAGTGGAGAGGAAGAGGCTGAAAACCAAGAGGAAGAGCTGGATGAGGAGGCAAAGGATGAGAATGGGGATGGAGCTGTACTGGCAGTGAGGTGGACAGAAGATGATGAGAAGAATGTAATGGTTCTTGGCACTTCCGAATTAGAAAGGAACCAGAGGCTGGAGAACCTAATTGCAAAGCGAAGAGCAAGGAAAAATCTCCAAATTGCAGCCGAAAAGAATTTGATAGACCTTGATGGTAATGAAACCGTGTCAACCATCGATAAACTTTCCCACATTCAAGTTCAAGTTCCTCTTATTTCCACATCAAGACAGAATCCCTTTGATCTTCCCTACGATTGTGAAGAAAATTTTGGTTTACACCCAATTCCTGGTTCAGCACCATCTGTTTTATTGCCAAGACAGAATCCTTTTGATTCACCTCAGGCTCTGGGGGATGAAAGTGGTAATTTTACAGGGGTTCCCCTGAACCATCAAGGGTTTGCAGGTTTTCCTCAAAGGGAGTTGCTTTTTCGGAGGCATGAAAGCTTTGCCCATGGGACATCATTTTCTGGTGAGTTCAGGCAGGATAGATCTGACATTAAGTTAAGGCCATATTTTGTAAGCGAGAGGACAAGTACAGAGGACACAAGTTATGCTCATTTCCAGAGACAATTGAGTGACAAGAGTGATTCTAAGGTGAGCTCCATTCCCGAATCTGAATCAATTTCTAGCACAAATCAGGATTATGAGAATGAACCACCAGAACAGGAGTTGGATCAAGAAGCTGAATTTGATTTGGTTTTTTCGTCTACAAACAATGCTAAAACCGCTGGAATGGAGAACAGCTCCTCCGATGAAGCAGATTCAGTTGATTCTTCTGGCCAACTGAGAGAAATTGGTTTATGTGGGAGCTATGAACTTCATGGTAGTACGGCTGAAGTCTCAGGGGCATCTATAAATGAGGCTGTTGATGACTTCATGAAACTTGAAGAGAAAATCCAACAAGAGATAGATTCATGCTCACCAGTTTCAGATGCTGCCGAATCAGATGTGGCTGAAAAGAAACACAATAGGCCAGCAAGCTCATCTCAGGCTTCTGGGAAATACTTTCAGACAAAGACAGAAGAAGAGTCAGCTGATCTTCATGAAGCGAGCGGTGATTCCTTAAGGGATTCCACTCGTTCCTTGAAGTCAGTGAGCGTAGAAGTCAAGGTTGTAAATGACTCTGTTGAGCCCGTTTATGACTTAAGTCCATCAGCAATTGAAAAATCTCCGGGTGACATTGCTTCATTCGGAGAAGAATTTCTTCAGGTAGGCAGTGGGAGTTTCAAGTCTGCTTTACCCCTCTCATCTGAATCGCCAGTAGAGACGTTAGAAATGAATTCCCTTCCAATACAAGCCAAGGGTACTTCCTCAAAGGCTGGGGATTCTCTATCTGACAGTGTAAGCACGAGAGCACTGAACCTAGCTGATGGACCCCTTTGGGTGCCACCTTCCAACCTGGCTTCTGTAGAGGAAAATGAATCACGATCAAAAGAGGTTGGTGAGATCAAGGAGCAAGATGTAATTCAAGTTGAATTTTCAGAAGGTAAAGATGAATATGAATATCTAACTGCGTCAGCACTGTCAGAACCCGCCATCGAGCAAATCATGTCCTGCTCAAGTTCAACTTCAGCAGAATCAGACACAACTGAAGATAGTGAACTAGATGAGGAAGTAAACCATCAGTTTACCGAGCAAGGTAAGGTTGCTTTTGTTGAGCCTTATCCAGATGTTCTGGTCTCATCGGATTGTTTTGCATTTGAAGTGTCGCCGATTGCATATCCATCACAAGAGAGCTCAACAGTTCAGGCATCTGTTGGCACTCCTCTTGTACAATCACTGTTCAAGACTCTGTCGTCAATTCCAGAAGATCCTCCAGAATATTATGCACAGGGAAATAAGCATGAAAATGTATCACTATCAGGTATAAATGCTGAGCTAATTGATTCACGAAAATTTGAAATGCCCACTGCTAATCTTCCTCATGTTGACGAGTCATCTCTTCTTGATGAGGAACCTAAAACACTTGACAATGATGTGATAGATGCTCTATGTCAAGGTGAGGAAGTGAAATTGCCAATTATGCCTGAGAAGACTGAGATGCATGAAACCACGCTGTCCTCTACAAGTTCTAGTGATCTTTCAGAGCATAAAATTGTTTCAAATGCTTCTGGTTCCGTTCACGACCCTTCTGTGGCAACTAGACGAGTAGATGATGAAGCATTATTGCTGGAACTGGACTCGATTGGTGACTTCCACGTCAAAGAATTGCGATTAAGTGACATCAGAAATGACAAATCTTATCAAGTTGACTTTAGTGAAGAACCAAGTCAGAAACCTGAAGATTGGAAATCTGAAGGTCGACTTGCTGAGATACGTTTAGAGACGACAGAGAAATGCAGAAGCTCACCAAAAGGTCAAACAACTTCTCTTGAAGGCACATATATGGATTTAAGTTATGTCTCTGATGGCACTTCTACAAGCCCATCAAATCTCAAAGAAGCCAAATCCGCCTCAAGCCAGCAAGAAGCTGCAGAAAGCTCACTTGAGGCCGTTCATGCGCAAGCCTTTAAGGCCGCATTTGTGGGGTCACCAAAAGCTTTGGAGACCACGGATATATTTCACCTGCAAGGTGTTGGACCTGGACCCCTTCCGGACGTGGATATGGCTTTGAACGATTTTTCAGAGACAGGCTATAAATTTGATTCTTCCAATACCGAGGCCACTTCGATATCTATTAATGGGTTTCCAAAGGAGGAAACGGCCATCAAAAGAAATTTGAACCCTTCGGTTCTCGAAGTACCAAGTTCCATGGAAATTGACCTCGCTGGTGCGGATGGTGCTACAGATATCGATGCAAGTACGGCACCAATTGTTAAACGATCAATGTCAGATGATGGAGTGGGGCAAATTCCCCTCCCTTCTGGCTTCAGTTCTTCAGCTTCAACGAGCAAGGAGAAAGATGAATCCCATGAATCAGATTCAAGCTCCAGCTCAAGTGATTCTGATTGAAGTGAAGTAAAAAAAAAAAGAAAAAAAAAAGAAGAGGATTTTTGTAGTTCGCAATTTGGAAACGTTGGTTCGCCATAATTAGGTACGCTTGGCTCTGGATTTTTTCCCGCTATTCATTTATTTATGGCTTATAGCATGGAGAGTCTTGTCTGGTAGACAACTCAGGGGTAACATTTATTTGATCCCCTGGGTTGCGAGCTTCTGGCGTTTTCTTCTTTTTTTTCTGGGTGATTCTTCTGACGCAGCTGTTCTGCAAACGAGGTTTTTTGGGTTTAATTATTGTAAATTATTTTGTACAATGCTATTCTGGAGCGAAATTATCTGCTTTGTGGAGGATTGGTGATTTCCTGTACTTTGTTTCTGGATTGCCGTCAGCCATACATCCCATGGTGAGCATATCAATACATCCCGTTATTTCCAGTGGCTTCTGTGAACTTGTGGCAGCTTCACGTTTTCTTCGTGTCTCTTCGACTCGAAACCCCACCCAGTTCACTTCACTCCTCCATACTTGTGGTTCTGGGGTGAAGCATTGGAATGGCTGTTAACCATGGGGATGAATAGCATCAGCTGGTCTGGGCAGCACATGATCTTGAGTCAGGCCTGGAGTCGAGTCCAGGAATTAGCTTCTGGCACCGACCACTATGAAAGTCCAGACTGCCCTGCGATCGATCGGAGGTCAAACACTTGGGTGAGGAGTATGGGCTCTCTCCTTCCAGACTGTACCCCATAAGACCACACTGAGACCTTCAGGGTTACATAGACTGTACCCATAAGGAGACCTTCAGGGTTACATGACCCCATGGAAACTGAGCCAGGCCTATTTCTCCTAGTCTAAACTTTGGACCTTCAGGGTTACATAGACCACTGAGACGCCCAATTCTCATTCATGACGAAAAAGGAAAGAAAAAGTCAAATTCAGTTTTCTAGTTACTACATCACTGGAGAAAGATAATAGCCTTTTTTAGGTTACCTAGCCAAGTCCATTGAGACCACCAATCCCGATTAGAACTTAGATTAGAAAAGACTGGGCCGGGCCTACTCCTCCTAGTTCTGACTTCGGACCTCGAGGAGGAAAAGATTGGGCTGAACTTCATGGTCTCCTAGGCCACTGAGACCCACGATCCTGCTTCATGACGAAAACGAAAGAAAAAAATCAAATATAGTTTTCTTTTACTACATCACCTTGACGACAGAGAGGAGTATATACCAAACAAATGCACCGAAAGCGGTATTAAAATTCAAAATCCCACCACCACTCTCACGTTTTGGTACCTTTGGTGATAGCCTCATCCAGTCTCTCATGTGGAGTCTAGAACCCCATCCATAATCCTCCATATATACATACATGAAATTGACAGGTATACACAATTCCATCAGAACTTCGACGGCAGACTACCTTCCTCCATATGAATAAGTTAGCATATTACCTTGAAGGATGTCTCTGAGAGAGCAAAAAAAAATTGAACTATCCCTTCTAGTGCCAAGAAGGAAGATACGATTTCCTAACGGATTCAGACAACTCAGATCTTTGATTAGGGTAGTTAGTCCATACTGCAGCCCCATTTCTACCACCAGTGCTGTCGAGAAGAGGTGGGCTCGAGTAGATTCCCTCCTGATGTAGGCCACCCCCGCCAACAATGTTTGACCCTTGTGGAAAGTGATCAGAATCTGTAGTGGCCTGTGGAAAACCTGAGAGCAGCTTGTTACATTCGGACAACACACAGAAGAGGCTCCCATCAGCACTGCTTCCACCACCCATACACTGACCTGCTCTTCCTGCGGGCTTGGCAGTAGATAAACCAGCACAGCTGCGGTGTTCCAGGGGTAGCCAACGTTGGCCTGAGAAGCCACCAATTACGGCAGATTGGAGACCAGTGGATTCCTGAGAACTGACTGAGGGGAAATGGCCTTGACTTAGATACCCGCCTCTAGAAACCGCATCCCTATTCAGTATTTGGGGCATGTAAGGATCTTTCTCCCCAGGTTGCTCCAGATCAAGAAGCATCAGCTGTTGCTCTTCAAACTGGGAAGGAAACTGGGCAACATTTGCTAGAGAGAGGCGTAGTTCTGATGGTTCCAGCCTATTCAGATGTTCCGGGACATCTGATCGTAAGCTTACATGCTCCTTTTGAAAAGCCGCTTGCAGTGGGCAGCGATCTTGGTCTGCATATCGACCGAACATAGTTTCTCTGTTGTTATCATGCAAAGCAACCGACTGTGCCTCCTCTTGACGAAGTATCTGGGTTTCCAAATCAAGTGACGGTGATGTTCTTTCCTCCATGAGTTGTGGCCTGTGAAGTGGTAGATCACCTGTAGGCGTGTCTCTCTGGCGCTCCATGGTGGGGTGACCGTAAGAATGCCCAGTGGGGAATGAGGTGGAGTGTTTTAATTTTGCCTCTACGGCATCACCAGAAGCAGTCATACTTCCGAGGAACTGCCAGGCAACCGGACCACCCGGTCTTATTCCATCTTGAACTCCTTGAGGAAAATCCACCGAGAGTTCCATGTGGTGGTCAAGAGAGGGGTTTCTCTCCTGGTGATGGCCAACGGTTGATGGAGAAGTACTATGTTCCACAATGCTCTCAAGGTCAAGCTCATTAGAAGTGTTGAGTAAAGAGATCCTATCCAAATGCTGACAGTCAGTGAAGTGATGATAGACTTGCTGAATATGTCCTTCATCCTGCGTTTCGTGGACAAACTCTTGCTCTGAGGCTATGTCATCTGCCTGTTCTAGAGGGGTCGTCCACTTCAGCCTCTCCTTCTCTTCCTGAAAAAGAAACTACGATTACCCATTGCTGTTCGAAAATGTATTTACCTGACTTATTCAGCTAAACCACTCCAGGCGTACCAATAATATAATTTACCATAAGTGTGCAATGGAGCTGGATTTGAATCTCGAGCTAATATCCATAAATAATTGATCAAATGTACAGTAGATAATGATTATTCTAGAACCAAAAGGGCGGTAGAGGCAAACCTTCTCAGCCATTAGTGCCTTCCTTTTTATCCGTTCATCCTCTATCCTCCTGGCCACTGGCTCCTTCATCGTAAGTTCACGATGCATTAATTTTTTCAAGTTATTTATCAGCGCCCTGTGTCGTCCACGGTTCTCAAATGCAGCAGGAAGATCTTCGTTTGCCAGTTTCACCCTGGATGTGTAGTTCAATTTATCGAGGTTCAAAATATCGCCTGATAATAAATTGCTTCCAAGGTACTTACCAATGGTCTTGCAGCCTCTTTCTTTCTTCTTCCTCAAGTGCTGCATAAGGTTTGACGTCAAAGCCATTGATGTCACCCAATATTTCGCTAAGACACTCGGAATCAATTCCATTATCAGAATTCCTAATATTCATAACCAGTTGATATTGCTTCTTGTTTATCTGGAATACAAAAAGAAACAAGCACATCAATTTTGATGGTGGTATCAAAGAGATATACAAAAAGAATATGTGCCAGATCCTCTATCTTCAGATAATTTAGTCCAATGGCAACTAGAACAGCATCACAAGATCAAAAAAAAACTTATAGAATGAGCTTCTGTGTTTAACGATTGATTATCAAGGGACATCTACTGGCCATCAAAAAGATCCAACCCATCGATCTATTCTTCTGGTAGGTGTTTGGTAGCACAAGTCAATTATAATGAAACACATCTCTCAGAACTGCATGCCCTTTAAAGGTTAACATGATTCAAGAATAGTGTTCAAGGAATGGATGGTGTCAAGGCGACTTTCTCATCTCTCATTGAACACTACCCACGGATACCACAGCATATGCATATTGGAAGAAACCGTTTTAGATGTATTTCAATGTTGCCGTGGCATCATAGACCACCACAAGCAACAGAATGCTAATCCTTAAATAACAAACCTAAAACACTGATATGATGCGAAAAAACACTGGACCGAAGTTGACATTCTCTAAATGCCACATGAGGGCTTAACGCATGTGAGACAGTGAACCTAACCTTGATGTAAGACATATATTTACTGCCGCCATTTTCTAAGTCGATTTCTTGCAGCTCCTTTTCTATGGCAACTGGCGGCGTGGGGTTTTCGACACTGCTCCTGCAAAAATTAAACTTACACTTTTAGACGTTAATTTCAGCTTCAGAAAATTAGGACGTAATGTCTAGTGAAAACCAGGTCCCAGCGTGGGGACACGTACAGATGCTGAAGACCAGAAAAAATGGCTTGAATGCTTCAAGAGAGGTGATGTAACACAGAATTCTAACAATGATAACAAGCTGATTCTTGAATAACGAAAATACTACAATCTTGATCACAATACATCCAGAGTAGAAGTTGCAACAGTAGAGGATAAGCTATGTAAGAAAATTGAAAAAGACGGAATCTTGTCCCACATATAATATGCTCACAGAGATGAACCTCGATTAATCTTCTCAGTAGCACATTTGGAAAAAAAAACTGCAACGAAATCATAGAGCGCTCTTGACGCCATAGAGATTGCTTCAATCGGTATATAGCATAAACATGGCACCAACCTCAGTATATTGTTTTCAGTATCCTTGTCTGGATTCCCGCAATTTGCCCATCTCTCTTTCAACATTGAGAGGCCCTCAATGAACCTGCCATCAGAATTTGTAAATATGCAAATGAAAGAAAATATTAAAGAGTCTATACTCACAATAAAATTGGCCCCAACACGATATCTTTGAGAGAAGGCCCATACCCAGAATGGTACTTTTTTAACTCCACAAAATAAGCCTTCCTGCAGGCTCTAAGCTGATACTCCTTATGTAGAACGGTATCTGGATGAAGATTGCCGGCACAAAGTGAAGCAACCCTAATCATGTATCACAGGGTAAGTAATATTATCTTGTACAAGGCATACTTGTTGATTAATCGTAATAAGAACGGATCCACAACTAAATAAAACTGTTCCATCTATGAAATACTAATAGTAATTCAAATCCATAGTTTCTGCAAGGGAAAAAACGACGGCGAGTTGAAGTTCCAAGGTGGTAATGAGAAAGAACCTAGGGAATAAAAATACTGATAAAAAGGGACATTCTCCTTCAGTGTAAAGTCCAAAAAGATTGTAAAAGTAATAACCAAGGGATCCAGAATATACGAAAGCGCAGTACAATGCATTAATCCCTAAAAACTTCCAGTTGTAGAAGACCGACACTGAAAGTAGAACATAGAACAATGGTGGCCTCTACAGATGCTTTTATGGTTCTGTCAGAAATGTGAACGGCTCTGCCTTCCATCCAAAAAGGACAAGTCTTACAGCAGGGAGGAAAAAAGAAAGATTGGCGGCTGAAAGAACATTAATTCGAGTGAATAATCCGGTTAAGTATTAAAGATGTAAAACTCACAAGAAAAAGTCAGAAACAGTAAGAGGAGAAGAGAAAAGCAACGACAGAGAGCTGAAGATTGAAAAAAAAATGAAATCAAGTAATAGATAACACTATCCCTTATGAAATGTAGGCACATGCTGCATGTTCGGTGAAAAAACAAAAGAAGAATCAAACGTTTGAGAAGAGAACCGGCACCTACAACGACAATTTGAATATGAATTCATGAAAAACTATTGTCTGCACAAACATACTCGAATAGGATATAATAAGAACATAACAGTAGCAGTTTCTCTAGCCTAGGTGCTTAAATAGAATAGAGATGAAATAAAATATGATTGTCATCATAATCCAAGCCATCCTGAGACAATCCTCTCACTCAGCTTTCCTATTTCACTTGTGAATTTCAGGTCATTGAATAAATATTCATAACTCTGTACACCCATTGATTGTGCAAATATTCACCTTGGTTCAATTGAAATATTAGAAGAACCAAATTCAAATTCATTAGAAAGCCCAAACTTAATTAACCGATCTCTCGATGGTTTTGATGCTTATGTTCCACTAGATACATTCATCATTCGTATTCGAAGAGATGCCTTAATTTATCATATACCTTCTAATATTCTCTATATTCAATGTATAACAATAAGTTAAGTTCACAAGCCACCCAACTTAACTACAGTTTGACCCAACTTGAAGAAGACAAATAATATTAATTAGTGAGTTAGATAAATTCTGATTCCTTCTCTGGAGCACGAAATGGAGAAGGATGCTGTAATTGGCACTTGAATAGACGCTGATCATCCATACGTCATCACATTTAGCTATTAAGCCAGAAACATCAATGTTACTAGCATGGTGAATATGATACTAATCTAGAAAATGACGGTGGCATTATTGCTCACATTTTCAATTGGGGGAATAGCGGCGTGATAGTCAAACACTTTTTGAATCAGAGAAACAATCAGCGGATATTATCATCGTTTATACTGTAACCAAAGGTTGACTGGTTTTACTCGTGGACAAACATTGAAGCCTTATGAGCATGTACGATTGCTTGATACTTACCATGCATCACTATTACCCAAATCATCAGGTGAAACAAGGAGGTGTACGCCACTATCGTATGTGTTATTAAGCCAATGTAACAACCTGGTCAGGAGAATCCACTTTAAACACAATCTACAACGATTCAGATTTTTATGTTACATAATCTTTAATGTACTCTGAAGAAGGTCGTTTGCTATCCCCGTGATCCTATATTGAAGGAAATGCAAGCCGCTTCTAAACAAATTGTGGAAGGGATCTAAGCAAATCAGAGTAAAACGCACCTGCCATGTAATATGGAAGTATTCATCTAGAAAATTTCCCTAAACAATTACAGACCTCAGACAAAGTGATGTCCAAGGCCTCTACCTTCCCTTTTACATAAAATATCTAAACAAAAGTAAGAAGAAATTAAAATAATCTTCCACAATAAGCAGTTGGAAGATAAAATAAACACTCTCAGAATGCGATGCCCCTCTGTATCATACTGAAGGAAGATGGATGAGAGATAAAAGATTACTTCCCATCTAATGAAGTTGGTAACCAAGCACTTTGAGGTGGATGGCAGCAAATTTGGAAGGAAGAGCGATCAACATATTGCTTATTCCTTTCTTAAAAGTAAATTTTTAAATAGTAATAAAAACTTTTAAAACTTGCCAATTGCAGAAAGGATTCCCAAAATGAAGGTTTTCTCCTGAAAACAGTGATTGAACTACATCATCCAAATCAACACCACTGGGGAGAAACTGAGCGAGAAGCTTCTTCTCTTGCTCTGATAGGTAAGCTTTCCAGACCTGTAGAGGTTAGAAAGCAAGTTACAGACCATACATGGAAATGAATGGCAACAACATAAATGGCAGACGACGTGCCTCAACAGAGCAATCAAATAAATTTTATAAAGATTGTCCAAATTGAATGACATCATTCACCTCATAAGAGAGCACGTTCGTAACATTATCTGGGGAAAAAAGTTCTTGAGGAACTGAAACAACATCTGCCAGGAGTGACTGGAAACGTGGAACATGATCGAGAAAAGGAGCCATATCCCTCCACGTTATCCCAACCTGCTCCCTCTTTGCCAACGCTTTGCCCTGACTGTCATCCCACTCCAAAGATATGTGAGATGTTATATTCAAAAGAATATCAGAGGACTCACGCTTTTTTGGCTTCTTGATTCTCATGCTGTCGTGCAAACTAAATCTTAGGGAATTAGCACCATTCAATCTCTTTTTCTGTTGACCTGCAGCCATAGTTGAGGTCATTAACTGACGACCCACTGCAACCTACTTCATTGTCTCCTTAGCATGTAATGGCACCACTGCTCCATCAATGGTCTGGGAACCAGATACCTAAATGCAGAATTTTTACCATTAGGTTATAATGTAAAATGCAGATCAACTTCTTATTACTAGGCTGTTCTACCAATAAAATGACTTGCAATCAACAGCTACACATACTTTGAAAAGTTGCGAGTGGCAAAACTAAGTTCTATCCCACTCATATTTGTTGAAACATAAAGCATTCATTAAATCTGCCACACAACTACTACAAATAGCTTTTCTCTCAGACAAGGTTCTTTCTACGAATATGCTGAATGTCAAAAGTCTGTATACTGATGGTTTGAGCAGTAACATCTCAGAAAAATATCATACAATAGGTTCTTTATGACGAAAAATCGCCATCCTTTTTTTCCTTTTTTAATTTAGAATTTCATTAACCAGATAATAGGCCCATGCTGCTGGGATTTTCGGTCAGTAGAAAACGTTTAAAACAGATTTAGTTACTGTCACAACATGGCATGATGCAATTCTAACACTCAGCCCCTGTCTCTGAATGCTACCGGTGATCCAAGCCACAGGCCAACCTTGGCACTTCATTCGGCCTGGCTATGATGCTAAAATGATTTAATAAAATTTTAAATTGCTTCATTAAAAATGAAATTAAGCATAAAGATGAACCAGGTAAGACTACAACCAAAGGTACAGTAAGGCAATTAATTTTTTTACATAAAATAATAATATAAATAAGTAAATTATTACATTAAGTCATCAAGTAATCCGTCATATTGCAAAGATGGCCACAAAAAGGAGTCAAGAAAACGAGAATTCGGTTGTGAAAATGCTAATGCTAATAAACGTCAAACTTTGACAAAGATATTCCACGATAATAAATAATTAAGCAAAATTCCCTACTCTTTGTTTGGCGTCAAATAGAGGAAACGAAGGCACTGAGTTAGGGTACCATTAAATTCAGATTTCATAAGCTCTAGGATGGAGATGTTTGGGCAACTAACCAGAAAATTCAATACAATTTTTTCTCTTCCACAAAAATGAATAAGAATTCATGTTAAATATTAGTGATTAAAACAGAGCTTTGTCATAAATATAACTGTCCAACGAAGCGTAAAATAAAATAAGCAAAAGACATTTTCATACTGAGTAGAAAATCAATACAAGAGGCTTTTAGAAAAAGAACTGTAGTTTCAGTAGAAAGTTACAACAGAATGAAGTCGTATCGGAGAAAATAATATCGTTCCGTGAGCCCATTACAGGGACGCTAATCTTCTTGTTGGCAGGCATCCCTCGGAAAAAAGAAATCAAATAAGACAACACAGGCGAGACGAATGCCCCGGAACAAAAAACAAGAGAGTAATTGACATAAAGAATTTCAGTCCGCGTCCAGGGCCATACAAAACCCTAAGATGACCAATAAAGTACAAGCCGAAGTTCGAAGGTCCACCACCTCCTCTTCACCCTCGACCGGAAAACGGCCAAAGAAAAGCTGATATCGATAGCGCAGAGAAGATTACCGAGATTCCTCAGTCTTTGCTCTCGAGAGCGAAGCAATGGACCGAGTCCCCTCTCCTTCGAAAAGGAAAGTTCAATAGCTGGGAGAGGAAGGGCTCCCTGTTTCGTTTTATCCGCAGGCGGAGGGTACGGAGAGCCGTTGGCCTCTCTCTCCTCTCCCATCTTCGCGTACCTCCGCGCAGTCCACCGCGGCGTGGCCTGGCTCGAGGAAGGGACTGGACAGCCGACTCCACTGGGGCGACTCTGCGCCAGCAGTCTGCCGATGGTCAGTTATGACGTCACCCCCAGGAATCAGTCTCCGAGAACCGACATACCCCATATCGCTTTGATCCTCCACGTGCGGCTGGCCCACCTAATATCAACCGTTCGATCGTTGGCCCCTCGTCCCGAGAACCAGCCCGAAGTATCAAGGCCGTCCAAGAGCCACCGCTTGTTTTGGATTTTACCGATTGAAGCTTATTAAAGTAAGTCTTATCCGAGTCGAAGGTCTCGACTAGTCGACCACCCTGACCTGAAACAGTTTGGGCCCACCCTTTTTTTTTCCTCATCTGCAAATACCGAGCAAAAGTGTCTGGTGCGGCCCACTTGACTATACAAGGGCCAAGCCCAATTGCAGCTCTGCCCTCTCTCTCTCTCTCTCTCTCTCTCTCTCTCTCTCTCTCTCTCTCTCTCTCTCTCTCTCTCTCGCTCTCGAGCCTATCTACGAGCCACTGTACAAAAGAAGCCATTTTCTTACAGACCAGTGAGAATTTTCTTGTCATAAAACTTGGAGTTGAGATGAGTTACAGAAAGGTGAAGGAAGCCTGTAAATACACGGCTACCGGAGAGATCTTCCTCCTAGCCGTGTCCCGCAGTCTTGCTCGTGTTGAAGAGCTCCATTGCAGAAGGGGTCCGGGTCCTCCTGTACTTGTATCTCTGAGCGCAAAATATGAAGCCACAGAAATTGAGAAAACTCAAGAACGACAGCAGCCAGTAGAAGTAGTCGAATCTCCCGGTATTTATGTTCTGGGAGAGCCACGAAGGCCGCCCGCCGGCGTCGTTCCCGGTGAGCGACTTCACGATTTTATTCAAGAGAGTGGCGCAGAAGCAGCCCAGTCCTCCGGCCACAGCGGCGTAAGACGACCCGATGCTCTTCATGGCGTCGGGAGCTTCCTGGTAGAGGAACTCCAGAAGCCCTACTATGGCAAAAACCTCGGCTAACCCAATGAGGCAGTAGGGGATCAGCAACCAGAAGACGGTCAGATCCGGCATGGCAGTCAAGAAGATGGACTGGTACCCATGTCTAATGGCGAACTCCCTCCTGTACCTCTCGAAAACTCCTGCGACGGCCACAGAGAGGATCGATATGCCCAGGCCCAGGCCGACCCTCTGGAGCTGCGAGGCCCCCTGAGGGTGACCCGTGATGCGCCGCGAGAGAGGAGCGAAGGTGGAGTAGTAGAGGGACAAGAGGAGGAAGATGCTCAACGCGGGGAAGACAGGGATGCACGTCACGGGGAGCTTCAGCCCGCCCATGTGGGTGTTCAGGGTGTACGCTTGCTGGATCGACAGGGTCAGAAACTCGGTGAAGATGACGCTGAGCATTATGGTGAATGCAGGTATGGGGAGAAGCCTCAGCAGGATCTTGACCTCCTCGACCTGGGTCACCGTGCATAGCCTCCAGGGGCTCGGTTCAGGCCCATCGTCCAGCTGCAGCGCCGCCTTGTCCAGCCATCTGCACAGCCCAACCAGCTAAGTATTATCATCAACTAGGGTTCTCTCCAGACAAATAAAATGGAAAAGATCGAAGCTTGAACGATTTCTTCGGCACGGTAGTGCACCTGAAATCGTCGGTATGGTCTATCTTCCCGCTGCCTTTAATGGCGGACTGTTCGCCGGGGAGTTCGTAGAGGCCGACGAATTTGCTGCTTGAGAATGGCTCGCTCCTCTTCCGAAAGGCTGCGACGAGAACTTGGGCGACGCGGGTCAGAGGGGCTGCCTCCGGGAAGTCGGTGCCGGTACAGAGGAGTCCCGGCGAAGAACAATGCGTTGGAGACGCCCATGGCCAGCGCCATCAGGCCAAAGGCATAGGCCCATCCGCGCTCAATTTGAACGTAGACTACCAAGGTGAAGGCGGCGATTGCTCCAATTGTGACGGAGAGGTAGAAGAAATTGAAGAACCGGTCCAGGAGGGCCTTGTAATCCTTGTCCCGTTCGTCAAACTGATCGGCGCCGAAAGAGGAAACACAGGGCCTTATTCCAGCAGACCCAAAAGAGGTTATGTAGAGGACGACGTACAAGTACCCCATCTGCCATGGTTTTGCCTGCTCACACATGCCCAAGAGAAGGGACAGCTGATCGCAGTGAGTTTGATCCGGAAGAAAGGTGCCCATCGACGCGCATATCGTGATTCCTATCAGACCCTTCAAACGTTTTGGAAATAAAATATCAGGGAAAGGAAAAATGAAGGAGTGATCTCCGTAGTTGCATGCGTAAGGTGGAGCAAAATAAATGGTCAGAGCTGAGAAAGAAAAAAAACTTGAAGCAGATCCCGCTGGAAAATAAAGATCACGGGCGGGAGCAAGTTTATCTGGGCCCCATTGTTGTTTGAAAGACAAGAAACGCATTAAACGCCGAAAGGAGGCCACCACTTACAATAAGATAGATGGTGGAAAAGATGCCAATCGTCCAGTATCTGCCAAGATAAGCGTCGGCAAGAAAGCCCCCGATTACAGATGATGCCTGCGAGATGCCGAGGAAGGTGTTCACCGCGTTTGCTGCGCTTGTGAAAGGCCGATGCATGACATAAAACATAAATGCCACCATGTTCACCGAGAGCCCAAAATAGGCTAATCGCTCCGCCACTTCATTTCCTACAACCATGTGCGCGAAATTCTTCAGGGGATTGGATCCTGAATCAGTCTTGCGAGATGGGTGGGTGTGTTCTCATTCAAGAAAGAAAATACGTGAAAATTAATCGTCGGATGTTGTAGAAAAGGCAACAGAATATCAAACTCTCGAGATTCTCCGTGAAAAGCATATACGAAAACGGACAGGAAATTCATGGCCAAACAGAATGCTTAAAACTATCAGAGAAGATAGGGAGGAAAGAGAGTGTGGAAGCTTGATACGTAGGGAGGGAACTGGAACTGGGACTGGTATTCTTCATGAGACGTGGGATTTCCCCTCTGAAGAACACTGAGGTACTTGGTAATACTCTTCTAGGAAACCAGGGCCGACATTTGGGGGTTGAAGAGTTATGCATCAAGAGCAAGCTTCTCTGGGTACGAGACGAGAAAAGAAGACATCGGATGCTTCAAGATGGAGAGTCAACGGACCGAAGATGAAGAACGCGGCGGTCCAACCGCCCGTCTTCGAGAGATCCTCGATGGGCCTCCCACGGATATCGACTGGTGTAGTCCCCAGGTGGGAGCTGAAGATTCCCAGATGGGTTTTCCTTTCGTCGCTCTCCGCGAAGTATATTCCCAGCTTTTGCCGCCGGAATGACTCCGATGTCGCTTCTCCGGCTGGCGCCGGCAGAGAGGAGCTCACGGGGGACCTGATCTCTCCCATTCCTAGTGAGAGAGCACGACGGCCACAGGATACAGACGGCTAGCTACGTCCACAGGATACAAAGGGACCGCTCCGGCCACTACGAGAAGCGGGATCTGCTGCCGGAAATTATAAGGATGCCAGTAGAGTACAAGTAGCCGCAGCCGCGGTGTCTGCGCATCTGAGGCCAATTAACTACTCGCTTACTCTCGTTCAGAGAACCGGATGGTTGGAATGGGAGAGGGGTATTAAATAAGGTTGATGAGGGTAGGGCGAGCCGCCATTAATGTAGCTGCTGTTGCTTCTGTAGACGACATGGGGACAACGAGTACAGAGGCGGAGCGGTACAGAAGACGGATCTCGAGTTCTCTCTTCCGGCCGCGGAGGTGCGCAGATCGCCATCTGAAAGAGAAAACCTGCGGAAGAGCGTCTACGCTCTGCCATTGTAAAAAGAGAAAAAACAAAAAATACATCACATCTCCTTATCTGTCATCGCCAATGAACATTCTATCTAGCGGGGAAGACAGTCGGCGGCGCGTCACATCACTGAGCAGCATCACCGAAAGAGAGAGAGAGAGTTGCTCAAACATGATGCTTAGAATAATGTCTGCCCGAGAGCAGATATAGTATTTCTTTTTTCAGCAATGATTAGTAACTTAATACATATAATTGTTTAATGCTAATCCACTGTTAAAAAAAACGAGGGCTCGAGAGTAATAAAAAAATGATGCAGGGCCCGAGCCGCCTAAATATCTGCTGACTCACTTCCCAACCAAACATTTATGCAACTTTGGACCACTTTCCTCGCAGTTCCATTTGGTACACTCCTGGGAGTGGGGGTTTTGGGGGGGTGCGTCATCGATGTCGGCTGCGGCTGCGGTGGAGGAGTGCCGGGTTATTCAACCGCGGCACCAGAGCTGCCACGTTGCTGAACCCGCAGAAGCAAGCTCATCTGGGCTGTATGATGTGATGTAAGATGTATGATGTGAAACAAAAGGGTAACTCTTCGATAATCTTGTGCTGTAGCCCAAAATTTTATCTGGGCTATAAATGGGCTGTAATGGGCCCATTTGAGAGGCCACAAGTCTACTGGGCCGGGGCCTCGTGATATTATCTAGGCCTTGTGTCGCATACTGAAGCCCTCAGTTTGTCATGTATTCGTTTCCATCGCCATCCTACGTTGGCGGTAGGGGGAGGAGCAGCCGGAGCCACGAGGCGCGTCCGTTCAAATCGACGGGGATATGCACATCGAGCATACGTACAAGGCCCGTCGGCTACTCTCCATTGCTACTTAGCATCGTTGTCTTCACCGCGGGCGGGGCGCGCTGCTGCTGAGCGTTTCGCCGGCGAAACAAGCGGCTCTCGTCATCTCCCTCCCCATCTTTTGGTGTTGTCCGTCTTTCTTTCCTCGATGGATGGAGTGGGGGTGGGAGGCGATGCGTAGATTGCCCGAGGTGATTGGAAAGTGGATTGGGGTTTGTAATTGTCGTTCATATTTGTTGTGTTAGTCTCGAATCTCCGGCTGACCTGCGAGGGGCGTGATTCACTCTGGCTCTTTTCATCTTCTACGTTGATAGAGGAATGGGGTCGAATTCGGATGGCTCCGGCGAGGGTGGCGGCCGTGTGCGGGGTTTGGTCCTGAAAGCCCTGGTACTCATAGGCGGGGCGCTTCTCCTGAAAAGGCTGACCAAGGCCACCACCAGATGGGATCATGCGCGTATCGTTGCAGAGTCTCTCTCTGGCGAGAAGGTGAATACTCTCCGTCAGAACCTACCTTTTTAATTTATCTTTTGTGCTCCGGATAGTAACCGGATCTCATTACGTTTATAATAATTTTCTTTTCAAGTATTCTCGCGACCAGGCCACCAGAGATCCTGAAAATTACTTCAATCTAAGGTTGTTATCTTTCTCTTTTTTCTTTGTTCAATTTTTTGGTTATCTTATTGCGCTTTCCTTCGGTCGTCATTTCAAAGTATGCGAAATGTAGAGCGAAGGCACTATGTGGCTCATAGAGTGTGTTCTGGAAGAAAGATACCATGATGTGCCTATGTTTTTTTCTTCTTCTCGTCTATCAATATCTCATAATTGTTCCAACAGTTACCAACTTCTTAAAATGTTTAAAATCAGCACTTTTATGATCATGTTAGTTTTCTTGTAGAAAAAGGTGTTCCAATAATGCAGTCCGTCACTGCACTTATTGACGTAGTGGAAGCCAAGGAAATCGTACATTGAATCCAAAAGAATTGATAGAGTTAATCCTTGAGTTCACAAGGATTGAATAATGAGACCATTTGATCCAGTAAGGAGTCGTTAGTACTGTCGAGGCCCTCATTCTCTTCTTCCGAATCAGGCCGACACAACGGAATGGGGATTGAATCCATTAGGGTTGATAGAGTTGATCCTTAAATCTACAAGGAGTTGCTTGAATCCAGAAGCGAAGGGTGGGGAAAATAGTTTTTCTGGGTTGAAAAAAAAACCATCTTGATTTAAGTGCGCGGCTCCCTAAAAAGGCCAAAAGTAGTTGTAAATTCCCTAAACAATAAGATCCGATATCAAACTCTATAATAGTTAAGACTTCCTAGATAACAGCGAACATTTATTTGCCATAAGAAAAGAAAGCACATTTGGGCCCTATGGGCCAACCTAAACAACACTATTGAATTCTTCCTCTTTTTACACGTACCAGCCTTCTGGACTACACCTTTTAGAGCGATCTGTTTCCTGCAGATCTATTCTACATCACTGACATACGGCACCTATGCTATAAAGACTTGATTTCTTTTTCCTTGCACTATATTGAGTACAAATTTGAAATAGTTGATAGTATTCTAACACATTGCTGTTCACTTAATTTACTGTATTTAATACTTCTTTAATAAATTTTAGACTAATTGAAAAAGACAATGAAAAACTGTAAACTACTTCTTATGGTAGACCGTACATGAGCAGATCAAATTGTGAATCAGCGAATTCATGTGGTAATTAATTAATTTTCTAGGAGGCTGTAATTTTTCCCTTTCCTTTGGATTTAAATGGCCGATTTGGCTTTTTACGTTGATGTTGGATTATCCACAGCTGGTTCCAATCCAAATCAACCCAATAACATTAGAATCAGATGGCTTTTTTTCGCCATTATATTTGATAGATGAGTGATGATGTAGTATGATTATGTATGGAGATTGCAGACAATTGATTTCTTCATAAGATGACAATGATGCTAATTAGATCCCAATTTGACTGTTCTAAAAGGATCAAAGCTTACTATGAATGGGATGGATGTACAATAGAAAGTAGGATATCATATGATTTGCCTTGAATAACTTAAGTACTCACATACCTTCTGTAGAAAAAAGGCAAGAAAAATTTTTACTAGATGAAATTCATATTTACGCAATGTCTATCGGTTTATTGTATCCATATTATCATTTCAAACGCTGTCACTATAGTCGCCATGTTCGCTGTCAAGTTTGATGAGTTTTCTCTTCTGGTTTTATTTTCTCCTTAGTTTCTAGATGCATGATGAAATCCTTTGTTCTTTCTCTCCTGCCTTGTATGTCCTAGAAACAAAGTTAACTGATATATGTTTGTTTTCTATTTTTTATTTAATTTATAAATGATAAGCTTTATCTTCTTGCGTCTCTTTTCTGAGAAATGATTTAAGAAAATATTATCCTTATCTATGCAGAATGCTTACATGCCCTGTGACAGAGATGGTAGATGGTTCAAGAGTTCTGTATAATGAACAGGTTAGGTTGATTTTGTAGTTTCGCAATGTACATTCGTGCTTCAATTTGCTTTTTAATAAATTATTTTTTTCCTTTGTTACAGGCATTTTGGAGAACCCCTCAAAAACCTTTTCGTCAAGTATGATGACTTCTTAGCTTTTTGGAAATATTCGATATACCTTCTTGGAAATATTAAGCTTATGAAAATTCTTTCAGTTGTTTCTATGCTTATGACGAAAAGTGACGGGCGGACACATCTTTGTTGCCTAAACCATGATTACGTCTGAGGCTGTCAATGGAGTAGACGATGACCAATGAACTCGTCACGGTCACCTTAAAACGAAGTCAGTGTTGCGATAGTATTTGATATCATTTTCCTGACGATAGTATTTATGGTTGAAAATACTAGAAGTCTCAGGCACTTAGAACAATGTGAACTTGAAAATGTTCGTGTGAAAAAAAGGCTATCCTCACCGCCCCCACTTAGAAGAAGAAAAAAAACAAAAGAAAGAAGAAGAAGAAGAAGAAGAAGAAGAAGAAAGAAGTACATTTAGCTGGTGAAATCGTCAAGTGTTGAAACTAAAAATCTGCTTTAGATTATGGCGATAAAATGAAATGCAACAATCTGTGTTTGAAATTTGAGTTATATCAGTACGTCTCATCATTTTAGTTTCCAGACGAATCCTGATAGCTTTCCTGTTTGCAGAGGTTTTACATGGTTAAGCCTTGTCCGAAGGAAATGAAATGCGACGTTGAGGTAAGATTTTAATTATTTATTGCATTAGAAAAAAGAATTTAGGCATCATTTTTTATTTTCACTTTGAGAATTCGTAGCTTGTAAGACATTCCAAACCTCTCTCCAAGCCAAGTCAAACAGGCATCTAGTATGTTCACCTGAGTAATACCATGCTCTTCTCTCTGGCAGAGATTAGTTTGATGTTTCCTGCCGGTGCTCATCATCTGTGTATAAGTTTGGAAATCCTAGTTACACATTCTCAATTCTGCACCAGAAAATTTGGTCCTCGAGTTTCAATCACTCTATCTCAAAGAGAGTATATTTCTTCCGCTTTGGCTGGAGACATTTGAAAAGAATAATTTGAGTAACTGCATTTTACCCAGAGAAGATCAATTGACATATAGGCACTCCCATTCCAGTATAACTTTAAGATAGCCGACTTACCGCAAACATGTCCTTCATATATGCCCTATAAATACTTCTCAATAATTAAGACTACTAGATCGCATGATTTTTTCCTATCAGCTGCATCATCTTGCCGTAAAAAATTTTAATTTGTGGTGAATCGACAGTTGAATACGTATGCAATAAGAGACGCAGAGGAATACAAAAACTTCTGTGATCGCTCAAAGGATCAGCGACCACAAGAGGAAGAAGTTATCGCTGTATGTTTTTATTGCTTGCAAAGTTTCTTTTAATTGCTACCTATGCAGCACATTTTCATGATGCACTTGGGCCAAGCCGTCTGTTATGTGGATATAGTTCCTTGTGTGATGAAAAGCTCTTGAACTGTAGTCAGATATTAGCTTTAAGATATCCACATGACAACTGTTCATGTCTGGACCGATTGATCCTTTTATTAGATAATCACAACAAGATCCAAATATTGAAATCAATATAGATATCCTGTTGATTGATCCGTTAATTAGATAATCAAACAAGATCCAAATATTGAAATCGGTATAATATCCTGCCTGTTTCGTAAGTGCTAGTTTTCAATCGTTTCCCGCACTGATGCACTCATCAAGAGGATGATTTTTGAAACCCCCTGCATACTGTCCCGAAACTGGTAAAGGATCATATTCAGGAAGGTTAAGGCATTGCAATATTCCATCGCATTGCTGGGTTGTTTATCAGGCTGTGCATGGAAGCTACGGATGTCCATGAATATTATGAACTGCCGTGTAATCCTGTCATAGGGTTAGTTCTACTATTAGGTACAGATCATTTGTTGTAGTCTTGGGAGTGGACTTCCGGGGCATGCATAGCATTCATGTAGAATCCCTTTACGAGAAAGTCTTCAAAGTTTGGTATCTCGCTGTAATTTAGTCTGGCATATATGAAATTTCTGTCGGATGTCTGAATCAAATACTTTTATAAGGGAGTTTATTTGCCTTTGAATCATGAGAAAGCCTCTATAGATTTTGCATTGGCTAATATTTCACCGTCACCCAATGTGATTCAGCTGTGTCTTAACCATGATCAAGGGCCCAATATACCTTACTTTTTGTCATTCCCTGCTCACGAGAACATCAAGATAAGCAAACTTTGGAATGTCTTAAATAGTGATATTCCCAGCTTTGATGTCTATCTCTTAAATACCTGACGATAGCATACCATACCTTTTGCTAAAATAGTGATATTCCCAGCTTTGATGTCTATCTCTTAAATACTGAAGAATAATAATTAGCACACTTTTTAGTTGCTATCTAGAAATCCTAATCTCCTCGGCCTCTTAATTAATACAAGGGACTTGTAACGTTGCATAACTGACATACCCATTTCGAAAAAGGTGATAGATGAGATGATTATATTTTATTTGAGGGGATACTACTTCCATCAATATTAATGATTTGAGAGCGAAGTTCAATCTGCGTTCTGACAAGATGGATCCAAGGCTTGATCTTCTCTGCTTAATATTTTCTCCACGCTTGTGCTTCTCCAACGCCCAGAAACTGACCGCTGTGGCTCACTTTTATGATAGGATATTGCTGAACACTTGACCACTGTTTATCTCTCGCAATGTGAACGCGGGAAGCGCTGCTTGTATGAAGGCTCGGCACCACCTGGCGGGTTCCCCAATTCATGGGTACCGTATTTGCTTACCATATTGAGAATCCATAGCTGAATAATCGATTTTGGAAACGTGGTTTTTATAGTCAATTTCCTGCATAAATGATGTGCAGAATGGCGCATCATATTGCACTTCGGAGCTCTCCGTTCACAGAAGTGGAGAGATTCATACATGGGACAGAGGCTTCGATGAAGAAGGAAATCAAGTGAGATATTTGTGGAAAATAGCTTTTCTATTCTCGTTATTACTTTCAACAGGAGTCATCTAACATAAAGGATGTTGATCAAACTGTGTTTTCAATCAGATTTGGGGAGTGAAGGAAGGCCCTTATGAGTTCAAGCCCGCACCAAAACCCGCAGCTCCATCTGGCTTTACTGACATGTTCTCACCATTAAACCTTGCCCCAGCAGTGACATTGGACAAGAGGATGGAAGGGTCGTTTGTAATGGAGTAGATGTCTCACCGGTCTGTGTAAATGCCATAGTATATTTCTTTTTTTATGCCGGGGAAGCTGATATATGGCTCGTGCTTCCCCACCTTGTAGCCGATGATTGCTCTTCCGTGGTCAGGCCTGACTCAGAATCCTCTTGCATGAAATCTCATGAAGCGTCAGCCGAAAGCTCTGTGATGTAGGAGGGTTTGTGCGATTGGACAGGCCTATCTGGGCTGCTGAGGATGATCAACGATATCAGTGCTCTTCAGGTTGTCGGAGGATTTCCTGCAACAAGATTCCCATTGAAATGGGGGATGGATCTCAGAGCCAAGCTCCAGGCTACCATGGAGCAGCTGTGTTACAATGTTCTTCAATCTTGTTCTTTGGTTGAGACTTCAAGTGTCTTGTAATAATGCGGTAAAGCTTGAAATAGATTTAAAATATTCTTCTGCACAGAATAATGATGTCATTCATAATTTCCGGAGTGCTTCATGAGCATACACATTTCTTCTTGGCAACCTCGTATGATTGTTTCCGCGAACCAAATTGCAGAGATTTCTCTGCGAAGCCAAACGAAATTTCGTTGCTAGTGTGACAGAAGAAGAAATTGAAACTGGAGAGATATTACATTGCTCTGGGAGGAATGTACTTTGAAGAGCAAAATGACAGCGGCATCTCCGACTACCAGCCATTTTACAAGGGTGGGGGGCTGAAGAACCGGGGAAGAAAAGGCCCTTGGAGAGCACCGCTACCTAGAGCGATCAAGCTAAAAAGCATTGTTGAGGTAGAAGTACAGCCCCGCAAGCGCTATTGCACCTACTGCTATGGCGATGGGCAATGCTTTCCTGAAGAACACCGGAAGCCAGGAATCCAGAAGAAAGTCAGAAATCCTGAGAATGCTCTGACAAACTGATTCATTATTGGTGGGTGCTTGCTTACCCGACGGCTTCGTCTCTCTTCAACTCCGCCTTCCGAGCTTTACGGACATCCAGGCTATTGGCGTCCTTGGTGACTGCAGGTTCGTATGCCCTAAATCTCCGCTTTGGCGCCCCACAGACTGTGGCAAATCCCAGGCAGACCGAATGGGTGATTTACTCGAAGCCTCATGATTCTCGCAATTGAGTTCGGATGACCAAATGCTACTGCTAAGGAACCAACTATGCTAAGCGAAATATCATCAGAGTTCTCATATTTGATGTAGAAGATGCACGAGCGAATGATCGAGCGCCTGGCTGGCTCACAGCGGTACTCAAAATTAATCGAAGAAAAGAAGAGAGGAATCAAACGCACCGGGGCAGAAGAACTTGTCGGGAAGCTTCTCAAAGGGAGTCCTCTCGTTGTAGATATAACTGCAACGACAAAGCGGAAAATGAACGAATTCGTACTCAAAAACATCGTCAGCAGAAGTAGAATTCTGAAGAGAAGACAAGGAGGAAGGTGCGAAGTCCTCACCCGCAGTCGCGGCAAATGTAGGCCTGCTTGGAGGCGACTCGCATGGTGAATCTGGGGGCTGTGACGGGGGCCGGCCGCTGAGGAGGCGAGCGCAGGAGGTGGATCGACGGCGTGAAGAAGGCCGACCGGAGGGCGAAGCGGTCCGACGGCCGCCTCAGCCCCAGCTGCCCGCCGGCCGCCGGAGACAAAGAGCATATCCCCCCCTTGGGAGCGGCGGCGGCGTTGGAGAGTCCTGTCGGCGCTTGGAGGGCCATCTTCCTCCCTTTATCTCCCACACTCTGCGCAGTCCACACCTCCACCTTCTATCCGCAGAACGGGGGGAAGCCCCCTGGGTGGAGATAAGAAGCGGAGAGACGACTTGCAGTCCAGATCCTTCGAGCCTTTTCGGGGCCCGATCTCTTCACCGCCCAGTCGAGTCTGGCCACGTCCCCAGAGAGACCGCATCTTCTCGCGTGACGTGGTTGCACACAGTCCACATCAACCTTCGTTCAAGAGCGACCGGAGTGATCCCTAGCGAGGGAACGTGGCAGAAGCGTGGCTTCCATACTACCCTTTCCCCTCTCCTCTAGTGAGAAGTTTGAGCGAGGAAGATGAAGGTCGAAGGAAGAGTGCCGGGTGAAGTCCGACAGCGGTGCCTGCATCTTCCTTCGGATAGATCGTTCGAGTAAACCCTACAAAAATTACAAAGTCAGATGATACGACCTTCTTGCTGTTTTCACCTGGTAGCAGACGCGCAGAGATTTCGGTCTTGGCCTTCCAATAGGATCACCTTCCATGTCCGATAGATTGCTTGGAGTGTACCAAAAAGAAGAGTGAATTCAGAGGCTGCATCATCAAGATCTAGAGTCGGAATCTTCGCCGCAAACAGGATCGCCGCAGGAATGCTTCATAATTTATGGGTGTTAGAGAGGATCGGACGTAATATTGCGAAAAAATAAATTCCGCATGATATCATCTAATTATTTGGGGTGCACTTGACAACATAGGTGAATGATGATCGTTAAAATCATGAGTGGTAAGATAACGACCCACTATTTAAAACGAAGAACAAGTAGAAATTTGCAGTCAAATCTTGGGGCTGTATCTATGATTCAAGATCAGGGTCTAATTTGGACATTGGGTCTAATAAGTAACTTGAGCTCGATCAAACAAAGTTGGGCACGTAGGTTCAACAGAGGTTAAGTGAAACACTAAGACGTAGGTTCAACAAAGGTCCTCTCTCTCTCTTTTGATGCTAGATTTCTCATGTTTCTCTCTTCATTACCAATGACATCAACGTATTTTATATCGATTCATCCTTTGCTTTGTTACTATTTTCCTTAGAGACACAGATTGATTTTCATGTAATCAAAAACTTAACCACACATACTATGTTTCCTCATATAATTTGTTAGATGATCAGCACCTCATATTGTAGCTCAATCATTTCTCCTCGCACTGCCCAAATACCTTAGGCCATAATAAAGAGCATCAACCTTTAAGATAAATATAATTCCAAATCACTAATGTTGAGTGAATGATTGATGCAACATTATATACTTTGTTTAAGCTTGATGTCGTTAATCCTTGATAGAGAGATAGATATCTGGTATAGTTCTTATCGTCATTGGAGAGTTTTTGTCATAAGTTTTTTCTCTTTTTTCTTCAACATCTTCCAATCATTTATTATCTCAAAAAATAGTAATGTAATTTCAAAAATCTTCTCTTTCTCAATAATTCATGCCAACGACCTTTGCTTTTTTTCATACTTTGAAACTCTATGTTTATTTATTTATTTATTTATTTAGAATTTAAAATATACATTGATTTCTTGTCAACAAATATTTCTGTTGTTGAGATTGAGTCCATTAAGGTTATTTAATCAATGATTGTCACCATGTCATATGTACATGTTATTATTCATATTCCATGTTTGAGACCCTCAATTGATTTTGATATTTTGTGATTTTTGAGATATTTTCTCTATCAAGTTTATGACATGTTGTTATCCTAGTACTAAGTTCTAGACTTGCACTTAAACTAATATTTCGTGAATTTCCAAACATATCTTCACTGAAGCTTGTAACTTATCATTGTCCAAATTTTGAGTTCAAGACCTACACTTGACTTGATATTTCATAATTTTTTAAATATTTTTCATTGAAGCTTCTTACTTGTCATTGTTCAAATTTCAGATTTGAGACCTACACCTAACTTGATATTTCATGACTTTATAATTTTTTATCACATACATTGGTACTGAATTTCTTACACTTATAAATATAATTTAAGTTGTTACATTAGTTCCAACATATAAAGATTTCAAGGATCAACTCTTAGATTCGTTTGTTAGATATATGATCACAATAATATTAATATTATAAATATTAAATAGTTATTACAAAATTAAACCTTTAACACAAGTTCTCGTGAGATTTAAATATTTAATAAGTAATTAATAAATAAAAGTTCGTATTTTAGTATAAAAAACAAGGGCATCAATAGGGGCTAAAATTCTATTGTAGATCCCAACGTTGATGGACCCACCTAAAACCCTAAGATTTTCTTTATTATTAATGAGCACTAGTTTCACTTGCTTATTTACGTTAGCTTTGACACCTATAGTTAGTCATGAAGACCTCAACGCCCTGATTTGTTTGGTTATGAGAACCATGTTGCCCTAGTAAGGTTGGTCATGAGGACCCCACGGCTCCCGGTCATGAGCTACGCCATTCTGTCACTGTCATATTCTTCGCCTTCATTGTCACTAACTCCTTCATCGATGCCTCCATCACCACCATGGTTGTCGCTCCACCTCTAGGCTCCATCTCACCCTCCTATGCTCTCTCCCACCTCTGTTGCCTCAAATCTGCCACTGCCGCCGCTTCCATTCTTATTCGCTGCCCCATATGTTGCCATCTCAAACTGTTGCTATTGTTGCCCTTTCATTGATGTAATTGCACCCCTGTCATGAATATTGGTCTTAGTTCCATTCGATACAAAATCAAAGCAGTATTGTAAAAAATATGAGAATTTAAATTTTTAATAAAATCAGAATATTATGAATTTTTCTCTATAATTCAAGCGTCGCTTGTTTTCTAGATAATGTGGAAGGATAGATCTTACTCGGACGCAATAGTAAAATGAAATTAGGAAAAATGTAGAATGGGCCGGGTTCGTTTCCAGGCCTCTTTCGGGCCCATAGACCGAGCCGGGTTATCTGACACGTACTATCGGATCCTGTGCGGATAGGAGGCGGAATCGTAACGGATACTTTCAGTAAATAGGGAGATATGCGGGCAAAATAAATAAGAATTTCTAATACTAGAGCTCGGGATGCTTCACCAGTGAACAAAGATACGTTTCGTTACCGACGAAGAAAAGTTTGCTCATCCCACCGCTTTCATTCAGCCCGTCGTCAGCTCCGTCGTCCTCGCATCCGGATCACCACACCAGACGAAGGCCGCTTCCTCCTCCTTCCAGATTTGCCGCTCGGGAGAACGGCGTCTTCGACATCGATGGCGTCGTCCACGGGCCCGCCAGGCGCGTCGAGGCCTCCTCCGGGGTACATCCCGCCGCCTACCAACCCGCGGCAGCCAAATCCGGCCGCCCTCGCCAGTTCCCTGCAGAATCTTCAGATCGGCCAGTCTCCGGTGCCGTCTGGCCCTAATCCTGCGTCATCAGGAGCTTCCATCCCCTTTGGTGCGCCGGCATCTCCTTTTCCCGGCCAGGGGCCGATCTCTCGCGCCGGGCCACCTGCTCGGCCTTCGGGATCGCCGTCCCCGTTTTCCCAGCCTCAGACACCATTCGGGGGACCCGTCGTGCCACCCAGGCCTCAGGCTGTGGGTCCAATTGGATCAATGACGAGCAACGGCCCTTCCATGTTGGGAACGCCTGGGCAGCGGTTCCCTCCCCCGGCGAATTTGCAGCAGCCGCAGCCGCAGCGGCAACAGCAGCCTCTGGTTGGGCCCCCGATGGTATCGACCAGAGGACCTGCGCCTGGGCATCCTCCAATGCAGTCAATTCGACCGTTTCCCGGAAGTCCCCCTCCCGGTGCTCCCTTGGCATCTCAGACATTGCAGCCATTTCAAAATCAAGTGACTTCGCAGCCGATCTCCAGTGGCCTGCCCGCATCGCAGGCGTTCTCTGGTCCACAGCCTGTGCATTCTATACCAGGTCCTCAACCGGGGTCATATCCCCAATCCAGCGCTCCGCAGACTTTGCCGCCATTCCCTGGCAATCCTGCACCACAGCAGTTCTCAGGTATGCCATCCTTTCAAGGATTCCCCGGTCGGGCCACGTCCCAACCCCCAGCGGGATTCCCACCTTCCGCGCCGTTTCCTTCTCCTCCTCCATCAGCATCCCAGACATTCTCAGGCCCCCCGCCCCCGCCATCTTTTACCGGTCCACCCAAATCTCAGCCATTCCCAGGTTCGGGGCCATTCCCAGGTTCTAGGCCGCCAATCTCTGCTTCGCCCTATGGGGCATCAATGTGGTCAACGCAGCAGCCACAACTGGTGAGTTCAACTCCTACGTGCTGACCAGTTATTCTGTTACTATACTTGTCTGATTCCGGCGTCCAAGGGCGCATTTTATATCCAACCAGGCATGTTGCTAGATGTATCTTTTTTTTATAATATTTTTGGGCTGTGCTCTTTACTGTCACGCGTATTGTCCGAAAGGTTCCAAATTTTACAGAGATTTAGTGACATCATTTGCATACCGCGAAGTTATAATTTGATCTTAAACGTACGTCTGTTCTGGGAAAAATCTCATACATAAATTATTGGCTATAGGGTCCCCCAACGATGCCCGGTTCGATGCAGCCGCCGCCTAGAATGTATGGGATGGCACCTAATGGGGCAAATCCAGGAATAGGGCCAATTCCAAGCGCAATGGGCCAGTCTCCAATTTCTGGTGCTCAAGGATCATCGCCCTCAAAGATTGATCCCAACCAAATCCCAAGGCCAATGCCTACTTCCTCAGAGATCGTCTTTGAAACTCGCCAGGGCAATCAGGCAAATCTTCCCCCGGTAATTCTACTGAATTTATTTTCAACTAAAGCATTATTGGGAGAAGTTTTGCATGCTTAAATTTGGACTTACACTTTTTCTCCAAAAATTTGATCACTTGAACAATGTCTAAAGTTTTTGTAATTTTTAAAGCCTGCGTCGAGTGAATATATTGTAAAAGATAATGGGAACTGCAGTCCTCGTCTTATGAGATGCACTATCAATCAGGTATGCTGCTCATATCCATCGCTATTTTATGCGCCTCACAATTTAAACTGCGTTAGATGACTGGTTTTCAGCGGGAAATTGCGTTTGTTCTTCAAATTTTCATTATACTTACATCTAAATTCTCATTATATTTTATATCTAAATTTTCGTCTTTTTCCTCAGATTCCATGCACCGGTGATATTATTTCAACGTCTAGCATGCCCCTGGCTCTGATGGTCCAACCTTTAGCTCTTCCTCACCCATCTGAGGAGCCCATCCAGGTCAAACTTTCATGTTTCTCTTCATCTGTCCATCTTCATGAATCTCTTGTTCCATGCTTTTAGTTATTTGGAGGGGTTGTAGATGAAAAGGGTTCAATATGATGACAAGGACAGCGATACTAAAAATACCAAAAGCTGGTCAACTTATCGATGGCCCGAGTAAAACCCCCATATCATGCATCCGAACCTTTTTTTTTAATGTCTTATCGGTTTAATAAATGCTATCCAGAAACTCTGAGATAAAAGCTGTTGCATAACTATGGCCTAATATCTGCGAAGATGCATGAAAAAATGTCTATGGAGATTCGACCAATATTGGGGGGTTATAATGTTTTCAGATCAGTCGTTTTGGCTGAAATTTTTTTATGACTCAACTGACTCCTCTCAACACAAACAAGTCATGATTATCAATTAGTTTATCCAAAAGGGACAGTTGCCATGAACAGTGGTCATCATTGATTCTTTTTTTTTAATAATTGCCTGGCATCTCATTTACAGACAACAATCTTTTTGACATTCTGACAATTGTTATAAAGTTCAGTTGGTTTCATCAATCTTCTATTCTACAACGAACCATTACTTTTCCACAAACGAATAAATGGAGGAACAAAGTCATATATTAATAGTTTCTGTATAGTTTATAATCTTTACTTCTGTAGTGATATTTTATTATATATCTGGGCTGAAATCCTGATTTTCTTTCTGTAGGTTGTAGATTTTGGAGAAAGTGGACCCATTCGATGCTCTCGCTGCAAAGGATATATAAATCCTTTCATGAAATTCGTTGATCAAGGAAAACGTTTCATTTGCAACTTATGTGGTGAGTGCCTGGTGAAGATATTAGTAATTAATTCATCATTTTTTGTCTGATATTATCTTTTGGAACTACTGTATGTTACTTAAAATACCTTTTTACAAAATAACAGTTTGTGTTTCTATGATACCCAACTGTCAATTGCCAGATATCTTTATTAGTAACCCTACATATTTAACCTTATATTGTAGTTAATCTCACATGTGTTTTAGGAATGTTTTCGTTTGTTAGAGCTGTTTGGTTTTTGTTCCTGAAATATCTCACTCTTTTGGAAATTTACTCGGGAAACCAGTAGTGTCAACCGCATCTATCATTGTATGCTTCTTTTTTTGTTAATATTGGTTTATGTGTAAGAGCCTAGGAAGTTTCTTTGATTTTTGGTGCACGACGCACACGAATATTTTTCATCTTGAGTACATGTAGCCATCTGATGGTGTATTTATTTCCTACGACATAAATCCAGTTATATGGTGTCAATATTTTTATTAATACAGTCAGCGGCTGCCCTTTGTAACATGATTACTAAACGGCACAGGAACGGAAGTCTAGTCATCTTGTCACTACAAAATGTGACAATGTCCTTGAAATCTGCTATATCGATTTCTTGAATTTTGTTGAACATTTCGGGGCCTTTTTTACTGGATTCCCTTTCATCTTTTCACTATTTAATGATCAGGTGACGATATATGAAGTATGTCAGGCCATACATAACTCTAATGTTCTATCCCTTTCATTGTCGTCTATGCTATACTCCCTTCTCATTTTCAGCTTTGTCAGCTATTTATTGACAAGCTTTTTGTCTTTGAGTTTTATGCTCGCCTCTAGCCATTGTATTTTTTTGCCTTTGTACTGTATCTGATAGCAAGAAGCTTCCCCAGGAAAACCTTCTCTTTGAATTTCTAGTAATCGGGTGCTACTTACTAAAGAGTTATTCTCAGCTGATCACAATATAGTCTACGTTGAGTCCTTGACATGAAGGTCCTGTTATTTATTGTTTAGGCCATCAGGAGCTATTGCTTATTCATTATGAAAATTGTGATTACTGATGGTTCTTCTCTAGTTAGGGTCTTACAAAGGGTTTCTGAACTGTCTTGCATCTCTTTCTGGTAAATATGCCTTGAATTTTTATCTATGGAAGGTTTCAAGTTACCTGGGTTTGATTTTGCAGGATTTACTGATGAAACTCCCCGTGACTACTACTGTAATCTTGGACCAGATGGGAGGCGGCGTGATGCTGATGAACGTCCAGAATTATGCAGAGGAACAGTTGAATTTGTTGCAACCAAGGAATACATGGTTAGTCGTACTGATACTTTTACTTCAAGTGATGAGTTATAATTTACTGGTTTTCTTATAAATGGTTTTTGAGTGGGATTCAGATGTACCGTTTCAAGTCACTCAAAAGAAAAAACACCCAGAGCTATTAATGCAAAGGCCTTATTGTTCAGTTCGTTATTTCAGATGTTTGATTTGATGAAGTAGGATGGGCTTTATTGGATTCTTTATAGGTTTTCTTGTATTCTTTTAGTTTGCTGATAATGATTTATTCTCACCTTCATGATCTTTTTCCTTCTGGAGAAATCTCTACTTTTGAGTTTTATTAGTAAGATTCGGAACTGAAGAATACTGCGGGGCATCTTGCTTACAGAATCAGGCCGGATTCATCAAAATGTGATCCGTACGTATTTTTTATCAGTTTATCATTTGGTGATTCGAGTTAGGAAACAGATGACCTTTGAACTGGAGATTGTTTATCTCAGGATCATTTGGGATGGTGCTATAAGAATATAAAGATAATAAATTTAAAGCATCACCTGAAAAAGGATTTAAAGATTAGACTGGCAGTCAAACGAAGCTTGACTAAAGATTAGAGGTTTGGGAAGTGGATGCCATCTCAACTAGTGGACAGTTGATTTCCTTTCTAGATCTGTACTCTTGACTATTGTTATTTAGTGTCATGTATGTGTTAGTCTAAATTGATTGGACACATCAAGAGTGGGAGGCAAAAAGGTTTGGGGAGTGAGAGGCTCCATACTACAAATTGCATGGGGAAAAAATACCTACGAAAGACATAAATGAAGTACGTTGCTCATCATTTTGTCTTCTGTATCTTTTGCATGGAGAGAGGTTGTGAGAACATAAACTTTTGTGAAGGCTTCAGTTAATTATTGAGCTAGTGGCCTATGGCTGGTTGATTACCATATAACCTGTTAATATAAACATTTTGGGAGGATTTTGCTGCCGACAAGACCAAAACAATTACCATATAACAATTGACAATAAATTCAGTTGGCCATAGTTAACCTGTTCATTTACATTCTTTAGAGGTAGACTGCTGCTCCTTCGGACCTGTTATTAGATATTGCTTACCAAAGCTTTTAAACAATTATTGGATCATACCTTTGTGACCTATCTTTTACGTTGTCCCTCTATCAATCCAGAAAGCTTGAATATAGTGCAAAATCTTATCTAGTCTGTTCACAATGAAAGCCTACTGTTTAGTGTCCAAATGCTAAACCTTCGGATAAATTAAATGGAAAGCCTGGATATACCTACTGACATCAGTGTAGAAAACCTTACAGGAGGTAGATATACTTGTGCCAGTATTTGGTTTGGATCTGAGTCTGAAATTTTCTTTTTTTCATAGTTTAGGTGCCTTGAGTGAGTTTGCATCAAATGAATCCGCCTCAGTTCTGTGATCTGATTTAAATTCCCTCGGGGTTGGAATTATGATGATTTGAACGTACGTCATCCAGTATGCTATGGATTGCATCGAATCAGTGTTCTGAAGTGCATTACACCAGAAAAGATACATATATAGGGAGAGCTTATCCCAGATTAGTTGAATATTGTTGTTCATAGTTGATTAGTCCAATTCAAATCCAATAAATGGTTCTAAAGAGTGGTTGTGCGATGTTCAGTCTCTGGCAATGCCATGGTATTCCGTGAAATGGTGTTTTATATAAGGATTTTTTTTGCTCTAACGGTCGCAGGAGTGATATCACGGAGTTTTTTCTGTCTACATAGATTCTTAAATCCAACCAGCTATACCTTTTTGGTGTACTTTACTTTTTTTTCATCAAACCTTCTCTTATCTCTCCAATATTACATCCATAGAGTAGGAAGAAACTAGCCTCACACAGTGCAGAACATGTTGGTTTTTTCTATAAATTTTCTTAATGCATTTTTTGTTGTCATTTTATTTATCTTTATTATCGTTCATTATGTGCATTCTTATCCAGGTCCGTGATCCAATGCCTCCAGTTTTCTTCTTCCTTATTGATGTTTCAATGAACGCCACTCAGAGTGGTGCTACTGCAGCGGCTTGTAGTGCAATTGGTCAGGCTATTGCAGATCTTCCCGTAAGTTTGTCACTTAGCTCTTTTATTATTTAAATCTGACGAACAGACCTCATTGATCCTGTAGTGTGCTCCATTTCCAGTTAGAATAATGAGAAAAAAAGAGTTTGCTATGCATGTAGACTGAAAATCACCCAAGAAGCAAGAATCTAGATTAGAATCTGTCAATCAGATTTGAATTGGATTCTTGGAAATAGAGTCGTGTTGCATTGCAATGCGATCCTCTTTGATGGACATAACTGCTAAAATAGTAGTCCACGTTTACAGTGCGAGTGAGTGAGTGAGTGAGTGTGTGTGTGTGTGTGAGAGAGAGAGATGAGAGGGGTGATGTTCTGAAGGCTGCATTTTTTCTTCTACCCCTGGAAACCTTAATTTTATTTAAGATATCATCTCTTTTACATTTATTCTCTCTGCAGGAAGGTCCTCGTACTATGGTTGGTTTGGCAACATTTGATTCGACTATTCATTTCTACAGTTTGAGAAGAGCTTCACAGCAGGTAGGCATGTTATGAAGTATATTCACTATGTTTACTTCATCCTGCTTGGGGACAACTTAAGGCATTTTGGAACTCTGTTTTATTTGCGCACAGTCCATCTATGTTACCGATTACAATTTGTTTAATTATGGCGTCAACTATTTTTTAAAATATTTTTTTTATTTTTATGCCTTTCTTGTGAAGCCATTGTCTACCCTCGAGTCCTGCATGGCTATAGAATGCTGAATAGATTTTTGCTTATTTTGTCAGAAGGGACTTGTGATAAACCTGTCAGGGTACAAGTATTCCAGATGGGGATTTTCTTGGTTAAATCGTTCTTAATGAACTCTGAGCACACATGCATGATGACGTCTGGGTGCTTAATAAAGAATAAAGTATTGGTTAGCTTAGTTGAAAGTATGGTTTTGTTATTGATTAGAAAAATCGATGTATAAACATGTTTTAATCTGTCAGCACCTTGTGGTATCACTTAGTTTGATACAGGAAAATCACATTTGTTTTTTGAAAAATATGGGACTGCATTCAATGTGTCATCTTTAGTAAGAAAAATTTAATTATCATGTTCGGCTTATTTTTTGATTTTTTTTTTCCTAGGATGCTGATGACTATATGAAATCTGTAAATATTTTTTTTCTGATGCTGCTTGTTCTCGTTTGCAGCCTCTGATGCTGATTGTTCCTGATGTACAAGATGTTTATACCCCTCTTCATTCTGATGTCATCGTTCAGCTTACCGAGGTTTGGGTGCCATATTGTGTCCCTGAAAAGTGACCTTAATAAATGCTGCTAGATTATTGTCCGTTGTTTTCTTGGAAATAATCAAAATAATTTGTCTGGGGATGCAGTGCCGCCAACATTTGGGACAATTGCTGGAGAGCATTCCTTCCATGTTTGAGAATAACAGAATTTCCGAGTCTGCATTTGGTGCCGCTACGAAGGTACTTCTTTGGTTGACAATCTTATAGTTTGCTACTAAGCCTTCTTATTTATGCCTCTTGTTCTGGTGAATGGCAATAGCGTGACAATCTTAGCGTGTTTCAACCAAAACATCAATGATAGATTTACTAATTCCTTTGTTGAGTGCTTTTGTAAATCTTATGTCCTTTCACTTAATCTTTCGTGTAATTATGTATTTCAGGCTGCTTTTTTGGCGATGAAGCCCACTGGTGGGAAGTTGCTTGTATTTCAGTCAGGCAAGCCATTTTTAAGTTTTTCCAAGCCGTAGCTGTACGCAGCATAGCCTGCATCTCAATTGCAACTCCTATGATCGACCAATCTTAGTCAGCACTTGTAGTACAAACAAAACACGTTTCCATGATTACATTTTCTCAAGAGCTGATAGTTTTGGTATTCTTCAGAATGAATACGATCTATCTCATGTTTGAAAATAGCTTGAAGTGGAACATATTTAAGAAATGGGAATGATATTGAAACTTAAATGAAAATAACTGCCTTCTGTCTGTAACCAATGCTATATTCATGAACAGGTCCATCTGTAACCAATCTTTGGTGTTGAATTTATATCAATGGAATATGTAATTTGATTCCTTGTTCTATTCGCTAGGATAACGTAGTCTTGCAATTGTTAGTACCCTATTTAGATATGGACTTGATAGAAACTATGACGCATACGTGTTATGACTATCTGGGATTTATTCTGGTTTTTATTCACCTTTTCAAGTTCCATTCAGAAATCCTGTTCTTAGCATAATCTTCATTGAGTGCCACAAAACCAGTCAATATGCTCTGTTTCATTACATTATTTTATTTGTGAATCTGATTCAATGACATTTCACATCAATGATTTTCAATCACGGGATGCCTCGATTTCTTGGTTAAAATGTTGTGGTTCATATCTATTCGGTAATCAGAAATGCCATTAAAATGTGTGGGTATATTGTAAAATTAATTGTGGTTGGAATTACATTGTTTATCATTTTAACTTCCATATTTGTAATGACTCCAATATTACCATTATATCTCAATGTTTAAATGAGAGTGCTCAGATGGATGTGTGCGAAGACAACAAGAGATTGTTATCGGATTTCTCTGTTAGAGAGATATTAGGGGAGCCAAAATTACAAGAACAAGTTGTTGTCATCATCATATTATGAGGGTAATAAAAGGAATGATTGAATCCCTCATTTCAAATCGTTGGAACTAGGTGTATAGTACCAATGATTCTGACATTGCACTACTTTATTCCAATTGCTTATGATGGTCGTGTACTACTTGTGCTCTGGTAACCTTGTTGGTACATTCTCTTGTTAACTTGCGTACAGCTAGCTGTGTACTGATATTTGTACACATGACGAAATCTAGAAATAACTGTTCTGTTTCATAAGGATGACAGTAACTATCCTATCACTAGAATTTGACCATTCAACTTCGGATATACTCATTTCTTCTTTTTATGATTCGATTTACAACATTTTAAGTTCGTTTCATGAAGATAGCGTTAAATATCTTTCACTAGAATTCTATTCAACTTGGGATCAACCCATTTTCTCCTTTTTCTGTCTTTGTTTTCCCCTTCTTTTTTATTCCTAGCTTCATCATTGCCAACAATGTGAGTCATTATTTCACTTGCTCATCGTATAAGTCCCATTTTATAATCAATGAATCTCAAAGAAAAATTCAGAGCCAGGATCCTTAAGGGTGATATTTAGAACGATTAGGTGGTTATTTTGTGTGTTCCATTTGTGTGAAGTTATATGGTATAGTCTAATGCTGAGCGCTTTAGCTGAATGCATTGTGGTTTCACGGTGTCATTGTGCTTTCTTGCAGTCTTGCCATCAGTTGGAATTGGTTCTCTATCTGCCCGGGAAGCTGAAGGAAGGGCAAATGTCTCTTCTGCGGATAAAGTATAATGTTCTTGAAATTTTCCAGCCTTCTTTCGTTTGAATTTTATTAATATGTGTGATTCCACTCTTCAGCTTAGTTATATACATGATAATTGATTAGTCCGAGGCATTGCTTCCTTCATAACTGTTTAGAAGTATCTTTTCATGTAATTTCTGATGTATACACCGTAATCTTTTTTGCCTCTCAAATTAAACTCTCTCACACAGACATGCTTTTCTCTTATGTTTAAGTCGACCAACTAGTGCATCAAATGAAGGAGTTAGGGCATTGAAATTCATTGGTCGAGTAGAGGCGTGGAAAATTCAGTGGATCATCATATCAAAACCTATAATTCCTTGGAAAATTTTGTAGAATCACGTAGATTACTTCAACATAAATTGAAAAGCATGCACTATCAACAAAAGTGTATTGTTTGACAACAGTACAGGGGAAAGGAGGTCAGTGAATCAGCATATTCTAACATTTAGTCAAGGATCGACGAAAGGATATTTGTGCTAATTCCTAGCTTGTTTACTATCTTGTTAAATGGGCAGAGAGTAGTAGAGATTTGTGATGGATCCTTTTGCCTTTTTTTTCCTTTTAATCCATTTGTTAGAAGTAGTACTCCTTTTATTTTAAATTTTTGGTGAATTTTGTTTAACTTCAGGAAAAAAAAAGAATCATTCAGATTTTTCAAAATTTCTTTTCGGTTGTGATAGTTACAGATTGAAGTATGTTTCTGACTGATGTAGTTATGTGGTTTACAATGTATCTCTAAATCATCTAACATTTGAGTTCTCTGTTCTGTGATCATCCCACCGACTCCATTCATTCTGTAAATCTTATTTCTGGAAGAAGCATGCAACAAAATATGAAAGCGAATAAGAGAGTCGAATGTTTCCAAACCACCTGTTTCTATTGGTGAATTGTTGGATCTCTAGGGAGCCAAGAGTGGTGGATTATAGGAATATAGGTATTTCACTTTTTTCGTAATGTTATCATAGACTCTTAGTTGAAAGTAAGCATTAGTATTCGTGGATCAACTATGACTGTTGATGCATTGGCTCATGTCTGGTAGCAAGTTGGCTTTGCTAACGTTGTGTTCAATGGACTCTCAAATGCTGTGTTGGATTTCAGGAGGCCCATAAATTGCTTCAGCCAATGGACAAGTCTTTTAAAACTATGGCAATGGAGTTTGCAGAGTATCAGGTGTGGTCTTTGTTTTTTATTGGTGGGAAATATGTTTTGAGTGTATCAAGAATTCATTTTTATCATTGCAGTTTCTGCCATTCTTATTGTTCACTGGTTATCAGGTCTGTGTGGATATCTTCATCACTGCTCAGACATATGTAGACATTGCCTCCATCTCTGTTGTCCCTGGAACTACTGGCGGGCAGGTATCCCCAAACAACTTGTATTATCACTAATATTGGTTGGTAGATGCAAATTTTCCTAGGATCCATGATCTTGTATTTCTTTGAATTTTAAAGTTCATCTAATAGGAAGCTAATGGAAGATCTTCAAATAGCATAGCCTTCTAGTGCTCATAATTTCATGGTGAGAATGTTAATGATCGTTTGATTTTCTCTGACGTATCTGTCAGAGGGTATGATGTAGTACCGATATGTAAGTGTTTGTCTACGCTGGTAACTGTGTCAGCTGAATACTACTCAAATTTTGGTTGCATGCCAACCTTATTATTTGTTGATGGGATATCTTTACCTAATTGATCATCATCAGATCTTCGGGACTTTTTTAATGAGCTGTCTTCATATCTTCGAAAGACCTAGAGCAGGTGGTTGTTGAGTCATGTTTGGTAGGAAGAAGACATACACAGCTGCAGGTAGTTAAGGCTAGTTCCTTGAATAGTTGCTTGGTGGGAAGAAAAGATCTGTGTTAGTGATGCAGCTGTGGCGTACTATTGTCATGAATGTTTACTCAATCAATCTCTTGTAGGTGTATTACTACTACCCATTTTCTGCTGTTTCGGATTCTACGAAGCTTTACAACGATCTGAGGTGGAATGTAACTAGGCCGCAAGGTTTTGAGGCTGTCATGCGTGTAAGATGCAGCCAGGTAACTTGCTTAATTGTGTCTTATCATCAAAATGTGAAATGTATACGAATGAGGTTCTTTTTGTTTACTAGGTGACAACTAACTTGCCACTTTCCTGCAGGGTCTTCAAGTTCAAGAGTACTATGGAAACTTCTGCAAGAGAATTCCCACAGATATCGATCTCCCTGGGGTTGGTCTTTCCGTGGCTTTGCAAGATAATTCATTTTTAAAACCATTGCAGATCCGTTAACTTGAGAACATTACTCATGTTTGCAACAATGTTTACTTCTCGTGACAAGTGACATGAAAAACCGACATAGCTGCAGAAAGTGACAGCTTTTAAAGATCAAAGACGCATGTCATTGCTAACTTCTTATGTATCAATGAAAAACTAATTAGTTTATCTGATCTCGTCTAGTCAAAACATGCATGATCCTTAGAGATAACCAACCTTGTTAAACTTCACTTTTTTACTGTTTTTTTTTAATAACGAGCAACCATGCAGAGGGATTTGAGGAAAGAATGAGCTACATTATCCTGCTTTCTTTTAGCTGTAATATGTGCTCTTTGCGTAAGAGAAGGCAGACGACCCGAGATTATAGAAAAGTTTTGGGCCAATTTTTGGTCCAATATTGGTCACATTAGGTTGGACTTTCTGATTTCTTACCTCTTGTTGATTTGTCTCATTGACCGGATAGTTCATTTGGCACTTGCATCAGATCTTTTATCAGCATTTGAATCAACTGTGAAATATATTCCCTCTACTGATATATTTCGGGGGATACCGCAGATTGATTGTGATAAAACTATAATGGTCACTTTCAAGCACGATGATAAATTTCAAGAGAATACTGAATGCGCTTTTCAGGTATTTTTTTGGTGAAATCATTTTTATTTTTTTATTTTTTGCTTGGTCAATATCCCTACGTTAGCATAGAAATAGACTGCTATAGATACCAGAAAGGAATAACATATCTTGAAATATTATTTTTCCTTTCGCAGTGTGCCCTTCTTTATACAACTGTTTATGGGGAAAGAAGAATTCGAGTCACAACTCTATCACTTCCATGCACAAGTATGCTCAGTAATCTATTTCGGTCAGCTGATCTGGATACTCAGTTTACATGCCTGTTAAAGCAAGGTAAAGTCACGTATAGTAATGTGTTTCGATATCCATTTTTCTCAGAGAAATCGTGTCCGTTTTAATTTCCCACTTTGTTTTTTTAAAATTATGGAGAACCTTTAATTATTTTTTCCTTTTTTACTCCTTTCTAGCTGCCAATGGAATTCCAGTCAGCTCTCTCGCTCAGGTCCGGGAGCAGATGACAAATTTTTGCATCAGTATTCTGCACTCATATCGAAAATTTTGTGCAACTGTGTCGTCATCTGGTCAACTAATCCTTCCAGAGGCCCTCAAGCTTTTACCCCTGTATACGCTAGGTACATGCTCACAATCTATGTTGTTTGGTATTGCATATGACGGTTTAATTTACTCAATATAATTCGGAGATTTCATGATTCTTAAAGCTAACCTAATTTATGATTTAAACTAGTGCTGATATGCTTTGAAATTGGGGATCATTGACTGTAATCAGAAGATGTTTTTTTTCATACGGTGATAAATCTTTTAATTCTTATCCTTTGCTAATAGCCGAAAATGAGAGTAGCAGATTGGTAGAAAACCTACACAAGAGTTGTTTTCCTTGTGTTTCGGTTAACAATAATAATAACTACTATATACATATCTAGATGCTGCTTTTGATGTTGATGGCAAATGGGTTTCAAGTTTCCTTATCTCTTTTATATTTTTTCCAGCTCTTGTTAAGAGCATTGGGGTGCGTTCTGATGGGAGACTAGACGACCGTTCCTACTGGGTTAGCCGTGTTTCATCACTTTCAGTACCACTGGCAGCCCCTCTTGTTTATCCTCGACTGTTTGCTGTTCACAGCTTAGAAACAAAGGTATGAAGCTCTTCACTACCTGTTATTTGACCATATTGTTAGTCAACGTGTATGAACCTGCTACGACTGATTTGGCAGGAAGATGATGGATCCGCAATTCCTCCTCCGATTCCTCTTTCCAGTGAGCATATAGCAGATGATGGTATCTATCTCCTCGAAAATGGGGAGGATGCTTTGATTTACGTTGGTAATTCGGTGAAAACAGAGATACTACAGCAAATATTTGGAGCTCCCTCTGTTGATGGAATTTCGACTCAGGTATGTATCTGTCGTTATTTCATTATTATTCTCTCTCTCTCTCTCTCTCTTTCTCTCTCTCTCTCTCTCTCTCTCTCTCTCTCTCCAACCTTTGAAAAACAAAGGGGGAATGTGGGCAGTGATGCCAAACATTTCGCGTTGACATCATACTTTGACTTGTTTCGTGCATTGGTAAAGCCTGCACCTCTCTTGTATGACCACCCGCTCTTCTTTACAATCCTTGACGATCTTCCTTTTCTCGTCGCACAGTTTGTGTTGCAGCAGTATGACAATGATCTATCGAAGAGACTAAATGACGCGGTAAACGAAGTAAGGCGCCAGAGATGTTCCTACCTGCGGTAATTGGCTTATCTTTGTCTATTGCTAAAAGTGGCGCCTTCTCACCATCCTACAGTCATTTATGTCGTCAAGACTCATGCATGATTTTTTTTTTCCCTTCTTGCAGCTTACGGATCTGCAGGAAAGCCGATCCATCAGGTAAGCCACTTCTCCTTTCAGTCTTCCTCTGCGTGAGTTCTTAAGTATCGTTGACTTGCCCAAATACTCAACGAATGTTTTGTCAACCGCCACTGTGAATGATGACACAGGTATGCTGTTCTTCTCGTACATGATCGAAGACAAGAACCCCAGCGGTCTGTCCTACGTGGAGTTCCTCGTCCACGTTCATCGGCAGATCCAGACCAAGATGGCGTGATCACGTCCACACATCGGAATTTTGATGCGTAACTTACCAGATCAGAAATTGGTCGGAGCTTGCTCGCTGAGAATCCCATCCTGTGTGCTAGAAATCGCCATCCCCAGGGGGCACGTGGGATTCGTGAGATAATTGAGTCCAGTTTTGTTGTCTTCTGGGTTTGTGTTCAGGTTTCACATTCTCTCTCCTTAGACTAATAAGGAACACGTGGCTTTCGATAGGGTCTCCGGGGCCGAGAGCCCCAACCCCTGTCTCTTCTTCCATGTCTCTTGCAATTTTTTGGGGTGAGATGTTGACTTTCATTCTGGACGGCGTAGGACGCCAAAAGTGGAAATCCTATTGAATCCAAGATTTCCAGCTTAGACTTTATAGGTGGCCTTTTTTCTATCCCTTCTCTTTATATTCCAGGAATCGTTCCGAAAATCTGATTCTTAGGTCTTGGGCTTTTGCATCCGGGCCATTAATATTGTCTGCAGGTCCTCGTGGACGGGCCCACTAAGAGATGTGGTTCGTGTATGGGTGGGGAGGTGAGAGACGAGAGTAGGAGATAACCACGCGCGTTACACGTGCGGGTAGGTGCAAGAGGAGGGTAGGCGTGGTCTGCGTGGGTTGGTGGATGTCGGGGGGTCCGTTAAAGGGGGCTGCTGTTCGCGGCTCTACCCCGTTTCATCGTCACCAAATACTCCACCAACCCCATCCTGGTCGCTCCTCTCTGGCCGACGGAGGTAGGAGGAGGCCATGGCGTCGTCGTCTCTCTCCTCAAAGTCCTTTCTGAAAGCTGTGAGAACGGACGGGGGCCGCGACATCGGGTTCTCCCAGCAGTCGGATCTTCACCGGCTTTGCGCACGAACAGTCCAGATCTCCGTCCAGCGGCGGGGCGCTTCTCCCAGGAAGCTAGGTCAGTCAATCCCGCGGAATGATGAGTGCTGATTACGCCGCTCACTTCACTTGTTATCGGTCTGCTCTTTTTTGGAGGTGGCTGGGGGATAGAGTCCGCATATATAATTTTTCGTCCCGTTCGAGCTATTATGGTGATTGAATTATTCGTAGTTTTGTACTTTTTGTCGTGCATTGTTCTTGTTTGGTAATGTAAAAGATGCCCGCCCCATCTGTATGCGTCGAACATGCTTACGGTAGCTGATTATTTGGCATCATAAATTATCTCAAGGTCGGGCGATTAGTTTTTGAAAGTAGATTCTGTTAGTTTTCGAATCTATACGAACAAGGAATTTCCATTGCCTTGAACTTGCACGTAATGCTGAGACTTTATCAAATTTTTAAAAGTTTGGAACACTTTTGTGAATATCAGAGATTCAGGCCACTGGAAACAATTTTGGGAAATATTTTCAAGTCTCCACATCTGGAGAATCTCATGGCGGGAGTGTTGATTGCATCATCAGTGGATGTCCACCTCGATTGCCCCTTTCCGAAGCTGATGTGCAATTCGAACTTGACAGAAGGTATGCTTAATTATCCTATATGATCGTCTCTAATCAGCTCATTTCAAAGCCGGGCGTCTTTCATTTTTTTCCTCGAATATAGTGGTTCCTTTGTTCACCATTTTTCTTAGCTTCTGACTAGTTGGTTTCATGTAGGAGGCCAGGGCAGAGCAGGATAACCACACCAAGAAAGGAGACGGACACATGTAGAATTAATTCAGGGATTGCTGATGGTTAGATCTCGTTTTTTCTTCTTCTTCGGTATTAATACTTTTTTTTTCTTGGATAAATTCTGACAGGGAGTATCTTTCAGGTGTTACCACAGGAACTGCAATCAGCATTTCTGTACCGAACAAGGATCAAAGAGGACATGTGAGTTATTTTTCAATCTCTATATTCAAAATAAAAGGACTCTGAATGTAGTTTATTGCATATAACGCTGTAAATAAAACTATATTTGATATCCTGGGACAGAAGTATTGACTTATTCCCATTGCTGTCACTTAACAGTAAATTGTTATAACACTTTATGCTACTAAACGATAAGGAAATGGAGGAAGAATGTAACAATGTGAGTGTGTTTGCCGGAAGTTGATGTGCCCTATAGATTAAGTGAGTTGCCGGAAGTTGATCTGTCCACGTAGTGTCATTTGAGGCTCATGGATCAACCTTTTGAAGCTATATTATGAGGCGCTTCACCCATATAAGGTGTTGCTTTCTTTATCATGCATGCAATACAGGCTCCCTTGCATCCAACGGATAAAACTTATTAACGGTAGGATTTTCCATCCTGATACATCAATTATGCGTCGGTCTTGCTCCATTAGAGATGCATTTCTTGCAATTTTCGATTCTGAAATATACGAGTTTTTGACTTCTCTCAAGAAAGTGGGAGATACACAGGGAATCTTCTGTATAAACGTATGAGACAAACAATGTATGCTTGTATTTCCCATCTCTAATGACGAGTTGGCTACTTTCCCTGGAAGGCTAAAACATCGTCTACAGATGGAATCATTTCCCCTTCCAGGGACTAGATATTCGATGTCTTTTCCCTCCTTTTTCTTCAGGAAAGGACTGCACATTTCTTCTTTGCCTATTATTAGGCATACAAATTTAATTTACTCGAAGTTCAATTGTGGCTGTGCCACTTTTCCTGTCATGAGAATTTCCTTTTTTGGGTCGTTCCAGGATTACGCAGAAATGTCAAAAGCTTATCGGCCTTCTCATGCTGATGCAACCTATGATTGGAAATATGGAGTCAGATCCATTCAGGTACCCTTATGCTTCGTTACTTTACCGTGTCGTAGGGCTTTCAAGGGAGACTTATTTCCTTTTGAAGATATAGACTTGAAGCGAAATTGTTCCTCTATGCAGGGTGGTGGTAGATCTTCCGCTAGAGAAACCATTGGGAGAGTTGCAGCTGGAGCTGTTGCCAAAAAAATTCTCAAGATGAAGACTGGAACGGAAGTATGTGAATGATTACTCTTAAGCAGATCAACACACTGTGTTTGGACTATTTGTGTAGCCATGGCATTTTACTTTCTGGATGTTTATCGTTCAAAGCGTTCCTAGTTATTTCTGGTTCTTTGTTCTTCTATTCATGAGTACCTGGAGTAATATGTTTTAATCTAGCACTCGTTTTGATGATGAGAAATGTAGACTCTCTATCAGCTGTTGCACCTTCTCAGAGCCCTTTTTCACTGAGTCACCCCTTTACTTTTGATCCCTGTTCCATGTTTCGAGATTGCTAGGCTTTTATTATTTTGGGCGTCTGATGCACCTACATGAGATGTTGAGCATCTCTTGATATCTTTTATAGCTTTGGAAGGATAGTAACGATTGCCTCTGGGAGAGGATTAAATTGGCGGTAATACCATCTTGAAAAAACTTTGTTACGTACTGAAAATTAAGATTTCTTCATGAGAACAAGATAATTATTTATACATCGTCGTTCGAAATTTTACTTTAACGATGTTTGCTATTTAGACACCATAAAACGATGCTTATGCTTGGAAATCCATCGCTAATAGTTTTTTTCTACGAATGTTAATATTTTTTTTCGTAACATCTTCAGATCCTTGCATATGTGTCCCAAGTGCATAAGGTTGTCCTTCCGGAGGGATTGATTGACCATGAATCTGTGACTCAAGAGCAGGTTCTCTCTTCTCCTCTGAATTTGTTTCCTTTTCCTTCTTCTTTTTTTCCCCCAATGTCTCCATTTTCCGCAATATCTGTTTCGATTCTTCCTCTTGCTTTCTAGTTGTATTCCAGCGAGTTCTCGGATGGAAATCTTATGGGATGTTATGCCTTCAGGTTGAGAGCAACATCGTCAGATGCCCAGACCCGGAATATGCTCAGAAAATGATCGATGCCATCGACGTTGTTAGAGTAAGAGGTGACTCTGTTGGTGGAGTTGTCACATGCATCGTTAGGAATGTCCCACGTGTAAGACTTCTCTCTCTCTCTCTCTCTCTCTCTCTCTCTCTCTCAAGACTTAGTTGACCACGCCGTCTGTGGTGTCCTGTTCCAGGGTCTCGGTGCTCCTGTTTTTGATAAACTTGAAGCTGACCTAGCCAAGGCGGTCATGTCGTTACCTGCGACAAAAGGGTTCGAATTCGGAAGTGGCTTCGGGGGTAAAAATCCCCTCGCGAACTCTGGACTTTTGAAGCTTCCCTCTATCCTACTTCCCCCCCGCTCAACTGGTTCTCTCCTGGTGAATCTTCCTCAGGCACCTTCATGACCGGCAGCGAGCATAACGACGAGTTCTACGTAGACGAGAACGGAAGAACCAGGACGAGAACCAACCGATCCGGGGGGATCCAGGTTCAGACTCTTCTCCAATACCATCACTCCACAAATCCCCCCCTCTCTCTCTCTCTCTCTCTCTCTCTCTCTCTCTCTCTCTCTCTCTTCCTCTGACGCGCTTCTCTCGCCCCCTCTTCACGGCCACAGGGAGGCATATCCAACGGAGAGACCATCTACATGCGAGTGGCCTTCAAGCCCACATCTACCATCAGCGTAAGCAATCCTTCCCCCCTTTTTCCACATCGCCATCTGGAAAGGGATTAGAGAATGCACAAAAAATTCTCATATCCTCCTACACATCATCCCATAGAGCTTTCCATTACTTTCTCTGTCGTAAGGAACCCCTCCATGCTTCTCGCAGAAGAAGCAGAACACCGTGACCCGTGACGGCAACGAGACCCAGCTCATCGCAAGGGGCCGCCACGACCCCTGCGTCGTCCCTCGAGGTTTGTCTCTCTCCCCTCCTCGTTGTTCTCTCTCTCTCTCTCACACTCATCGCATTTTCTCCTCCTGATGTGCTTGATTTATTTTCGGGGCAGCTGTTCCCATGGTGGAGGCCATGGTGGCGCTGGTGGTTGTGGACCAGCTGATGGCTCACATGGCTCAGTGCGAGATGTTCCCCATCAACTCGTCTCTCCAGGAGCCGGCCATCCCCGCCGAGCCCGGCTCCCCTCTCGCGGCCCACCTGGCTTAGCCGCTGGCGGCCCATCGGGCCCAAAAGACTTCCTTTCCCCGAGCGAGGTGTTCTTTTTCCCCTGTTGAAGCGACGGCGGAATCCCTTTCTTTGGTGACGCCGTGTGTTAGTGCCGTTGAACTGCTCCCGTTGACGGAGACGATTATGGTCAGCCGAATTGTCCGGATCACGAGTATGATTTGAAGAGTGCTATAATAAACCCCTCCCCGTTATTTATTAGCGATGAACAAGGTGAAGTCAATGTCGAACCGGGAGGGGGCTCAAGGGAATAGAATGGTAATTTCATTTAAGTGGAAGTAATGCGTCTTTCCGTTATTAGCGGTGAAGCGCCGCAGAATTTCAAAAAATCTCAGGGACGGTTTCCCTCCTCTCGCTTTCCCCCATCGGTGATCGCTCCCCTCCTCTCTGCCGGGCCGCCGGGCCGCCGGGACGGAGAAACCCCCGTCGGAGGCTTCCCGCTGGCAGGAGCCATGGCGACCGACCTCCCGTGCGACGGGGACGGCACTTGCATGCTCTGCAAGAGGAAGTCGCCGGAGGAGGAGGCGATCGTCCTGTAGCACTTGCGCGAACGCCGTGGCATGTGCCTTGCCTCTCCAGGCCGCCGGAGTCCATGGCTTCCGTTTCCTCCTGGGCGTGCCCCGATTGCGCGGCCCCTGTGTCCGGGGGCGGCGGTGGTTTCCACGAGTGGGAGGTCTGCTACGGCCGGGGTGGCCTCGGACCTTGTCGCCGCCATCCGAGCGATCGAGACGAATAAGGGGCTGACGGAGCAGGAGAAAGCGAAGAGGCGTCAGGAGCTGATGAGCAAGGGTGCTCCAGCACTGAACGGCGATGAAGATGGGAAAGAACGGAATAAGCATGGGGATGGCGAGGTACTTGATCTTCTGGACGAAAAGTTCAAATGTGCCATCTGCATGCAGTTGCCGGAGAGACCCGTCACGGTGAGTAAACTCGCGTTTTTCTCTTCTCTGAGAGTCTAACAATAAGTGCCACATTGTCCCGGAAGATGACTTTTGCCAGTAGAGTTTTGTATTTGTATTTACGCATCCGTTAGCGTTTTTATCATCCCCTCTTCAAATGAGAAGTTTGGACTTGCATCATCTCGGTTGAAGATAGGACGAGCTATTTGTAGCCTTCGCTATTGTGTGAGTAAATATTCGCATTTTCTTTTAGCATTTTCATGATTCATGTGTTCAGAGCGGAACGCCATTCTATCTGTCTACGCCGTCACTTTTGTTTAGTAGGTTTAGTCTCCTGGCTTACGGGTACTTATTTTCTTCATAAAACTCGTCAACCTTTCCCATTGACTGTTCCCAACCTTGTGCATTTTAGTTACTGCAATTTATGGTGTTAACGCATCTTTCATCTGTGGATGGCAAGCTTATACTTTTCCCCTAAATTTTCGGTGCTTTGAGATTCGAGCTCCTCTATATGGTGACATTATTTGCTTGTGAAATCTATCATTGAAAAAATACTTTGACATTATTCTATTTTTTAGCAGTTTATTATGTTGTAAGACATACTCGTATTTACAATTATTTTAATATTGTTTTCTCGTCTTATGGAACGTTTCTGATGCGCTTGGTTCTCCCGACAGCATTGTTCTTTCAGGCCTGGAGTCGGACCTCATTGTTGTTCGTTTAATTTGTATTTATTTTCTGCATTCTGAAATGCTGTACTTGGTGTCTAACTTTTCAATAAGTCTGCCCTGAAGCCTACTATATATCTATGTATGTCATAACTTCCATCTGCCAAAAAAGTGCGTGTTTGATTTCCATGATATTTTTTTTCCTTTTCTTATTTACAAATTTTCAGTTAACTACCCTACTTTATTGTTTCATAGACTCCATGCGGGCACAATTTCTGCCTGAAGTGCTTCCAAAAATGGGTCAGCCAATCGAAGCACACATGTGCAAAATGCCGTGCTCGAATTCCCCAAAGTATGGTTTCCCTCCCAAGAATCAATGCTGCACTTGTTTTCGCAATCAGGACGGCAAAGGCAGCGAAGACATTCAATTCAAATGGTTCAATTCCAACTTTCCACTATGTTCGTAATGAGGATAGACCGGAGGAGGCTTATAGGACTGAGAGGGCCAAGCGGGCTGGGAAAGCCAATGCATGCAGTGGTCAGATCTTTGTCACCATACCGCCTGACCATTTTGGCCCTATCACCAGGGATTATGATCCAAGGTATGGTGAGGGTGTCTATGTGGGTAGGACTTGGGATGATCGGTTGGAATGCAGGCAGTGGGGTGCCCACTTTCCCCACGTTGCTGGTATAGCTGGCCAATCCAATTACGGGGCTCAGTCAGTTGCACTCTCAGGAGGATATAAAGATGATGAAGATCATGGAGAATGGTTCCTTTACACTGGCAGGTTTGCCCTCTTGCTCATTACTTTGTTGTGCAATTATATGATTGTACATCTTCCTGGTATTGATTGGCATCACATGGGGTTTTTCTACTGCAAAGTTTTCAGCATGTTGCCTAGTTATTTTTCTGGGGCAAATAAGACACTCTTGGAGAGAAGGTAAGGGTTTGGGCAACTAGGTGGTCAACCATTAGAGGAGCTCGCCCTCTATCAACGCAAGATTTAAATAGCCTTGGCGATAGCCTTAACTATCTTCCTGGAGGAAAATTTTATTTTTATAAGAATTATATCTCGATGTATTCTTTAAGATAATATGTTCCTAAGGAATTTTGATTGGCCATGAAAATTTGCAGAAAATTGGATGTCAATGAATTTCACGCTGTAAACTATCTCAATAATAAGCTGAAAGTTGGGTAGTGAAGAACGAGATGCTTCTCCTCATCCTTGAACAGGATGATCAACAGTAACCAATCTCAGTAGTTTAATCATTGATATCAAAGAGCTAATCAATTAGCCATATGCTTTACCCCATCATCAATGTGACCGATGCTAAACTGTATTCTTGTTTACATCATTGACTTCTATCAATCAATGAGTCTGAGCAGAAGCTCTTGACTGATAATCATCTTCACCGAAGGAATCAAAAGGTTTCTCTTAGTAACTGTTGACATAGTTTACGGTATAAAGTTGATTGTGAGAAATATTGCGGCAAAGGCTGCCTAAATAGATTTTGATGCTGTGGTTGACAAAGGTTGAAAAATAGATTTCTTTCTCAATCTCTACATTATGAGGTTTTCTTGACTATCGCTTCACCAAATTTAAACGCATACATTGATGATTCCTTGTTCTCATAATTCTATTAAAACTCTTGTAAACTAGGTTTCAAGTAGGGATTGTTTTCAGCCAGCGTGCTTCCCTTCGTCGCCTAAATAATTATGAGCTGTTCGGCTGGTTTCATGCTCTACCGTTTACATACTCGGCTGGCTTTGCTTTCATGTTCAGGCACCATGAGTAAATCTCTGTGTGCGATTTTGAGCACAACTACCTCGGTTTAGATATTTCCTTTGAGGTCCCGATTTCTTACAATTGGACGATTCTTTCTTTATTTGTTGGACATTTTCCGATCCAAGTTTCATGGCGTTTGCCACGTAATTGCAGCGGGGGACGGGACCTGAGTGGGAACAAAAGAACAAACAAGGAGCAATCCTTTGACCAGAGGTTCGAGAAGCTTAATCAGGCCTTAAGGGTTAGTTGCCAGAAGGGCTACCCTGTTCGAGTTGTAAGGTAGGTCACTTGATTAAGTCAAGAAAGCAGGCCGTTCGAGACATTAATCCCACTGCTTTGTCGTTTAAGGACTTCTGTGGCACTTATTATTTATTTATAATATGAATATAACTATTAAATTAATATCAGCGTAGCATCGTTTTCTGTGCTATAATCATCTCCGCTGTTTTATATTTAACATTGAACGCACTGTGCTCATATTTTGTTGCTAGTCGCGCATCTACCTTCTACTGTTAAGGTTGGACCTTGTGTTTCATTGGGAATGCTCTGCCCTTTGGGCTGTCGCTTGAGAACAGCCTTCTTTCTTGGGATATGAACAAGCTTTCTTACTTGGTCACAGGTCTCACAAAGAGAAGCGATCTTCATATGCACCTGAGAAGGGCGTTCGTTATGATGGAGTCTACAGGATCGAGATGTGCTGGCGGAAAGTGGGCATCCAAGTACTCTCACCAGCCTTTGGTCCACCCTTTTACACGTTATTTGCCTCTTAGTTTTACATTGCGTACGTATTAACATAAGCAGGAGTCCCAGTGGCCTGGGGCAAGGCTCCTGTCACGCCCCGTCTGTGCCCAGAATCACTAATACGTGGCCCGGGGCTTTCCCTAGGCCAAGAGAAAAATGATGCTCGGAGTCTACAGAGAGAGGTGCTGTGTGGGACAACCATAGGACTAGACAAAATGGTTCCAGGCTGGACCGTATGGAAGCCCAGACCCAGTCCGGTTAGGTCGGGCCTCAAGGCTGGGCTCAGCCAGGCTCGGGGCCTGAAGGTGGTCCATTGCTGTCGCTAACTGTAGCTTACCTTTTTTTTCTTCATCCTTAGGTAGTTTGTGTCCCCTGTGCGCTCGTGTGGTATTTTTTTATAGTGATCTCATTTTATGCGTCATAATTCCCAATGTACCGCAGGGATTCAAGGTCTGTCGATACCTGTTTGTTCGGTGCGACAATAACCCCGCCCCGTGGACAAGGTCCGTTTCCTCCTTTGAGTTGACCTTTGGGAGTCCGTCTCCTCTTCTCTTCCTCTTTTTTTGAATGTCTCCCTCTTCATCTTGAGGAGCCCAGTGATACCCACGGCGATCGCCCGAGGCCACTGCCAAAGGTCGCGGAGCTCAAGAACGCAACCGACGTCACGAAGAGGACGGGGATGCCGGCGTGGGACTACGATGTTCGCAAATGCCCTTCATCCTGACGTTTCTGATATCCCTATCTTCTGTGCTGCGTAGCCTCCACTTATAGTAACTGTTTAACTCCAGGAGAGTGACGGCTGGAAGTGGTTCATACCCCCCCCGGCGAGCAAGAAGCCTCTGGTTATCCAGGACGCCGAGGGCAGGAAGCGGGTGCAAAGGGCTGCAAGGATCGGCCGAGTGTCTGTCCGTGACAGGCTCCTGAAAGGTTGTGGAGCTGACCATTTAGCCAGACTTTTTACCTGATTCTCTGCAAATGATGGGTTGATTTGTGTGGCTTATGTTGCTTGCATTCCTGGCATGTCTGCAGAATTCAGCTGCCTACTCTGCAGAAACGTCATGAAGCTGCCTCTCACGACCCCATGCGCCCATAACTTCTGCAAGGAATGCCTTCTGGGCGCTTTTGATGGGAATGCGGCAGTGAGAGAGCGGACTCGAGGAGGGCGAACGCTCAGAGCCCAGAAGATTCTCAGGAAATGCCCTTCTTGCCCGAATGACATCTCAGACTTTCTTCAAAATCCCCAGGTAATCCCAGACCTGACTCATCGAGCCGTTGTTTCCCCCTCCTGGTTTTGCTTGGCTACTTACCCCCCCCTCTCCTTGGTATAATGCCAGGTTAATAGAGAGATGATGGACTTGATAGACTCGCTCCAGCGGAAGGAAGAGGAGGAGAGTGCTGAGTGTTTGAGCGAGGGAAGCGATGTGGTCGAGAAGGCTGGGGCCGAAGCTGGCGGAGGTGATGAAGTGCATGATACAGACCTCGAGGATAATGGTGATGGAGGTGCTGGGAGGACGTCCAAAGGGGAAGCAGGTGATCCCACCGAGAAGGTGAGGGATGCGGTCGGTGGCCTCAAAGAGAAGAAGGTAGAGTCTGTGGATGGGGACTCGGAGATCTATGTGGCTAACTCTGAAGAGGAAATCGAGAAAGGGAGTGAAGCCCCGCCGGCTGGGATGGAAGTGGTGTATCGCCTCAAAAGAAAGAGGCTTGTCCCCCGCGGACCATGGAACAGAAGGACGAGAGCTGGCAGCAAAGCCGCTCGATGTAATGATGAATGATGAGTGATGAGTGATGAGTGATGATGATGATTTCTCTGGATACAATTTCTCCGGTCACCCCTTTTTGCCTCGACAAGAACCCTCGTCGCATGTCCTTCCTATGTCCTCGATCTATGGAAGGAGAAGACAAACAGGAAAACAATTTTATCGCGATTTTACGCTGATGCCTCGTTGGAAAGAAGTTGACAGCAGGCTTTAATGTTAAGTATTTCCTAATTGATGACGATTGATGGCATGGCGACTATATCCCGTGAAAAGACGGAGAACTCTACGTCGTACTGTGTTACAGGGGGTGACCATATCCTTGTATCCTATGAGGGAAGATTACCACTACAGAAGACTGTATGTGAGATGTTCTGTATCTTACGGGAGAAGAGTAGCAATATCACCATTCATTTTTCATGTGATGCAACCAGAAAACGTTAAAGAAAATTACCCCGGCCACAACCCCAAGACACAGCACGAGGTTACCACGCAGTTGAACCCGTCTTGAGTCCGCAAAGGAGCACGTCTTGCCAAATCAGCTAAATATTTTAGGTGAAGCCAAAAAGGTTGGTTGAGTTCTGGTTAGAGAATATTGCCTTTTTGCCTCGTTCGTAGAGAACTTTCCGACTTCAGCAAAATAATAGGTTTCCCTTTATGTAGAGCTGACTATGCTACAAACAAACAAAAATAAACATACCCACAGACAACTGGGCAGCTTCCTCCCTCTACTAGAATCAGCAGCAGATCCGAAGCTAAGGATGTTCCAAAGATCTAACATATTGATCTATCGAATCAAACGGCTCCAGCACGGTTCATTGACTTCATTTTGTGATGCAATCTCAAGCACGAAAAACTTCAAAATGTATAACTGATTGCCAATCTGTAGTCAAGAAATGAAGAAAAAGGATTTCATTGAAAAAAAGTTCAGATTTTGGTTTACACAAACTTAATCAGTGAGCATATGACAGAGAGGTGATTAATCATAAAAATGATATTGCCAGGATGATATATCTCTGGGTTGATGATATTCAAAACCAATTATTATAATTCTTACGCACATATCTCCAGATCCACTTATCGAATACCGTTCAATGACTACTCCCTTCCTCCATCAATAATTACTCGATCACATAATATAGCCAGCTTGGGACAAAAAAAAAACTCACAATAGCAGCAAAGAGAGTCGTGAAGAAAGAGGCACATAAAGAAGGTGACGTCGGAGATGCTTCTAAGGATTAAACCAGCGGAATACAGTACCAGGTCATTGATTGAACCATTAGAAAATTAGTATGCGGCAGCGTTCCAGTCGCACGATCCGAGACTTCCATACACAGACACCCGGAGCGGCTGGATATTGTTCACGATTTCACCGAGTTAATGCCGACGAGGGGAAAAAAGCCGGCCTATTCTCTGTCTAAATAGAAGGCCTAGGTAAGGTGCAGAACTTTGGCATGGGAACTGTTTCTGGGAGGATATTTCTAATTGCACGGTATTTTATGTGACTTTTTCCCAGGTTCCTCGACTTCACGCGGATCGGAGCAAGGAAGCTCTAGCTAAATTGAGGATGACGAGAGATAAACAAAATTATGAGAAAGATCATAATCGAAGATCAGGAGCAATAATACTTTAGGAATGTCAGATGAATTCACAATCCTCCAATCCAATCGAAGATCCTGGGAGATCCGTCCCACCTACGAGACTGTTTCCGATTGAAGACACGGAGATCTGGCGGCGAATCGGAAGGGAACAAGGAGGAGGAAGCGGCATGCGGAGGAGACCTTCGAGAGGAGGCCCTGCAGAGAGAGCACCAGCGTTGGAAGTGAAGAACGTACCCCGGTATTTATCCTCGCGGCGGCACCATCGCCCTTGCCCGAGACGTGGGATATTCCGTTACATCGCCCGGCACGATCGCTCGGACATCCGATGCGGGATTCACGGCCCCCCCCTCTCCATCTGTCTGGCCCACAACTGCGGCAGATCTAATTACCGTCCCCCCCCTCTCCCCTATAAATTCACCGTCGGTCGTTTCTAAAAGAACCTTCTCAAGTGGGTGAACTTCTTCGGACGGGGGTGACCAAATTATTCACTGTTCACGCTGCGACGAAGTTCCATGTGAAGTAGTCGGGTGACATGTGAAAAAAGAAGACCTTAAATAAGATATTTTGATCAGGGGTTTCGCCTGTTGACCAGCTGCCCGATGGACCATGTGCCCTCCGTCCGGGGAAGAGCTCCATTTACGCGTTCCCAGCTGGTTTCGTCAGGACCACAAGTCAACGGCCGAGCACAGGGAAGTAGAGGGAGATCAATACGATGGACCCTCACCATGGAACATCGCGCCGTTGCAACTCAGGGCCACTTGACTGCACAGAGATGGGGGAGGCAGTGTGACAACTACACTGCGACGGCGGCAGAAGACGAGATGGGGGGGGATGGTCACAACCACGCTGCGAAGAAATTCCGGTAGAGTCATGGTTTAAAGAAGGATCGGCGACTGCATGAAGACCCGCAAATTAATGGGAAGAGTTTGGTCATCGGCCATCAGTATCACTTTCAACCCCGCACCGAAGTATGCAGGGGCTTCTACCGATTATATGCCTCGAAATCGTCTAAGGGCCGGGTTTGAAGTAATCGTTGTGAGGCTATATTCAGACCTTCCCCTGCAGAAAGCCGAGGGAAGGAATCGCCTCGATGGGAAGACCCGAGCGGGCCATCGGAGCAGGAGGAGCTGGATTCGGGTGTTTTGGTGACGTTCGCGTCAATCCGAACGCCGTAGAAGGCCAGGCCACGCGTTCGTGTTGATCCGGGTTGCTCCCGGATTCTTTGCGTCTTGAGCCTATTCTCTAGTTTCTCTCTCTAGCTGGTTTTTTCTAGTCTCCATGCAAGTATGTGACAAGCACTTGATGACCGAAGTCTTGGACATGAAAGGACCGGGGGATAGTGTAGTATGTAGGGTCTTCAGAGGGCAGAGTCTACGGGAATGCCAATCAAATAGATGACTCAGATTTACTGAAGACCGAAGATTTGATAATCGGACGACCGCGGGGTATTATTATATGCGTAAGAACTCAAGTGTTCGTTTTCAAATAGTCTCTCGTATGAGACTGTGAGAACAGTGGCTCTTTGAGTTTCTTCGGCAGGAAACGTACGTAGGTTTCTTGCTTGTACGTGTGGGTCTCCCTCGCCTCCCTAGAATGGTGTCGCATGAATTTATTGTTTGGTGGAGCCGGGTGGACTACATATGGCAGGATAGAGGGAGGGCAGCGAGGGAGGGTAGTCGGGAAGGTTACGGAAATGACACAAGGTGCCAACGGACCGCCAAGGGAAACGCTCAACACCTGGCGTCGCTTGAACTACAAGGCCAACCAACCCTAATGAACAAGCTTAAACAATCCCCCTCCCCGTCCCCCCCCCCCCTCTCTCTCTCTCTCACTCACACACACACAGACACACACGCACACACGCAGAAGCGAATGTGTTGCAAATGAACCGGAGGAAGCAGATAATAGGAGGCTGTAAAAGCAGGGGTAAAACTGCAAGCAGCCAATAAAAGCACCACTCGCCGGAATCCAGCTCCACTTCTCATCATCACGCCCTCCCTATTCCCCCTTCATCTTCACCTCTCGCAGTCGCTTTCTGCAACTCTTGTCTTTCCTCTTCCCTGCACTCTTATCTTTTTCTTCTGCCAACGCTTCTCCGACCTCCACCCTCAACCCCCTAAGCGACCATAGTTCCCATCCTTTTCAGATCTAACGATCTATAGTCGGGCCACGAAGTCGTCGTATTTGACGAGAGGACAGTGAAAGCTGGATCAAAGGCATGGAAAGAGTCCTCTTCCTCCCGACCAGCCGGAGGAAGAAGAGGAGCTTTACACGCAATTTACATCGGAGAGGGCAGACCAGGATGCGACGGTCATAGTCTCGGCCCTCACACACGTTATCAGCACCACTCGGGAGAGAGAAGTCACAGATGTGCTCGTCAGCGATCCCCAGAAATCTGAGATGTCGGCGCCGCCGCCGGCGGTTTGCGTGGAGAGAGACTCCAACCCACCCTCGGAAGAACAAGGTATAAGCTTTCCTCGACTTCGAAATGATCGCTGCAGCTGGATCTCATATTTTTATGCTGTTTTTTCTTTTAAACTTCTACACAAAAAGACGGTCGCACGAGTAGTGCCCATGGAACTCTCGAGTCCTAACAGAAGGGGATGCAATAGAGGGAAAATATCAAAGAAAGCCAAGGAAGGCAGCCTGCACCATCATCTAGTGATGAATCAGTTTCTTCTTCGTCTCTATTATTTTGTGATTCATGTTGTCCGCAAGAGTTGTTCCTATCGTGCCAAACGACCACCGTTTACAACTGGATAAATATTATGCACTGAGTAGTCGTTCTCTATTTTATGTGAAAGGGGTTGCTCCGAGGCGGAGGCACTACCGAGGAGTGAGGCAAAGACCATGGGGAAAGTGGGCAGCGGAGATTAGAGATCCGAAGAAAGCTGCTCGAGTGTGGCTCGGCACCTTCGACACCGCAGAGGGTGCAGCCGCCGCCTACGATGAAGCTGCCCTGAGATTCAAAGGCGCAAAGGCGAAGCTCAATTTCCCCGAGAGAGTCCAAGGTCGGACGGATCTTGGTTTCCTGGTATCCCCAGGAATTCCCCGACAGGTGTCAGATCCGGTGCTCCGACCGCCACCATCGTACCCGGATCTCCTTCAGTACGCCCAGCTCCTTCGCGGTGGAGACGAGGACCTCCATACTGTGGCGGCCAGACTCTACGGTCGACGCATCATATTTTCGAGCGTTCCACCGATCTTGGCGTCTCCAGGGAACTCTCCGCAGGGACTGGTGGGCTTTTCCTCCCCGTTCAGCAGCTCTTCCTCTAGCTCGAATCCTCAAGAACAAGATAAACCCATCAGAGGTGGCCTATCGAGGGATAGCTGTTGATCTGACCTCGGAAAGCAGTTTGGTTACGTCCATTAACAGTGCTATTGATCGTTGTTGAAAGCCTCTTCATTTGGTTTTTTTTCTTATTTCAAGTGCTACCACTTGTCCTAGCACCTAAAAAAAGAGAGGATTGAAGGAAAGAGGTGCAAGTGCAATATTCCCTCGACTTCTCGGAGGGACAGACGGAGGTGGAGAGCCTTAGGTCCCTGATACCATTGGCTTCGGAATTTATTGGCTCATATCTTGTTTTAGTTGGTTTCCATCTTCTCACATATTCTTCCTCCACAAGCATGCTTTTGGAGAAGTCAGCGATGAGCGCGTCGTGACAGTTAGAAGACAGATGCCGCTTCCTATTCAAGAGCTCCATCCTTTCACGCCCTATCCGCAATTCTTAGAGTGGAAATTCTTCGAATCTATGGAAAATCTTTCTATTGATTGTCGTGCGGAAATCCCCGCTTCGACTTCTCGATCTTCGCCTTCTTGCTGTTCAATCTTACCAAAAGAATAAATGGCACCGCTTCATGTTGTAATGAGATAATTTGTTCACCTCGGTTCTCTCTCTCTCTCTCTCTCTCTCTCCTCTCTCTCCGCTCTTTTCTTTTCCTTACAGGACAAGGTAGTCTCCAACCAGACCTCGAATAGACTGCTTACAGCATATCACCTGGGATTCACCTTCTGAGCCTGGTCCAAGCTTAAAATAGACACTACCGCCTTCTGTCATGGCAGCCGGCATGTGAGTGCCATGTTTAACTTATGCCTTACAGAGATGCTGTATCTTCCAATTTACCGGTCAATATCTATCATGTCCCTCCGTGTCTCTTTCCCTCTTTGCATCTTTCCCTGCATATTCACCCAAAGGCTATCAGCCGAACCTCCCTCCCATCGCAGGTCCCAATTAAATCGTTGCTCCAACAGAAAATATTACCCTTCGTGTGCATTTCAGAAACGTGACAGCAAGCCCCGGACGCGTTCATGCACTCCCATGCAACGGGCATGGAGAGCGAGGTGTCTGAAAACCCTTGGGTTCCTCGCATTTGTAAGAACGACGCTGGCAGTGCCCTCGTGGATCTAAATGAAGTACACCAGACCGCTGGCAGGCGTAGACTGCGCCGCAATTGTTTTCCTAGCTTAACAAATGCCCCGGTCACTCCAACGGCCATAAAGGCTCATACTAGTTGAAATTAACGCTTAATCGCATGGCGGGTGTCTTATTTCAATGAATAATGCCCACCAATTCTTCTTGGCCAATCGCGTCGAATGAGATGGTTTTATGCGTCTCTGCTTCCTTCAAATATATGATGGTGATGAAGAGAGGATGTCGGTTTATCGTCGGAAGCATGAAACTTATGAAGAGAATGATAATGATTGGGGTTCATGGCGGCACGGTTCCAAATGCCACCAGTTGAAGGTTGGACGATGGCGATGAGTTAGCACCTGGACCTCCTAAACCAGTGGTTAAAGGGCGATTGACCACTCGCTGAGTTATTGCCGATTCTGATGGAATCAGACTGTGGCAGGATCCGTCGCTGTCCGCTTCTCGATCTGCTCTGCTGCATCAGATGTTTCCCTCCCTCCGCAGTTTCCCTCGTTCCATCAGCCGTCTCTGGATGCCGGCTGTGCAGACGGCTACAAGTGAGTGTTGCACAGCGACTGTTGCCACAACAAATGCATAGGAAAAGCTTAGTTTTCCTAGAAGCCTACTTTCCAATTTGAATTACGTCGACCCTCCCCACAGTCTAGAAGCTTACTTTCCCATTTGAAAAGGAATTGCCTGGTAACGAGGAATGGGTGCTATTTTAGCGAGTTCCCTCTTCTTCCCCCTCGAAGAGAACGCGAATGATTCCTCACTTAGGTACCTCCAAAGAAACAACGGTACGCCTAAGTTTCGACTGGGTTCATCTGGGCTTTGCGGCGAATCCTCATCATATATGTGCCCGTGAATAAGGAGGAGAGAGAATGAGGGATATCGGGGGAAAAAGAAGTTTGCTCATCTTCTCTCTCTCTCTCTCTCTCTCTCCACACGAATCTTGACAAACGTTAACGGGTATGGAGAGCAACCGCACGGTGGAGGATCGGTAGCAGAGGGGTCGCTAATCAGTTGGGCGGTGCCTTTTGACTTGCAGGCGTTTGTCAAGAAGAATCAGATGCTAGAGTCAAAAGACGCTACCCCAGCAGCCCCAATTGGTCGATGATTATTACTACGATGCACGGCCAGTTGACAAACTTGCACCACGTTCTTGGACTCCGACGAGTCCACGCGCTTCTCTTCCCTCCTGAGATCGCTGTCTTTCTTAGCCCACAAACCCATGCGCTGGCCTTCCCATGGTTTCGAGCACAGGAGTCCCCTGATAACGTGATTGATCTCATTGGCATTCGAAAGAGATTATATTATGCAGAACTTCTCATGTTCCCCCCCCCCCCATTTAGTTCAATCGTGTATAAATTAATATAGTCATCATCTGGCATACAATCGCATGTGCAGTGCAAGGGAAGGAGAGCCAGAGGAGGAGAGGCTCATAATAAAATTAGCCTGGCGGTGATCAGATACCCGAGAGAAAAGGAGGTTGAGATGGCCACGGCGTACCGGAGAGAGGGAAACAGAAGCTTCCAGGGAGAGGGAAGCGTTCGAGGGGAGGAAGCGGTAGGTCTGAGAGTATGTGTGCACAAGGACCTGCGGCACCGGAGCTCCTGCCGTCTGAGCGGTGGGGTCCTTCCCTCCCCCGCCTCCGTCCACAGGATGGCAGAGAGGGTATCACCTGCAGTGCGCCTGGTAGCGGGAAGGATGGCTTTTCTCCCTCCCCTTTACTACACAGGAGAATCGAAAAACGATGAGGAATTCCAGACCCTCCATCCGTGCGTCGGGAAAGATGCCGAATACTTCGGCGCTAACGTCAATCTTTGCGGCGGCTGCTGCTGGATTAGGGAAAGAAAAAGGTCTCTGGAAAAGCTTCCCACTCCACCCATGCCCAAAGACCTAACATTTGTAGTAAACGCTCCTGCTCCTCACTTCCACCCCCCGCCCTCTCCCCCTCCAGACGAGTTGTGCACTGCGAGCATACCATCCCTCAGCCCCGTAATCACACGCCTGAGGGCAAGACCCTGCCGAGTCCAAGAGAAGGTACGATGCGGCCCTACGAAGACCTACACAGCTCGGGCACTGGACAAGACAGCCGCTTGGCGGTGTCGAGGGGATCCCCCGGGCCGGATTCGAGCCGAAGCCGTCAGCGGGTGGGAGGGATAGTGATTGGACGGGCCTCCCTCCCAACGGGGTTGATCAATAACTGCTGTCCGTCTCCACAGTGTGGAGTTACGCCGCATCCGCCCCAGGATCTCCCGTCGCGGGCCGTCAACACCACCTCCTCCTACGCCGGCGTAGCATCGCAGACGCTCCACCGCCACGGCACGGCTAGGCCATGTGGAGACAAATCCCACAGCCTGCGCCATCCGGGCCGGGGCTGACCATATGTCTCCCTCCCTCTATTACATCTTGATGTGATCTTTTGGCCGCTGCTTCGAACCCTTAGTTACGGTCAGCTTTACGGGGAAATGGAGGATTAGGCGTAGCAGCGGCGCGGAGAACTCAAATCCCGAATCCTCTTCTCCCCGGTGGATGCATCCATCTCTGCCAAGCTTCAAAGCATCCGGCATATGATACCGTCTACTCTGTAGCAGTAGATTAAGACGCTCTGGGAGTTAAGTACTAGGCTACGAGCCTTAACCATTAAAACGACGTGACGGCACATCCCGGGGGGAGATGGGATCATCCTTCTCTGCTCGCCTATGAACCCTCAAGGTTGCGATAGGATGAAAGACATGATAACGGCTATTTACGTAGGCATACGGAAAGGACCCTGCTAAACCCCTTTGTAAACATTGTTGGGCCCAACAAGGAAGAATCGGACAATTAAAGATTTCACGGGCCCACGTTGCTGACAATGTTGTTGGGCCCAACTAAGAAGCCCACGTTGTCACATCGTTACATCCAAAAGCCAAGCCCACAGGGCACGTCGGGTGTTCATTCATTCTGAGAGGGTATATGTGTCCTTTCACAATTAAACCCTCTCTAGTATAAATAATCGCATGAGGGATGATTCCTCCTCGTTCTGCTTCCCTCCGCGGCTGAGTGGTGAGAGGCGGCTCATCTCCGAGGTTGTTCTTGGCCGCCATGGTGAGTGATTGTGTTCCGCCTAGTCTCAGGCGTGCGTGTGTGGCTTGTATTGCCATGGATTTCTACCTCAGAGTACTTCTCTGTTTATTTTGTCCGTTTGGTATGTATTGTAGACGTTCAAGCGCAGGAATGGAGGCCGGAACAAGCACGGGCGCGGCCATGTGAAATTCATCCGCTGTTCAAACTGCGCCAAGTGCTGCCCGAAGGTGACTCCTCGATACCTCTTCTTTAAGTAGATGTTTGTATACGATTATGTCAATTGATTGCCGTGGATAAAACCCTAGATCTGCATTTGCCTCCCTGGATTATCGGCATCCTCTAGTTGCATTTTGTTGTGTTTCATGGTAACGTTTGTTTTATGAGTTTTTACGCAATAGGCGGCCCCATCACGCTATCGATGAACATGACAGTGATATAACGACTTTAATTTATTTTCTGTTTGCTATAAACTTCTGTTTAATGTCCTATTGCCCGTGATAATGTGATTTCCAGGACAAGGCCGTTAAGCGGTTCCTTGTGAGGAACATTGTCGAACAAGCTGCCGTCAGAGATGTCCAGGAGGCTTGTGTATATGAGAGTAATGATGACGATCACTTTTTGATCTTCTTATATATATAGATATAGATATATACTCTGTCCTGTCATCTTAACCATAAACGTCGGTATCTCAGGCTACACTCTTCCAAAGCTATATGCCAAGGTTCACTACTGTATTTCGTGTGCTATTCACTCGCATGTCGTGCGGGTACGGTCGCGCACCAACAGAAGGAACCGTGAGCCACCACAGCGCTTCAGACGCAGGGTACTATCTCTTGTTGCTTTCTTCTATCGTAGTGAGGCATATTTTATATATGGTCACCATCGTTTCTTTTATTTCGTGGCTTTGAGGTTACCGAAATGAATCGTTTGTTGTGATGGAGTGAATCGTCTATTCAGACTCAAGGTCCATGTTTTCTTAAGTTGGCTTGCTTGAATTAAGAAAATACTTGTAATCATTGAGCATCAAGGAGTTTTGATAGTAACCTTTCGGCAACAATTCTAATGCATCGTTTGATTTTCGCCCAGCAGGTGTCCCTATTGGGAAGGATTCAGGTTTTTTTTATATTAGTTTCATGAATAAATATCATGTACATCGCTAGTATGATACAAATCTCTAGAATTTTTCACATTGATTCTGCTGTTTAGATAACTCGGATGATCATTCTAAGTACTCTAGTAATTGAGCGAAAGCAAAGTCTTGGTTCCAATCAAGTAACTACGGTGTCAATGAAATCTCCTAATAAAGTAAAAAGTTAGTCCGTGCTAACCGTTTGGGGTTATTGGATAGGACCGTAGCGTTGACTGTGGTTATCCGTTTCAAACGCTAATTAAAACTAAATTTTCCGAGCTTGTTTTGGTCACATGCGGTCATTACATTGCAGCCACAAGATAATTGTTGTTAACGTTGGAAGACATTAATAATTTTCATTTGATCCTCCTTAAATAATAATATATATGTGGTTTCTCGTTACCCCTGCTAACATGTCGAGGGCAGTCTGTTGATCTTGCTCTCTTTGTGGAAGGTCAGTTTTGTTACTCTGCTCTCTCACGGCCACTACCATTATCGTCAGCCGAATGTCATTAATTTCATTAATTAGTCTTAGTGCCGTTATCATCAAGCTCCTCGTTAGATTATTGTCAGATGGCTAATGCAGGGCCTTCAGGGGGGCATCTGTAGCCATGAGAATTTTTACGGGCATTGCTCTCAATTACGATGTTCTGGCATTATATTATGCATGTTCTGAGCCCACGGCGTCATCATTTTGGCCCTTGTCTACTGTTTAAAGGATAATATGCCCTAATCCTACATTCCTCAGCTGCACCTTCTGTGGTACATTTTTGGGTTATATTCCCCTCTCGATTGCTAGAAGAGCAATCTAAGTATAGTACCAAATTTTAACTCTTGTTGGTATTAAGGAATCCCAAATTGCTTTTTTGGTTAAGGAATGATATCTCCAAATCATTAGTTATTTTTAAATAGCTAGTGCACATCTCTTGGGCAAGCATAGTCCGCCGTCATAAGCGTGTGATAAGCTTATGGAATTATAGGGGGGATCTTTTCTTGACTTGACATGGCTCCTTTTGTTACAGGACGACACGGCGAGGCCAGGGCAGGCGCCGGGGCAGGGGCAGGGGCCACGCCCACCTGTTGGGATCGCCAATCCAGTTCGCACGTAATTTTCTCTATCAATGAGATTCGTAGCTAGTTTTCTTCGGACGACAGTGGGTTCACCCATTCGAACTAGGTTGATTTCCCTTCTTTTGACGTCGAAGTGAGCTATTATTACCCGCTGGGTACGTGCGTTCATATTAATATTCCATTTTCTGCTTTTGGATTTCACCTTGCTTTGTGTTGTGTTCAGAGTCCGCGGAATTTTTCTTGACGCCTAAATTCTATTCTGGTGGAGATGTTTTTCAATCGGTCGCTTTTGACTCCAATCATTTTGTTACTGCCATAAAAGTAATCTACCTAAGAACGTCGTCATAGTATCATATCATCAACAGCGGCAAGATCGACGCTATGTAGCACGCCAACCACAGATGAGTAGACATCATACACCCTTTGAGGCATTCCCCCAAACTCTCGAAGCTTTACATTCAGCATATTGTTCGGTGTAACCCGAGGGCTTTTTCTTTCCATATGGTCGTGCCCAAGACGGTTCATTTTCAAAAGGGAATCAGAGGTTATTATCAGGGTGAGCCTGTACAGGTTAGCACCTAGCGCATAGTCCGGTTCACAGCGTCTTTTCCCACGGACGGGCTCCTGTCTTCCTCGGGTATAACTGTCCTTGGCCTGCTGGGCCCGGGTCGGTCTTTGACTCCCACTGGGAAGGGTTCCTAAAGAGTGGAAATGATCAATTGGTCCACCAAAGAAAGCAGACCGCTTGAACATGAATAAGGTAGAAACAGAAATAGAGATGAAAAAAAAATTCGTACCGGATCACCGGCATTAGGACCGTCCGAGCGAAACAGGATGGGGCGGCATCGTATGTCTTCGTTCATCAGACTCGAATTTTTGAAGTGGGCGATCAGCGCGGCCTTCCCTTGAATCCGAGCGTATGCGAGGGACGCCACCTTATCGCTGTTGAACTTCTCCCACTTCTTCCCATTGAAGGCCTGCGAACAAAGTGGACGAAATCCGCCCTGTCAGTAGAGAGAGAGCGTCCCCGCGACGGCATCTGCGAGCGAGCTCAGGCGATGGAAATAACCTGATAAACTGGGATGATCTTCTGAGAGTCGATCATGTTGATGAACGCATAGCCCATATTACAGTTGTTCTGGAGGATCAAGAACAAGAAGAGCCCTTCTTCTCAGTTTCGTGGATGGTGCAAGATAAGGCAAGAAATGGTTATGTCGGTCGATGAGTGAAAGCGCCATCTCTGACCCACCTTGAAATCAATGGGCAGATAGAGGAAATCGTACGTTCCCCGGTGGTGCTCGCCGATGGCGGCCGAGAGCATCTCCGACGTGTATCTGCTCCAGCGAAGATAGAAGGCAACAAGTGAGCATCTCACGCGGGAGGGAAAGAAAAAACGGGCGATTCCCTTATCTTCTCTGGCTCGGAAGAGCGGCATACTTATTGGGTATGTTCTTGATCATCAACGTCGTTCTTGAGTCCTCCCCCCGGATGATGCGCTCGATGTTGAGTTCGTACTGTCTCCGGCTGTTGCTCTGTCTCCGGGACCGATCGGAGGCATGGAAAATGTGCCGATTCTGCAGAGGGAGCAAGCTGTGGGAAGCAAGCCTGAGGTGGTGCCGAGGATAGCCGCCGGCAGATCGCACGCTTCCACTGCTGCCCGGAGGAAAACCAGGCGAACCGAGCCACAAAGAGGGATTCACCAGGGGCGGCGGGCCACGCAGCATATTAGGCGGCAGCGGTGCTCTGAAGAGCCCGCGTAATGGCGGTGGAGAAGAGATGAGGTTCCCTAGTGGCATTGGATTAAGCCACATCATCTGACCTGGGATTAGATCCCCCCAGATCTGCTGATTACCATTGAGAGGGTAGCTCCCGTTCCCGGGGGTTCCAAAAGCTGCGAATATAAGATGGGGTTTCTCCTTCAATCGGAAGGCAAATATTTGCACCAAAATTGAGAGAAAAAGCAGAGGAAAGGCGGGTGGCAACTTACCGCCGGTGTCCTCGGGCCCGCCGAAGGCCATATGAGCAGGAAGCGAATGAGGAAGTGGAGTTGGGGGGGAATGAAGCCCTGGATTTATCGGTCCGCACCGATCACCGTGGTTGACTGGGTTGGAGGGGAAGCCGGGAAGAATACCAAATGGTGCTGGCGGGAACGAGCCTTCCATGACAAGGCTGACCGAAGCTTGAGAAGGGGGATGTGAACCTGAGAACACACCAACAACTATTTACCGGTCGATAAATCCACGAAGAGGGCAACTGGTTATTACCGAGAAAAGAGATCATAACGAGACCACCGAGAGATTGACAGGTAGACGGGCTTCTCGGTTGATGGAATCCTGTAGCTTCTTGCTCTAAGATAGGAAACGGCTCCTTCCCTGCAACGTCACCCCTGTTCAAAGCAAGGAGGGCGGCCGAAGCCGCCCTCACATCATAGAACTCGATGAACCTGTGATGTCGATCGTACGGAGTTTCAAGGATCTGGGCAGCAGAAGAAACTGTGTTTCAAAACCAGATTGGCCTGAAACCTGAGGAGAAGCTAATGACGATAGATAATGTCACAAACCTCCTTAATGTCCCCATAAGCGCGTAAGATCTCGTGGAGGTCAGAATCTAAAACAGAGGAGTCGACCTTGAGCGCCACGACTGTGCCCCCCTGGTTGATATCTTGATCGGAGGGATTGTCCTGTGGAAGAAGGGCTTTAAAACCAGAAGAAAAGAAATCGAAGCGAATGAACACGGGGGAGGAATACTACCTCTGGAGCTGAAAAATGTATGTCGAGCTTCCTCTGCCTGAGGGGCGTGCTTTGAAGGGCTCTCATCGCATTCCATGCCGATCGCATGTCGTAGTATGAGATCATAACGAAGCCCTGGTTCTTGCAGGCGGTATAAAGACTCCGTATATCCCCATATGGCTGTCCCAGAAGCAGGTTCATTAGCATGCTCGAAATCAGAGGTTCCAAAAAATCACCCCGTAAGATATTGAAGAAGACGGTGTGTACCTCAAAAAGAGCAGTCAACTCAGAATCGTCAGCGTTACTATCTACGTTCCTCACAGAAAGGGTTCTCGAAGGATGCTCTCTATGCGGGTGTTCTCCAGGGAAAGACCCGCCCATCGCCTCCTCTTGACCACCGAAGACTCCTGCGGGTTCTGAGCTCCTGCCGCCGTAAGAGTTGTCCTCAGCTTCGAGCTCCCATCCTCCCCCAGTGCAAAATAGCTCATCCTCTGCATCACCACCTCCTCCGGGTCGAGGGAACAATTCGAGGTCATCGAAGATTCCGGAGAGTAATTCGTCTTCGTCGGGAAGGAGGTTTTCGATGGCCTGGGCTTCCATTTCTTCCACCGATCTGATGAGCTCCTCTTCTCTAGAATCTGATGCGGCAGTGCTCGCGGGGAGACCATTCAAATCGTCAAATGCCGACATATTCACTGCAAAACCAGCACGGCGATCGTCAGTCTACGTGAGCGAGGCTTGAGGTCTGCCAAAGGAGGAAGACGGGAAGACGAACTGAAACCAGAGCATCTGTCACATTAAGTACAAGAATTAACAGTGAAAAAACGGAAACATTCCGTCTCCGAAGCAGAGGAGGACCCTTTTCCTATCTTGGATGTTTCTTGATTCCTCTCGTTTCGAAATATAAAAATCGAGCCATGGAGGAGGGGGAGAAACTTACGTTTCCTGCTGAAAATTTTCGACAGAGAACAAGAGAAGAGATTGTTCACGCATCGGAACCCCCCGTTCTTGTTGTTCCCGTCCACGTATAGAGACGCGGGATGAGTCCATCGACATTCCTGAGTCCCGGAGCCCTGATCGGCTGTCTTCCATGGAACCATATAGCGGTCAAGCAGACTCTCTGCCCCCATTAGTGGCGATAGAACTTGATCTTCCTCTACCGATATTGGGTCCAATATGGTTGTTAGAAAGGTTCCAATTACTTCATAAGACGAGCTCCAAAGTCGACGGCATTCCCCAGATGCTGCAGAACGTTCGCCAAGAACAAGCATTAGAGGGAACGATGGCAATCCAGTCAGAAAACAGCATTCCAGGACCAGATTTCGCATGATGCAAGCACTCGGGACATGCGAGGAAGAGCAAGTTCAGATCCTGTAAGGCAGATTTTCAGGCGAGAGGAAACGAGCGAGACCCGGTTTATAGCACGCGCCAACAGAAGGCCGACTCAATTCAAGAGGCAGATCGGAAGAACAGCTTCGGAAGCCACCTCCCTTCCACCGATAAGGAATATCGGAGGTCACAGAGCTTGAGGTTGGCAAAATCTGAACTCAGCCCGTGAAGAGAAAGATACAGAGCAGGGAGAAAAGGAAGCTACTCACCGACTCAAGCCCCCTCGCTTCGCGACTGTACCCTGAAACTCTGGAGACAGTCCAGAGGTCACTTCCAACGCAGTCCGAGAACTCCCCTTCGCGAATAGAACACGGCGAAGAACCAAATCCCGCCTTCGCCTGTTCCCAGCGGCAGATGGGCAAAGTTCTTCTCGAAGGTGGCAGGGGAGGAAGAAGAGAGATCGTTATACATGTGAGACTGAGCACTGGAAGGAGAAGGTAAACGGCGGGGATAGGGTGGGCGGCTGCGCCGGCCCGTCTCCTACAATCGCGAGGGAAGTGGGGGAAATGGGGGCGGCTGAGTCGAGCTTCCGATGCCACAGGGGGAGGAAGGTGGAGGGAAGAGAAAACGGCGTCGTCCACCTTCTCCGAAGCCATCACCAAATTCCGTCATCGTCACCAAGGTAAGGTGCCCATCATTCACCCGTCCCCCACAGAATTACTCCTGATGTCTACGCCGAATGCCGTCATCTCTGGTTTGAGCGACGCCGTTCATACCGAGCTTAGAAAAACTCCGGCGGCGGGGTTCGGCGCAGAGAACCCCGTGCCTCCATGCCCGGTGTCATCCGTCCTTTTTTTTATATTACACCATGACCGTTGACTTGATGATTCCATTGCCGTTCGGTCGAGGGTATCTATCTTGAGGGGAGAGATGCCCGTTGGCAGGTGAGGCAGCAGCCACCTATCAGCCAATCTCTTACTAAACCACAATTAGCGGAAATTGAAACGGAGACGGTAACCCCTCTCTCTCTCTCTCTCTCTCTCTCTCTCTCTCTCTCTCTCTCTCTCTTTCTCTCTCTAACAGTGACGTCCGTGAAAACGATAAGGCTACCTGTAGAAGCCGATGGCCTACCCTAGACATAGTTATTCGGGGTCATACGTCAAACTGCGATGCGCGACAGGAGTCCGCTGTGGATTATCGTCAAGAGACAAATCCTGTCCGGCCCAATATTTAAATAAACTATTGGGCGCGTCCCTTTCGGCCCAAGGTTAACCAAAAATAATTAAAATTAGGCGAAAATGCTAACCGGCTCCTGCCGCCGTGGATTAATGGGCCTCTAGTGCGGAGTGAAATGGTCTGCAGGAAGTAAGCCCATATTCCAGTCAAATGAGCCCATTAATCCTCGGCGAAGCCCACATCTACCAGTTTCACGGTATATTGTCCAAAGAAGGTGAGTGGGCTATTCCGTGGGCCTCGATGCTGTGTGGGATTAATTAGAAGGGTTATTGAAAGGGAGTTCTACGGTCGTTGAGCTGCCTCCGATCAACAAAACTGCCAGAAAGCGTTCTTGGTAGGTAAAATGAATGTTGACAGTGGGGGCATTCCGAGAATTGAACTCGGGACCTCTCGCACCCTAAGCGAGAATCATACCACTAGACCAAATGCCCATGTTTAATAAGGTTGAATTAAAAAACTATTAATCCCCAGTTTTTTTCCTCTAGAATACTCAAGAACACTTGTTGACCCTCGTATTGACTTTTAGCGAGAACTAGGGATCAAACTTGTTCACCGATAATTTTATTAATCGAATATTACCGCGTGAAGCAGCTTATTTATTTGATCTCAGAACAGGAACATTACTTCATTCACGCGGCCGATGAGCTCGAAGGGGGAATTGTAGCCGGCGACGGTGTACGTGGACGTGCCCGCACCTCCCTCGCTTGCGGTGGCGGCCTTCCAGGGGCTGCCGCGGAGGCTGTTCCTCAGCGCCGCCGCTTCTGCGGGAATGTCGACGTCATTCAGGAACCCCCCGAAGCGCCTCACGGCGGCGTAGTGCGGCCCTGGCCAGGTCTCGGGGTCTACTTTTGGTGATGACGGGGGAGCGTTCTGGTACTTCTGCGGCATGTAGAACCTCACCACGAAAGTCGAGTTGCAGAGGCCCCCCGTTGACGGCGTGACATCGACGAGAACCGGTGCCGTCATTTCCACTTTCGCTACTTGGTCGTTCCACCCCTGAATATATGCCGAAAGCCTGCGCATTTCGCATTACTCGTCGTTAGAGTGAGTAAGAGTGAGAGGGGGGGGGGAGAGAGAGAGAGAGAGAGAGAGAGAGCGACTTACTCGAGAAAGCCGGCATTAGAGGCCTTGGTGTAGGAGAAGCTGGTTATGGGAGGGGAGGCGACCCACGTAGCCTTTCTGTAGCTCCGGATCTCTAGATCTGGCTGGGAGTGGATAACCTGGTAAGATGGGCATTCGAGGATCCTGCAGTTCGATGGTTCTTCAAAGCCCCCAGCCTCAGCCTTCCCCTTTCCAACTGGGAAGGACAGCAACATCACTTCGAGGAAGAACCCAGACCAACCTCCGCAGAGAAAACCCATCGCTCCCAGCAGATCGACTCTCGGAAAGAGACCCTCCCCGATTCTCAGTGGTCAACAGATTGTTGTCATCTATAGCCTTCCGAAGCTGGGAATAAATGGTAGCATCAAAGATTTGAACGTGTGTCTGATGCATTCCTGCGTGCTCTACGCCTCTTCGAGCATGTTGGTTGTGCATTTAGGATTCTCTGCCGTCGGATCCCGGCCGTTGTTGTCGGTGCGTTATGCCCTCCATTAATGGGGCGAGCTCCGACGTGGAAGAGCCTTCTTCCAGGTAAACCACGTAGGGACAAGATAAGAGCCCGCCAATCCCCGTGTTTATTTGGACCGTTTGATCGAGAACGTAGGAGTAGAAGCTTAACTGTAGGCATCCGAGGTCATCCTCGGAAATATACCCGGTTCTCATCTTCCGATGACAGCGTTTCGAGATTTATACTCCCTTTTCGACCACGGACGGGTAGGTTCACGGGGATTCAGTCTCCCCAAACATCATCGCTACTCGCACAACGTCTTGCCCCGATGCTACGTCAGCTGGAGTTGACCAAAGAAGTCAGCCAGCCGTATAATGCATAGATTATTGAGGAGATTTAACAACCCAATTCGAGAAGACTTATTCCTGTATTACGAAACCGAACGGAAGGAGATTCGGAGATTCGGAGATTCGTCGATTCGCGTTAATTCTCTTCTGTTTTATTGAGGGAACGGGTGCCCAAGAGCTCTCGTTTGCGCAAGGGCCTCCTCAAAAGAGGAACATCACTTCATTGATGCGGTTCTTGCGCTCGTCGGGGGAGTCGTAGCCGGCGACGGTGTAGGCGGTCGGACCACCGGGCCGGGAGATCACGGCCGCCTCCCAGCGGGTTCCCCGGAGGCTCTCCCTCAAGGCCGAAGCCTGAGGAGGGATTACTTCGTCCTTCAGGAATCCGCCGAAGCGCCTCACGGCGGCGTACCGCGTCCCCGGCCATGTCTCAGGGCGAACCTCTTTCGAGCGAGGGGGGTTCTTCTGGTATCTCCGTGGTAAATAGAAGCGAACCACGAATGTCCCTGCAAACGGGCTGATGTCGACGACCACCGGTGCCGTCATGCCCACCTTCTCCCGGCGATCGTTCTTCCCTTCGATATACGCAAAGAGACTGTGCCATGCACATACATCAGCCGTTCAGTTGGCGTCACGGAGAAAGACCGAGAGAGAGAGAGAAAGAGAGAGAGAGGGAGGGAGGGAGTAAGACTTACGGGCCGAAACCTTTGCCGGTGGCTGCCTCGAAGGAGGAGCTGTTAATGGGAGGAGAGGAGATCCAGAGGGCATTCCTGTAGCTCCTAATCTCGAAGTCCTTCCCGCTGAATACGACCTTGTAGGAGGGGCACTCCAAGATCTTGCAGTTCGGCGGCTTCGGAAAACCTCCGGTGGCGGCGGATTCCCTCACGCTGACTGAGAAGCATGCGATCATCACCAGGAGGAACCCGGTCCACCGTACGGAGAAGAAACCCATGTCAGCCAAACGCAATGACGCACAGAGGTCTTCTTCCCCAAAGAAACCTATAGTGCCAATGGGTCAACGCCCGATGCCGGAGAGCTATCTGTAGATAATATATATGTAGATAGACGGAATCAAAATGGTACTGTGTGGTCATCAGAACGGCTTCCTGAGCTTTGTACTTGCGGCCGAAACCGCTGCCACGTGGCTTAGCAGCTATCATGTCGCTTTCTGTCTCTATTAGAACACGGAACTGCCTTTGTCTGCTTTCTGGGTCAACGTTTTCGGCTCGCTCTATGGGCCCAGTAGAGGAGTAGTTACGGGCCATGCCCAGCCCGAACCCGGCCCGTGACTTGCTGCGGGCCAAGAGAAGGGCTACGGGCTGGATTACTTCGAACCCCGGACTCTGGCCGAGAGAGGCCAAAAGACTGCAAAGAGGAGGGGGGGTAGAATACTAATAGGCCAACGGGCCTCCGTGCCAGACCAGCCTGGATTTTGTTGGTGCTAGCCGATGTCGGGCCTAAACCCTATTCGGGCTCATTTCAAGGTCCAGGCCCAGCAAAAAGAGGGCGTCGGGGCTGATCCGGGCCATCAACGCCCCTACCTGTGGTTTTTTAATGAGGCAGGTCGGTGGACCGTAGAAGCTTCTTTGCGAGGGCATATCCACTCGTCGACTGATTCTTCTAGAAACCAATGCTGGCGACACCTAGCATGTACGAGCAGGCTTAACTCCTAACTACCTAATTTTGTCGTAATTTTCTCCTGTAATTATGATTTCCCATAGTTTTTTTTTCCGTTTCTAATAAAAGCCTAATATTTAGCCGAGCAACCTAAAATTTGAGGAGTAAAGTAAATGCCGTTGACCTTATACCTAACACGTGGCAACCAGTGAGCAACCCCCCCGGCCGGCGTGAGGTCGATTTTTTATTAATTAGAAAAAGACGGAAATGTAATGGTATGGAGGTTTCACTTGGGTTTTTTTGTCGGCGATGGGCGGGCCTGGCCGGAAGAGGGATTTTTTTCTCACGCAATCCCCCCGCCGCGATTTCTCTCTCTCGGGAACCGATGCCCACCGCGTTGGAAGACGTTGACGACCACGAGTAGGCCGAGGACTATACGATCCACAACCATCGCGAAAGACTTGGCGCGAGGAGCATCGTCGCCGGATAATCGAGTCATGTACCGACAGGACGTCACCACCGGCGAGGCTCGACAACTTAGGTCTTTGCCATCTGTGGCGGCGCCGCCGAGGACCTCCGTCTAATCTACTCGAGCTAATCGGAAACAACACTAGGTGGACAAGAACCAAAGAACAGGGACAACTTCCTATTTATGTTTCCAGAGTTTTAGGGAATCGGGAAACCCGAGAGCCATAGATCGTATTTATTTAAGAAACATCTGTTCATCTGACATTCACAGAGAGACCGGTGCAGGAGCACGCTTCGAGCTTCTCAGAAGAGGAAGAACACTTCGTTGACCCGGTCGAACTCGAAGGGGCCGTTGTAAGAGCCGACTGTGTACGTGGATGGAACTCCACCTCGCCCGCCCAGTGCGGCCGCCCAGCGGGTGCCGCGGAGACTCTCGGCCAAGGCCAGAGCTTGTGGCGGGATGTTGTTGTCGTTTGCGAACCCCCCGAAGCGCCTCACGGCGGCGTAGCGCGGCCCCGGCCACTTGCCGGCGATGACCAAAGGGGCCGTGGGGGGGGACTTCTGGAACTTCCGCGGTACAAAGAAGCGCACCACGAAGGTCGAGTTGCTGGAGGGCCTCTTCGCCGGCGTAATGTCCACCAACGCCGGCGCCGTCATATCCACCCTCACCCCGCGATCATTCCTCCCGTTAATGTATGCGAAAAGGCTGCGCCATGCGTGTATAGTGGATCAGTCGCCGCCATAGAGAGAGAAAGAGAAATAGAGAGAGAGGACGAGACTTACAAGTTGAAACCCCTGTCGGCGGCTTCTCTGTAGGTGCGGCTCGTGAGGGGAGGAGTGGAAACCCAGACGGCCTTAGGGTAGCGTCTGATCTCGAAGTCCTTCTGGGAGTAGATGACTTCGTATGAGGGGCACTCCAGAGTCCTGCAGTTCGACGGAGTAGGGTAGCCCCAAACAGTGGCCTCCCCCTCTAAGAAAGAGCCGGAAAACACCACCAACACCAGGAGGAACCCAGGCAATCCTCCGGCGACGAAGCCCATCTCGGGCGACGGAGTGACGCACAAACTCCGTCAGAAGTCAACGCGTTGCCCAGGGACAGCTACGCAGATAAATATATAGATAGGATCGACAGGATTTGTGTGGCCATCAGAGCCGCTCCCCCGAGCTTCGTTCCTGCGGGCGGAGCGGCTGCCACGTGACCCATCCTTTTTTGTCCCTGCTCCTTTTTTCGGACATGTTCGGTATCAGCTGCGCCGCTCTTCTTGGTCAACGCTTTCACACGCGTTCATTGATATGGCGAGCAACTCGCGAGCTCCTGGAAGCTTCTATGCACAGGTGTAGACAAGCTAATCAGTTGCCCCCCGTGGGCGGTCAGTTCCGTGGGGAAGGGAGAGAGAGAGAGAGAGAGAGAGCGTGGGATCAGGTTGGACGGAAGTCAACACGATCACTCGAGAATTACCACGTCGTCGTGATCCGTTATCAGAGGTTTTCTAAATAGGAACGAGTTCACACACGTCAACGCTGAACGTAGCCATGTTTTCTACGAGTATCGTATAAAGAAAAAAATTTATAAAATTATATATATCCGACTTATTCAGTAAAAAAAACGAATTAACTGTGATTTTTAATACTCGGTGCTTGTAACTCTTCTCGCTTGGTGACGATCCCTACTGTAAAACGTTACGACATAATAATAGAATAACCCATATTTTACCTTAAAAAACAAAAAAAATCGTAGTTTAAGCGTACCTGCTTGACTAGACCCGTCGAATATTTGTATTGATTATTTATAAAAAAAAATCCCATTTTGTCTTCGTCGCGCATGTTTTCTTGTCTAGCTGGACGTCTTCGGGCGGGTTGAAACGTCTGGGTTCGTAGAAGCTCGTCAACGGTGTGATCAGTGAATCCGCGCGGCGCCCCGACAATTTTCGCCTGCCCTGGTCTCCTACACCCATCCCAGATATCCAGAAGTAATAGAATCTCTCTCTCTCTCTCTAGCTGGAGGATATTGGTGTGGATAGTGGACTGGGGTTTGGGCCCATTATATTGTCTCTCGATCAGATTGGGACGTGATTAGCTAGCCCAGGCCCCTTGATCATGGGCTCATTGGTCTCCAAAGCCCAACCCATTTGCTCCAGACGCAGGAGCGAATGGGTCAGTTGATCATTATTACGTCACAATTGGGATCCTGGTCATGATAATAATGGGAAGCATTAAATGGGTAAATACAAGCTCACGGTTTCTCAGTTTTTCAGAGCAAACCCATCATTTTTCAGAGATTTGTGAATTTTATTGCACAATTTAAGAGCTTATTTTTCGATCTCTTTCCTTGAGAAAATCAGGCCGCGTTCTCTTTAATTCAGAGCATCGAGAAGGTGCCGCGCGGGCTCCCCTCCCCCCCGTCCCCCGAGAGCACCACCTAATCTGCGGAGAGGACACGGAAGATAATCCACCGACGCCTAAAGCAGACCCTACAATAAATCCTCATTAGTGTTATCGAATCCCCCGCCGGCTGAAGGAGAGAGAGAGAGAGAGAGAGAGAGAGAGAGCATAATTTGGTATAGACGTCGACGTCGAGGAATGGGGAGGGTAGTCGCCGGAAGAGTCAAAAATGGGGAAGACGGGGAGGGGTATGAGGATCAAGATTGGCCATTTAGAAACGGAGAGGGGAGTGGTTAAAGGTGGCGTTTTTCTAATGGAAAGGAAGGGGGAGAGGGCGCGTCGGCCCTCATGTCATCGGGCACGATCGGGGGGAGTGGCGGCCAGCGGACACGGGGGTTCCCCCAAAGCGTGGGGGTCCCCCGGGAAAGAAATAGAGCAGAAAATAGCACCTACTGAATTTAAAATGTCATCGGGCTCACGGCGGGTGGGAGGGATTCCTCCAGTGCGACGCCGACGGGCGCCTCGAGGGGGGCATCTCCTCTCTACCATCCGGCATGGTCCCCTCCTCGCCGTCACCTCACAAGACGGGCACCGCCGAACGGGAGGCTCGTGCCGGCCCCAGCCGCCGTCACCTCCCCCGGGGGGAAGAGAGGGCCCTCCTTTTCTTTCCCCTTCGATCGGACGGGCGACTGAAGGAGGGGGAGCTCAGTCAAATGGGAGATGGATGGGGGCGAAGCAGACAGGCGGGGGGGCTGAGGAAGAAGCAGCAGCAGGAGGGTTGAGGGGGAGTTATCAGGGGATTTGGCGTCGTCCAGATGCAGCTAGTGGTGGGAGGGAGATGCCCAGGACGGGAAAGTGACGTCGCTTTGAAGGGTTTTTTTCCGCTTATCTTACGGCGGCGAGAACAGCCCCTGGCCTACCCCCATTTCTCATTGCTGCCATTAATGGCGAGGGAGGAGGATGATTTGATTTCGTACTGAACGATTCGGGCTCCGGCTACCGCCCGTGGAGGGCACCCCGGTGGCTCCCCTGTCCCTTTTCAAACCGCCGTTAACCTGACTGACCGTTGCGTCACGTGCGACAGCGTCGCCGCCCCCGCCCCCGCACCCCCCCCCCCTCCTCTCTCTAGCTATCTCGGCTCCCCCGTCCTCCCCGGGGAGGACGACCCGGATGGCAGAGGGCGGCGGCGGCGGCGGGAGACCGCCGAGGTTGCCGAGGTGGACGCGACAGGAGATCCTGGTGCTGATACAGGGGAAGAAGGTGGCGGAGAGCAGAGGGAGGGGGAGGGCGCAGCAGCAGCGTCACCAACAGGGGTCGTCCTCCTCCTCGACGGCGGCGGGGGCGGCGCTCGTCGGAGCGGGGCAGCCGGTGGAACCCAAGTGGGCGACGGTGTCTGCCTACTGCCGGCGGCACGGGGTGAGCCGGGGCCCCGTGCAGTGCCGGAAGCGGTGGAGCAACCTGGCCAGCGACTACAAGAAGATCAAGGAGTGGGAGGCACGCCGGCGATCGGAGAGCGGTGGCGAGTCCTTCTGGGTCATGAGGAACGACCTGCGGAGGGAGCGGAAGTTGCCGGGGTTCTTCGACAAAGAGGTGTATGATATCCTCGACGGGACAACGGAGGGGGGGGAGCCGGTGGAGGAGCAGGAGGAGGAGGAGGAGGAAGAGCCTGGCGACTCGTTGCGTCGGGAAGTTCCCGAGGCTGCTGTTGCTCCTGCTGCTGCTGCTGAGCCAGACCCCGGGGCAGTGGCGGGGGATGCAGAGGAGCCGGCGACGGGGGTGGCGGCGGTTTTCGACAGCGGGCGTACTGCGGCGGAGGACGCCTTGTTCTCGGATTTCGAGCAGGAGCGGGACGAGGAGGGGGACGAGGACAGGGACGACGATAGGCCGGCGGCGGCCCCGACGACGTCCGCCTCGCCAATACGGGGTACTCTGCAATTCTCCTCAAAATTTTCCTCTTCCAGTCGAAAGATCCATTCAATCCCTCACGATTACGAGAGCACCGATCGATCGATCGGAGTCTTCTTCGTCTAAAATCAGGGGGATGTTCTTCACCATCCTTTCTTCCACGGATCGTCCCTTCCACCAAGGAGAGCGAATCATGAGGGTATTTGTCCTCCCGACCAGTACTGATAGATCTCTCGGTCTACGGCGCAGGCGCAGGGGAAGATAAGGAAGCTCAGGAGGATGTCCAGAAGGATCCTTCTTCGTCGCAAGAAGGACGGAAGCGGAAGCGGCCACCGGCGGGCGAAGCCTTGGAGGAGGACAGCTTGCCAGATCAACTCATCCAAATCCTGGAGCGGAACAGTCGAGCGTTGATGACCCATGTGGAGGCTCAGAACGTCAACCACCGGCTGGACAGAGAGCAAAGGAAGGAACACGGCGATAGCTTGGTCGTCGTCCTCAGCAAGGTTGCCGACGCTCTGGGCAGAATCGCTGACAAACTGTAGCGCATCTGTTCGAGCGGGCCCATGCACAGATTACAGCACAGAGGACAGCCCATTTAACACAATTTCAGTCCACAGTCCTAGCACACCCAGCCAGAACTGCCCCCTCTTGCTCTCTCTCCTTCTCTCTCTCTCTCTCTCTCTTCCCCTTCCCATTGCAGTCGGCGGGCGGCTGAAACTAAGTAAACACAACCCAATGATTACAGTCGAGTAAGCAAGCAAAGGCATTTCCCGTCTTTTTTCTTCAGCTGCTTCCAAGAGCTTTCGCACGAATGGTTCGTGCTGCAGACTGAAGGCATGGGAAGTTAACGGGAAAGTCAATGATGGGGTAGAGAGGAGATGAGATCGACCGGTCATGCGACCCCGATCAGCGAATCTCGATCGGAACCAGAACTGCTTGCGGCTAATTCAACCGTCTGATGGGTCCAAGGTTGATGATCTCTGGGAGAAGCCAATGGAACCCACTTGAATGCGGAGAGTCGGTTTGTTCTGACAATAATCACAAGAACAGAAGACCGCAATTATACCATCGGGGGCCCACAGCCAGGAGTCAACCCTCAGAGAAATCCCACATTATGTAGGTGCAGCAGTCCTGGAGCCGCCCCATCTGCTTTGACCATGAGAGCGTTGACATTCCCACTTTGATAAGGAACCCAGTGAATAAGCCCTGACGATGAACCCCTAACGAGGAGGAGCTTGCAACTTGGAGCAACTCAACAGGGGAGGAATTTCATGGATCACATCTCAAAAGATATATACATGCTCGTCACTCTCACGTATTCAAAGCCTAAAAGGAAAGAAAAGCCAGGAAGAACAGTCTAACCAGGTTTGTGGGGATCCCAGAGCTAATCATCTGTGTGGGGCCTTGAGCGGTACTGGCGGCCTGGCTTCTGGGATCCTGCGATTCTCTCCTCGGTGATGTCCATATCGTCTTTCTCAGGTGAGAGAATCTCGTTTTCCGGAGCTTCTTCTGAGGCAATGCTGAACCGCCGGACGGCAACACGGGCAGACTCCTTCTCGGCTTTGTCTTCTTGGTTCTCAGTCACAGTTGCCCGCTTTCTCGGAGTAAAAATGATTGACCTGGGAGGCTCGATGGTGCTACCAAGCTGTAAATGCTCGGAGTTTGCCCCTCTCACCATCTTCCAGAAGTCGTCAAAGGCTTGCCGATTGGATTCATCGTTGACATTCTCTTCAGATTCGAGACTGTAGCAGACGTATTTGGAAGGATTGCGCACGTAATCGGGAATGCTTGCAGGATCTCCATGGGGAAGACGGCTCGATTCACCAGCCCTTGTTGCCTCTGTCTCTGCCGGGGCCAAGGGCACATCTTGGATCACGCTGGATTGTTCATCAAGACGATCCGTGCTGGAAGGATCGAATCTCACTTTTTTGCTTCGCTTCAGATCGACCACCTCGTTCTTCCGTTTCAGAATGGGTTTTAGATTCACATCACCTTCAGATGGCTTGATCCTCGGAGCAGCATCGGTTGAAGATGAATTAACTTGGATACTCACACCCGCTTCTCTATCTTCTCTCAGTCTAGCATTTGCAGCCGAGTGATCCGCACGTGGATCCTTATCAAAGTAGACTTCCTCGCTTGTATCCTCGATGATGGAGTGGTAGTTGATGTAAGGACCGTGATCTTTGACATCTCTCATGTATACACGTTCATTGACGTCTGCCATGCCAACGGCCGCTCTATCAAACTCATCCTCCTCTTCCTGAAATAGTTGGCGACACATTAGCGTTCAATCATTCATTTTCTGTTAAAATATTGTACGAATGGAAAAGAGAGATAAATACTTGGGATGGAATAATTCAAATAAAGTGAAAAGATCATTTCACCTATCTTTAGTTTGTTCCTGCATTATAAGAGTTCTCTACGAATAATTTCACACACCCGGGCTTTCTCTGTTAGTCTTGGAACGGGAAGTGGCAGATCATGAGCTCAGTGCCTAGCGATTTTCCACCCTCTGGAAGAATCATATACAGGCAACTTCAACGGAACGGAAATCACCCTTTCTAGTTTCTAATTCATCCCTACCTTTAAAATACCCAATGAAAGGATTTTGTGGGATTTCCATTGAGTAAAGATTTGCATCTTCCATTTTCTGGATCAAACATCCCTTCCTTCCTAGGATCTATCCTCAGCAAATCACGTAATAGAGATTTCACATATCAGTCAGCTCAATGAATGTACACAAGTTATGACCCCCCGAGGAAAACGGAAAAGACGGCCCATACAAAATTTAGAGGATGTCAAGAATAAAAATTGCAGGGAGACAAATGGAAATATGGGAACGGATATATGATTAGTTAACCATGTTGGTTTTACAGGTTATGGCACTGAAAGATAGCTGACTCTATTTCACAGGTTATAGATAGCTTCGTTCTATCCCATATAATAACGTCAGATAGATCGTCCATCAAGCAATCACACAGCTCAACAAGACACGGGACTAAATAATATGCACAACAAAAGCTTCAACTTGTCAGGCCAAGACACGACCTCGCCATCCGAGATATATTCTGAAACTTTATAATTTAACATGATGAAAAAAAAACAAAGAAAAATAAGGTAACTACCAAGTTAACAACATAGTGCAAAAGGTAAGCAAGAGAACAGCCAGCAGGGCATTTTCACAAGAAATGGGGTACCAAGATAACAGCCCTGAGATGCATCCTGGTATCCTTTAAACTAGTCATAAAACCAAACGCAAAAATTTACCGTCAAACTAGATGATGACTTAGTAAATCGTACGACTGTGAAAGGCCAATAGCAATGATAACAGTAGGTGGAACGACCTCCCACGAAACTCGAGAGTGTGACTAATAATAGGCTTGCTACTGATGCTAAGACTGCTGTTGTAGACATAGGCCAACCAGTTCATCGGAACCTATTAAGAAATAATGTTAGTGTATTCCAGAACTGACACTTTTCAAAACCTGCACACTTCCACTGTATTCTAGAAAAATAGCTTTAACACTGCAACCTTCTTTATAGGGACCGTGATGAGGGCAGCACGCACAAACACCTTTTAGCAGTAAATCCAGCTAATAACAAAATGCAAACCAAGATACATCTTGGTCGGCTCCCTCCCTTTAATCACAAGTTATCTTGGTCCATATCAATTACTGCGATCCTTCAAAACTGTGGCGATTGACGAGTTACTCTCAAACTGTAGCGTGGTTGTCCAATTCATTATTTCCTATCTTTGTTAAGTTCACCTGTACACGTCAGGTGATTATGGCCAATGAACAATTAAGAAAAATAAAAAAATGCCTCGTAGGTATCGACGACCATTCTCTGTGGAAAATTTAACAAGTACGATAAGGCAATGTGCCCTTCCACGAGAACACCCAAGGATTAGTCCCACAGCTAGAGCCATGGAAAAACTTCCACATGAACGGTTGCACCATTAGCTGTCTTTTGCTTATTTATATGGATAAATGGCCAAGAGATTTCGTATGATAAAAGACACTGTGAACAAATTCCTTCCTCCCTGCCTTCCCCTGTTCCGGAGATGGATATAGCCCTCTCGAAACCTAACTGTTAGAGTGTTGGGGTAATAATGACATCGTCGCTAGAAGTACAAATAAAACAGTTTTGGAAAAAGCTCGACGAATGAAATCAGCGCGTCCGAAAATTTACGAATACTAAATTCATTTTATGAAGTTCAGCAAGTTTCTAAGAGGAAAAAGTTGAAGGAAACCACGAAAAAGGGGAATTACACGGGGCCTTGTCGTGACCACGTAGTAACAACACTAGCACATAAAGATAAATTACCTCGTAGTCTAGGGTGGAATCCAGACCGATTGAGGAACGGATATCCCTCTCCTCCCTGTCGACGTCGTCACCGTCTTCTTCTCCCGCCTCGGCCTTCTCTTCATCATCCGCATTCTCTATGTCCTCGATATCGTCCTCAAACCGCCGTCTCTTTGATTTTCTGGATCTCGCGGAACTCTTTGCGAAACACTCGTCGAAGGTGGAAGCCAAGGGCGTCTCCTCCCGTCCGGGGCGCGCCTCGCCCCTCTCTCGATTCCATTCCTTCTTCTCGACCTCCCCTTCGACCACAGACCACGAGGTATCCGGGAAGGACGACCTGGGAACAGTTTCGAAGAGATGGGAACCGAACAGCCTCTCGACCCGAGCCTTGAAGCTATCTTCCATGGCTAATTTCCCAACGCAGACAAGCAACCTCTGTCTAGGGCGCTCTCGCCGGCAAATTTAACAGAGGGAATCCACCGCCTCTCTCTCTCCCTTTCTCAGAGAGTCTCACCATGGGCCGTATTGAAATTCTGGGCTCATGTGCTTGCTCTAAATGGTCAGGCCCAGCCCAATACGGATTCTGACGGACGTTTGCACAGCCTTCGTGCCGGATTTTCAAAAAGCAGGCGCATCAATCGGTCACATCAAAAATAAAGTCTTTACTTTCAAAAAAATATATTGAATTTGAAAATTAAAATTGAAATATAATAGTTTAATATTATTTATAAATTACATTTTAGTTTAATTAGTAACAATTTTATCTGTTTTATCCTTAGTTTTTACTCATTCACCTGATCATTAATAAATACATATATATATGACGCCAGCAATGCAGAAGGTTAACGCCCGTTCTCTCCCCTCCGTCTCACGAAGAGAGATGATCAGAGGAAGAGAGTAATGATTAAATATATATAGATATAGATAAGAGGGTCAACGAGATGCCCATTTTGCCCCTGGTTAGAAATGTGGTGGCAAAGTCAGAGAGAGAGAGAGAGAGAGAGAGAGAGAGAGAGGACACCATTTGTTCATGCGAGAAGCTAAAACTATATCAATATACCTGTGTTGGGCGCTTCGATGACGAGGACTGGAAACTAATATAAATATAAATATAAATATATATACTTTTTATAAAGGTAATTATAAGTATCTGGGAAAAAAACGAGATCGTTGGTAGCACGTGAGTTCGACTTACGTAAATATATATTATCCTCCGTACGTCAGCTGGTGCAGTTCATGGGCCCACTTGGTTCGGTCTTTACGAACCTTATCCTGAAGCGGTACAATGTATCCGCAGGCTTCTGAAGAGTTATCCGATTACTCCGTCTGTTTCGTATCCACGTGTTGCGTCGGCCAGTTCTTGCCCAAGCCAGTGCGAAGAATACTCGTAGTTCCGCTTTAATCGGAGCACCTTAAGCCCTCAGCGAACACGCGTGCGATGAGTCCCAGGCTTTCCTTACGCGACAGGGATGAGTGGCCCCTCCTAGAAAGCTACTACATTTCCTGATAATCTCAGTGACCACCGAGTCTGACACCTACTTCTGAATGCCGAGACGAGAAGTGGCGGGCGAAAGAATCAGGAATACGCTCGATTTCTCCGCGCCAGATCGTCGTCTTCCGATCACCCTCGAGGCATTTCAGCGTTTTTGCGTCGAAAAATTTCCTCATCTCTTGGAATGAGCTCCTAGAGGCGTCTACTGCCTCAGCTCGGCTTCTCTTCCAGAATGGCGGCTTCATCCGGCCTCGCCCTGCTCTTCACTCTGTTCTTTCTCGGTGCCCTCTCGCTCGTGGATTCTATCTACATCGCCTACAACACCACGCAGCAGATTGTCCCCGATAAGATCAACGTTCACCTGGTCGCCCACACCCACGATGATGTCGGCTGGCTAAAGACCGTCGATCAGTATTACGTGGGATCCAACAATTCCATTCAAGTAATGCTGACTTTTCCTGGGCTGATTTAGTTTATGTTCGTTAGTCATATAGACTTCCTTTTTCTGATTTTGTTTCGCGGTTCTGGAAGGGAGCATGCGTTCAGAACGTCTTGGATTCCGTGGTTTCAGCCTTATTGGCCGATAAGAACAGGAGGTTTATCTACGTTGAGCAGGTGAAAATTTGTACAGCGTTTGATATTCTGTTTTATTATGGTCAACGCTTATTTGTTTTGATTTATTCGCAGCGTAATTTCTCGACGAGTTGAGCATATTCCGTCTTCCATTTGTGTAGGCCTTCTTCCAGCGTTGGTGGCGGCAACAGAGTGATGCGATGAAAAACATAGTCAAGGGGCTTGTCAGCTCAGGCCAGTTAGAATTCATGTAATCGCAGCATTTTATCACTCATGGAGAAAATAATATTCTTTTATGTTCCCGCGGTCTTATTAATCATTTTATCGCTATTCGACCCTTATTGAATTTCTTGGCACTATTTTATTTGTTTATTTTTTGAAGAAATGGTGGTATGTGCATGCATGATGAGGCCTCGCCCCTTTACATTGACATGATCGATCAAACTACGCTTGGACACCGTTTCATCAAACAGGAATTTGGTCAGATTCCTAGGATTGGTTGGCAGATTGATCCCTTCGGCCATTCTTCAGTGCAAGCTTATCTTTTGAGTGCAGAGGTATGTCCGTGATGCCGTACTTCATTAAATGCCAGCATCCATGTTATGTCCTACAAGTTTGTATCACAGAAGGCAACATGGTGCGGGCCAAGATATTAAATGTTAGGAAAATTATTATTGATGAATAATATTTTTCAATAATAATTTTTCTAAGAAGGGACTGTTTTTACCTTTGTAGCTAAAGGCAGGATCTTGTTTTCTGCTTAATCATATGTGCAAAGTGTGAAGCTAGCATGGTTTTTTCTTTGGATAATGGAAAACTTGGATGAAGTTTGAAAACCTTTATTCATCAACTACTTTCAGGTCGGTTTTGATGCTCTTTTCTTTTCTCGAATTGATTACCAAGATCGAATAAAAAGAAAGAATTTGAAGAGCCTTGAGGTTGTTTGGCGGGGTTCTCGGACTCTCGGCTCATCAGCAGATGTGAGTCACCTATTTTATGCGCTTGTTTAATATTTTTCTTGATCGATACAATTAATTTTCTCTTCTTCAAAATATATATATTTTTCATTATCTTCTGCCTTTTCTGCTAAAATTTCATAGTCTCTGATATCATATATTATTCTGCTTTTTCTGCTGGACTAGATTTTCACTGGTGTTTTCCCAAAAAATTATGAACCTCCAAGTGGTTTCTACTACGAGGTTAATGATGACTCCCCAATTATTCAGGTTAGTTCACTACTACGCTGTTTCATGGATTTTTCAGTGACTGTGCCAATAATTTGGCATAACTTCTCTTATGTCTGAAGGATGACATTGATTTGTTTGACTACAATGTCAAACAACGCGTGAATGAGTTTGTCACTTCTGCATTGTCGCAGGTATGCTTTATCTTTATTCACTGTTGAATTTCATTTCAGTGTGTGCATTCAGTGTACCTGCATGCTACATGACAGCATGGTTCCTACAGCAGGTACTGTATGCAACACATATCGCTACAGTCTTAGGGGCAGACTTGGCTCTCCTTATTTATGATGTGAAATGGATGAATCTGATCCTGGTGCAGTGAAAAACACAGCCAAAGTTTCCCATCCGCATCATTGGACCCATTTTTCTATATGACAATCTATTTGAGACAGAAGAATTAGATGGATTGGGTCTACAGTATGGCAAAAAATTGTGTAAATTTGCCTTTCTAGTCTAATTTAAGCTTTTCGACTAAGACGTTCTGAACGATTGCAGATATAATGAATGATTATTTAAATATCTAATAGCCAATGGGTTACTCGACGGATAATATTTTACATCCACAGGGCCAATCGAAATTTAGATAAGGCTGTTCTAAAATTTGCAATGTCTAAATTTCCCTTATTGCAGATCACATTTTACATAAAACTCTTTATCTGACATTGTCCTAAAAATAGAGATAATCAACATTTCACATGCCTTCTTTTTAAGGGTCAGTCAATCACGTGGTATTCATTACATGTGATGGAAGACAGATAGCCATTTGAAACTACTAATATTTTTTAAGAAAATATATTCGGTCAAATAAATGTACCTTTCCAATCTGACCCAGTCAGATTTTTAAGGACTGAATTGGCTTTGCAGCATTTCTAATTAATTTTTGAATCCTTTAATCTCAAAAAATTACCCTGAAAGACTAACAGTTCATCTTTTGCTCTCATATTCCCGTATATAATAAATGCAAGATTTCATGGTGCTTTTGATTTGCCTTTTTGGTTCATTGGATATATCCGTTCTCTGTTATTGTTACTAGTAATAGTTTTTTTATCCTTTTCTAGGCCAATATTACCAGGACGAATCATATCATGTGGACAATGGGAACGGATTTTAGGTACCAATATGCTAACTCATGGTTCAGACAGCTGGACAAGTTCATTCATTATGTAAACATGGTAATATTTCTTTTCTGACAAACTTGGTGAATTCTCGACTGATACAGCATGCCCCTGTCATTTCTGTCTTTTGTGAACTTGATGAGAAATTTTCGTATGTTTCTCACCTCAAATTTTGAATGTTGAAAATTTGAAATTGCGCTGGTTCTTAGAAATAGGTTTTGATGTTCCCCCTTGCGCCATTTATTGGTCTATAATTTGATGTATGTAAGAAAATTTGACTTCTCGAGTATGTCTGAGATAGGGGAAAAATTTTAGGGCTCTATTCCACTAGAATTTTGGAATCGTTAAGTCTTTTGAGCTTTATTTGTCTCCCCCCCTTTTTTTTCTTGCAAAATTAGGCCTTTCTGTAACCTAACCTCTGTTCCTCTTTAATTAGTTGCTGAGATGATAACTGTACATAGTTCCGAGATGACACCAACATATTAGAAGATAGGGTTATAGTTTTTATTAGAATTTCTAAACGATAAATTTAAAAATGACTTGAAGTTTCACAGAGACCATGAAGACTGTCTGATGGTTATAAATTGAGTTTGTTCTTTTTCATGTAAGTTATCATAACCATTTTTTGTGGAAATTCGTTGGTTTATTTGTTTCCAGGATGGACGTGTCAATGCTCTGTATTCAACCCCATCAATATACACTGATGCAAAGCATGCAGCGAAAGAATTTTGGCCTTTGAAGACTGAAGATTTCTTCCCGTTAGTGAAACAACATGCACAGACATTTTTCCTGTTTTTTCTGCCTATTCATGTTTTGATCATACTGAACTAGATACTTTCTGTAGATATGCTGATCGTGAAAATGCATACTGGACTGGATATTTCACAAGTAGACCTAACTTTAAGGGATATGTGAGAACAATGAGCAGCTACTACTTGGTAACTATTGGGTCTCCCAAGTATATACTGTCAGTTTGATACTGGTTGGTTTCCTGAACTTTCAAGGTTTCCTTTACTAAAAGTTGTCTGTGCTTCTAGGCAGCAAGACAGTTGGAGTTCCTTAGAGGAAGAAAGAGCCCAGGACCCACAGCGGACAGCTTGGGTGATGCTCTGGCAATCGCTCAACATCACGATGCAGTTACTGGGACAGAAAAACAGCATGTAGCTGATGATTATTCTAAGCGATTATCTATTGGTTATGTGGAGGTGAGAAACTTGTCAGAGTCATTCAGGGTGTGCTCTAGTAGTACCTCTGATGGATCTTGTCTGTTGTTCTGTAGGCCGAGAAGCTTGTTGCATCTTCACTTGCTTGCCTGACAGACACAACATCAAACTCTAAATGCTCTAATCCTTCAACGAATTTTGAGCAGGCAAGTGAAGAGACTGTTATTGCATAGTTTGATGTGACTCTGGTTGGTGTTCACTTACGAGTTCTGGTATTTGCCTCCGTTTTCAGTGTCCTCTTTTGAACATAAGTTACTGCCCACCGTCGGAAGTAGAGTTATCTCAAGGAAAATATTTGGTAAACATAATCAGATCTTTACTTATTCAAAGACTGTTTATTATTTTTAGCATGCGAGTGAGATGCCAAAAACATCATTTTTAGCATGCGAGCCCATATGTGGGTAGTGGATATTTTTTGAGGAAATTCTCATCATTTTGAACTGTTTTGTAGGTTGTTCTTGTCTACAATTCACTTGGTTGGAATAGAGAGGATGTAATTAGAATACCGGTGAGTCCTTCATCTTGCTTAATTTGTTATGATTTTTTGCATCCTAAATAATTTAATTTATTCATAAGACTAATTAGATGTTTATCTTGTCCGTGCCAATTTGTTTAATGTTATGTTGTGAATCGATGAATACTTTCTACACTGGACTGCTTGGTTTAGGCGTCCATTTTTTACAGTATCCAGCAATAAATTCAGATATGCAGGTTCTTCCTCTACTCTCCATTCGGAGCCACGGGTTCAGCTCCTCCATGTTCATCCTTCAATAGTATTATTGACACCAGAAAGCGGCCAATCTGAGTGAGATCAGATTTGACTGACAGGGAATTGCTCATTATGCCAGAATTAGAAGATTTCAGGGCGACTCAACACTCTAACCGGTCAATCGACCACCTGCACAAATGTGTGTGTGTATGTGGATATGATAAGGGAAGGATCAGATTACAACCCACGCGCATCCCAGAGGGAAATTACCCAACAGTGGCCTTCCCCAGGAAAAAAGAAGAGGAGAGAAAAGACCAAGAGCAGCTCCTATAAGTTCCCCTTTGGGAGACGCCAGTAGGTGTTCACTTTTGGGTGGAGACCACTGTTGGCTATTCATTTCTCCTAAGGTGGAGGGGGGAAGGGTAGGGAACTTTGGGCTGCCCTTGATATGGACCACTGCTCTTTTGGGCTGAAGAAAGTATCCAGTGAGTTACATGTCCGTAGGGTTCTGCCTGGGAGGTAGACATCAGTGGGTGTTTCCCTTTGTGGTAAGCCACTGATGGTTAGTGTGAATATTTAGGTGATACTCCAAAGTCGAGCATATTTTCCATTCAATCTAACCATGTGTTGGCGGCTGTGTGTACTCTGCAAGTGAATGACTACAGGTGAAGTCTGGAAAACATTTACGTTGGGCAGTCTGCCAATATTAGTTGAAACACCCGCTTTATTATGCTAAACTTGTCCAAAATTTATACCAGTCTAAAATTAGGGTAATAAATTATTTCTGAGAAAACATCCTTCAAGAATGTTTCCTTATTGTCGATTAGGCGTGCATACTAAGATGCATCCGAAGTGAACTGAGCATTACGATGATCTTGGTTTCTTGAAAACTTATATCTTTTTTCGATTGTTCTCTCTTAGTATCTTACAATTCAATACTGGTTACAGGTCATTAGTGCATCTGTGATTGTCAGAGATTCTAAAGGAAGCATTGTCGAGTCACAGCTTCTGCCGATATTGAACATCTCATTAGAGATCCGAAAATTACACACTATGGCATACTTGGGCATTTCTCCTGGTGTCAACCCAAAGTTTTGGCTCGTCTTTCCAGTATCTGTACCACCTCTAGGCTTTAGTACATACATAATTTCAAGCGCTGAAAAATCAGGTAGGATCAAGCCTTCTTTTCCTTTTGGGGTATCGCACTTAGCTAGTCCTATCTTGGTACGTCTTTATGTTCAATTTTGATAGCAATAATGTGTGTGCTAATAATTGCTTATTGCAGTTTCAGGGCATCCGGTCATGTCTACAACTTATGAAACGCATGAAAGTGCAAGTGTAATAGAAGTTGGCCAAGGGAACTTGAAGCTCGTTTTTAACGAAGGAAAAATGAGCCATTACTTGAACAGTAGAAACTCGGTGAGATTCTCACAATGTGAATGTTCAACGTTGATATCTCTCCTGAACAAGTTTCTTTCCTCATGTCTTCCGGATTGTTCATTCCAATTGAGTAAACGTTGTTCGCTTGATATTAACAGAACTAACTTGATGTGGGCAGAGATCGTTAATTGTTTTTTCTTAACGCTTTTCATGAAGCAGAGCAGAGTGTTCACTTGATAATGCTCTGTGACTGACGTGTTTTATCTTATACAGGTTAATACCACTATACATCAATCCTACATTTATTATCCTGGGGATGATGGGAGTGGTGCTGATTATCAGGTTCCCACACATTTATTTTTTTTAATTTATTTTTTTACTGATACCCTATTTTCTTCATCTGAATCGCCTGTGATTTAAAATGATTCACATATTTTGGAAATTTAACATTTCGAAGTCTGAACTTTGCTTCATTAAGGCCTCTGGAGCATATGTCTTTCGCCCAAATGGTACATTTCCAATACAGCCTTCGGGACAGGTACTGAAGTTCTGTACTCTTGCATAACCTTTCCTATCGCTATGATGTTTCAATCTGGTTTCTTTTACATGATAACTGCTATGATTATCTCCTTACGCATGAAAATGATTTGTTATTGTAGGTACCTTTGACTGTAATGCGAGGACCAATTTTAGAGGAAGTACATCAACAGATAAATCCGTGGATATATCAGGTACTTTGGTCCGCTTTCCGCATTAGTTACCAGAAAGAAAAAAATATATATTTCACCATGTGACGCGCTTTTTTATGTCTATTTAAGCTGAGATGTAGGGAAAATTTTAAAAAATGAAACAAGGGGGAATCTATTTTCTAGATTTGTTTTTTTTTAAGCTTAGCTGTGATCTTTAATCTGATATTTTACCAGATACTAGAGTGTCTTCCTTCTGTGTTCAGAAATTTATGAGTAGAAAATGTCGTTAAGATAATTTATTGCTAGTGAATATCACCACATTGATATTGAAAAGAATAAGGGATGTAGAGGTATATGTTGAATGATCTCTCTTGCATGATTTCTATTTGGCTGATGTTGATCAGATCAGTACTGTGTTTCAAGTAATTGACAAAATAATAGACAATGAGAGTGGTTATCGAGGTAATTATAAAATAGAACAGGGCCGCTTGATCCAATATATGATTTTGTCTGCTTCTCATTTCTGTGGGATATTACTTATTGCTGTGAGCAGTTGTCAGCAAATATTATTCATTCACCATCTGGATTCTTTCGAGTCGCAGAATATTATGAGTCAACTCTCTTCGTGCATTCTTATCATAATATTAGGTCACTTAAGCTCTGATGAATAATATTAGGTCACAACAAGATAATGACGATGATTAAAGTCTTCACTTTTTATTATTAACAGGTTATTGCTTTGGCTTTAGAAGTGACAAAATTAACCACAGATATTTATGAATATATGCAGATCACCAGATTATATAGGGGAAGGGAGCATGCAGAAATCGAATTTATTGTGAGTATTCGGCTGGTGCCTATATTCGGCCATACGAAATTTTCAGAATACATACACCATATTCCATAGAAAAGTGGTATATTGTGAACTCTGATATGATACTCTTACTGCTATGAATGGTAGGTTGGCCCTATTCCTGTTGACGATGAAGTTGGGAAAGAAGTAGTTACTCAAATTACCAGTAATGTGAGAAGTGAGAAAACATTCTACACAGACTCTAATGGACGAGATTTCATCAAAAGGGTATGCTCTCATTCTTCTTCTTTTTCCTTTAACTTGTGTACAATTTTCCCCATTTCCTGGTGTAAATTTCCTCCCGGAGTAGGGAAGATCGTCTATGCTTCTGTGGCCGTTTCTGTCTTAATTGGTATCACAAGCTCACGTGTTGCCTATAATGAGATAGTTTGAAGAAATTGCTGAACCATGCTGATAAATCTGAACCATATAATCATATTATCTGCCTCTGTAAACGCGGTTCAGCTGACTTGAAGGCAAAGGACTACACACTAGGGAACGAAATTATTTATTCACACAAATCATATTATCGATTGAGCATCTGATGGGGTTTTCTGCAAGTAGCTCATTTTAATGGTTGTACTAACATAACTCGTGATTTCAAATCAGATTCGAGATTATAGATCAGATTGGGATCTAGAAGTGAATCAACCCGTCGCTGGAAATTATTATCCTGTAAGTCTTCATCTTCTAGGAGGATTTTTCAAACAAAAATGTATATTTATTTGTTTATTTTTTTCAAAAGTTCTCTCGTATGCCTTCTTTCATTATGATTCTGGTCTGAGCAAGATAAAGCAAGCTGACAATTTGTTCCATGATTTCAGATTAATCTAGGAATTTACATGACGGATAACACCACGGAATTCTCAGTGTTGGTGGATCGTTCTGTTGGAGGCTCCAGTATTTTAGATGGTCAAATAGAGTTGATGCTCCATCGGTGGGTTCCCCTCCAAACTTCGTTTGATAAATGCGGAATTATCAACTATTCGTTGCTCTCAAATTCATGCTAAAAAATATCGGTGCGGGATTCTTACCCTTCATTTTAATCTCATAATGCAGCCGATTGCTGCACGATGATGGCCGAGGAGTTGCAGAGGCACTGAACGAGACTGTTTGTGCTCATGAAGACTGCACAGGATTAATAGTATGTGTGCCCCCATAAATCGTTTTTTTTTTTCAGTCTCATAATTATTCATAAAAAGTTGTGCATGGTAAATGAGCTGGTAATCTTTGAAGTTATGGCTTATTAAGTTTTTTTTTTTCTTCATTTGTGTAAATGTTTCTCATGAACCTCCGGAATTAAATCTTCCAGTGTTAAGATCTGATCTGAAAGATTCATTCTTTGCGTTATGTTAGACCGCAGGGAAGTTCTATGTCAGGATTGATCCTTTGGGGGATGGCGCCAAGTGGCGTAGGTCGCAAGGGCAGGAGGTGTACTCTCCTCTGCTTATAGCATTCTCAGAGCAGGTAAACTATATAAAATTGAAAACTTTATTTAAATGGCCCAGGGATAATCACTGGATTAATGCTACCCATTTTCAGAATGGAGCTGATTGGACAAAATCCCATGTACCCACATTCACAGCCATGGATGCGTCCTACAGCTTACCTGATAACGTGGCATTGATTACCCTCCAGGTCCGCTAGGGAATTTCCATTTTTTTCTTTTTTATTCAGAACATTGCTTGATTCTATACTTCTTCGTTCATCCACTGAGGTGATTCTTGTTTCCTGTGGACACAGATTCTTCTTTTGGTAGAAAAATAATACATCTTTCTTTTAATATCATCACATTTCGTGTTATAACTCGTGCATACTGAATCCTGATTCGCCTGCCAATCTGCATGCTTAATATACGCATTGTGCTGTCAATGGCTGCTGCATTTACAGGCTCTCGAAGACGGCAGCGTTCTCCTTCGCCTCGCGCATCTTTATGAGGTACGACTTTGACCCCCCAAAGTAACTGAACGGTGGTCGAAATACTTGCAGGGAATCGTCTGGCCTTGGGCCCGCATATGATCCAGAACAATTGCACTTCTATTTTTTCAATAATTCGTCGTGTAACCTGATAGGCCGGAGAGGATGAGGATCTTTCGAGGACGGCGAAGGTGGACCTCACCAAGCTCTTTCTCCACAGGAAGGTAAACCCACCAACTCAACTCAATGCTCTAGCCAGATACAGATAGAGGGAGGGAGGGAGAGAGAGAGAGAGAGAGAGAGAGAGAGAGAGAGAGAGAGAGAGAGAGATCAGAGGCTCTCTGGGCTTACCTTCGAGCCCCAAGACGGGGGGGGGTGGACGATGGGGTTGCCTGGGCCGTTTGATTTCTAACGCGGTCGTCTTCTTCTCGCTGTGTTCAGATAGTGAAGATAGTGGAGACGAACCTCTCTGCGAATCAAGAGAGGGGAGAAATGGAGAAGAAGAGGCTCGTATGGAAGGTGGAGGGCTCGTTGGATGTGGAACCGCCTGTGAGGGGCAGGCCGGTTGATCCTTCCAAGCTCCTGGTGGAGTTGGGTCCCATGGAGATCCGCACATTCCTGATCAATTTCAGTTACATCTCCTTCCTTGAAGTGGTTGATCCCTGAATGAAAGCAGGGCCCTTTCTTTCTCTCTAGGCTCCACTCTACGTCGCATCGAGTGAACGATGCCACTTCAACGCTCCAGGGTTCAAAGTACATTAAGTAAACTCTCCCTAACTTCAGCGCCTCTCTCTCTCTCTCTCTCTCTCTCTCTCTGGCCAAGTGCATTGTAGAACTGTGGGCATTGGAGAACCATGGAGATTGCGCTGAGCTGTTAGTCGATTTCTCGGAGAACCAGGAGCTCGACGCGTTAATGGCATCCTGTATCTGGGAAACTTTTGACTGTTCGAGGCTATACACAGTACGAACAACAGCTACATCCCGCCGGAGCAGATGATGCACCTGAAAGAACCAAAGAAGCCCGAGAGCTTCTTCATCCCACCGGCGTGGCCGAGCCGCGGCGGCGGCGGAGAGGAGCTCCCTCGCTTGACGTCCACGACCCCCCTCACTACCACCTCCTTCCTTCGGAGGTCGACCGCGTAGTCCAGCAGCCCCTCTGAAACAAAACCCGCCATTGACAGCCGTGAGCTTACGCCATTCATCAAACGGGTTAACCGTGGAAACGCAGGTGCCTTCCCGTTTTGGGTAGTCTTTCAAGCAGAATTAAGGACCCAGAGGCGGGATGGAGTTGACCCTCACCGTTCATCCTGGTCACCAGCTGGGAGACTCTGCTCCGGCGGCTGCCGCACCCCGTGCTCCCCTTCATGACGATCACCTGGACCTGCGAGGAAGCAAACACAACTCGCTGAGAACTATGGTGGCATGATCATCTGGTCGGAGGAGCTTCTGATTCTTTTTGCGTCAGCCACTGAATCTGATTATCTCTCTCCTCTTCTTTCCTCCCTGTTCGACCCTCAGCTCGTCCTCGCCGGAAAACATGACCACCTTCCCCGACAGAGAAAGAGAAAGAGAGAGAGAGAGAGAGAGAGAGAGAGAGAGAGAGAGAGAGAGAGAGAGAGAAGTTGCATACCGTGGGTAGTGTCAGGTTCTCGGCGAATCTGAGGGCCTGGTTGGAGACTCGCTCCATGGGGAAGTCTCTTAGGCTTCCCCCTCCTCCTCAAGCTGGGGGATTTTCAACCCTTCGTTGCAGGGTGAGCCTCCGGCGGCGTATAAATAGACCGGAGGCTTCGTCAGCAGCAAGGTGGCAACGACGATTCCACCCACCGGCGTAGGGAATATCATCACGTTGCCCCCCAAAACGGGGCCTTCACTGTCATCGTGGGCGGTGGAAACAGCGGGCTACCGGCGCGGGCGGTGGCGAAAGTCGCCGCCTTTCGCAGTCCCGCTTCGTAACCGTGACGACGGAGGTGCCAATCCTTCCGTCATCCCTTCGTCTATTGCCCCGTGCTGCCACTGTTTGACCGTCGCAGCGAGGGGCGGAGGAATCCCGCTGCCCTCGGTCATCCCCCATGTGTGCCGGTGAGAAGGACCCTTTCACGGCGAGATGACGGCGGCGGCGCCGGTCAAACCCTTCCGAGCACGCCTCCGCTTCCTTGCCAGAAACGAGCACGGTGAGCTTCCGAGAACCGCCGTGGTCGCCGGAGGCTTCCGAGAAACCCTAAACCCTTGCAGTGGAGTCCTCCCATAATTTATGAAATTATTCGTCGTGCGGGAACCATCTGCGATGCATGGATCACGCATCCTCTGGTCGAAAAAGTTTACGATTGACTTCGTCCGATCCCTTGAAGAGTATCGGTAGAAATGTGGGGGTCAACGTGGGTCAACGCTCCATAATTCCCTGTTATGTGCCACGTTCGCTTATTTTCTTACTTTCCAGTTGTTTATTTTTTAAATTTTGACCTAAACCCTGCTTCTTCGTAAATAGCTGATGAGGTATGACTCGGGAATATATTTTTCCGGGCAGGTGTCGATTTTATTCCGTCGTTGTCAGGGTTTTGTCCAAAATTTGACACATTTAGTGGATTTAAACTCAAAATTCACACAAAATGCGTCTGGATTTGGTGCTGCATATAAATATAAGTTCGTCCATAAATAATTTCATTATACGAGTTAATCCAACTTGAGTATTTCAGAGAAATTGAAGAAAATAAAGGATATTACATCGTAATTTATTAATAAATTAAAATAATAAAATAGAAGTCGCGTATATTCTATGGTTTAAAAGCATGGGAAAAAAGGATAATTAATGAATTTATCATATATATATATTGAGATGCCAATCACGAAACATTATTAATATTTCCCGATCAAGTGACGATGGGGACGGAGGAAGAGCCACGCGGCAGCTTCCCATTGGGAGCTCCAGTGAGCCGATCGGTGGTGGAAGGGCTCCGCTGATCAGAAGGTCCTGATCCAGTGGACTTCAGCGAGCCGTCTAAAAATTGATCGCATCTCCCCCAACGGAGACGCGGCGGACTAGTTGACGGTTCAGTCAGTGTCTATTCTCTCTCTCCGTCTCTCTCGGTTCAGTCAGTGTCTATTCTCTCTCTCCGTCTCTCTCGCTTTCTCTCTCTCGCGTCGTGGGTGGGTAGGGGAAGTAGCGGCGATGAGAGTTGGCGGGCTGAAGAGCTCCGTCAGCAGGCGGCCCACCGTCCTCCTCCTCCTGTCCACGGCCCTCATCTTCTCTGTGCTCATCTTCTCCATACAGTTTACTTTCTTCTCCGACAGGAGAACGAGTGCAAATGGAGGATCGGGGAAGCTCGGGTCGATGGTTGTTGCGGACGGCGGATCGGGGGAGGACGAGCCGATCTCTGTTCGGAGCGAGGATATTCAAATACTTTCGGATTTCCAGTCCCAAGTCCAGCAATGCGTGGTATTTTGCCTCCTCGGTTGTCTTGATTTTCTTTGGTTCGATGTTTGGATCTACTCCATCTGGTGTCCGTAGTAGCTATGGACTCCGCATAATTTTACCTTGTTTCTCAAGTTTTCTGAATCTTTGAAGAACCGATGCGTTTTTACATCCGGTCCATAATGTTTCATTTCCGCACGAGCATGATCTCGTGGTAGCGGTTCTGTCTGTTTTCTTCCAGCAATTGAATATCCATCCATCTGGGACTGCGTCAGTGAATGATATTAAAATCAAGCTCAAATTCCACGGCACGAAAATAATTATTATTACGTGTCAGTGCGGGCTCACCTCTCTTTTTCACGGTCACCATTCTCGTATTCCTGAAGCTGTGAAAGTAATCAAGAAATGCGATGCGTTGTGTTTTTCCCATTTTCCCTTATCTTTCTCCATCCTGGCGAAAAACTAGAAGATTTCCAACACGCCTCTCTTAGTAGTCTTAACCCAAGAAAATGCTAGCAAATTTCAAGCGTACATGCTGGTTATCAAGAGGAATTTTCTCTGTATTACTAATAATATGATAAATTTCCTGAGTATTTACTAAACATATTTCTCTCCACAGTTTTTCTTTTTTTTCCCCACCGATGATGATCTTTAGGAACACCTAGGAGAGGAATAACCATCTGTGGAGAATTATGTTTTCTAAACTGGCTCTGAATGTACGATTACAACTTGTTTTTTTGATGGATCAATTATTTTCTTGATTTCCTGTTTTGAATTGATTTTTGTTCTCGTTGTTCTCTACTGGAGTGCCTAATAATCGTGACCGACATCTAGGCGAGCAGAGGACTTGGACTTACTGCCCACATAGTTGATTATTGTAAAATAATCCTCAAATTCCCAGAGGGCACAAACAGTACCTGGGTAAAGCGTTATTGTACACCTCTTCTTTTAGTTTTCAACATCCTGAATGGAAAAAGAACCATTGAATTAGACTTGCTTCCATCTTTTTGTACATCGCAGTACAACGCACAGTTCAAAATTTACGAGCCACTCGAGTACACATATGATGTCTGTGATGCTATTCTACTATGGGAACAGGTTAGGGATGCTATTCTCAGCCCTTAGATTGATTCTCTCTCGAGAAAGTGGGAGTACTATCTTTTCTCAGAGTTACTGTACTGATATTCGTCGTGAAATTGCAGTATCGAAATATGACTACAGTGTTGACGAGAGAATACCTTGATGCTCGACCTGATGGATGGCTAAAATATGCTGCACTGAGAATTGCACAGTTGTAAGATATCAACTTGTTTTCATGGTTTGTTCTTTATCAGGTTCCTAATGGTGCGTCCAAGGTAGTTCAATGATGAGAAATCTTTTTGGTGATAGGGGTGCTGATAAATGTTACAATCGCTCTCTTTGTGAGGAGCATCTAAATTTGCTCCTGCCAGCGACACCACCTTTCCACCCCCGCCAGTTTCAGTCATGTGCAGTTGTTGGGAACTCAGGGGACCTCTTAAAGACAGAATTTGGAGAGGAGATAGATAAGCATGATGCAGTTTTTCGAGACAACGAGGCCCCTGTCAATGAGGTGATAAAACTGCTCTCTTTTGAACCTTTTTAACATCATTTGGCGAACAAATTAAGAATTACATTGTAGGACGAATTACATTCTTGGACTGGCAAGTATTTACCAATTGATGTCAACTTTGAAGTTAAAAAAAGAAGGAAGCTCATCTTATTTTGTTAGTTTTGAGACCCAAAAATAAAATTCATGTGAGAAATTTATGAAATCATGATTTGTTACAGAAAAACGTTGCTTGCAGCATTTTTTTGTCCCATATATATTGGATTATAGTCAATTAGTTGCCCAAACATGACATTTTTTTGCCCGGTTGCATGTTTCTATGAATTCTGACCATCTGCTGTGCATAAAATGATCTAATATTTTCATTGTTGATAAGATGAGGAATGCTTTTCAACTCACACAGTCTCCTTCGTAGACATACGCCAAGCACGTGGGTTTAAAGAGGGACTTTCGCCTTGTGGTTAGAGGTGCTGCAAGGAACATGGGTGCTATCCTTGAAGGATCTTGTGAGTTAACATGGACTTCAGTGACTTGTTCTGTTGAGATTTTATTTTTTTTCCAGCATGTTTTTTTAATTATTTTTAAACCGGTTCGGGGCCAATTACTCTTACTAGCTTGATTTTAACTTTTGTGATAGTTTCCTATTGAAGCACAATATACTTCCTGTAATCTAGTCCACAGTGTGCCACCAGATTTCTAAGAAAACTCACCATGACAAGATGACCGACCTAAATAAGGAAAAATGAAAAGGAATGAGAAAAAGGAATGAGAAAAAGGAAACAGAAAATACGGTCTTGAGTAGTTCAAATATGAGAAAAGATGATTGGCTACGCAACCTTATAATCTAGTTTCCTAATTTCACTCAAGGTGTTTCTATGAGCCATGACAGTACTTCCTATCTCATCATCATTATCCCAACTAATGGTTCTTACTTCTAGTAGTAAGAAAAGGGCCATTCCCTAGTCGTATCTCATTTATTTGTTAATGCTGATTCTCATTTGTTCAATGAAACACCGAGTAGCTGAAGAAGCTTGGGCAAATTTCTAGTACCCGTGCTTAAAGATATGCTTCACAGTTCATCGTCAAATAGCGTGAATCTTGTGACGAAAAAATGGAAATTTTTTGCTTCTCATTCATGTGGATCTTCCATGAAGGTATTATCCTTATAATGCCCCGTACTCTGGTGATCTGTCGCACTGTCCATGCTTATGAATTGATGATCTGGGCCGTTGGGTTTTTTCGAGCAATTTACGTGTTTCTATTTCGAATATGCTCATATTCGACTTGGAAAACCTAAGATGAAACATCTCATGCTTCATGATTAAAATTCGATAATGATGCTCAGGGAGAGGGCGAAGTTTCATGTCCCTTTTCTAGTTGTACAAGGTATCAATCTTTGGAGCTTGTTATGAAAAATGCTAGTGGCAGATCATTGTACAGAGTTAGGGACATTGAACTTCTGGAAGACCATTGAAGGTTCTTGGTTTACATTTTCCAGTAAGGGCAAATCGTCATATGTTGTAAATGTAGAGGATTCGTTTTTATTCTGTAAACCAGTCTGATTGTGTCATAATGATAAACTACATCCGTCTGAGAGAGTGTTGCATGATGATGCGTGATCGGTATCCGGGGGATGTCTGTCATGTCATATAGCATCCAACATAATTCGAGAAGATCCATCGACAAATAAGTTGGTGCCTTATGAGGAGCATACAAAACAAGAATAAGTGGAGTTTCTTCACTTGTCTAGGTTATGGAGGGTCTATATCGGATAATTGCAACGTTTCAGTTGCTGGCGAAACCAAGTGGCGGATACCTTTGTGCTGACATTTTTATGAGGAGGTGATGATATGTGAGGATTGTCCAGAAAATAAATGATCCATAATCTCTGTCCTTAAGCCACAAAAGGCTTTGTGGCTCTTCTTTAGTTAAGCGACTATTGGAAGGCTATTATGTCCTATCTTTCACAAAAACATCTCGAGTCTTCAAGGGAAGAGGAACCTCAAGACTATGCGATTCCTTCCACTTGCTTTTCCATTCCCATTTCTCTGTTGCGTAGGGGAATTTTCGTCCCCCTGATGCTCTGATATTCTCATTAACCATGTTTATAGTTAATCTCCAATGCCCAAGACGTCTGCATCTTGCTGTCTTTTAATCATCAGATCCTTCGTCCTGTTTTCTTTTATATCATGGTCCTTGATGTTTTCTATCTTAAAGTTTCCTGGATGATTCTATTCTGTTTTAATTTTTGAAGGGATGGGATAATTCTATTTTATACTTGAAATCTTTCAAATGGGCCCAGGTGCTGTATTTTATCCACCCCACTCTTGTCCGTCGGCGATTTTCTACACTGTCTCGTCCTTCTTTGTTCTTTTATTCTGGAGATCAGCTGTCTTCGGGCAATGCTCTTACCCCTTAGGTGCCCAGGATTCCTTGCACTCTTGCCCAGTGGATTAGATGCAGGCTTTTGACACAGCAGTTTGTGAAACTCTTAGTTTCTACAAGCCCTGACAATCCTATGCTAAGTGTTCATTTTCCTCTACCACCACAGACCTCTCCAGGAAGGAGCTCAGTCAAATAGGAAACCAACCTATTTCATCTTTCCTGTTATTTCTGTTGAGTCACTTTGGAGGCTTTGCTCCACATTGAACTAAGACACTAGATTATTAATCAAGCACTTGAGTCATCTTAGATTGACACCAATCACGCAGTTGTACTTATGCACTATTCTATCCATTTTTCTTTTCATAATGAACTAATGAATGCGTGGCTTGATGATTTTCACTTCTGTTGACCTTTATTTATTTATTTATTATTATTAGTATTAGTAGTAGTTGTAGCAGTAGTAGTGGTAATGGTGGCAGCATCAACTGTCCTGGGATTAATCTACGAACGTCAGCTGAGCTAACATTCAGCGTTGATTTCTCTGCAGCTGACGAGGTACTTATCATTAAAAGCTTGACACATAGAGACTTCAATAAAATGATAAAGGTAAAACTCTAGCAGCACATTGTTTATGGCTTTATTTTTTTCCACAAATTGCTCGGTGCTCATGGCTTTTAAGCGTATCATCATAGAACAATGTGGCGGCATTCTGTCAGATAGTTGTATTTGCTCGGACGAGCTTATATCCCTATATTAGGCTCGTCCTCTTCTATATTCATCAAAACAACGAGGTCTGAATAACTCTGTAAACAGTTATCCTTTTTATGAACTTACTGCACGATGCATAAGGTGGTGAGATTCTTTGGCTGCCAACTGTGTCATGAGAACTGTGTGCCCTTTTTTCCTGTCTAAAGAGCTTTTCTAGAACTTGCCAACAAGCGTCAAAAACACCCTGTCACATCCTGATAATTTTCATCAAATAACTTATGATTTATTTTTTAATCTTTTATATGGTTTCAACTCTATGAATTAGTTGATGATTTTATTTTTTTTGGATAAAATAACTGATTCTACTTGCTGTATTGAACCACCTGGTGTGCTATCCAGGAGCTCCCAAATCCAGTTTATCTCTTCCAAGGAATAGTCCTGAGGAGAGGGGCCAAAGGGACAGGGATGAAATCCGTTGAACTAGCACTCTCTATGTGTGATGTCGTTGATATCTATGGTTTCACGGTGGACCCTGGCTACACCGAATGGTAAGTTCAGTTTATTCAGACCTTTCATTTCATTTTATGGAGGTTGATTTGACTCGCCCAGAAATTCTTTTATTTTAATTTTCATTCATCACTAGAAAACTCAAAAAATAAAATAAAATATAATCGTGCTCCATGGTTGGATCTAGAAAAATTAATGATTAGTGAGAGTTATCTGTCCAATTTTTCATAGTTTTACCTGCATTATACTTCCGTGGAGTTGTTCAAGGCCCATATCTGAGTCTGCCGCTGAACCAAGCGAAAGTTGGGGCTGATAATCCAGTTCATATGAATCAAATGCCTAAGAATAGTTTATCTATATATTTAGCTTTATTCATATAGTATCACATATTCATCAAATGGTTTCATCTCCTCATTTTCCATAATTATCCTATCCTTCTCGGCCATTGTTCCTATGCTCAACTCCCTCTCAGGTTCCCACCTTATAAGACTTAGAACTTGGGAATGCAATCCTACGCAAGAGCAATTGTCTATAGCCGGAGTAGATCTGTCTTTATGATCACAAGGTTATCTCTGTGACAACTGATACGCCATAATTACTTGACTTTTGGGCTTTTTGATGCGGACTCTATATAGAGATGATCGACAGCCATTGACCTTTTGATCAGAAATTTGTTTGTGTATAGTAAACTAATATGGGGTGGACTATTCCATATTACTTGGTCTACATTAGCTGACTTTTGGGATCTCTGACTAGGAAAATTTACATGAGGCAAACTCTGATGCCGTGTTAAGAGTTACCGGACCACCCAGCTCAAAGCTAATCGGCGACCATTGGACCTTACCGTCACGTATTCATTTCCGTAGAAAACTAATGTGGGGTGGACTATTCCATATTACTCGGTCTACATTAGTTGACTTTTGGGATCTCTGACTAGGACAATTTACATGAGGTGAACTCTGGTACTGTGTTAGAGTTACCGGACCATACATCTCAAAACTAATGGACCACCACTGGACCTCACCGTCACGTATTCATTTCTGCAGAACACTAATGTGGGGTGGACTATTCCCTATTTTGCTTGGTCCACATTAGTTGACTTTTGGGCTCTCTGACCAGGACAACTTACATGAGGCGAAGCCTGATACCGTGTTAGGAGTTACCGGACCATCGACCACCATTGGACCTTACTGTGACGTATCCATTTATGCAAAAAACCAACATAATACGCTTACAAGGGACTGAGATTCTGTTGCCGCATCCTCAAAATAATATCTTTCTGCAGGACCCGATACTTCTCGGCCCCCAAGAAGGGACACAACCCTCTACAAGGGAGAGCATACTATCAACTCCTGGAGTGCTTGGGGGTAACTCCCCCACCTTATCATCCTCTTCCTTCCCCAGCTTCAAATCACCCGCTAATTCCTCTGGAGTGCCGCAGGTCATCAGGATTCATTCACCGATGAAGGCAGCGAGGAAGCAGAGCTGGTCGGACGTGCCGAGCAGGGACGCCATAGGCCGCGCCTACGCCGCCGCCGTGCGGGCCAAAACGGGCCGAGTCGCCGACCCCGGCCCATTCGGCCGGTGCCGGGTTTGGGGCCAGGTTGACCCGGCGTCCCCGGGTCCGATCTCCGGCTCGACCGACATGAGCCAGACCCGGAGGGACTCCAACTACAGCAAGTGGGAGACCATGCCCTTTAAGAGCCTGAGGAAGGAGGCCCAAGAGCACTTCACCCAATTGAAGGGCGTCTCTCTCTACAAGATGGACGGCAACAAGCTGGATGACCTCGTCTGCGTCAGGCACGCCCTCCCTTCTTAATTATTGTACAACCCCTATTTTTTATTATATTATTTTAAAACTCGCGAATGGGGGAGAATTATACGGCATGCGGAAGAGTTTCATATAGATAGGACGATGAACCGGTCTACTTGGGAGGATAAGAAGTGGGGGTGGTGCGGCGGTTTTCTTGCTTGTTACGTTGGCGTTCTCTCTGCGCACGGAACTCATGACGCAATGGCTGGTCTATGGCCAGTTTTCTATGCGCTCTTGGGTGTAATGAGTACTGTAATGAAGAGAGAGAGAGAGAGAGAGAGAGAGAGAGAGCATATGATAGTACCTTCGTGCTAGAAGGAGAGAGGTAGGAGTTGGGTGCGTGATGGGTACTGATGGATCGATATTTATATGGCTTTTATAGGGGGTGTGTAGTTGTAACGAGTTGGGGCGAGTTGGTATCCGATTCCCCGACTCGGGAGGCCGTCTTCACCGGCGGTCAACATGGAAAAAGAAATGATGAAAAATGGCGTCTTGCTCTTCCTTTCGTTTCTACTTTTCCCCTTTTCTTTTCTCTCGTTTTCCCTCTCTGTCTCTGCGAGGGGCCTCTGAGCAGAGAGACTGCCCAGATCGAGCCGCGGGTCCGTATGCATTGCTCCTCCCCTTTGGTCTCTCCCACTCGATCGTGTTGCGGTTGCCGGTTCTAGGTTTCCGTCTCTTGTCTCGCTCGTACGTCCCGAGGGTCCCGAAATCTCGAGCTCCGGGTACTCTCGCGTTCGTGTCGTGGAGTGATCGGAGAGGTGTCCGGCACATTGTGGGGGTTCCATGGACTGGCCATTAATGAAAGAGTGGAGAGGTGTAGGGGACATTGCGGAGTTGCGCAGGGAAAGGATGGTGGCCGATCTTACACACGTCGGCCTTTTCCTCGAGGACTCAGAAGGTTGGTCGGTTTGAAGGTCAGCTTGGCTTGATTCTCGGTGGCGAGAGGAAGGGTTTTTGGGGCGGTTCGTTGATGAGGATTTATTTCCGAGGGGAAGTAACAAGATCAAAGCGTCAAAATGTATTTCACCAAGCTCGACGACTCTCCAATGTTTCGGAAGCAGGTATGTGCCCCCTCGAGTGGCTTTTTTTTCCTATTTTATGTTTGCCTGTAGCTTAGGTTTTCTTCAAATTTTTATTGCTCGCTCTCGAAAGGGATGCTTCCATTTTTGTTTTCTTTTTCATTTATGTTTGCAGAAGTCCATTTTCTCGGTGGATGTTACTCGTGTTGGTCTTGTCTCTGACCGCATTTGCTCGACATTTCTCTCCGTTTGATGTGTTTTACGCGTCGTATTTGCTTCTGAATCTGAACCCGGCTTCTGAAGTACGAAAACATGAGCATGGTACGTGAAGGCTTGCACTTGTGTGAACTTCGCGAACGAGATTCGCATCGTCTTGTGAAGAACCAATGATAAACATCTCGTCAGTGACGTTCAGGCATCATAAGTTTGTGGCATAGAAAAACCAATGGAAACGGTTACGGAGTCGATGATGCCCTAGTTGACAAGAACAAAGTATTTCATCGGGAAATGTGGTATCATAAGCTTCAATGTTTCTGCTAAAGCATCTTCCATTCTTTGAGAACGCCCATCTTGCTAGTTTCTGCTTTGATGACTTCAATGGATAAATGTGTGACCGTTTCTAAGGACACCGACATTCATTCCTTTGAAAAATTTGAAATAATAACAAGGTTAATACTGGGAGGAATAATAATAAATATTGGTCTTTAGAATCAATTGCTGTCCTAACCCCCATCAAATGTAAAGTTAACAGATTCCGAGTGATTATATACACTTTTGTTTCGTTTCTTTTCCCAGAGAACAGTACAATATGACGGTGAACCAATTAATCACGTCATTAACCTGCGTCAGTTGGGAATGTTCTTAAGACCTTAAACGTCTTGACCAAAATAATTCTCACATTGAACCCTTTGTTTCTCTATACCACACCACTCCAAAAAGTTCAATCTCAGGTAACTCGTAGTCGTGAGGCACGTTGAGGGATGTTCACTGTGCTATTTTTAATGCAAATGCTGTTATTTTTCATTTCACGGCAACGTTTAATTTTTTTCCTTTCGTTACTAATTTTCTCTTCTTTAATTTTAATTTTTATATTGAAAACAGATACAGTCGCTCGAGGAAAGTGCAGAATTACTAAGGGAAAGAAGTCTAAAATTTTATAAAGGATGTCGGAAGTATACGTATGTCCCCTTTTCCATCATTTTAGATATTTTTTCCAAGGTGTAAATTTCTCATTTATACAGTTATATGGGAAATTTCTTCTTAGTATTACGTAGAGAACCATTACTGTTGCTATGACACTGGCAAGGTATCCGTCTTTCTTTGCAAGATACTTCATTGCCTTTCTGAATCCGTTATTTTGGGGTTTAGACTGTAATAGCTTCACTCTGTGTAATTTCTTTTTCGATCTCTCTGGTATTCTTAAAATCCTTACTGGTATCTGATATCCTTATTCGATTGTGACCTCTGTCTCACTTTTTTGACCCGTGGGCTCACTCATTACTAAAATCACACTATCTCCCAGTCCACGTGCATACAGATGCTCAGATACAATCTTTTACACTATTACATTAGGAAACTTCGGCTTGTATGAACTTGCATTTACCAAATTTTTCTCATTAGTGATGGAGGCTCTGTTATCATATCAGGGAGATCAATAAGCTTCAGAAAGAGAGGTCCTCAAATTTTCACTTTGCATTAAGTTCTGTAACCAGTCACTAAAATCCATCATCTCTATGGCCACATTTTCTTTGCTGTCAATTCCACAGAAGAAATTCGTAAACAGCTTTGTGGAGATCGACGATTCCACTCTGCGGTATTATATTCCTGAATGCATTGCTTGTGGCAAATTTTAATAAATCTGTCTTACAAAGCTTCATATGTCATATGCCAGAAATGTTCAATACCTTGACTCGTTTCATCTAAATTTTTCTTAGTCTGCTTTCATGTACATGATAGATCATGCCGACATTTACTAAATTATCTCTATCGGCCATACAAAAAGACGCTGGCGTTATCCTTTTTTCTCTGAATTTCATTGTGTTTATAGTTCCTTTTTTATTTTCAGGGAAGGTCTTGGTGAAGGATACGATGGGGATATTGCTTTTGCTAGTTCTCTTGAAATGTTTGGAGGCGGCCATAATGATCCCATCAGTGTTGCTTTTGGAGGTTGGTCTTTTATCTGGTGTCATAATCTGCTGTTTCTATGTGCTGTTTTCATCTCAGATGGAGTCCTTTTAGGATGTTGTGCCCTGAGTTTCATTTCGCGGTTTATGAATATCACTGTCTCCTCCCAAGTGGAAGCTTTTATGGGAAATGTTTTGAACTAAGCTTAGTTCAGTAAATCAGGTGAATTATTTAGAATCACTTTAGTATCTGCTCTTTGTTTCCACGCACATTGTGGGAATTCATTTTCCCATATGATTCATATTTGATGATTTTCTTAGCAACCTTTTGACGATTTTTACAATATGCAACACCAACGCCGTGTAGGCTTCCCCCCAGTGTCAATGGAAACACAGATCGAATCTGTTATGTCGGACTGAGCTTGTTGGGCTCAAAATGGGGGTAGGGCTAGAATTCATTAAAATTGACATTTTCAGCAAGGTTTTCCTTGCTACGTGTTTACAGAGAGTGGACGTGAACTTTGATTATCAAGCCTAGATATTCAATGAAGGGAATAGATGATGCCTTTGACCTTAAACTTTTCCTTGTTGGAGCACTACTCACAAATTTCATAGTTTCTTGTCATTACCCTTGTTTATTTGGGCAAAGGTAGATGGTATGCATTCTTTTCTTTGGATGGGGGCAGATGGTTTCAGACATTTGTATTCATCTCGTGTTGAATCCCATCAACTAGATGATATTAAACTATTTCTTGTTGATGACTATTATTCTATATCATTAAGTTTTAAATAGGTTTTTCTTGGAATGTCGTGTCAAACTATAATCGTGTCATCCAGTTGTGTCGCTGTACATGTGATGCATGCAAGGACTGCACTCTCTAACTTCTTGATTCAGTCAAAATGTCCTTTCATGACTGCCAAATCTAATATACTTTTCCTTTCGTAAATGGAGGAGTCCAATGTTCTGTTAATTGAAGGTACCCATGGTTATTATTACAATGTTTTTTTCCATAAGCGGCACTTCTGAAACTGTTTTTATGTAAAAAATGTCTCTCCTTGATGCTGCTTTGGTGGGGCTTTCACGTAGAGTGCTTTTACCTCTAATTTTTGCGTAAAGCTTCGTATCACATCCTTCCATGTTTGTTTCCCAAGGTTATGTGAAGTAGTAGAGGATCCACTCGTAACAGTGGCCAAGGCTTTTGACCCTAATAAAACGGAAGGATGTTGCCTAGATTCTGAAGGAATATGCATGGCGAAGAGACAGGGATATTAATAGATCTTCAAGGCTTTCTTATTGGGCTATTGCTGCATGGGTCGGAATTAAATTCACGAAATTAGAAATGGCGAAGAGGTGACAAACTTTTACCTAAACCAGCTTATTTCATGACTAATGATGGGGGCATCAAACATCATATGAATCATCTAGTTTGGGGCGTCTCATCTCCTCGGAATTTGAAATGTTTCAAATGGAGAGCTTCACATGGCCAACTTCCTACATGTGATCGCGTATCTTTCTTCTTCTCAGCTTCAATACTCCTTGCTGTCTTTGTGGGTTTGAAGAAGAGGGCTAATGACCACCTATTCCATGGGCATTGCTTCTGCTCTGAATTTGGCACGTGGCAAATTGAAAGTGGTGTTGGAATATCAAGAGAGATCATGTAGTTTAGTGGGTCATTCTGCGTCCAGTATTTGGGCTATTTAGATGGAACGAAATAGCCACTTTATTAAACCGTTGACCTCTTGGTTGATTGAAGATGCTATGCTATCTTAGCTAGTGTACAAGAGTGATCATGGAGTATGCTTCGCTTTGGGAGTATGCTTCTTGTTCGTGCATTGGGAGACTTTTTTCTTTTGCGAGCTGATTTTTTACGTGCTAATCTTCTACTTTTTCTGTAGCAATCACCATGCGGTACTATCCCCTTTCAGAGACGAGCATTATATGCTACATTTCCTTAAGATTATTTCAGTTTTCAGTTTCTATCCCTAGCTTTGGTTACTCCTTGCAATAAGCCTCTTTATGATGAAGCTCGTAAGATTTATTTATTTCTGGTTGTGCTTTTGTGCCGTCATTGAATTTCGGTGCTTGATTTTATTTTTCTGGAAATTTCGTTTTTTATTTTAGGGCCAGTCATGACAAAATTTACAATTGCACTGAGGGAAATTGGAACATACAAAGAAGTCCTCCGATCGCAGGTATTTTCTGTATTTTTGGAGAATATTCTGTAAGCTGCATTTGTATGAAGGGCAGCTCGTATATCTTGCGGACTACTGTTAATCCATACCGGGTAGAATGATCCAGGACCAATGGTTGCTACACACTCCACTTAAAAAGCTTTACCTATGCAAATTGACTGATCCTAATATGTATGTGTCTGGATTACTTAGTTTGCAGGACAGTAACATTATTTGTAAAGCTACATTATTGTAGTCCGTAGGCCATTCCCTACCGTATTATTCTGGGGTGGAGGTATCAAAGAAGGGCATCAGAAGATGCAGGGCTTTAGTCTGTACTCTATGTGGAATCATGTGCTTCATCAGCCAGTGGCATGATTCTGCAAGGAATCATCTTTTGTCTCGGGCCGGATGATCACCAGTTTATGACGCCATAAATATATGTTCTTGACTTTGGGTAATGTCGTTACTTTTAGTATCTTGTTGAAATTTTTATACTAAAGTGGGTGTTAAAACTAGATGGAGCCATGAAAACTGTTAAGTTTGCTTATGACTAGCTCAATACATCGATTCTATGAAAGTGCTCAGTGCAACTACTTGAAAAATGAGAGAAAAAAAATCCAGCACATTGCATCTAGCTGATCCTTTCTATTCTCCAGCAGAAAACGGAAATGAAAATCTGCCCGTTTTCTTCTACAGCACACTGAATCTCTTTTCCCACTTCAATCTGGACGGACAATAACCATGGCTGAGTTTACTCATAGCCGGAATTTCTTTGACCATAGAAGAGGGATTTTGGCATTTCTCTGCTTCTATAGTTGGGAACTTGGTATTTTACCCTGCCCTATATTGACACTTAAAAGCCCACAATAGCCTCTGAATATGGGTATGTAAATTGTAGGGGAATACTAAGTAAATGACTGCGATATCAGACAGCTTCATGGAGTGGTCCCAAAATTTACTGTCCCTGATGAACCTAAATTGTAGACTTTCCGCTTTGATGTGGGGATCATCATAAGTTTCCCTACATTTATAAAACCACTAGCGATCTGTCACATCTATCTCTTGCTTATATGCTTAGTTAAAGATATGGCGTCATAATTTTTTCGAAAATTTTCTTCCTCTAATTTTTTTTTCTTCTTCTTATAATTTTGACACTGTCATATCTTTTTCAGGTTGAACACATGCTAAATGATAGATTGCTTCAATTTGTCAACGTTGATCTGCATGATGTGAAGGTACCTTTAGCAGCCCATGAGATATCTAGTAAACCATATGTTGAGTGACAGATACTGTCGTCTAAGTTTTTTATTTTGTTGTTATAAGCAACATCATGATAATTGACGCAAACCATACAAGGATAAACAGTCGGGAAAAATCTCTTCTTTACTCAAATCATAGAACAACTGATAGTTAAATACCATTACCCTGACCATTATAAAAGAAAACTACCTAGGTTGAGGGAACTGATCAACTAGGAAGGTAACAAACTAGGTAACTGACAAACTAGAAACTGATCAGAAACTAACTCCAAATAACACGTTTCTCCCACAAAAATTTATCAAAAAAATAATAAAAGTATTGATATTTATTAATGATTTATTAGATGCTGCATTCTGTTGCTTATTTTGGGTCCTTTATCTGTCTTTGCTCTTCTGTTTCGCATTTTTCTTTAAGATTTATTTTTTAAAATGTTATTTCCTTTTGTATGATCCTCTTGATTGATATTAACGGTAAATTTATATTTTAGAACATTAAATTATATGAGACATCCTTTGAGACAATACGAAGGTACGCTTATCATTTCACCTAAATATCTGAAAATATATATCCCCATGATCACTGAAAAAATGCCTTAAAAAAGTAAATACGCAGACTGAATTAACGACATGCATGACTTCTTACAAGGTTTAGGCATTTGTGCATATGTATGCACACGGGTGCTGTATATATGCCTTGCTTCTGAAAATTAACAGTGTTTGTTGTTGGCAAAGGCCAGTCTGCTGTTGAGCTTATGTTTCATGTCGGTCGACTGTAGCAACTGTAAATAATACTTTAATATCTTATTGCAGGAAGCACGGAAACGTTTTGACAAGGCCAGTCTTGTATATGATCAGGTTGGGTTCTTTTCTTTTTGGGATTGAAGATTATTATTGATCAATCAAACCTAGGATTTTTTGTTATTACGAAATCAGAGAGTAAATATTTGGTGAATATTAGATCTGGTTTTCGATTGAAGATCAGGAAGGGGTTGAGTGTATCTTTTAGTCTTGCGGTTCCTTCTTTTTTTTGTTTTTTACAAGGAATTAAGTCGCCTGTTGCTATGTTTACTCTTATCAATCAGGCCCGTGAAAAGTACTTATCTCTTAGAAAAGGTACAAAAAGTGATGTAGCTTCTGCATTAGAGGAGGTAATTTTCAGTCTTCAGTGGTCTTCAAAATGTCTTACATATCTTCCTTCATCTGTCTTTTCAAAGTATCTGACTTCATCTGTTATAGATTAAATTCTTATGTTCTGTTCTGTGGCGTATCACAGGAGCTGCGTAGTGCAAGGTCCTCTTTTGAACAAGCCCGTTTCAATCTGGTGCGTCTGATCTGTTACCTCTCGTGCACTTGGTCCATGATATTTCTGTAGACGTAGGGAGGTCAAACTTCAGAAAACTGTATTCACTAAATGCTACAGCTCATATCCAGGTCAGTGCCCTTTCAAATGTTGAGGCAAAGAAACGGTTTGAATTTTTGGAGGCTGTTAGTGGGACAATGGATGCTCATCTTCGCTATTTCAAACAGGTATCTCTCAAAACAACAATCTCCTATCGGATGGTATCGGCTTCCTCATTTTTTTCTGTGGCTCCTTACATGATTTTGTCTTGTGTGAAGGGTTATGAGTTGTTACATCAGATGGAGCCATATATTCACCAGGTTTGCTATCATTTTTTTATTGTTTTTGCCTGTGCTTCTCATTTGCCTTGCTGTATCATGACACAATCCTATGATCGTTCACTTGTATTTGGTTAAAATTTTAAAATCATTATTTTCTATCCTGTTGTCTGTGAACTTACATGACCCAAAACTGTGGACATTCTGAGCCATAAAGCATCTAGTCGAGAAATACGCGCATTGATGTTTTATTGGTTAGCTTTATGAAAGAAGGATCTCTAAACTTAGATCATAGTATTTGCCTTGGCATGCAGATGAGTATTTTACTTCGCCTCTACTAATATTAAAGTTTTGACAATTTAGTCCTAGGCCAAGGGGTCAGGAAGAATTTATGCTTGTTGAACTAACAAGACGGGCAAGGTCTTGAATGACTTCTGTCAGGGATGCACGAAACGCATTCAAGGTGGTTGTGAAATTTTAGACCCACTCTTCTCACTGAGAATGCTTGGTGATACGCACATCTGTTGTCACTGGGAGCTTTCAAATCTTGGTGTTCTTGATTACTTTAAGGGTGATATCAGGGCAACTAAATACAAAACTCCGAAGATGGGAGAGTGCTGCCAATGTTTTATTCAGTTCCCCAGTATTGTAGGTCTTAGCGATTAAATAGCTCCAGTCGTTCTAGTGCATGCCGAGATAACATCCCATGCATTATAAGATCAACACCTTATACATAGTAAATCTAACTTTTTAAAATATGTGATGGACAACTTGATCATCCTTGTCTTTGAGCTTTTATTCGTACAATTTTTGTGTCGTTCTTTTGTACTTAATGGAAAATACTTATTTTGAATAAAACTTCCAACTATTGTTGGCAGCCTATGCTATCTGTTAAGTTGTCAAATGCTAAGAACTTTTCGCCGTTGTAATGCGCGGTTGATCGCTGACCCTTTTCTGCTCTCAAAATTTGAGGTCTACACTATGTTTTGATAATTGTGTAGGATAAAGCTTCCGTTGATCAATTTTTTTGCTCATGGCTATGATGATGTGTAGAAAAGATTTTATTTTATTTTATTTTCACCAATTGTACGGTTTCTCACATCGCTATTGACGATTCCATGATGTTGTTGAGAAGGGTACAAAGCTGCTCTCCATAAACAACCCCCTTTTTGCCTTCCTAGTTCTACTTTCTTCATCAATACATCAAATTATTTTCTGCTAATTATTGGGTTTTGATAATGCCGATAATTCCTTTGTGAATTCGTCTGTTGATGTTGATTCGATGATCAAAATTTTCACTAGTTTGATAAAAAATTATCATTCCTTGTTGCATTTCCTAAAAAAATACATTCTTTTGAAGGTTTTGTCCTATGCGCAACAATCAAGGGAAAGATCCAACTATGAGCAGGCAGCTCTTTCAGAGAGGATGCAAGAGTTTAAAAGGCAGGTTGAACGGAGAGGTCGATGGCCAATGAATGGAGTACAAGGTTCTCCCAATGGCGATGGCATACAAGCTATCGGTAGAAGTTCTCATAAAATGATCGAGGCAGTTATGCAGTCCGCTTCAAAGGGAAAGGTGATGTCTATTTTCTGTTCTAATCGCAAGCCCTGGGCTATAAGTCGTGTGTTCTCCATGCGTTCACTTCCACCTGTCGCATTGTGATGCAGCATTTTATTTCAACTCTAAATATAATGAAAGCCAACGTTGCAGGTCCAAACCATTCGTCAAGGTTACCTCTCGAAACGTTCATCAAACTTGAGAGGCGACTGGAAGAGAAGGTTTTTTGTTCTCGACAGCCGTGGAATGCTGTACTACTATCGTAAGCAATGGAGCAAGCCATCAGTAAGTTAGGATTTCATAATCCATTTTCATGGGTCATGCCCACACTCGTCCGGCCTTAGATTATGCTAATCATTTCTCCCCATGTCTTATATTTATTTTTTCAATGTTAGCAAGCTTTTTTTATTTTTTCAGGGTTGTGGAAGCCAGCATTCTGGACAGAGAGGCCATAGTACATCGGAAATTGGCTCCGGACTGTTAGGTCGATGGCTTTCTTCACATTACCATGGCGGGGTGCATGATGAAAAATCTGTTGCCCATCATACTGTGAACTTGCTTACATCAACAATCAAAGTTGACGCCGATCAGTCAGATCTGCGGTTTTGCTTCCAGATCATTTCACCTTCCAAGAACTATACCCTGCAGGTAAAATGTTAAATAACATGGAGGCCCTTCTTTATGCATGAAAATACTTTTTTTCCTGAGGCAGAATTGATCAACTATTCTAAGAATGTAGAACTCCATGGGGAGATCTAATGCTTATCTATTACTGTAATCGGTATGCTTGATTTCTAGGCCTCTTTGCAGTGCCCAAGATAGCTTAGCCATTTTCATGATATTTGGTGTCCCTTAGCTGGTGTTTCTGTTTTTGTCAACCCTGTCCCTTTTGTTTCGAGGGATCTCGTCTTCTTCTCATGGCGTCTGATTCATCGCCTTCCACTTGTCTCATTGACTCAGGCTGAGAGTGCAGTGGATCAGATGGACTGGATTGAGAAGATAACCGGCGTTATTGCTTCCCTCCTAAGCTCACAGTCGCCAGAACGGGTTTAGCCCCAACGATTACCTTAAAAATGCTTCTTTTAGTCCTGTGCGTGGTTCTTTCTTATGACATTTCTGACCCCTTTCTCTTCAGTGTATTCCGGCTAGTCCTACCAGCAGCGGGCATCCTCATGCTGCCAGTGAGAGCAGCTCGCTGGGCAGCTCCTCAGATTTCGACCATTCAGCCTTGGAAGAAGGCTCCTCCGGAAGGAATCTGCTTACCGGGCAGTTTGAACGCGCAGTCAGAGGCTCACAGTATCACCGAGGCAACCCGAAACACGAGAAACCCATTGACTTGCTGCGGAAGGTCAGCGGCAATGATGTGTGCGCCGACTGTGGGGCCCTCGAACCCGATTGGGCTTCCCTGAACCTCGGTGTTCTCGTCTGCATAGAATGTTCTGGCGTCCATCGAAACCTTGGCGTCCACATATCAAAGGTAACCCCTTTTGGCATCATTAGTGACTGGCTGGGATTTATAATTTTTTAAAGAAATCCTAGCGAAATAGATCATCTTCTGGCATTGTTTTCTTTCCTGACAGAGATTTCATGAATACCCATTTTTTTTATTAAAAAAGAAGGGAAAAAGATGCTGCCCAGATAGTTGACTAGGCCTTCTATCCTGTTTTCCTTTTCTTCTCTTGTAGGTGCGATCTTTGACGCTGGATGTGAAAGTATGGGAGCCTTCTGTCATAAATCTGTTCCAGTCTTTGGGTAACACCTTCGCCAACTCCATCTGGGAGGAGTTGCTGACGCCTGATGGCGCACTGCCGAGGTGCTTCATGATGTTGATCGTCTCTGCGCATCACCCATCTGTCATTTCCGTATAGTCCTTATTCTTTGCTCCTGCGAATTCAGCGGCTCGAGGCTGGACAAGAAGCCGCAGGTGTTCATCAGCAAGCCCAGCCATGCTGACCCCATATCAGTTAAAGAGAAGTTCATCCAGGCGAAGGTACGATCTGGATTGAAGAACCCTAAAAGATAATCGGACTTGGGAGTCTTGCAGCTTGCTGCTCCTTCTGGGCGGTCGGTGAGAACTGTGTTTCTCACCATTAATGGCTGCTCTGAGAGTCTGAACTGTGTTTGCGCGTGTGCAGTATGCAGAAAAGGCTTTCGTCCGGCGGGTCGACCCAGAGCACCATCCTCTGGCGGAAAGCCTTCAGATGTGGCGCCTCGTACGCGCCAACGACAAGAAAGCGGTGTATCGCCAGATCGTGGCCTCTGCGGCGGATGTCAACGCCGTGCTCAGTCGTGCGCCATCCGGCGCACTGTCACCCCCCTCAAGGTCGACGATGCTTCTGCAGGAGCACCTTGATCCTCCGTTCGACGACGGGGAGGGAGGCTTCTCCCTCCTCCACCTCGCGTGTCAGACCGCCGACTTAGGGATGGCGGAGCTCCTGCTGCAGTACGGCGCCAATGTCAACGCCACTGATCTCAAAGGTCGAACCCCTCTCCACCATTGTGTCCTCGAGGGGAAGAATGACCTCGCAAAACTGTTCCTCTCCAGGTAGATCTCCCCCCCCATCTCTCTCTCTCTCTCTCTCTCTCTCTCTCTCTCTCTCTCTCTCTCTCTAAGAACGTCTTGCCTGCGCAGAGGGGCCGATCCGCGCGCCTCCGACGGCGAAGGGAAGACGCCAGTGGAGTACGCGTCGGAGACGGGTAACATCGACGAAGAGATCCTGCTGCTGGGGGACGCCAACAGTTGAGGCGATGATCTGCTGGACGAAGGGGGGGTACTTGCACCAGACTTAAGGCTATTCTCTCTATATATAAAAGATCGCGGCCGAGCTGAGCTTCTTCTCCGGGGAGGGTCTGGTCGGAGTGGGCTGATCCTCACCGGCGGCGCCGCCCGGCCAGCCCGTGTGTTGCTTGCGGTGTGTGTGGCTGTTCCTCTGTTTGCGGCTGCATGTAATGGGTTTTCTGTGGCATCGCATATACGTTTCTATTCATGGGTTTTCTTCCCCACCCTGCTCCCATTCTCCGGCGAGGTCGAAGCCCTTCCGAATGCCCAGTTCATCTCTGTACTCATCTTCTTCGATAGTTTTGGATGCGAGGAATCAGGGCAGAGTTCCTCTTCTTCGCCGTACCGTTAAAGAGATTCCCCACAGCCATTGACTCTCTCTCTCTCTCTCTCTCTCTCTCTCTTTCTCTCACTACTGGTTTCGGCCTGTCGCAGTCAATCGCTGGGCGGCGAGGGATTCGAAGGGAATCCGCTTTCTTTCCCACCATCTCGTTTAATCTACTCGAGCAGATTCCTCCCCTCTGAGAAAAGGAGCCGCCCCCCGTGTCCGAGTGGATTTAAGAAATCGATTCTTCGCAGACGAGGCCCTCGGGTGGGTTTTGGAGCGAGCGCTCTCGTCCGATCATCGGTCTACGGCAAGGATGTTATCTGACGGCTCGTATCCCTCCTCTAAACCTCCTCGGTGGCTGCTGTGCTCTTTTCGACTTGTCGCTTTCGGTCTCGTGAGTGCAAAGGCGCCTTGCTCCCCGTCCCTCGGGTGACGCGGCACATGGGTCCCACCGCTGCCCAGACAAATGAGCAGAAAGAGGCGGGAATAGGGCAGACTTCTCAGAGACCCCTCAGAGAGAGAGACAGAGAGAGAGAGAGAGAGAGAGACAGAGAGAGAGAGAGAGAGAGAGAGAGGCCCTGAAAACCCTGTGAAAGCGGTGGAGAAGAAGCATGGGCAGAGAGAGATGATGTTGCAGGCGGCAAGGGGGGGTGATGCCTCTGTGGCAACGCCCACGCTTGCGAGAAAGGGACGAGGAAAGAAGAAGCATGGGGCTGTTCTCGGGCCGGGGTAGAAAGGCGGCGTGAGAATGCTAAGCTCCTGCATCTCTTTTCTTCCCCCATCTCCGAAAAGGTCTCCTTGCCGGGGTCCGGCGCTCTTCCCTGGTCTCCAGCGGAGGAGGGAAACCCTATCATGTCTCTAGCTCCCTCCCGCACATTCATCTTCCCCCTATTCTTCTTCTACTTCTTCTTCCTGCTGCAGAGCCTTCCCGCAGCGTCTTCCCAGCCTCTCCACTCCGACCCGATTTACTCCCAGTCGCCGTCGCCGTCGCCGGCATCCCACCGCCTCCGGCGAATAGTCCTCGGCGTCCTCTTCGGCTCCCTCGCGGGCACCTCCTTCACCTTCCTCATCGTCCTCTTCGTCCGCCTCTGCCTTCTCTACGCCAACCGCACCCCCATCCTTCGGGGCCCCGTCATCTTCTCCCCCGTCATCTCCCCCAAGGCCCTGCAGTTCGCCCTCTCCGACCCCGGCAGGCTCGTCCCCATCCCTGGTTCGGGCCCTCACGGGGCCTACTTCCGCATCGTCTTCGACGATGGCCTCGTCGTCGCCGTGAAGAAGCTCGAGCCCATTTCCTCTCCTGGCTCCGACCCTCTGAGCTCCTCCGCCAAGCGGCGTCTGCAGAGGGAGCTCGGAAGGCTGGCCAGGGTTTCCCACAGGAACGTGATGAGCTTGCGGGCATATGTCCGGGACTCCGGCGAGCGGTTCTCTGTGGTCTACGACTACGTTCCCGGCGGCAGCCTGGAGGACGCCCTGAAGAAGGTGAGAACCGGGGAGCTCAAGCTGGGCTGGGACTCGAGGCACAGGATCGCCATTGGAGTGGCGAAGGGTCTCCGGCACCTGCACTTCGAATGCAGCCCGAGGATCCTTCATTACGATCTGAAGCCGACCAACGTGATGCTGGACGAGGAGTTCGAGCCGAAGCTGGGGGACTGCGGCCTGGCGAGGCTTCTGAGCAATGGCGGAGCTCCGACCGCGCAACCAGTCAGCTGCTACACCGCGCCCGAGTGCCTACAGAGTTGCAGGTAAGATTGAGGATCTCTGGTAGGGCGATTTCCGGGCGGATGAGATTCTGGGTACTCCGGGTTTTGGTTCTAATCATTAATCCAGCTAAGAATTTGAACCTGATTCAGAGAATCTAAGCTCCCATACCGTTTCCTTGGAATTTCTCCTCTTAGAACTCTGGCCAGATGCTTGAGTTTTGTTCTGAAAGGGTTCCCTTCCATCTCCCCTCCGCAGGTACACAGACAAAAGCGACGTCTTCAGCTTCGGGGTGATCCTGGGGGCGCTGCTCACTGGGAGAGATCCCCACGAGAGCTTCAGCGAGGACGCTGGTGGGGGCAATCCGGGAAGATGGCTCAGGCATCTGCAGCAGACTGGGGAGGTGAGGGAGGCTCTGGACAAGGCCATCGCCGGGGCCGAAGGCGAGGAAGAAGAGATGATGATGGCCGTGAGAATCGCCATCGTTTGCCTCTCGGACCTGCCGGCCGATCGCCCGTCGAGCGACGAGCTTGCGGCGATGCTCTCGCAGCTCCACAGCTTCTGAGTACTCCCCCGCCCCCGCCCCCTCCCCTTCCTTCAGCTTTTCATCTTTGTACGTAAATCCTCCTGCAAATTTGCACATTTCACGATCCCAATGGAATAGGGCTTCCAGGTTTTCCGCTGCGTGGAGCCCGTGTGAGGTTGTAGTGACCTTCAAGTGATCCCATTAATGGCGGCAGGGATATCTGAACAGGACGCCACGCTGCTTCCTGCAAGAGGCCCTACCATTCATTTGTCTGGGGACGTCGGCGCCCTTTTTCTAAATGCACTGACGACGGATTTTAAGCAGAAAAGGCCAACATTTGGCACTTGGGTCTCATCAAACAATGGCGCCGACATCCGGTGGCCTGTGGAAGCCCTAACCTTGTGATAGAATGCCAAATAACGTAGAGCAGGGTCTCCTTCCTCAGCAGGTTCTTCTCCAATTCTGCAAGCTTCTGAGTGATTGTGAAGCGTTGCAAGCCTCAACAGGACGGCCATTTCAGTCGTCGATCATCCTCTGCAACACCAAATACTGAAGCGCGATGGAGTACTCAGCCGCCCTCCCTTTTTCTGAAGAAGGTTTCACTGAGACGCTAGACTTCCGCAGAGTGAACGAACCCGAACCATCTGCTTCAGCTGGAAGCTTCACAACATGTCAGAGATTGAATGGAAAGTGGAGGTTGGCCCTTCTGTGAATAAAAAACCAGACCTTTGATGGTGAAGATGCAGGGAATCCACCGCTTATAAATGAACAGCAATCTGGGGTTGTCCCCTTGGTGGGTATCGGCCAGCAGGATCTTGCAGGGTTCCGCCGAGCTTTTACTGCAATTTGGGACGAGGAAGTAGTATGTGGCGATCTAATCAAAATAATTATGTGGGTAGTATAGCGGGAGGAATTCTTACTTGGCGTGAGACACGGCATCCCAGCCCAGGGACAAGGTGCGCACCATGGCTATGTCTCTACCTCTTTGGTTTCCATATCTATCCTGACAGCTCCTGCGCGAGAAAAGATTAGTGGTGGAGATCCGTCAGGAACCACCACGAGTGTTGACTTTCAGGACCCTCGAAGAGTTCAGTCAGATATTGGTCAAGAGGTGACTGTCACTTGGCCACAGGTTACCCTCTAAGAATCGATTTCAGATTGATTTCATCGCTAAAAGGTTTCGCCGTTCTTGAAGATCATATGAACAAATAAATGGGCACGATATGTTCCTATGGGCCCTTGGTTTTGGAGAATCCCGTGCCATTTAAATAAGCCCACATCACCATGAGATATTCTCATAGAAATTCATAATAATAATGTTGATGATGATGATAGCCTGCTACATGAGCGCATGAACAGGTAGACTATATACCGCTCATCAAAGAAGCCGCCAAAATCGTCAACTATCACTGCCGCCGGAAAAGTATGGAGAAGATGAAAAGCTGCAAAGTATTGTTTGATTCCTTCATCATCTTCGATGTACCTGAGAGCCAAAGAGAAAATGTAAGAAATATGAGCGAAGCTATCAGAATTACAGAGGAAACCGAGATCACGGCGTCTCCATTCTCTCGCGGATGCACAATCATCATGATCTAATATGACCCAACATCAAGCCTACTGAAAATTGTGCAGTGGCAGAGATGATGATGAGGTTTGCGTCCAGAGGGATGGCTACAAACTAACAAAACCATTGCATTTTATGATTTTTTATGAAGGTTGTGCTCTCTGAAATAAACCAAACATAGAAAATGCACCACGCCATCTGAGAAACCTTCATTTATTCATAAAGAGAATGGACATGAGAGAAAACTAGATGATACAATGAGGCCCTATGCGTGAAAAAAACCCGATTTCAAGAGTATATTCCAGTCATCCGACCAAGGACCTTGATTTTCTTGAAACTGGGTATAAATCTCAAGGGAAATCTGTTTATGTATTTCTCTGCTACCGAATTTCCCTAAATTAGCCTAGGAATGGAGGCTGCATCCAGTGGGCTTCAAGCAAAGATGAAAGCAGAAATTATAAGACATTCTCGAGACAAACTTCAATCTAGGCTGATCAAATCTCATCATCTATCGTGGCAATTCACGAGGATTCACGAGGCAACACCCACCTGTGTCAGATCAGGAAGACGAAAGCGATATGGCCGCATTCTTTGTTAAAGAAGGACATCGACTAAAGGGAGATTCCGAGAGTTGCATGACTCGTATGCGGACGAGGATGAGCATCCTTCTCACTTTTGAAGAAATAAAGGAGAGGGGGAAAAAGATCTTCGAATTGCATCATCCAAGATCGGCATCACTACGAAGAATTTACAGAAATAAAGATACTCTATGGCTCACCGATTTCAATCGGCCGCTTTTCATAGCATATACACTCCATCCGATTAATGTAACGGGGAAGATAATGGTGGCAATAGGGAGGTTCTTACTTCATTCGTATACGTTGGAAAACATCAGAGGTTGGATCGATCCCCTGCCAAATCGACCGAAAATATTACGCATAATGAATAAACAAGAGGGACGGCTCCACGAAAACATGGCATTAAGATGACGTATACGATAGGAAGCGGTCTGAAGCGGGGAGGCGCCTGGCCTGGGATAAGCACGGAGGCTTAGCCTCCATTCTGCGCCGGTTGCAGATGAACACGACGTCTCCCCGATTTCCCAGCGCACAGTTGAATGCAAACTGGAAGAGGAGAGAGGTCTTCCCGCTGCAAGCGAAGCCTCGATTGGAAGACTAAAAGGAGACGCAGATCCGAAGGTCGACCAAAATGAGAGGCAACCAAAGCCACGGTGAAGAAAATACCTGCCAGGGGGTCCCGACAAGAGCATCATCGTCTCCCCATCGCCGGGATGCCTCCCGGAGAAGAACCTTCCAACCATGGAGCGAGCACCTCGGATGGAGAGGGACGACGACCAGGTGTCTGAAGAAAAGCCCGAGGGAGATGTCATCGAACTGGAATATTATCGGTTTTGGTTCGTAATTACCCGTTTAGATCCGAATACTGGTGGTAAAGTCGAAAGGGCAGAAGCCCTTCCAAAACCTTTCCCCTACCAGAAGAGGGAGAGAGAGGCTATGGCGACGCTGAAGGAGATCCTGACGAGACGGCCGGTGGCGGCGACGATCCGGCTGACGGTGCCGGCAGGCGGAGCGCGGCCGGCGCCGCCGGTGGGGCCTGCGCTGGGGCAGTACCGGCTGAACCTGATGGCCTTCTGCAAGGATTTCAACGCGCGAACGCAGAAGTACAAGCCCGACACGCCAATGGCGGTGACCATCACCGCCTTCAAGGACAGCACCTTCGAGTTTACCGTCAGATCCCCTTCGGTCACTTGGTACCTCAAGAAGGCCGCCGGGATCGAGTCAGGGAGCAGCAGGCCGGGGCACGTAGTCGCTTCCACCGTCACTCTTCGCCACATCTACGAGATCGCCAAGGTGAAGCAGGCCGATCCCTACTGCCAATACATGTCTCTGGAGTCCATATGTAAGTCGATCATAGGGACAGCCAACACCATGGGCATCCAGGTGGTCCGCGACCTCTGAATGTGATCTGATCCGGACTCATTCTGCCCGTATCTGCAATTTCTGATCTGTGCCCTCGTCTCGTCCTTTTTGGGAATTATCTCACGATCCATCGAGTTTATTTTTCGTCGGGATGTTATGGATAAAAGTAGAATTTCAAGTCATTACATCTGCACGATTCAGCTCGTGCGTTCGCCTTCGTGTCACCAATCTCCTGTAGGCCTTCTTCTCAATCATTTCTGATTGCATCTCCTGCGCATTTTCATCCATCTCGAGGAAGGAATAGAACCAATGTTCTTCTTTGAGCGAGGAATGGTCGACGAAAAACGTTCTTCTTCTTTGGGAACGAACCCAAATTGGTCAAAACCGTAGAAGCCAAGAAGTGCATGCGAGCTCTCGGCCGAAGGGATTCATGCAATGGTCTTTCTCTGCAACGCACTTAATCTGAGGGAGGATTCTCTGACTTCTCCTAGACTCCGTCAGGAAGTTCAAAGATTCAATCTTGTGCTTGATAGACTCATCAAGAACGGAGTTGAAGGCCTGCTGGGTTACCATCAAACTGTCGGAGTTGCAGAGTGGGACCAATGGACATTACATTCAGTCATGAAGCCTACAAGAAAAGTGGAGATAACGATGCCCTAGAAAGATTTATGATAAGAGGAAAGGCTTGTAGACCAGGAAGGTGTGATCCTATTTCTTTGCTCCAATGGAGGGAAGGGTGCGCCAATGGGTCCCACAGATCCAGACCAAAGTCACTGATCTAATGGAAATTCATATAATATTTCGATTTTATGCTCGCAAATTCGATCGCATAAAGTCAACTGTGGCATCGCTTTATCACACTCTTTGATGCAATAATGAATAAAAGTAACGTTTTGGGCGCCTTCCTTGAGAAATTGTAGTAGCAATTTTGTTGACTACCTTCTAGAGTTGACCATGCCGGATTATTGGAGTCAACGATGATGTAAAGCATACTGTTATTTAATCTTGTGAGCCTTGGGCAAAGGTCTTATGCTCGATTAAGTTGTGGCGTTTGAGTTTTACAGGCAACCTTTCTTGGCCTTGAAAACATCTATTAGCTTACTACCCTCAGTTAAGTTATAGTTTCATTGACCAAGTTACCCGACAAACAAGAGGAAGTCAAACAAGCTACAAGTTAGTCAGATCTCGTGACGCCATCTTCAGAAGATGAAGTCAAATCACTATCATCCTCCTGTTGCCTCCTAAGGAATCCTATCAGATGATTAAAGACCCATTTGTGGAACAGCTGTCGGTGAGCGCGCTTTATATCTGTCGGTGAGGCCAGATCACCGCCTATATTTGGAAGCATCCTCTCACTGGAACTACTCTCTCAAAGCCTGTACTTAAACAGTAATCGTGCTTTCTTGCGTACACATATCAAGTCGCCCTCTTAGTTTGACTTTCTTTTTCTCATTTTACTTGACGTTTCAGTTGCAAAAAATTTACGTCTTTATGTGTAATTTTTTGCACAAAACCAGTAAAATGTAAATGATTTTTTTTTTGCATTTAAAAGGAATATAAATAAGGTTTTTCCCCTGTAAATTCAAAATGGGCAAGTGGACCCACTTAATTGTCTCAGTTCGAGTCGTCGGAGAAGCTTGCTTTCACCCTGTCATGGCTCTCACTCGTCCGCCCAGGAATTGATTCCCACGAATCCCCAGGTCCGGGATCTTCGGTGAGCAAGCCAGTATCGCCATTCCGGGAACGGGGGCCGGGGGGGGGAGGGTGGGGGTGGGTGGAAACGATTCTTGAGGCCGCCAAGTGGGCCTCCCACAGTCTCAGCCGTTCTTTTTTTATTGGGCCACTACAAAAAAGGCCCGCATAGAAAGCTGCCAACCAGGCGGAGGTGAGCGGATGAGGACTGTGAACAGGTGCGGCGGTGGGCCCGGGGGCACTCGATTCCCTCACCTCCTCGCTGAGCCTCCACCCGTCAGGCGCGGAGACGCTGTCGGTGGTCCCGCCGCGTGGCATCTCCCTCCGTACCATCCCACCCGTTTCTTATCTCTTCCCTCGCTGCACCCCCACATTTCTTCATTTTGCGCATGTACCCCCAGCCTCCCCCCGCAAGCAGACAGGGGGAGGGCGTATTTGCAAGGCCCATTCTTCCGGAGGGGCGCAATTTGTTGGCCTACATCTGAGGAAGAGTCCAAGCACCATGTCCGGTGAAGAGCCCGTGACGCGGGGCCCACTGGGCCTGACTGAGTCCACTGCCCGGGGGAGGCCCATTAATCGACCGGTCCAGCTCCGGGTGGACGGGACCACAGCCCGGAAGCACCCCACATTAAATGGCGTCCCCCCAAGCCTCGGGACATTAAGACCGGTATGTGGGCCCCACCTTGCACATATCCCAACAGCGAGAGCGGTCCAGCCCGGCACCCCTGCTCGGACCGGGCGGCCCACCGTTCGAGTCAGTTTAGTCCGGCGGTCTTAATCCGGGTTGACTCGGTCTTCCCGCTTCTCAAGATGATGAGGAAGAACAGTCATCTTCGCCACGTGTCGAACGGCGGCTGGACCTCTCTTTCAACTGGGGGCCCCGCGGGAGCGCGCGCGGATGAGGCGGGCCTCGTGCGGGCGGCAGGGGCACTCGTGTGAGAGGGACCGAGGACTGCCCCGCGGAACCCACGTGGACGAATCACACCGGCTGCTCGGCCTCAACCACGTGGCCTAATCAAGATATTTCCAAAAATATTAGCGATAGAAATAATAAATGAAAGATACTCGGTAGAGGAGGGGGGAAAGACTGGAAGAAAGCGAGAGGGGGGGAAGATATCATTAAATAAATACATAAAAATAAAAAAAGACCCAATTAAATTCGAATTACTGCGAGAACTGACGTTACTAGGAACAAATTTGATTTTAAATATTAAATCCGGCGTCCGAATCGAGAATTATAAAATAAGGGAGAGCGGGGCCCGTGGGGCTCTCGAACTCCGAGAAAGGAGCCGCCAGCGGGGCCCACAGGGGGGTCGAAGTGTCCACCATGGAGGGGACATTTGTGGCCCCCCGGAGGGAGACCTGGGGACCGGAATTCTCGAGCCCAAGGCTGCCCCCCGCAGAGCACCGACGGGAAGACGAGGCGCCTCCCTCAATCTCCGTAACGCCGACCAAGCCAGCCGGTTGTTAGGGCAGGGACGGATGACCGTCGCTGGGGGATGCTCCGTGCCGTTCGATGTAGATCGTCGCGGCAGAGCATGCTCCCCAAGGTTTCCTCTGTCCCTCCCTTCCTGGGGGGCATGTGGCAGGCATTGATTTCTACCGGGAATTTATTGTAAAGCTCGGGGGAGCTGCTCGACTCTGTCTGCGACCGCTAATTAAAGGCCAGCACCGGGCATCTAATGACCCTCCGAGGAAAAAGAAAAGGCGCCGTAACAGCAGTGGGAGAAAGGGAGAAGAAGAAGGCCATTCAAGACGCGAGAGAGGAAAGAGAAAGGTTTAGAAGAAAGCTTACCTGCGTTCGGCGCCGGCCGTGCTCTGGCCATTGTAGATCCGGCAGCTGCCAGGGCAGCATTGGAGCACCTTTCCGGCTGAACCTCGATCCGTCGCCAGGATGGCCGGCAACCACGGGCGCAGGCCTCGCCGGGGCCCTTCTCTCTCATCATTACCGCAGATCTGAGGGGGAGGGAGGCCGGCGGCGCCGCCAACATCTTTGGATCGGCGTCGAATGCCAGCAGCCGCCTCCGAGGGTTTTGCCGTCCCTCGCCGCTTGAGATTCCTCGGTTCGCCGCTGGAATGTAGATCCAGGGAACAGCCACATCAAGAATGGACGGGTGCTGGCCGGCGGCCATGAACAGGGGACTCGCCCTCTTCTTTCTGACCTTATCTTCCCCGAGGAGCCCGCCAGGGTTAAAAAGCCAAGGAGCTTTTACCAGATAACCCCTCCCTGAAAAGGATTACGCACCAAAACCCCCCACATTTCCTAATCAAGGACTTAATTACCCACGTAAAGTTAATACTATTGTCTATATTCGGCTCCCCTGGGCCCCACAAATATGGTCCTTGCACGTGTCAGAGGGGCTCACGGACTTTCATCGCGGGTTATCGTAACCGCGGTTCCCCGAGACGCAAACATCGTTTGCCGGACCGGGGGGGGGGGGTTGGGGGGTTCTCTTTCCCGCCCCGTCGGGGGAAAACGGACGGGGCCTCACGGCGTCAGAGGGTGACGGCACTCAGCAGGAGTGAATGGATTGACCCGTGGTTGAGTGGGGACGGCGTTCGTAGACTTGGGGGGGGGGCTCGTTCTTGTCTCTGGCATCTGAGGCTTGCTGCTTGCTGGTGCTCCCGCTGCTGCTGGTGCTCCCGCTGCTGAGAAGGGGGAAGGGAACAAAAAAGGGTGGTGGTGGTGTGGGGGGAGGGAGTATACAGCCAACAAAAGGGAAGCTGTTTTGGGGATGAGGAGAGAAGGCGAGGGATAAAGCGAGGGGGACTGCTGCGGCAGCGGACGGCGGCGTCTACTGCACAATTCTAGGGCTTGTCTCGAGTTGGGAGGGGTAATCGGCGGCGGAGTTGCTGCGGAGTGATTAGGGCTTTGGTTCGGCTTATCGGGCCCTGCCTGGGAGGATTAATCTCGGAGGTGGTTTGTTTGGTGTGGAGGATTACGCGGATCGGGCCTGGATGAGAGATCTGAAGTGAGGTTTTGGGGGGTGCTCTGTGGGATGTCTTCTTCCGAGACTTCTGTCCAGGTGAATTGCGGAAATGGGAAGGTGGATAGTCTGTCTTCCACCAGTAGCGAGCTCAAGGATGGGGGAACTGCCAGGAACGCGTCCCTCGAGTCCAACCGGGTCTTCTCAGGTGCTCCGGTGCTCGGAAATAGTGCGTTCCTGGTCGAGATGAGATGATCTGGTCATCTGTTTCGACTAGTCCTCTCCTTCACAGTACTCACTTCCTTTTTCCCTTTTGCTTCATAAGATGTGGAGGACGCTTTGTATACTGAGCTTTGGCATGCATGCGCCGGTCCTCTGGTGACGGTTCCCCGTCAGAATGAGAGGGTTTTCTATTTCCCTCAAGGGCACATCGAGCAAGTAATTTCCTCTGTACTTTAGTTGTTATTCCGTTCGTCTGTAATTTTCGATGTCCCGATGTGTTTGCTGGACTTGGGTTCTCTGTCCCTTCTACTTTTCTCTTACGAGGGCTAAATTCATGTGTTCTATGTGAAATAACTTGGACCTGTGCGTGCGTTGAGACTTAACTTTTGGACTATCATCGTTGTTTAGGTGGAGGCATCCACGAATCAGGTTTGCGACCACAAGATGCCACTGTACGACCACCTGCCATCTAAGATCCTCTGCCGTGTTATGAACGTTGAGTTGAAGGTGCTTCCCCTGCATAGCCGTTTTCCGATATGAAAAAAAAGAATTTTCGGTACCTTTTTTTTCCTTCAGGCGCTGATGGTGAGTTTTTGTGCGCTAATAGGCGGAATCCGACACAGACGAGGTTTTTGCCCAGGTGACCTTGCTCCCGGAGACCAACGTATGCGCTCCTATCCCGTTGATCTAGTAAGAAAAGGGCAGCATATGAGTATGCGCTTACATGATATTGGTGTGTGCGTCTGTCAGCAAGATGAAAATGGTGTAGAGAAGGAGTCCTTGCCTCCTTCCCCTCAGCGACCGCACGTGCATTCCTTCTGCAAGACTTTGACTGCCTCGGATACGAGCACTCATGGGGGATTTTCTGTGCTCCGCAGGCATGCTGATGAGTGCCTTCCACCGCTGGTTAGGGCTCTTTAGGATCCCTTCCTTCTTGCCTTAGTCGTTATTTCCAGAGGATCTGACCTTTGATTTGGTTTGATTAGGATATGGCCAAACAACCTCCAACTCAGGAGCTGGTGGCCAAGGATTTACATGGTGCTGAGTGGCGTTTCCGCCACATTTTCCGCGGTAATTACAACCTCCCTCTTTCAGTCCGGACTATTGCCATCTAATCCAGCCGGTAACAATGTTCAAACCAACAGCCTTGAATGTAGTCCTGAGTTTTTTAGTTTATCATATCAACACTTATCTTGTGAGGGAAAGCTTTTCTGCCATCTGAATTATCTTATTTATTTTAGAAGAAAACCGGGTGATTTTTCGGATATTTGCACTCGATTCACTTGGAAGATGTTTCACTTGCTTTTAGTTTCGTGATTGAAGGTGCCATTTTTCGCGTTTCTAAGTAGTACACCAATGGTTCAGCATAGTTGTAGCAAGTTTTTTTATTTTTTTGTTTATTATTCGTTGACTGGTAGACAAGAAACATTTCCACGTGCACCTGTCGGTTGTAGCCTAATTAAACACTTCCTGAAACTGCAGGCCAGCCACGTCGACATTTACTTCAAAGTGGCTGGAGTGTCTTCGTGAGCTCAAAAAGACTTGTAGCCGGCGATGCTTTTATTTTCCTTAGGTCTGTGGAACTTTTGCTTGCTGCTGGGCTACTGAACTTCAGTCCCTGTAGCTAACCATCGATTAACATTTATACCCCAGAGGAGAAAATAATGAACTTCGCGTTGGAGTGAGGCGAGCCATGAGACAGCAGCAAAATGTTCCAGCTTCAGTCATATCGAGCCACAGCATGCACCTTGGCATAGTCGCAACAGCATGGCATGCTGTTTCAACGGAAACGATGTTCACTGTTTTTTATAAGCCCAGGTGAGTGAAGTTGTTGTGACATCGAATTAATAAAAGATACTATAAGTCTTTCCAAGTCTTCAAAGTGATTTTCTCTGGATGTGGTATCTGTTGGTTATATTTATCATAATCTTGTGTTTGAGCGTATTAATTTTGTTTTTAATTCTGCATTCAACTTCGCCTACAGGACAAGTCCGTCTGAATTCATCGTTTCATATGATCAATATATGGAGTCTCTAAAGGCCAACCGCTCGATAGGAACGAGGTTCAAAATGAGATTTGAAGGTGAAGAGTCTCCTGAACAGAGGTATGACTCGGAGCAGTAGTTATTGCCAACTCATGAAGTTCTTCTCCGCTCTAGACACTTTATGGAAATTGAGTCAGATAGGAGAATAACAGGTTTTCGTCGTCCTTCAACCTATCTGTCATTGTTTTCGTAGGTTTACAGGAACTATTATTTCCATGGGAGATATTGATCAAAATAGGTGGTCCGGATCGAAATGGAGATGTCTTAAGGTTCTGTCTCGCAATAATCGCTGTCAAATTTCTGATTTATAGAACACTGCTAATTTTTTTAAACCTTATTTCAGGTGAGATGGGATGAAACGTCTTCCGTACGGCGCCCTGAGAGGGTTTCACCATGGGAGATAGAACCTGCCATGGCTTCACTTCCTTTGAATCCCCACCCAGTTTCTCGAAATAAAAGGCCCCGATCAACTGTGGTGCCCTCGTCATCTGATTCTTCTGTCCTTACCAGAGAAGGTATTTCTTTAATACATTGTGGGGTCAACAGAGTGTAATATTATCATGTCTTTGCAACAACTTGCTTTTTTCTGGTGACATTTTAGGACAATGTAAGATCACAGCAGACCATCCCCATACACACGAAGCTCCAATGGTCTTGCAAGGCCAAGATAACAAGGCGCTGCAAAGCAACCTTTCTGAAAATAATGATGCAGCTGCTGCTCAAAGGCCTGTTGTGTGGTCTGCATTGCATGATGAGAGAAATGACGGCGCTGAAAATCGGAGACTTGGTGGCTGGATGTCTGTGATGAGGCACGATCCTCCTTGTAGTGATATGGTCTCAGGCATGCAGATTCCCCCAGAATCGCATGCAATTCGCTCTCAGGCCTTCAACCAAAGCCCAGGAGATGGAAGTCCCTCCAAAAATCATTTTAAAGAGACAGAAGGCAAATTAAATATGCTCACAGTCTCGTGGTCTGGCTCGATGATCAGTGGGCATGCTAATGAGGTTGCCTGCCAGAATGCGAGACACATGAAATTCAGAGGGATGGCCGATTTCTCGTCGCACCGAAGTCCTGGGTCTGAATGGCGGTGTTCAAACCTGCCGCTTTCACCCAGACTGACGAATATCCAACGATCCGGCGCACCAAAGGAGATTGTGAAACCCCAAACTAGTCAAAGCTTTAAGATCTTCGGCATCAATCTCAACGCCAGTGCAGCAGTAGCATGTGAGACAGGAGGTTCACATACTAATCCACCTCATGAGCCAGAGTCCCAGGCTCATGCAGCATCACGGCATCAAGCTCAGGTTTTGGATTCTAAGCATCCATGTGAGCAGCCTGGGAGTACAAAGCTGGGTAGCGTTCGCGCTGTGTCATGGCACCAAGCACAGGATTTAGAATCTAAACAGTGTGTGCGCACGAGGGCTACAAAGTTAGCCGAGACTGCAGGTGCAACGGAGGAGGAAAAGCAGACTCAACTTTCCATGCAGCCTCCAAAGAATGTTCTGAACAAAAGTCAAAGTAGTTTGACGAGGAGCTGCAAAAAGGTACATTGAGTGTATGAGTATTTCATTCATTTCACTCTGACCATCCCTCATCTCCTCTACTTCTCAAACTGATCTTGGAAGGGGTTTTGACCTTTTATTCCTCTCTGTTTCAGGTCCATAAGCAGGGGATTGCTTTGGGACGGTCTGTTGACCTCACCAAGTTCCACTGCTATGACGAGCTGATTGCAGAGTTGGATCAGATGTTTGACTTCGGTGGAGAGTTAATGGCTCCCAACAAAAACTGGCTGGTTGTGTACACAGATAACGAGGGAGATATGATGCTCGTGGGTGATGATCCATGGCTGTAAGTGAAGTCGTCAAGCTCTGATATTTCTCATGCTCATGAATCTACCTCGGACAGAAGCCACCCAATGAGGATTTTTCTGTGTGCGCAGCGAATTCTGCAGCATGGTTCGCAAGATCTTCATCTACACCCGTGAAGAGGTCCAGAAGATGAACCCGGGAACCACGCTCGCAAGGGCTGAAGACCCCAGTGCTTCGTCTGACGAAAAGGCAACTCTTGCGGAGGCAGAGCCGTCGGCCGATCCGTCCACATGACCTTTTCCCGGCTCTTCTCGCGTAATCTGCACTGTAAGTGGGTTTCTCTCTCTTGCTTCGCGCCATCGACAAATCAGATTTTTACGTAGATTACCTCGGATTTTTCCTCTCATTTCTCTCTCTCTCGGCCTTAATGCATGCCCCATCTAGGAATGGAGACCCATCACCAATCACCGGAGACTTTCTGAAACCCCTTTGACTTTGAAACCGCGTTGTTGACTTATGATGACATTTATCTGCGTTGACTGGGAAGGGGGCGGAGAGGTTGCTGACCGTGGTTTGAACGTTGACCCGCAGGGTGAGTAGGAGGATCTCCAGCTGGGCGTTCCAGGTGAGCCGCCTCTTCGCCCCGGGCGTCTTATTGATTAGCGTAAGTTCTGCAGTTTTGTATGTGTTGACATCGCCTTCAGCCGATCTTCTGCTTCGCCCTTCTCTCTTTATTATCACATATTTATACATATATATATATATAGATATATTGTATGTACCCCTGTGCCCGCGAGGAGATGTCACGCTGGCTTTCTGAATCTACGCCGCCATGTATATAATCTCCCCTCTCCCCTGTGATAATTGCCACCCCGCTATTGGAATACTTTCTTATGCTCTCTCTCTCTCTCTCTCTCTCTCTCTCTCTCTCTCTCTCTCTTTGACTGTCAAAAGAGAACGGTCAGGAGAGGTCAACGAAGATCGAGACGACGCGGGACTGTCTGCCATGAAGTGCGTTCCCGTAAAACAAGAGGGGAAGTCAAAGAGATGGGGGACTCAGAGGCCATGCTCACCGACCAAAAGCACTTCTCCTCGGAGAAGGGAGGGAGAGAGAGGGGACCCGAAGGTACGATCCAAGGGTGGGGCAGTGGGAATTAAGTGGGTCAATTGTAGGGAAGCACGCCGGACCCGTTCTGCGACTGGCCGTCGTCGGACTGGATCTCGGCGTTGAAGCCGTCCTCGAAGAAGGCCTCGTGAAGTGCCGCCACCGCTTGCTTCGCCTCGCTGTCGTTCACCACGAGGGAAATATTCACCTGCGACGAAACGAGCAGCAGCAGATCATCTATCAGAGAGAGAGAGAGAGAGAGAGAGATAAGCTCAGACTGGGTAATTCTAATACCTTGGAGGCTCCTTGAGAAATCATCTGGACGTTAACCCCGTTCTTTCTCAGAACATTGAAGGCCTGTCATGACGGGCACGAAACGTGGTGAGAAAGAGAGAGAAAGAGAGAGAGAGAGAGAGAGAGATAGAGAGAGAGTTTATATAATACACACCCTTTCCAGGATCAGGGAGGAACGCTGGACATTCCCAATGAGGGAAATGATCGATCTACCCTGAAGGAGGTTCACCACCGAGATCTTCTCCAGCTCCTCCACGACGTGATCGAGTTCCTGCTGGAGCAGATTCATCCGCGAGACTCAGCAAGTCGTTAAACAAAGCATGGGCTCATTTTTATCACTGACAGAATAAAAAGGCCGACCCTGTTCTTCGTATGAACCCTGAACTCATGAGACCTTTGTACCATAATTAATCATAAAAAATTAGTTCTTGCATCACTCCGTTCAGGTCCTCTGTTTCTCTCTCTATCTCTTCAAGAGTTTTTGTCTTCTCTTTAAGGAAACAGAAGCTGGGCGAATCACAGGTATCCTCAGTGAGCAGTAGAACCGACAGAAAAGACGAGGTAAGTAGCTATCTTGCCTGCTGAATGAGCTCTCTGCTCCAGATCTTGGAGGGATCCAACGTTAACGAAATGCTGACTTCACTGGTAGCAACCGAGTCAACCGAAATCCCCAAGTCCTCGAATATTGAGAAAACCTGCACAGAAAAAGCAATCAAAAATCTCTTCTCTTTGATTGAACGAGAGAATATTTCCCAAACTCCTCACCAAGATTACCGGACTAGTTAGTTAGTTAGTCAGTGAGTGGACGGAAGATCATACCTTCGCAAGGAACCCATACTGCCCGAGCATTCGAGTGCTCACAATATCCAGCAATGTGATATTTTGTTTCAAGACTATGCTAGTCAACAAGGCCTGAAAATAAACGGAAAGTCAGCTTCACACCGGAAGCGGTTCGCCCCAGCAAGCCAAGGGATTGAATCTGTTCGTCAACCTTACTCATATCTCTGGATCTTGTGATGAGAGTACCCGGAGCTTGGCGGTTGTACGAATTCTTTACCCTAACTGGCACATCGCCTTCTCTAGCGGGTCTCATGGATTGAGGATGCAAAACCTGCGATTAGAAAAATTACATTGCATCACAGCCTGAAACAAAGCGCCGGGAGCTATGCAGTGCAGGTTTGCAAGCAGGATCCACTCGTGCCGTCATATTTCCTTAGGCCGGATGAGATGAGCTCAAAGACAGATTTGACAGGTAAAATCCATTTTATACAAAGCAGGGAGTTGTAGCCAATGTGAAAAGGGCATGGAAGAGCCAAAGATTTTTCAATGCAACCAGGGCAGCCATCCATCACCTTGTTGCTTCTGTGACAAGATGGCACTTCGGCGAAGCCTAGCTTTAGTAAAACCTAGAAGACATCTTAAAAACTACGGTTCATCCATCCTTATCAGGTATATGTTCCATTAGCATCTGTGACCTTTTTTATTTTTTATTTTTTATTAACTAAGCAGGAGTCAGCGATGAAGTTGGGCCCTGCCGTAGCCCCACAAGTCAAAGTTTAGGGTTTGTGAAAAACATTGCAAGGCCGGTTATTTCCCTTTTGAATAGCTATTTTTATTCTGCAGAACACTTATCTGACCTTGGACTGAAAGAAATAACGCTTTCCCTGTACTCCTAATAGATAAAATTTCGTGTATGAAAAGAAAATTCAGAACAAAAGAAAAGATAATAGCGGGATAATTTGAAGCAAGCTTTTCATCATCAGAGATGCATAACACATCATGTATTCTCAAGTAGTAACGACTGGAATCATACGGTACCTGTGCACCAAAATACGCAAGTTCAGCGGCCTCGTCAAATGTCAGATGTGGTACAGGCTCTGCTTTTGGATGGATGTTAGGGTCACACGTCAAAACCCCGTCAACATCTTTCCAAACCTGATACACGTCACAAATTTTAAATCACATAAGATTTCCAGGATATTACACCAAAAATCTGTGAAGATGGCCATTAATAAAGAAACAAAGCACACGGGGATTGAGAAAATTCAGCTTTTATTATTCGAAGGTTAAATTCATCTAATGAGCATAATAGTAAGTCAGAGATGTATTTTCATGCACGAGGATGCAGAATAACACAACCAACATAAATCTGGCCAGAGTGGGTGTCACCTGTATCTCCCTCAATCCCAGGGCTTTGCCAATGGTTGTTGCTGTAAGGTCACTTCCTCCCCTGCCTAATGTTGTCACAGCACAAGATTTCCAACCCTGCATGACACAGGACGAACTTCAATGACTGGCTGAAAATTGCAGATGCATAACACTCGCCAGAGATTTAGATTTGCCAGCAAGGACCTTTCCAAGGAAACCTGTGACCACAGGAATAGCAGGATCTCTAATCCAATCTCCATGCAACCTCTTTGCAACGGCTGGGTAAGTTGCTTCTAGGATGTCAGCATTTGTGAAGTCGTCTGTGGTTATAAATCCAATATCAAATGCATCATACTGCAGACGGTTGGACGAAAACGAGTAAGGATCAACTTAATAAAAGTCTTGACAGAAATTTATAAATCATCAACTATGAGATTACACAATTAATGTCAACTAGTGCTATTATAATTAATAATTTAATTCATTGATAGAGTATGTTTTCTATCAATGAAAATATGACTGCGATGAAAATAATTAATAATCATACAGACACCTCAACCTCGAAATCCTAGATTCAACAGATTTAAGATTCATACGCCATGAAAATATGACTGCAATGCACATGGACAAAATTGTCCTTTTTGCATGATAGAATCGTAGTTCAGCATACTTGTACACATTCCCTAGTAAAAAAAAGAATCCAAAATTTTGACTTTCTACTTAGAGATCCTTTCCAGGTTGTGAGCAATGATCCAAAAGTTTTGCTTAACTCTCAGTTACAGACTGAAAATTATTAGCCAAAAATTGTATCAAAAATACCGGTTAAAGTGAGGATGATGTTGACACCGAAAATGGACCACTGAGTAGTGTTGTCAAACTGTAAATTAATAATCGGCCACAGATGGCATCTGGTCGCCATCTCAAGCAAAAATGCTGGTGAGTCCATAAAATGCCCTTCTAAAGAGTCTTGTCAAACCAAAGGCCCTGTACCTATTGGGATCAAACCAAATCAGACAAAAGCCAACTTCAAGACAAATGTGGCCAATTCCACGAGGTAATGTTTCCATTCTTCCAATTATTTTCCAACGGGATCAGGTTTCCCACGTTGAATCTAAAACAGGTTTGACTTTCCATCAACTGGAATGAGAAAATTTTCCATGATACTTATATCGGAGCATTAGGCAGGGTTAATTTAAAGCTTTAGAGGCAGTTAGTTTGCTTCATTAGTGCAGAACACTAGAAACTGGCAAAATCAATCCAGACAGCCATGCATTAAGGAAATGCGAAATTATTTGAAGGTAAAATTTCTGTTCAACAGGAAGATCACAAATACAGCTTCTTCTTGGTAGATTTTTTCAGTACTATTTTGAAAACTATGCATCAAATCAATGAATAAGAACACCACACCACATGCAGAAGTATTTGGTGTACCTGACGTACAATCGACTTTTGATTGTCACAATTAAAATACTTAATTGGTGTACCTGACGGGCTTTAGCTCCAATTTTATTAAGGTAAGCTGCAAAAATCCTTGTAGACATGCACTCTCCAAAGGAAACTAAATAGTCTTTCGTACGAAGAGTGAGCTCTTTCATCATAGCAATTCCTTTAAGAAGCTGCTCGAGCTCATCTAATAGGCCTGAAAAGTTTAGAAGAGAGAATAAAATAAGAACAGAGAAAACACTCATCAACAGACAAGTTTCGTGGAACGGAACTAAGGAAATATGAGTATACATTCAGACCCAATCTTCCTGTGGAAGTCCATGAAATTTACAACCGGATAAATCACACGACGCATCAACAGTGAAGGCCATTCATGCGAAAGAACCACTGGCAAGGAGGGCACATGTATCACAACAAAAAGCTGTATGACATACTCCTGACATGGAGACCATGATGGAGGGCAATAGGCTTCCCTACGTGTGGGCAGCCAATCACATGCGGCTGGATATTAGATAATCAAGGAAACGACACAATGGGTCACATGCGTAGCATGCAGCTGTGACTAGCGCGGAAGAATAAGTTTTTGCAGAAGGGGAAAAAATGAATATGCATGGTACTTCATCACAACACGTGATTAATTTGAACCACTTGGAATATATAAGTTCCAAGCAGCTTCATCTTATGAAAATTTAGCTACAAACTAGCAACTTGAAAGACATAAAACGAACAATCAGGCACATAGAGAAAGAACTGTGCGAGTCAATTAAATGACTAACCATACGGTGTCACCGAGTGCCTAGACTGGCATGTTGGACAGAAGAGGATCAGTCGATCATTTAGGAGAATTCAGATTCCATCTTGCATCTTGTGAAACGTAAACTCAAAAACCGGGAGGACTTCCAACATTCTACACCACACCTCTAGATGAATGTTGATGTAGGAAAGAAGAAACTTTCTACTTTGAGTGGTTTTCTCAAGGAAAGACCCAGTTCTCTATGCATTCTCGTTTATATGGATCTCATCATTTCCCGTGGACCTGCTTTATGACCCCACCAATCACTTTAAAGGTGCCTTTCATGAGTTTCTTTTAAACTGAGAAAATATCCTTCGGCACTAAAAGTAACCCTTGTTTCCAAATTCTCAAAATCATCGTCCTCTTGAATACAGAAGAGAATGATCTAATCCCCTGGGTTCCGAGAAAGATGATATACATATAAAATGGACACTTGTGAAAAGACTACAGTTTACTAATTTAGACAGATGTGCGATATCTGATATAGAGATGCAATCACTTTCGCACAGGTGTATGGAAGCAAACTTCAACACAGCAACGAAATTAGTTCCAGACAGAAGCACAAGACTACGATGAACGGAGGAAACACAGGCGGAGGTCACCAACCAGAGACGATTAACCGGTCTACCGCAAGTTCATCAACTGTTCTGCATACAGGGGAACACATCAATACTCAAAAAAATCAGAAGCGCATAGATAACGAAGCAGAACACTATATAAACACTTACTTAAGATGCAGTTCTTTAACAAAGCTTAGTTCGTCCATTTCTGAAACATGAGAAATACCGCATCCAACGGCCTTTTCTCCGGCCTAATAAAAACAATCCCTTTAAGTCCAGATAGTAGCTAACATGTCTGTAGAGACTGGAATTAACACGTTCGTGGTCCGAAAAAGATTAGTACGTACCAGAAGGAGCTTGTTTGTGGTTTTTCCCATGGCAGAGAGAACAATTATTGGGCATTCATTAGGAAAACTAAGGATGAGATCAGCAACCTCCCTCATCCTCTCAGCCGATGCGACTGAGGAGCCTCCGAACTTCATTACGATATTCAATTGTGCAGTACTGCCATCAAAACTCTGACTCACTGCCTCGTCCTTGCGAGCAACGGATACAACCCCTTGCTGGCAGAACACAGTCAAGCTATTTTTTCCTATCTGCCCACCACCTCTTTTTTCACACGCAGCTTTTCCAAGTAACTCCCATTCAAGAAAACTTTGAGAACCCAACCGTGAGGAAAGATCACGCAAAGATTTTCTTGGTCTGGCGAAGCAGCTAGTCGGCGCGGTGAACAGGTATGACATGGCCATCTGTCCAACCTCCTGGGCCGTCCTCCCACTCCGGCCTGCACGGCCAAAAACAACATCATTACAAATAAGAATCAACCGGAATGCAATTCATGGAAACCACCGCAGAAATACGAGAACGGAGGAAAAGATCGAGTTGAGCCAGGACGACACCTTCTGGCGCTTGCTTCTGCAGTCAATGATCCAGGAAGGCCAACGTTCGACCCCTGCTCCCCCCACCGCACGCCTCCTCCGGAACTCCGATCCCTCGCCACCAGCTGGTCGGTCGGAGCCCCCAAAGGAAGCGCGAGGCGGCGCAGAGTGGGGACGAAGGGCCACGGAGATTTTTCAGCAGGGGAGGCGCCACTGACGAGAAGCCGCGCTCTAATATGACGGGGAACGTACGGCCGAGATTGAAACCCCCTTCACCGGCCGGAGGAGGCCTAAACGCTATCACTGAGGAAAACAGCGGCGAGTGACGGCATCCCCGGGAGGGTGGGGGTGGGGGTGGGTAACCACCAGAATAATCCCGCCGGGTACGAAAACCACCAGAATAATCCCCATATTTTCAATGGTCGCAGCGCGCGGGGGGTGCAGAGACCTTCCCAATGAACCACGTGGTGCACGGACTTTTGGGGGCCCCACTCTACCGTTCAAATAAAAAAAGCTGGTAGCCCTCGTGTAATATGTTATTAAAAAAGGCGATCCGGATAATTGTACGCAAAATATATCCCACCCGACCCTAATTTTGGGCCGGATTCGGACGAACAGAATTCGGCCCATAAGTTGGAGCCCATCCCCTCCTCTGGCCCACGCGAGGGTATCCACGCTCGTGTTTTTTTATTTTTTGAATAATTCTGAGAATTATGTTCATCTGATTAATATATATCTTATAATTATATCAATTAAATGAAACTATTTTTTCCCCACAAGATTGTGCCGCTGCAGTTGCTTTATTTGAGCATCCGGGAAAATGGACGATTATATAAACCTTTAAATTATTGGAGATAATATATATTTGTATTTTTATTTAATAAAAATATTTTATAAACAGGAGATTTTTTTCTCTTTTAGGAGGGCCCGGCGCAAAGGGAGAAAACTCCGGGCCACCAACTCACGGGCAAGATGGGCCGGCCCGCACCGATCATTATAGATATAGCCATAAAATGGCCCAGATTCTCTTGTAAGCTGGGCCAGTACGGTCCAAAAGCTCTCATGGAGTCACGTGCGCGCCATCACTAGTTCCTCTGGAATGGGATTATTTTCAAAGGGGAGGGGCCAAGTGCAAATAACCACAGGGGTAAAAACCATTATAAAAGTTGTCAAGGACCTAACGGCGAAAGCATTGACGAGTCCTTCCGACTGCTGCCAGGTCAAAGGCGCTCGGCCCTGTTCAAGACAACTGCTCATCTACGGCGGAGTACGACAGTACGAGCTGCTGACAAGGCCGACACGTACGGCCCCCCCTGCCGCCACTCTGTTCACCCCCGCTCGATTGGATCTGGGACCCGACGGGTCTCGCGAGGGACAACGCTGGGCCTCTCGCGAACAAGAGCGAAGGACGAAAGGGACTGCTTCACTAAGGGAGGAGGCGGAGGAGAGCGAGGAAGGGAGCCCGAGCTTCCCAGGCCTGCAACCTGAACGCACATGGCGGACATAAGCAGATAGAGAGAGACACACACACACAGAGGAGAGAGAGAGAGGCCACCCCGGCGTCCTCCCACCCGTGTTGTCTACCTCACTTTTCTGACCTGGCTAAGGGAGACTAGAGAGAGAGAGAGCGAGAAGGGGGAGGGGGGGTCGCGAATCCCAAGCCCAGAGAGAAGCTCTGCTCAATAGCCGATTGATTTCCAGAGGAGATTGGTTATTTCGTCCCAGGGCGGTGGGGGTGGGGAATAGTTTATTCGTCCTTGGGCGGCGAGTTCTCAAGAACAGAGATTTGGACGGCCCCACGGAGTAGAACGAAGGAGAAGGGCACAGAGAACTGCCGACGACGACTAGAGAGAGACAGTCTTTAACACCGGAAGCACGATGGTTTATTTATTTCAAGCTGGATTAGAAAATGGAAAGCGTCTCCGGAGAGGTTGTGAGCAGGTCAAGGAGAGGAGAGAAGAGGATCTCCGAGCTAGCAGGAAGACGACGAGGCGGCGGCGTTAAATATTTTACTGCCATGCCACGCCATTAGAGCTCTACACTCCTCCTGGGTTCGCGGGGGAGTGGGGATCACAGCTACATGGAACCATGGCAGGCCGCAGAGTGGAGGAGCACTGCCTTGATTTCGTCCGCCCGCACGTCGGGGCCCTCCTTGCATTGCTGAAACCAGGAAGCCCGCTGAAGAACTGATCGACGAGGAAGAAGAAAGGGAGACGGAGGAGGGGAGGCGATCATCGACGGCGATGAGGCTATCTTACCTCCGCTCGGAAGACGTCGAGGGCGAAGCCATTGAAGCAGCTGATGACGGCCTGTTGAATGTCCAAGCCGAGGCTGTCCAGCGCCCTCATCGTCGACAGCAGCAGGCCAGGCCGGCGGGAACAGAACATGTGAATGTTGACCGCTCGGCCTTCCCTCTCCCTCACTTCCACCTGCGGAAGAAACAGAGATCAGAGATCTTCCGTGGGGTTGAGACCGGGGAAGATGACGGTGGGATGGGGGAGCTCACCCTCGGCAGCTGGCTGTTCGGACTGGGCAGCGAGCTCGACAGGAGTTCCTCCTTGACTCGGCATGGCAGCGTGGGAGGCGTCGGCGTCAATGGGTGGAAGCTCGGAGCGGCGGCGGACCCAGGCAAGGAAGAGCCAGACGGGGTCGACTCGAGCTCGCTGTGGAGGTCGTTGATCCTCTGCAGAAGCTCCTTCAGGTACTCGATCGCATCTCCGAGGATGGATGCTCGGTCCATCTGTCAAGGGGACCGAAGAATATTTTAACAGTATTTGATGCAAGAAGATCAAAGGACTATGGTCCTCACTTAAAATCAAGAACCAGGCTATCGATGCACAATTCGAAGGTCTGACATGAAATTCAAGCGTTCCAATCGCATAAAAACCGGCGACTGAGCAAATTTGCGAGGGGAATTCGAGCAAAGAACACGGGCTATCACATAGATCGTCTGCTTTCCCATCCTGTGAAGAGGCCGTGGTCGAACCCACACGCAGAAGAGAGAATTTTCTACAGTAATTTTCGAGGATGGGCTGATTAGAGTTGCAGGAAGCCGGCACAATTCGACGGCAATGGGCAGATGTTTGAAAGCTGGATAATGGACGATATAAAACGACCTAAAATATTGGGGAACGGCGGCGGTTTGGATGGCTCCTCACCTTAGTGATCTTGGGGACGACGGATCTGAGCATGTAGAGACGGTCGTTGAGTTTCTTGCGCCTCCTCCTCTCCGCCATTAGATTCTTGGCGGGCAGACCCTTCTTCTTTCCCTTGTGGTCGCCGCCGCCGCCGCCTGTCACTGCGCTGTTGGCGTTGGAACCGCTGCCTCCGCCGCCGGTCTTCGCGCCGCCGTCCATCTTCAGGTTGTCCCCGGTCAAATCGTCGGAGTCGTAGTTCAAGCCCGAGCCGTCAATGCTGGCCTCGTCCATGTCGTCTTCCTCCTCCACCCTCTTCCTCTTCTCGTGCTCCTCCATGGCGCTGGCGCTCCCGTGGCTCACCGCCGCCCCCGCGCTATCCAAGCACCCCAAGTTCCTGCCGGAGTTCTGGCGGAGGGCGGCGGCGCGCTTCTGGAACAGGGTCGGCTGCGCCCCCACCGGAGGGAAGATCTCCAGCGGCCGGATGACCTTGGGCCTGTTGAGAAACGGGGAGCTCTCGAAAACTTCCAAGCCCACGGTGGCGTTGTAGCTGGCGCCGCCGCCGTTGTCCGGGACCGGCATCAGATCGGAGGTCACCATCGGCCCGCATGGCCCCAACCCACCAAAGCCTAACATGCCAGAACCGCCACCCCCAACGCCGGCGGCGCCGCCTCCCCTGTTCATCAGCATGGGGGAATTTGCGAGAAATCCAGAGGCGTCACAGCTGAGGTCGAAGGAGACGGCGTCAAAGGGATTGGAGCAGACGACGTTGAGGAGGGAAGAGAGGGCGCTCTTCTGGGGGAAGAAGGGCTGCGAGGGGTCAAGGTTGAAGACGGAGGAAGGGGAGCAGGAGGAAGACGAGTCCACCGGCTGAAGCAGCATGGTCTCCGCGGCGGACGGGTTGATCTCCTGCTGGTGGTGGCGAATGTGGTGGCCATGGAGGGACTCGAACCCGCCGCCCTGGTGAGCGGAGGGGTGCCCGCCGCCGTCCCCATGGCCGGAAGTGCCGGCACTGGCGGCGAGGTACCAGTCGTCCTCGAGCATCGACTTGAAGGAAGCAAGCCCGAGTTCGTCCTTCCCGTCCCCCATCACGATGCCGCCGCCTCCTTCCCCGCCGACTGCACTCTGGCCCCTCGTCCACGAGACGGCGTCTTCATCTTCCTCCGCACCTCCAACCCCTCCCTCCTCCTCCATCCACACGACTCCATTAACCTTCGATAGCATCTCTCCCAACCCTACTAAGGCAGACAGACCCCCCCCAGAGGAAGCGACAGAGAGAGAGGACCAAGTGTCTGGGAAACGAGAAAGGGAGGGGAGCAGAGAAGGGGCGAGACGGGCTTTTATCAGATACTCTTCCTTCCCCCTCTGGCAGGGTTCAGCGGTCAGTCCATCTGGAGAGAGAAAGAGAGAGAGAAAGAGAGAGAGAGAGAGGGGAATGGATGAGACAGGTTTGAACGTCTCCCAGCAGAAAGACGTGGTTATCTAGCTACCTCTGGAGCCACTCGATGGAGAAAAACTTACAGCCCTCGGTGACCAGAATACCCCCCAACATCTTCCTACGCCACCCATTTTACTGTTCCCTCCCTCATCTTACTAGCGCCGTTCCTGCCCTGCGCTTTAACAGAGACAGAGGAGGAAGGGGCGGTGCTAGGGTTTTAGTGTGTGTTTGCCATGATGATGATGATGCCGTTGAAGCCTCCCTGAGAGCGGTCTCACAGATCACATGGAGATCTCATCATACTCTATAAAAAAATCATCAGTTTCAGAAAGCCAATTGTGGGGGGCCGCGAAGAACAGTTACTCTACAGGGAAAGGAGGCGAGAGGGGAGGATCACATGTCGAACCTTGTCCGTCAACTGTGTAGTCGGGAATGTCCCGTCGAGCGTGGAGAACGGCGGAGTTCAATCCGTTTTTTATTCTCCTGAGAGAACCGGATGAGTTTCTTGGGGGCGACCGATAGAAAAGTCGTAAACTCTGAAAGATCATTTGTTTCTGACCGGAGGTAGAGCAAGACGCGAAGAAATCGGCTCGCACATGGAAAACGGATCGGTATGCAGCTCATCCGTCGTCTTGGCCCCCCCGGTCAGATGGCCAATCTAGGGTTTACCTCTTCCCTCTGCGGGCAGGCCTGCTGCAGTATCCGCCGATATTTGGCCTCCGATGGTGGACAAAACCGATGGCAATTGGGGAAACTCTCTCTCTCTCTCTCTCTCTCTCTCTCCAGCCGTAGAAATCACGGCCTCCGGTTTTCCCTGCGGCAGAGGCAACCGGCCCTTTTCCGGGGTGGGGAAGGAAGAGCCCTCGGACTAGCGATTGGATGAGGTAAGCGTTATTAATGGCGGAGGGGACAAAAAGGGTAGAGAGAGAGAGAGAGAAGAGAGAGAGAGAGGACCCCACAAGGCTTCAAGGGGCGGGAATAAATTGACAGGAGGAGGAGAACCCAAGTTCCTCGTGATTCTTCCCATTCACCGCACCTAAAGCAATTCCCATCTCCCTCCTCTCCTCCTCCCCCCCCCCCACCTTCCACACCCTAACACCGCATAGCCCACGCATCCCCTCAACGGTGAACCAGAGCGGCAGAGTGGCAGAGATAGAGAGAGAAAGAGAGGGAGAGAGAGAGAGGAAAAGAGGATAGTATGAGGGAAGGGAGGACATCCGTTCGTCTGCGAGCTGGCGTTCGACGCGTCAGATGGAGGAGACATAAAAGTCAAAACAAGATCCAGCCCTCCGACAGTGGGCCCACAGATTATCTCCCACGGGCCCAATGACGGCCCGGATTTAAGCTCCCCTGACAGGCGTTACTGGGCCCTCATTTACCGTTAATAGGTAGTTAAGGAGGGCAGACAAATGAACCACCCACAGACTAACGGCCTTGGCTTTATCTGCCCCGGGCTCGGCCCGCTGAGGGCCTCCTGCTGGGGCCCATCCTCGAGGAATTCACCCCGTTCACGAGTTTTCGGGATCGGGGGAGGGAAGAAGCGAGCTGCTGGTGGGCGTCAATCATTTGGCTGCGCGCCGTGGAAGTGAGCACCCCCCCGCCGTAGGAGGGGGCGGCGGCATTTACTGCGAGGCGTGAACGAGAGAGCCCCCCATTTAATGTTAACGAACACTGCCTCTGTCTCCGGCGAAACTCCGGCGACAAGCTCTCTCTCTCTCTCTCTTCCCCACCTCCGCCGGAGAGGGCAGGGCAGGGAGAAGAGAAGGGGCATGATCTTCATCAATTCTCTCTGGCAGGGCAGGGCAGAGCAGGGCAGGGCAGGGCACTACAGGAGGAGCCGTAATTGTTCTCAATTCTCCGGCAGAAGGGGCTTCCTTCCCTGCGCCCTGCTCTGGGGGTTAATGGCGGCTCCTCCCACGAGTTCATCTCCCTCTTCGCGTCGACAGACGGCCTTGGTCTGTCGTAAGCCCAGGAAAGGCCCACTAACTCCACCACACGCTGTCTGTGTTGTCGTGACGGCACAGGCGGCAAGACGAACAGGCTACAGCTGTCTTAGGCGAGAGAAGAGAGGCTCCAATGAACTGCTGACCTCTCCCCCCTCAAAGGAGGAAAGGACGGCCATCGTCCTCTTCTGGCTAGAACAGGACGATGGTAGGAATCAGATGACTGGCTTGCCCGGCGGAGGCCCAGCTGCGCTACTGAACGAGCGCAGGATGAGCCCACAGAGAAGATGATGTTAAACAGTCGTCGACGAGGGTGACCAAGGAAAAGAGAAGCGGCGCTCCACGTCAACGCCGTCCCGTTTTTCCGAGGTCTCGTCGTTGCAGAGAGGAGAGAGAGGGAGGGGGGGGAGTTTCAGTATTGGTGTTGCGTCCGAGTCCGATCTGCCGCGGAAACCCGAGTTAAACCCGAGGATAAATGGACCGAGTCCCGAGGTCTCCCCGCAACAGAGTCAGACGTCCTGTGGATCGTTGGGCCAATGGGCCCAGCCCAGGCATACCCTTCGAAATCCTGCGTTTGGCCTGTGGAACGAGAAATCCAGGTCGGAATCGGCTACTACGATCCTGGCCGGCTGCCCATCGTCTTACGGGCTCAGATCGACGTCTCCATGGAGGAATCCTACCCGTCCATCTGAATCCCGCACTTGGTCGATCGGACGGCAAAAGCGCGCCACCTGGGCCCCATTTCGGTACCGTGCGCTGACTGCCAATGGACTAAGGCGTCGCAGTATCCTCGTGGCAATGAGATCTGTTCAGCCGCCTCTCCGGGGCCACACAAATGCCATGGTTAGGCTAAGCTGGACTGGGCCTTGAGATGCGGCATGCGTTAGATCCAGACCGGCCCAGATTCAAACCTCCAGGAGGGCGAGTAGTTATCTACCACGTCGGTGGTACATGATAATAAGGCAGTACCAGGTGCATCCGAGGGGGAAGACACACGCGGCTCATCATTGTCCAGGCCCCCAGTCGGAGGAGGAGAGAGGAGGTAATTAGAAATAATAATAATAATAAAAAAGGCCCAGGATAATTGGCGAATTTAACTTCTCACTCCAAAACCCTGCGGACCTCATCATCTCTCAACCTTCCCCCCTCTCCGTTGAAGAGGCGGAGAGCAGCAGCGTTATCTCTCTTGTCTCCAACAGGCTTGACGCTGGAGACCTCGCGGCTAGCTCCAAGGTCTCTCTCTCTCTCTCTCTCTCTCTCTCTCTCTCTCTCTCTATCTCTCTGTCTATCTCTATCTCTCTCACTCTTCCTCCCTCTCGATCTCTTTCTATTGTTTGTTCGGTCGAAAGCGCGCGCTCTTCCCACTCGCTGTGATGGTGGGGAATGGGATTGGGCGGCGCTTATTTCTGTTGTAGATGAGTTCTTGGCTTTGTGAGCCGAGGAAAGTTTTTTGTCTCCATCGGTTTCGTTTCCTCTTCTGCTGTAGATGAGTTCTTGGGTCTGTGAGCCGAGGACTGTTCCCTCTTATTTGGTGCGATTCTACTGATAGTCTACGGAGGAGCAGGGTTTTATCGGTCCTCGATTCGCCAGTCCGAGATCCATTGAGATCGCGTCTTTTATATTATTTCAATGTTTCTCTTTAAAGAGAAAATTCACTGAAGCATTCCCGGAGGTTTTTTTAATTCTACAATCGGCATAAAATTCCCTCACCCTTGATCAGTGCGCATGAGAGGAGAATCTGTTTATTTTTCTTCGCACATGAATTCTTAATTTGACAAGCAACCATATCGAGTCTCACAGTCTCATGTGCCTTGATAAATTCGTGTGATTTGCTTCTGGTTTTCGTTGTCGCAGTCTCATGGAGAACTTTTTCTGGCCATTAATTGTTCCAACTTTCTCGAGATCTCCTGCGATGTTTACTTATTTCTGTTTCAATGAATCTCTCTTATGTTTCTCTGCCAAGCCTCGTGGAATTAAAGCCCCGTTCGCATATATTTTTCGGACTCTTTTTTTCCTTTCCCACTGGAAAATGGTTTGCACGCATCATGAATGACAAAGTGAAATGATTCAAAGCGTGCAATTTCCTTTTTGAAAGTGTAAAGTGTGCCCGATCCAACGCTTTTTAATACTAGCCCAAATATGTTGGAATCCACAAGAAATAATTATAGAAATAAATCTAGTCGTCACCATCTCTTAAAACTGTACTGTCTTTGTACTCAACTCTTTTATTTTTTTCTCCTTGCCAAATGTCAGGTGCCCTTAATTCCAGACGCGGATTTTATCTACAATTTTGAAATTTTATGCCGCTTCATTGAAACTTGTAATGAACTAGTTAATATTCCAGAGTTCATTGCTACTGAGATGATATTAATAAGTGGTGTTCTTTTGGGAATTTCAGAAGTCGTGGCAAAACGTGATTCTCATTGAGCTTTGATGTATTGAATCAGATACTCTGCATATGATGGTTGACATGTTGTCGTGCTTGGTCTCCAGGGTTCTATAGAAATAGACTTTGGAGCGCCTTCATTTCGTGGTCATGGCTGGGGCTTTGGTTCAGTCAGCTATTCTTCCAGGAGAAGTTTCAAATGGAAGGCGCAGCCAGATTCGAGGCTCTAGTAAATCTAGAAGGTCTACAGCAAAGTTGCGTGCCACAGGAGCGCACCCTCTCAGAATGCAAGGTTTCTCAGGGTTACGGAGTTCGAATGCTCTGGACTTTGTGTCACGATCAGATCGTAGTTTTCATTCTGTTGTAGAGACTGCCATCTCTACATCACGTGGAAAGGCTTGCCGTGGAGTTGCTGTAGCTATGTTTGAACGCTTCACTGAAAAGGCCATTAAAGTTATTATGCTTGCTCAAGAAGAGGCGAGAAGACTGGGGCATAACTTTGTTGGCACTGAACAAATACTGCTGGGCCTTATCGGTGAAGGAACTGGAATAGCTGCTAAAGTTTTGAAATCTATGGGAATCAATCTGAAGGATGCCCGTGTGGAGGTGGAAAAAATTATTGGAAGGGGCAGTGGATTTGTTGCTGTTGAGATACCGTTTACACCTCGTGCAAAGCGCGTATTAGAACTATCGCTAGAAGAAGCTCGCCAACTCGGTATTCTCTTCAATCCCTCGTGTTACATATGACTGCCTATTGGAACCTAAGGTTCTTTGTAGTCATTTTTATTTACGAGTACTCAGTTATATTGATATGTTTAGTAGGAATGTGGATTTGTTGAATCCTTATCTTCCTTTTAGTTCATCTTCGTCCGCATAGTGAATGAGGTAGAAGGACAGGATTGACTATACTCGTGTTAAGATGCTTTCAATGAGTATTTTGCGACTTATGAGGATATTGAACCATTACTTAAAGAAGAGAACTTCCTGTTGAAATGATTCAGGAAATGAACATTGTGCCCTCGTGAAACCCCATTGGCTCTGTGGATTTATAAAAAAATAATAGCATTTTTTTTCACTATCTTATACGATTGATATGGGAAGCCATCCGTGGTTAGGATCTTTGTTTTGGTTCCTGAGCGACAGAAATATTTTCTTGAGCTTAATGCTTTTATTTTCGGGGAAGTTAATTAGGGAAATAGCCTGCGTTAGAAGGATTCTTTTGGTTTCCATGTCGAGTATTCCGTTTATAGTTTATACTTGATGGATGCTTATTTGGTTCAACTTTCAGCTGGCAAATGCTGGTGATTGTGTACTTTGTGTCATAACAATACTAGGTTGTTTCATTAATTTGTTTTTTGAGTTTTAGGTACTTCTGCTCAGGGTTTGGTGTTCTGCAGTGACACGTGTTGTAAACATATTCTGGATATATCTTCACCAAAATGTTGGATCTATCAGTGAACAATAATTTACTTTAGTTTAACAAGATAAGCTAATGACAGTGAATGAACTTTCAAGCTTATGACAGTGAATGGAGATGGATTATTCTCGTCGAGGAGAATCATGATTATTTCCGCTTGATGATTGTTGGGAAGCCAACATTGCGTATGTTGATTTTCAGGCCATAATTACATTGGATCTGAGCACTTGCTTCTTGGACTGTTGCGTGAGGGTGAAGGTGTTGCTGCTCGTGTGCTTGAGAACCTTGGTGCTGATCCAGGCAACATCCGTACGCAGGCAGGTCCTTTTTCTTTAACGAGTTTTTGTCACGTATCCGTCTTATAATATCTGTTTTATGAAAATAAATGACGTTATATGTGCGAGCAGGTTATTCGAATGGTTGGAGAAAGTGCTGAAGCTGTTGGTGCTGGGGTAGGAGGAGGAAGCAGTGGAAGTAACAAGATGCCTACCCTGGAAGAGTATGGAACCAATTTGACAAAGTTAGCTGAAGAGGTCTGATACTTCTTTCCTCTGTGTCACTTTTGGTGAGCCATATATGCTTACTTGGTAAAGGAATGACCGTGCCTTTTGTTTTCCAGGGTAAACTGGATCCTGTTGTTGGCAGGCAGCCACAAATAGAACGTGTAACTCAAATCTTAGGCAGGCGAACAAAGAATAATCCTTGCCTGATCGGTGAGCCTGGTGTTGGTAAGACAGCTATAGCTGAAGGACTCGCTCAACGTATTGCCAATGGTGATGTTCCAGAGACAATTGAGGGAAAGAAGGTCGAGTGTCACAAAGCTCCTCTCTCTCTCTCTCTCCCCATCTTACTTACATGTGTGCCCTTTTAGTCCTTATCTGAAGATGTATATTCGGTATCATGTCCTTTTGATGTAGGTGATAACCCTCGATATGGGACTTCTGGTTGCTGGCACAAAATACCGTGGAGAGTTCGAGGAAAGGTTAAAGAAGCTGATGGAAGAGATCAAGCAAAGTGATGAGATCATTCTATTTATTGATGAAGTGCATACATTAATTGGAGCCGGAGCAGCTGAGGGTGCGATTGATGCAGCAAACATTTTAAAACCAGCTCTTGCTAGGGGTGAACTGCAGGTAATAATAATAGCTTGCACTTGCATGTGTTTTCTATAATTTTCGTTCCAACTGGGCTCGCAAGCTGAACCAATTGTTAGGATGAAATGCGCATTAAGTCTCTGATTTCTTTATCTTCTGGCCTCTTTCTGGAGAGATTTTTTCCACCATTTTTTATTTTCCTCGGAGATATTCATGTGACTGGCATCTCATTGGGGAGGACTAATTTCTTGTTCTGAACGTGCGATTCCTCATAACATGATTTTGATTGAACATTCTGCCATTATCAATGCGTGTGTTCAGAGCCACTGTACTATTGATCCATTCTTGTGTTGACCCCTTCTCGTGCCTGAAGATCTGCCCGCCCAACTCGGCTTGGAAATTTCTTGTTTCTGGTAGCTCGAGGAGTCCCCTGGTTTTCGTTCTTATTGTTTATTCTAATTCTCACCTCACTTACAGTGCATTGGGGCAACAACCCTCGACGAGTATCGGAAACACATAGAGAAGGATCCAGCCTTGGAAAGAAGATTTCAGCCCGTGAAAGTTCCTGAACCAACAGTTGATGAGACGATACTCATTCTGAAAGGATTGCGCGAACGATATGAGATCCACCACAAGCTTCGCTACACGGACGAAGCTTTAGTTGCTGCTGCACAGCTCTCCTACCAATATATCAGGTTTGTGATGACTTGGATTGGAAAAACGTACCATCTAGCAATACTTGACTTATTTCCCATTCTATTTTACCCAGCTGATTGAATATATAAAAAAAATTGAAAAGTCGGATCCTGCAAGGTAGAATTTTCAAACTAGTCCACGAATAGCATCCAAATTTATAGGAAAATCCACAGCGAGAAAAAGTAATTTCAGGTTATTAAGTTTATACAATCACTGTCCATTCCACTTTTTATCTTTTATTTCTTTGTCGGAAAAAAAAAAACAGCACTTTCTTAGAACGTCTTACCTCTGCCTCTTTGATGGTTCTTTCTTGCGTCCTGAAATTTACACACGTGGCCTCAGTGATCGGTTCCTCCCCGACAAAGCTATCGACTTGATTGACGAAGCTGGTTCTCGTGTTAGGCTTCGCCATGCCCAGGTCTGCTTTCTTCTTCCGGAGGTTTTCCCTTTCACTGGTGCCGCGGCTCGAGCTCACATAGATATGTATGCCCATTGTAGCTCCCCGAGGAAGCCAGGGAGCTTGATAAGGAGCTCCGGCAGATCACCAAGGAGAAAAACGAGGCTGTTCGAGGCCAGGACTTTGAAAAGGTACCTACCGCGCTGTCCCGATTTGTCGACTAACATTCTCTTATGCTCAAAATCTGATCGCCCCATCTTCAAGAACACAACTAGATCATTTTTCTGTGTAAATTGGTAGAAGATTGCAACCGCCTTGAATCCCGCTGCTGTGATCAACGTGTGCAGGCGGGGGAGCTACGCGACCGAGAGATGGAGCTGAAGGCTCAGATCTCTGCGCTGATCGACAAAGGCAAGGAAAGAACCAAGGCGGAAAGTGAGGCGGGAGAAGCCAGCCCCATCGTCACCGAGGCCGACATTCAACACATCGTCTCGTCCTGGACGGGAATCCCCGTGGAGAAGGTCTCCAGCGACGAATCCGACCGGCTCCTTAAGATGGAGGAGACTCTGCACACCCGCATCATCGGCCAGGACGAGGCCGTCAAGGCCATCAGCCGTGCCATCCGGCGGGCCCGCGTCGGCCTCAAGAACCCTAACCGCCCGATCGCCAGCTTCATCTTCTCCGGCCCGACGGGCGTGGGGAAGTCTGAATTGGCCAAGGCTCTGGCCGCCTACTACTTCGGCTCGGAGGAGGCGATGATCAGGCTCGACATGAGTGAGTTCATGGAGAGGCACACCGTCTCCAAGCTCATCGGGTCGCCGCCGGGATACGTCGGCTACACCGAGGGCGGCCAGTTGACCGAAGCCGTCCGCCGCCGGCCCTACACCGTCGTCCTCTTCGACGAGATCGAGAAGGCCCACCCGGATGTCTTCAACATGATGCTGCAGATCCTGGAAGACGGGAGGTTGACGGACAGCAAGGGCCGGACCGTTGACTTCAAGAACACCCTCCTGATCATGACCTCCAACGTGGGAAGCAGCGTGATCGAGAAGGGCGGCCGCAGGATCGGGTTTGACCTCGACTACGACGAGAAGGACAGCAGCTACAACCGCATCAAGAGCCTGGTCACCGAGGAGCTGAAGCAATACTTCCGCCCCGAGTTCCTGAACAGGCTCGACGAGATGATCGTCTTCCGGCAGCTGACCAAGCTGGAGGTGAAGCAGATCGCCGACATCATGCTGAAGGAGGTCTTTAACCGGCTGAAAACCAAGGAAATCGAGCTCCAGGTGACGGAGAGGTTCAAGGACCGCGTGGTGGATGAAGGCTACAACCCGAGCTACGGCGCGCGGCCGCTCCGGCGGGCCATCATGCGGCTTCTGGAGGACAGCATGGCGGAGAAGATGCTCGCCGGGGAGATTAAGGAGGGAGATTCCGTCATTGTAGATGTCGACGCCGACGGCAACGTCTCAGTCCTCAACGGCAGCAGCGGCGGCGGCGTACTTGAGGCGGCCGAACCAGTGATCCCCATCTGAGTAGGTACATCATCGTCATCATCATCATCATGTGCTGCGATCTCTCTCATTGATGTTATGGTCCATCCATTTAGGTGCTGCCAGTGTGGCTCCGAGCTTATTCTTCCTTAGGGCGGTGAGATGTGGGGTTTCAGCCTGGTGTATGATGGTAATGGTAGTATATATCGAGTCATGGCGGCGAATAGGGAGGATGCGCCGGCTGTCTGTGGAACGGAGATCTTGTACGAAAACTGTAAAAAGGAGGATGGTGATCTTACGTGATCCTCAGCTTGATCGATTAGTTGTTGAACCTATTAATTTCATTCTCTTCTTAGGTACTACTACTCTCTCTCTCTCTCTCTCTCTCTCTCTCTCCTCTCTCTCTCTCCCTCTCACACTCACTTGCCGTAAAATCTAGGAAGGGAAGAAGATGTCAGACTGGTTGCAGGCAATTGCTGAAGAAATCGCACAAGGACGCATGAGATAATCTCGATCAAGAAGAAAACCTTATATCACAGTTCACTCTTCTTCCTTGTCCCCTCTAACCTCGACCACCGTGTCAAAAGGTCTCCGGCAGGGGGTTGCCCCGGAGAAACGCCTGGAAGAGTACGAGCGATCTCTCCGGCTGCGAGAAGGGGGCTTCGTGGGAAGCTCCTCGGATGGTGGCGAAGGAGAGGGCGTTCCCGTACACTTGGGTCCATCCGCCGACCTGCTTCCCTTCGAACCAGACTCTGTACGGCACCGTCGTCTTCATCCCCAGCTCCTCCGCCAGCCTCTGAACCAGCGTCCGGCTTCCGGTCAACGGGATGACCGAGTCTTGATCGCCACTGCCGCGGAAGAGCAAGAAGATAATGAGAAAAGAAAATCCAGGGAGAAACCACCACGAAATCAAAGCTATCTTCTTATACCTGTAGACCAGCACGGGGATCCCTGCCCTGACGAGCGAGCCGACGACATTAATGGTGGGTATTTCCAAATTGAGAAAGTCGTACTCCAGTACACTGCGGCCACAGAAGGGGCATTACTTGGCGGGTAGGATGATCATTACAGAGGGAGAGTGGGAGGAAGAAAGATGACGCGCTTTACCTGCTGCAAACGCTCCACCTGCTAACTCCGTCGAGGCGGGCATGGAGGGCGCTCTGCACGTCCTTCCGATTCAGGTAGTTCACCGTCTCGTCCTCCACGCAGACGTCGATCCGCTCCGCCACTTGCTGTTCGGGGGAAGCAGCGGGAGAGAACTCGAGAGTGAGAACCCATTAGAGCGGCGGCGTCGCCGCCATTAGAGCGGAGGGAACCAGAAAGAGGAAACCCACCTGAGGAGCGAGGATCTTGGACTGGGAGAGGACGGAGGAGATGCAGACGTCGAGGGTGACGTCGTACTTGTCGACGAACCGGCTGGTCTCTCTCGTCACCTGTGTCATCACCCTGGAGCAGACTGGGGAGAGAGATCCCCGGTAGTACTCGCTCACGTAGCGGGAGTAGTTGCAGGCGGAGGAGAAAACCCTGTAAGTCGAGTCCGAGATGAGGCCATGAGACCAGAGGAACTCCGCTCTCGAGTTGAAGTCCGTGGCGAACTCAAGGACCGGGTTTCCCAGCTGCGGCGTCGAGAAAGAGAGAGAGAGAGAGAGAGAGGAGGAAATAATCAGAGGAGGAAGACTGAGTTGGGATAAATTTCGGAGGATTCTACTGAAACCTTAGACTTACGGCGATCCCCTTGAGGTTGAAGACGTTCCTCCTCTTGTTGAACTGGACCATCAGCTGGGCGAGCTGCGGGACGTAGTGGCCGGCGTAGCTTTCTCCCGCGATGAAGAGATCCCTGTCCTTGTATCGTGGAAACTTGGAGAACCATCGCCGGAGAAAAACCAGATTGTCCCTGGCTTCAAGTCGAAAACGCAGCAGCCATTATCAGAAAACAAGGAAAGCCCGGATAATGATGATGATGATGATAATCAACCCGAATTTGCGAAGAATCAGAATCCATTGAAAGAAGGCGGAGAGAATCATGGAGCACTACCAGTGAGCCTGTCGTCCACTCTCCCGTAGTACGAGTCGTCTGCAGAGTAGGAGAAGCCGACTCCGGCGGGGGACTCCAAATACAGCATGTTGGCCTCTGCAGAGCCATTGGAGAAGGAAAATGAAGATCAGATTCTTACCGCCCAACCCCACATTCATAGCTAAGTCGTCTTCCTCTCGTCTTCTTCCCTTTTTACCTCTGTTCCAACTGTACTCGTTCCTCACCAGCATCTGTCCGCTCGGCCTGAAAGGCCCGTTCTCGGAGAAGGCCCCCACTCCGACGGAGGAGCAACCGGGGCCTGCAAAAATGGAGAAACCCAGTCAAATCGAGACGTCGGGGCTTCAGAGATCACCACTCGCCGGAGGACGAGGGAGAGAGGGGGGGAGCTGGTGCGGCCGCATTACCTCCATTGAGCCAGAGGACCAGCGGCTTAGAGAGAGGGTCACCCTCCGCCTCCGCAAAGTAGTAGAACAGCGCCCTTTCCTTGCTCTCGTCCACGGTAATGTAGCCGGCGAACTGCCGGAATCCCACCGGCGGCTGCCCAGGAAGCTCGGAGATCATATCCGGGTGGGACGAGTGGTCGCCCCCCCCAGAAGAACAGTGCTGGAGAACGGCGGCGGCCATTGTCAACACCATCCACACCACAGAAGCCCTCATCTTCGCTCCCGCAGGGAGGAGCCGAACGGAGAGGAAGAAGAAGAAGAAGAAGACGACGGGGGTAGAAAGAGAAAGAGGGAGAGAGAGAGAGAAGGGGGGAGAGGAAGCAGACACCTCGGATATCTATCTATCTTCTCTCCTTATATTACGTCTTCTGTCGAACTTTTTAGAAGACCTTGTTGTCTACGGTCAACACACCGCCAGGTCCCCATACCGACAAGTCGTCACCTCTTGGCTACGGTCTGGATACGGACAAGTCTCCATACGTAGGCGGTCTCCAGAATCATTTATTTAATTAATTAATCTCTCTGAAAAAGAGAAAATATAAAATAAATAAGATGACCTATATAAAGTAGCTTTGTGCGTCCCACGTACCCTCCCCCCCCCCCTCTGGCCTGAGGGTTCTACAGCGGCGGTGGGCCCCCCAAACTAGCTGATCTCCAAGATCCTTCCCATCCCCACCGTCTGATCTAATCGTAATCATCCACTGGATTCGAGGAATCTTATGGATTGTGCTCGAGATTTTTTGGTTTTAACCTTAATAAAATCTTTGAGTGCGAAAACCCCCTGTAAAGGAAAATTTATGTAAAATTACCCTTGCTGTTGGATCTCCCTCCCCCGATGCCTTCCGTTAACTCCGGCACTGGTTTTTTATAGCTCTGATAGGATGAAACCTCTCTCTCTCTCTTCGCTGCTCTCAGGCATCGGGAGAAGACGAGGGTGCAGCGGACTGGAGCTGTCCTCTCAGCGCAGCTCTGACGTGGCTGGAGTTGCAGCGGCGGCCACCCCGAGTCGCCGGGTTATCGGCGATTGGCCCGAGGAGAGAGGAGGAGGGGACTTTGGTTTCTTAATTGGTTGTGGCCCACGTAATGCCAAGTTGGCGGAGGTATTCGACAAATCACTGGATCGGGACCCCACTCCATGCGGTTCAGCTGCTGGTGTGGGCCACAGAGGGCAGAGTTTATGCACTCTAAAGTTGCGATTTTGACGCGGCTGTGATCGATTTCATCGTTTCGCCGCTATGATTATGGGTCAATCTCTCTCGTTCCAAGTCTCTGTTCCCTCTCTACTTCGCTAGCTTGGGAAGGTGAGACGGGTGGTATGCGTCGATGGGGAGACTGTGGCAAAGCCGTGCCCTACTGTCTGATCTTGCCTCTGTCCGTCTAGTCTAATTTTCTTGCTCATCCTTTGGGTAGTACAGCTTCCGCCTTCCTCCGTTCAGTTATCAGCAGAAGGCATTTTTGAGGAAGGTCTCTTGTTTCGGAAGGGTGGGGGAGGGGCCCGAAAATCTGATCCAGGGCACACGTGATTCCTCGGGAAGTGAGACAGAAATATCCCAGTTAACCACGAGTACGACCATCCTCTCTTCAGCCAAGGAGAGAGAGGGAGACGGAGAGAGATAGAGAGAGAGAGAGAGAGAGAGAGCCATTTAGAAGATTAAACCATTTTTCACCCCGAAGGTCCATGAGTGGGCGTTGAAACCATTTTTCATATTCGGAGTGGATAGAGAGAGAGAGAGAGAGAGAAAGAGAGAGAGGAAGACCCATTTAGAAGATTAAACTTGACGATCACCTCGAACGCCCATGAGCGGGCGCTGATACCCTTTTTCATATTCGTAGTGGATAGATGGACAGATAGAGAGAGATTTGGCAGGATGAAGATGTCTGCCTGACGATTACCCGACGTAGTAGGCTTCGGGGTTCCGTTTTCACCAACTTGGCAAGGAGCCCTCCGAGCTCGGGTAGCTGTAGCCATGGAAATGGAATCGCGGCCACAGCGCTGACTGCCATCTAAGGGCGTCCCAGAACCCGAAATCCAAACGGGATCCTGGCTGACTCCTTTACAGAGAATACCATTATTACGATCTAGCAGGCTAGAGGACAAGCCACCCCCTGCATCAATTCGCGAGCATTGCCGATTACATCTTCTGTGATGCCGCTCCGTTTATTCTAACTCCAGCTCGAGTTCCTTCACCTGGAGGGAATGAAAGGGGAAGAAGGTCCGCAGGCCTTATTTCTCTGCCTGTCTGCGATGCTGCTCAAGGTGAACGGCCGCTCTTGTCTCCGTGCGGTCAGCATTATGTATCCTGACAGAGATGCCCACGATGACAGAGGTCGTCCCTACAAATGGTCTCACCACAGCTGGTGCCCATAGGGACGGGAGTCTCTGGGGGGAAGTTAGCCTCTGCAGATGATCCTCGTAGAGAGAAAGGGCAGGAAAGGAGAGAAGTAGGGAGGAGGAAGGAGCGTATATACCGCAAAGAAGTAGGTGATGGAGGGGTTCAGATGCTTAGCGGCAGGGGAGAGCTTCCCCAACGACCGCTGACCTTTCCTCTTCTTCGAATGGGAAACAGAGTTTTGGATTCTGCGAGTGTCGCCAGTAGAATCGACGCAGTATAATAACAGTGGAAAGTTAGGTAGATAGGTTGCTAGCTGGCTAGCTAGAGAGAGAGAGAGATTAAGGAGAGAACTGGGCTGGCCAAGGGAAGCAGTTCATCAGAGAGCCGGCAGGCGCCATGTGCACCAGGGCTTTTCGTTCTTTCGCCGTCCACAGAATTACTGTAGCATGGGGAAGTCTCCACTTTAAAGAGGCGGCGTGGCAGTCCACTTCAATGCCGAGGACTGATTTGAAGAACACTTGACCGCGGTTCTGGCTGAAGCCACCCGTCCCATCTCCCGTGCGGCGGCAGCCACCCTGATTCTCCCGCACAGGCCCCTCTCTCTACTTTCTTCCGTTCATTCCCCTCGTTTAATTTTCCGTGGGAGAGAGCAAGAGAGAGAGAGAGAGAGGGAAGGGGAGGGGAGAGGAGATGCGTAGGTCTCGCCCACGTCGTCTTCACCATCACGTACGTGCTATGTATGATTCAGTCTCGTGCTTATTTTTCACCACAAGAGGGCAACACGTGCTCAAGTTTTTTAAGTGACGATTACCGAGATACGATACCCATGCTTATTTTCCCATTAAAAAGCTTCTTTAATGGTGCATCTTTCGAAACGAGAACGATACTTGTCAAAGACAGCTCTCGTCAATAATTGGACAAGAACCCTAAAGTCAATGATTGAGCTATCATACGGCCCGCGGAATCGATAGATATTCTCTCGATGGCTATAATCTGCACCCAGTCCGCTCAATTGGTTCTCTCGCTCATGACCGTAGATTTTAACCTATGAAATGTGTGAAAAATCCTAGAGAGAGAGAGAGAGAGAGAGTGTCCCTGGTAACTCCGTGCAAGAAGAAACCTAAGAGAATATGAACACACGTATTCAACTTTTTTGCTTCTAAACTCGTCTTCGTTGTATATGAACACTCAAGAGGTCGCCATTAATCGTGGCCAAGATGATGCTTTCCATGGAGAGCTCTCAAATGAACGGGTATAAAAAACTGGATAACGAAGGATATTAGGGGGTTGGCGACATCATTTGGCTCGGCCATGCCCTTCGATCCTTTCGTTTTGGTCGTAACCTATTCGTCGGCATGCCGCTTAAAAGCCACATGCGTGCAGGCAGGGAGACAGAGAAAGGCTGCGGTGAACTCCCTCGTCTGCACAGGTGCTGGTGGGGGGCGTCATCCTGTCCCCTCCCGCCGGCAGGTCAAAACGGCAAGCTCTAGGTAGCTCTCATTCATGACCCCAACGAGGGGAAAAGGCTGAGAGAGTTGAAAAGGGCGTGCGGAGAGAGTGTTAACTGGACTCGTTGGACGAGCTTTCTTCCGCTTGAAGCTTCCCAAGCTTGCTTTGTTCAGAACTGATGAGAGAGAGAGAGAGAAGAGAAGCCCCGCCGAGAGTCGATGCGAAGACCTACTTTTTACTTCTGCATTCATGTGAGAGATAAAAGACGGAAGGGGAGACAGAGGGGGGTGGAGGCTCTAATTCACGCAAAGACACGATTTTTTTACGTTTCCTGTTTAAAATTACTGTCGCAGACCAGACCCAGCCCATACCCTGGGTGCAAAAAGGAGGGGGCCCTCACGTCATAGTGCCGAACAAGATCAGTAGTAAAAGAGAGAAAAGAGATGAGGAGGCCCCCGCTTACTCAGAGGAGAGACAAACGCGTGAAGAAGCGAGCCCGGGGCCATCGCCTGCACCACCTGGGAGCTGGCTCCTCCACACGCCATCAAAAGGCAACGCGGCGCACAGGCGCAAGAGCGAAGGAATAAAAGCGGTGCCGCCCGTGTGCTTGGATGCGGGCGCCGGCGCTGGGGAATCGTAATCAAACCGCCCGTCGACCTCGGCGACGAGGAATACCCATCTTTTCGTGCCGGAACGTCCGGCGTGGGGCTGCCGGCGATGACCGGGAGGTCGAGGACGGTTCCAGAGAGCCTTGCGGGGAACGCGAGGTCAGCCGGCCGAAGCTTTCGGCCCTTCTCCTTCCTCCGCCCATTTCGAGGGGGTTAGTCCACGCGATCACACACTACGTCTTCAGGGAGCTCCAAGGAGGCTATTTTCCTCGTTGCGGGGATATGACATAAAAACAAATTGATGCTTTTAACCATTTGATGTAAGATAATCTCGTTGTCTTGCTCATGAGAGGAGTCGTCCAAGAAGCTTATTTTCCTCATTGCTAGTAATCTTCGAACAATAAAACCAAGCTCAGGCCTTTGTTCACTCACTCGTATTTGCCGATGATTCTTCGATACGTATCTGCCTGCGTCTCGGGCAGGCGGATTTCAGGGTCTTCTTGGCTCCCACGAAGGAGAGGAGGAGGCATACGATGGAAACAAGACGACCTTTCCAAATAGAGAAAATGAATCGCCATGATTCTGTCCCGTCAGATGGTAATGATTCCGGGGGAGTGATCACGGGGGGCGGTGGGAAGGGACGAACTTGCCACGCGCCGATGGGAAGACGACGGCAGAGGTGGCGTGGGGGCCAACGGCCCGCCGGAGGACGGAATCGGCCGGGAAGCCCCAGCTTTTCTCCGGCGGTCCCGACGGACCCACCGGACCAGACCATATTTGATTTCCAACAGTACCGCCCACCGGGAACAGGAAGGTCGAGCCGGCTCGGAAGCCCCATTCCTCTCTCTCTCTCTCTCTCTCTCCCGCGTGCCGCTGCCCCTCGGCGCACTGTTCCGCGGCGCTTCGGGGCTCGATCAACGTTTGATGGATGGACTAGACTCTGCGCACTGTTTGCCCCCACTACATACGGGCCGGCAGCCTCGAAGCATCTAGGCTTCTATTCATCGTAGGGAGAGAGAGAGAGAGGGCCTCGAAGAGAAAATCTAAAGGGTAAGAGAGGGAGTGAGAGAAACGCAAGAGAAATTTCTCACAAGACGAAGAGGAAGCTGAGTCCTGTGATCTGACGACGAATGCACAGACAAAACTGAGAGCGGTGAGTCCCCAAGATGGTCGCTTTACGGAGACGGCGCTCGGTGCTCTGCGAAGCAATGAATCGTGGAGACGCACCGGGAGGGAGAGAGGGAGGGAGGGAGGGGGGGGGATCGAAGAGTTGACCGTTGACCAAGAGAACTAGAGTGGATTTCAGGGTTCCATGAATAAACAATCTGCGGCGACGGGGGATCATGATTATGTCTCTGAGTCTGCCGCTGGACTCTGAACGCCGACTGAAGATGGCTGGTCGATCTCCCTGCGCGAGGTGTCCCAAAGCTGCTGCTCGATCCCCAGCTGCCGAAGCTCGATCAGACCTCGCTCCACTGAAGGGGCAGGCCAGATAAGAGGCAAATATATATACATACATACGAATATTGTTTTAATAAAATATATCTGAGGATGGGCGGGTGGAGGGAGTTTTACCATCCACGGCGTCGTGAGAGGTTGGTGGCTGGCCGCTACGTGAGATCCAGAGTTGAAGCTGAGACTCCGCAATGTCCTCCTCTACGGCGTTGACCTTGGCTCTTCTCCAGAAGTACAGGAGCCACGCCTGGCAAGAGAAAGCTCTGGCATGTTTAGCCTCCTATGGAAAAAAATGGACTCGGCAGAATTCATGGTCAACCATGCGTCACCTCATGCAGGAGATTGGTTCTCGGTCCGGATTATTTGGAAGTAAAGATTTTTTTGCCATTTTCAAAAAGTAGAGAGAATACATAGCCAAGATTTTACCAATACAGCATTGCCAATAAGAGAAACTAGAGAGAGGAATTGCTGATTTCAGGAAAGAAGAAACTGACAACAGATAGTTTTACAGACTCAACCAGCTCAAGTGGCTAAGCGCGCAAAAACATCGCCATGGTAGTGAAAAATAATGGAAGTAACCGGAATTGGAATTACAAAGGAATAATATTGAACTATGGGTGTTTATATCAGCAGTGAATCAAGGACGAGACTATGCCAGAACTAAATATCAAACCTGCTTGAATGAGACGTCTTCTGCTTCCTCCTGGGTCAATTCTGTATCAAAGCACCAGTTCACCCAAACCTCAGAGAATACGGGAGGGGCAGAAACTGAGAGACTCGTCTCAAAATTATCCAAAATATAAGTCAAACAACGAAGAACAAGTTGAACTCTCTAGAACAGCAAGCTACAAAGCGATCTGGATAAAAGAACAGCTCGTCTTTTCTAGCCATGAGTAAATAACCGCTGGAATGTATTAAGCATGGCTGCATATCATTACCCAACGACTCCAAGATCCTGGGATCACCAGATGACTTGAGATCTGAAAAAAAAAGAAAAAAAAAAGAAAGAAAGCACCGGAAGTGTAAGTAGCCAGAAATATCTAATAAGGGGATCAAAAGGATATCTGGGGGGACTATCTGTAAATGGTAATAAAGAGACAGAGATTAAGTAAACAAGACCCTTCCGATTCAATATCGAGGAGTACTATCCGAAAATAATAAGCTTAGTAAGAACCCGAAGTTAACTGACGTGCTAAATTTGGACGCCGGTGCTGGGCTAGTGCAAGTAATACGGCGTCTTCAACCTTCATAAACAAAGCGCAAGGTAATCAAACGCCAACAGCAGGATGGAAGCAGAAGAGAAAAATAAAATGAGAGAAAATTCCGGCATTATTAATCTTCAGAAAAAAATGATATTCTGTATAAGCTATTATGAATAGAGATATCCCCAAATGAAAATGAATGAAATGAACTATGAAATGTAAATGAGAAGGAACCTTGAGTGAATACAATTCTCTTAAATCCATTTCCACTGAAAGCATACTCTCTATGCTGCTTTCTCCGGCTATATCTGTCAGATTGCGAGTAATCTTGTACTTTCTCTCAGAATCGTTAACTGTAAGACAAAAAAATGACAACACAGAGTAAAAGTCCTTCCAAAACGCAAGCTATAAGAAAGAGGGGAAAGGTAAAATGACTAGGAAAAGATAGCTGACCACGGTCCTGAGACTCTTCTTTTGCTCTTTGTCCGGCAGAAATAACTACTTCAAAGGGAAGCGGAGCTAATGACGACCAGTGCTCATATTTACACACTGCTATTTCAGGATAGATACCTAAAGGCACAGTTATGAGAAAAAGGAAATTAATCAGAATACATATCTGTAGGTGATCTGGCTCCCTTCAGTAGACATAAAGCAAATTAACTCGTGAAAGAATTTAGCTTAAAAAAATATGGTTTATGTCAACATTTAATTCCCATGATTTAGATCAAGACTAATGACGAGTTTCCATGTTTTTATGTGCATGTATACACTACACGTAGCATCACGTGTGCCTAAAATTTATATTACGATTGTATCCTGAACTTTTTCTGGCTACTTCTGTGAAAAATTAAGCTTCACATGATAGCGATATTAGCTCAGTATTTCATATGATTTAATTTCTCGATTCTTGACACTGACCAAAATTTAAATCATTTTTCCTACTTCAGCTAAAACATGGAACCGACGTACAAGCATGATTTTCATATTTTACAGGTCAACCAATCGCGCTCTTATAAACCGAAAACCATGAGAAGATTACCATGACGAACAGCTAATCCCCAATAACGAGCAAGCCAACACCTCTTGAGCACAACCTCCTCCTGAAAACCAAAGAACTTGGACATTGATTTTTCTAATTAAGCAAGTAACAGATTTCCCTTTAGTATTTTTGGTGTACCATTTCCTCCTGAGTCAATATCATTCTTTGAGTCATGGACCGAAGAGCTTTTGCTTCAGATTGTGCTTCATGGAGTTGTTCCATGGCATTGGCAACCTCATCTCTCGCAGACTGTTGGTTGAAAGAAGAAAGTCTAAGAAATCTAACTATACAGAAAATGACCTGATTTTAGCAACTCGGTGATAAAAGATACTATACTCTGGTGACATGCGTACCTCCGCTTCTAATCGAATCGATGCCATTTCCTCTTCTCTTCCTCCCATACTTTGTTCGACAACTCTAAGAGCAGCCTGAGAAGTGACACAGTTAACCTATGTAGGCACTTTGCTACTAGCACAACTTCAACAAAAAAGAGGTAACTTCAAACATTCGGAAAGCTTTTAATGAATAATTGGGAACTTTGTGATCGCTTAACGTTCACTTCATTTACAAGAAAATAAAATAAACATGATTTCATCCGTTTGACTACATTAAAATTTCATCAGAACTCTAATGAATCACATTTTTTGTCAATTTATATACTCTCCCAACAGACCTCTAACGCATACCTCCTATCCGCACATCTGTACTCTCCCAACAGAAACTACTTATATCCATTCAAATTTCAAGTAATAATCCTTCCAAGTGACTTTAAAAATACCAACTGACATTTCAAGTGGCATTCCATCGCAGAGCGGTCGATGGTTCTGACCTTAAGAAAACAGATCAAATGATATTTTCAGTATAATGGCATGGTCCAGTTTTCTTTCGTTTTACTGGTTTATGACTGTATTTCAATTATGAAACCAAAAGAAAACGCAAAGCAAAAGACTTCCACCCAGATTTTAAAATGGCCATAAGCCTACCCATAAAGTATGAGGAAGAAATTTCTCGTTTTTGTTTAATTAGACATATTCATGGAACTACGCAAACAAAAACAGACTGAAAAAGTTAAATCATTTTGACTTTGGGATGAATTTGACAAAAATTGAACAAAAGCAGCCAACTCACACCAAAACAGCAAACCTGTCACATGACAGAACCAGAACCACTTAGGGAAAAAAAATCAGACTCTTGCCGGTCAGCCATCTTAGGACTAGAGCCAATGTCAGGCTAAACGAGTTTCAAGTTGCCTTTTCAGTTTTAAGGCCAGAAGACCTACTAGAACCGATTTCTAAAGTTGAAAAACAATCAGTATAAAGATTGCACATAGTATCTAGAGATAATCCTCCAGTAGCAGCAGGAACTGTTCCTCTAACAGAAAGTTGAATGGTGCCCCAGGATTAGATACATCTTCTTGAATCTCTCCATTAAGGAAACAAAACGAGCATTCACTGACGTTGAACAGTGTGGTCAATAGCATTCGACTACCAAGGACGCCCTTCTATTCAATCCTTGTTGTAGCTCGAAAAGAGTGAATTGAAAACAGAATGCTTTTGGTAGAGGAAAAATCATCAGAACATGATCACTTTTTAGCATCCCTTGAGCTTCATAAATTTCATATCATCATGCGAGAATCACGCAAGGATGTACCAAATAGACTAGAACGCAAACAAAATTCATCCTACAAAAAGTTCAGTTCCATAGTTACCTCTCTTTGACGTATTGCTTCCTCTCTTCTGAAAATGTGCCATCATAATTGTCAAAATACAAGTATAAGAGAGAGATTTCTAAACTCTTAACTAGGAAAACACATTTACCTGCTAACTAGATGGGGATCTACGGTTATGCCCTCACCAAGAGTGGCAACCTGAACAGTGTAAAGCGCAGACAAAAAAAAATCATGGAGTTAAGGGAAACTATAAATAATGGAACGAAAAGACGCATGACATGACGTTTCGAAGACGATAACACCCGTAAATGATAACTAATGGGTGCAATGAATCGTGTTCCTACACCTCTTTGAACACAAATTGAATCACGTCCACAGATGAGAAAAAATATTCAAACACTGGGATAAACATATCCATATCACTTTGTGAGATTAGAGGAGGTGATCATATTCCATTCAGAAATATGTGCTTCCAGTCACTCCAATCCCTCTTGGAAACTCCAACATAGATCTAAATATGCACGATAAACGAAATATCTCCCTGACTTCATCTAGAAGGCATAAAATGACTCTTGGGAAACATTTAAATTTATAATGTTAACAAAGTGGGGAACTGAGACAATTTTTTTGGATTAAATTAGCAATCACTGGAATCTCATAGAAAGTTGAGATGTGCACTGTTTTCAATTCTTGAAGTATTAATTTCCACCAAAAAGTGTTTGTTACTAGACAGAGACAATTATGCCTTTTTATAAGGATTTACAAACAGACAAGGTTTTTGTTAGTAGACAGAGACAACTCCTGATGTACATCTTACATCATTAGACGATCTAAGCTCTTCAGTGCTGGTCCTACGCGGGAGGGTAAGGAATGAGTGAGGAACTATGTTCCAACAATGGATGATTTCATAAAAACAGATAAAAGCCCATTTGGGCCCGCCAAAAAAGGCTTATAATAAGGGAAATAGCATTCCCAGCTGATCTCAATCCCACTCCATATCATGATCAGGTTATTTTGACCCAACTCTGAGCATGACCCAGCTCAGGGAATCAACAGATTCCTATGCGGAATAAAATTGGCCCTTCTCAATTCAGTCTTGGAGAACCATTGCGGGAACACTCGCGATTTTAAGTCGTATCTTGCCACTCAGAACACGATGATATATGTCAGACATGATGTCTCCCATTCATTTATGTAGATATATTGATGTATTAAATCAGTACAGAGCTGCATCAATGATTCAGCGGCCAGATCATTTACTTTCTCTAAGTGCGACAAATATCTGTCAATCCAAGACAATGATTTCTGCATTCTACAGGATGATTGATATCCAAAGAATGAGACATGTACCATATGTATTGATATAAACAGTTCTCATTCATTGATCCATTTCACTTCTTGTTTTATCTTTTTCTCATAACATATTACATACACTTAGCCATCTTTCACTCGTGATCCGCCAAAAACAAGCATGCATAGCTCTAAAAAATATGTAGTTTAGTGATCTAAAAATTGGTGCAGGGAATCGCCAAGAACTAGCTCACTTCTCAGAAAGTAAACTTTATTCATCTCCAACATCTTTCAGAGATTCTGGAGGCGGGTAACATATTTTTCATTATCACTGCTTGGAATCTGTGGCGTGGCCATAATTTACAGATGCATCCAGAACAATTCTCATAAAGGATAAATAATAATAAACACTTATCATATAGGACATTTCTATTGATGCGTAATTGAAAGAGACATGTCGAGAGGAACATCCAGCTTCAGCATATGCTTCGACCACCTCAGACTTGTAATCCGTCGTGTTGGGCCTCCATTGTTCACTAGCCCCGGACAAATGACGTTTCTCGATAGCTCTTAACACTCAATATTCCATCCATAATCAAAATCCAAACTACATTCTCCTAAATAGCATATTTTCCCATCTGAATCTGCATGGTTATGGTGGAGAAAAGGAAATCGGGTTCATAATGAATACTTCTGTAGCTGGATTACAGCATGTATTTGAAAAAATATGTCCATTTTTTGCACTCTACAACCTATTCAGTTAAAGTAAAATATACAGAACTAAAATCAGACACTTATAGCAAACCTGTTTCTCAAGCTCCTGAGCCCTGGCCTCTGATTCCTTAAATCTGTTCTCTACAGCACGCAGCTGAGCATAAAATGGCAATTTACCCATTGGACATTACAATTTTACACATAAACACATAGATGATGATTCAAATGATGTAATGTAAGGCTACCTTGTCACGGAGTTCCTCATTGTCTTCCTGTAACATTTCAACCTGAAATTCCACCAGAATATCATTTTAAACATCATAAGTAGAAACACAAATACCGTTATTTTTCTTTATTCAATTATTCTACTGCCATAAAAATTATATTATAACTATACTTTCATCCCACTAAGTAAACGAAACTCAGTACCTCATCCTCAAGGGCAGAAGTCTCATGCTGATTTCCTGTTTGTCCAGAGTTCATATGCCCATGACCCAGATTGGCTGCAAACCTGTAATGTGCGTCAAATCCACTGGTTGCAAAGGAGAGAGATTCCGATTCTATAATAAACTTTCTCTCCGTCCATAAGCACATACAATTGCATGGAGAACAAAAAAGTGATAGATCCTAGATTTAAATATCTAGGTAGATGAATGATGGACACAAATAGACGGTGTTCACATATTTGTATCTTTGTCAAGCTAGAATACACAATCTTGAATCTACCACTTAAATCTTCTTATACATCTGGATATTTTGTAGAATGGTCCTTTTGATTTAATGTAAAAAATCAAACGAAGTTCACAGTGGGTAAAAAAAAAAGGCCGAATGGGAAAGCAAACAGTGTAATTATTTCTCGAAACATCATTCAATCCCTACGCAAAGTTATTAACTACTACAAAAGGTATTCAAAGAGAGGGATGAGATAAAGAAGAAAAATTAACTTGATCACATTATTTAAGTCATAATTTAAATTTAAAACTAAATGGATACAGCTAGCGAAAATGAGCAAGCTAGAAGCACCCATATGATTGACTGAGAATGGTAAACAGAAAAATGTTAATCGGCAGGACTTATCAAAGTCACGTGCTACACAAGTTGGAAAAATACATTAAAATAAAGCCATTTCCTCAGGGTTAATCTCACAGGGGCATCAAAAGAACCCTGAAAATGTTCAACTGCCTCAGAGCTCCCATCTATTGGTAATTAATAGTATTGATAATCAAATTGTGTTCAATTACCTTGTGTTGCGATGTCGGTTGACAGGAGGTTGGACTACTGGAACAGGAGTAGAAGTATTCAAAGATTCTCGACTTGGAGATCCAAGTGTTGTGGAGTGAGCAGAAACTCCTGCCCTTCCGGCCAATGGTGAGTGAGAAGATTGGGTAATGGCTACGAGGTTCTGAACAAACTAATTAAAGAAAGACAAAATCGTTAATCTTTGCTGCATATGAACAACACAATAGTGTCTTTCATCGTTTTACATCACTGGGTCATTATCCGATGTGACATCATGGAACCCTAAAAAATACAAAATTAATGGGCTACAGAGAAATGGAAAGATCCGCGTCAAGCAGAGGTATAACGTGTAAATCAGTGTTAGACAGCATCAAACGTGTGCGAACAAAGAACACTAATTGCAAAGCCACATATTCTTAACTAGAATTTAATGATGCAGGGAGAGACGTTGGTGATATAATTTTTGAAGCTTCCAATATACCCAGTACAAGGTGTCAAGTTGACGATAAATAGATACGGGAAAAGAAGTCATCAAATACAATGACAAAATCTGATCACGCGTCATATTCAAGCAGGATCTCTACGGTGCAGAGCTGGAGGTAGAAGTTGTTCATTGACCATAGCCCTCATACAAGAGAGATGATAAATGAATAAATAAATATCTCGAGAGAACGAGCAGAATCAGAAAACATCTTTCAAAACGTCTTAGATTCGGTGAAATCAAACTGAACAGGTAATCATCTATTCTATTTCTCAACCAATGAGAGAAAGATTTAGTGAGAATCACACAGGAAAAAGGTAACTCTAAATCAAGAACTCAGGAGAGATCTCTTGCGGATTATCCTCTAAAGTTAACGGCGTACATATACAGTATACAGAGTAAGACAAACGCTTTTAGCCCCCATTCAAAATATCTAACGAAAAGTATTCCAAGTTATTGCGCTTGTTTCTCGGAAACAGACACATAACTGAAGACGAGGAGACTTACCGCAGGAGAAGGAGATCGAGCCGAGCTCCCCAACACAGCAGCAGAATTGCCACCTCCATTAATGATCGAGAGTGGCATCGTAGCACCGTACCGGCGTCCGCCCTCGCTGCTGTACAGAAGATCGTCCTCGTCGCCTTCGTCGTCGTTATCGTCGGCAGTTTGAGTGGCCATGACCTGCGCCAGGCGAGCGGCAGCTGCCTTCGTGGCCACGTTCTGCGTCCTCCTTACGTTGGGCATGCCCGCAGTCCCTGAGGACGTCTGGTGATGCGCTGGGGTCATCATAGGAGATGACGTCCCCATGCTGCTTGAACTCATGTTCCTCTGATGTGAGTACGCCGGACTCCGTGCTCTCCTCCGATCCATCCTGACTATGCCGGCACAGAACTTCGAATTCTCTCCTGTGCGCGATCGAGAGAGAGATAGAGAGCAAGAGAGAGAGAGAGAGAGAGAGAGAGAGAGAGAGAGTCGTCAGAAGGCGGATCGATCGCGGGCGCTTCGTCAGGCCATCACCGGACGAGGGGACCTCCCGAATTCGACAAGAAGATCGGTGTAGCGGGAAGGGAGGCGACCCAGTCCGAGAGGGGATGCCATCAAAGTCCACGAGACAAGGAAGAGCGGGGAGGTATACGATATATTTAAACACGCCCTAAAAAATACGATATATTTCGATTTTTACCTGATATTTAGGATATCATTAAATAATCCATATTTTCCGGTATTAAATTAATTTTTTAAGAAAATATATATATAAACAGTCTCTGTATTTTTTTAAATCCGCAGAATCTAATAATTAATTAAAATATTTTTTAAAAAATAAATTGGCGTCTCCGGGGTTGCTTCTCTTGCAGGTATTTTTCTTATTTTTTCCATTTAAAACTTTTTTTTTAAAAAAAAAGGGAACGTGGCGAGGTTCCTTGCTACGGTTGGGACTATATCTGCGGAGTCGCTATATATATCGATGCATGGATCGTGAGGGAGGTGGCTGAAAACTGGCATTGAATCTGAGTTTTCGACGGAGGAGGAGATCACTGCACTGCGGAGAGACCCCGTGAATGGTGGCGGTCTGTTCTGCGATCAGGAAGGGGCGTTTCTGCTTCTCGTCGTCGTCGTCGTCTTCCGCCGGAACCCTAGCCGTCCACTTCGATCGCCTGGTGGACAGGAGCTCTGTCTCCTCCTGGAACTCCATCATCTCCGACCTCGCGCGCGATGGCGACTCGGCCGATGCCCTCCGAGCGTTCTCGTGGATGCGGAGGCTGTCCATTACTCCCGACCGATCCACCTTCCCCTGCGCGCTCAAGTCGTGCGGCTCCCTCGCGAGGCTCTGGCCTGGCCGGCAGGTGCATCTCCAGGCGTTCCTGCTCGGTCTCCATCCCGATCTGTTCGTCGCCTCCTCCCTCATCGACATGTACTCCAAGTGCGCGGAGCTGGTTGACGCACGGAGGGTGTTCGACGAGACGCCTCTTCCTAACGCGGTCGTCTGGACGTCCATGATCGTCGGGTTCGTCGTCAACAGCAGGCCTCGGGAGGCGCTGACGCTGTTTAAGGAGTCGTTGGTCGCAGCGGGAGCTGAGGAGAGGGATGAGACGATTGATTCCGTCTCGGCCGTCGCCGCCTTGTCGGCGTGTTCTAGAATGTCGGAGAGGAGGATCACCAGCGGGATCCACGGGCTTCTGGTGAGACTAGGGTTGGCTGCCGACGTCGGTGTTGGGAATACCCTTATTGATGCATATGCAAAGTGCGGAGATCTGCATCTGTCCAGACAGGTCTTCGAGGGGATGGATGTGAGGGACGCCATCTCGTGGAACTCGTTAATTTCAGTGTACGCACAGAATGGACTATCGCCAGAGGCAATGGATGCCTTCTCAGATATGTTCAATCGAGGCAGTGTCGATCACAACGAGATGACCCTGTCTGCAGTTCTGCTTGCCTGTGCACAAGCAGGCACGCTTCAGTTCGGCCGGTGCATCCACAGTCAGGTGAGTAATTCTGGCGTTCATTTTATAATTCCAGACAGAAATTAATCGCTTTTTGGGGATCAACTCGTTTGGTAGGGGACGTTTTTATTCTTGAAAGAAATTTAGCAATTTATCAAACATACTGTGCCAAAAAATGGCCACAGAACGTGACTTTGGAGTCCTCTCCTCCATACCGTACCCTTTTCGAACGTTACTATCCTGATTCCTTCTCATTCAACTACACTCGATGATGAATTTCTCTGTCTGAAGATGTTCTCAGCCAAAAAAAAAGTTCCCCACAAATAATGTGACTTTCAGGTTGTAAGAATGGGCCTGGAGAACGACATCTACGTCGGCACGTCTCTTGTTGACATGTACGCCAAGTGTGGGCAAGTTGTGATGGCGAGGCAAGCATTTGACCTCATGAAGAACAGGAACATCAAATCTTGGACTGCCATGATTGCAGGCTACGGCATGCACGGCCGTGGGCAGGAAGCCATGGAGGTCTTCACCCATATGAGGAGGTCCAGCTTGAAGCCGAATCGCATAACCTTCATCTCCGTGCTCGCAGCCTGTAGCCATGCCGGGCTCGTGGACGAAGGCCGGCACTGGTTCAACGCCATGAAGAAAGAATACGACATCGATCCTGGGCTTGAGCACTATGCCTGCATGGTTGACCTCCTGGGTCGAGCCGGGCACCTGAAGGAGGCCCATGGATTGATCACTGGCATGAAGCTGAGGCCAGACTCTGTGGTATGGGGCGCTCTACTTGCCGCCTGCAGGATCCACAAAGACATCGAACTGGGGGAGCTCTCTGCAAAGAAACTGTTCGAGCTGGAACCGAGGAATTGTGGGTATTACGTGCTGCTGTCGAATATCTACGCCAGTGCTGGACTGTGGAACGATGCGAAGAAGATGAGGGCTCAGATCAAGAGCAGAGGGCTGGTGAAGCCCCCCGGATACAGCTCAGTGGAGCTCAGAGGCAAGGTCCATGTGTTTCTGGTGGGGGACAAGGAGCACCCCGATCATGAAGAGACTTACAGGTATTTGGCGGTGCTTGCGGTGAAGATGCGGGCGGCCGGCTATGTCCCCGACACAGGGTCCGTTCTCCATGACGTTGACCAAGAGGAGAAGGAGGCCGTGCTGGGCGTCCATAGCGAAAAATTGGCGGTTGGATTTGGGATTATTAACACGGCCCCGGGGACGGCAATCCGAGTGATTAAGAACTTGCGGATATGCGGGGACTGCCACACGGTGATCAAACTCGTGTCCGAGATCGAGGGCAGGGAAGTCGTCGTCAGAGACTCGAATCGCTTCCACCATTTCAGCAATGGGCAGTGCTCTTGCGGGGATTACTGGTGACCGGCTGGCTCAAAGGGGGATGATCTCGTCTGCATCGATGGTGGCTTGGTCTTGTGGATGGTTCATGGCGATGCTCGCGTGTTTGCTCAGTGGGCCTGAAGTCCAGCAGAGTCTCTGATTCTCGCCGTCAGATCGTTGTAAGTCTTCTCTACCTGTCATCTATTTATGAACTCTCTTTTCTTCTTCACGGGGTAATGGTGGTGAAAAAATACGTCGATAATGGTAAAAGCTTGATATTTATGAATTGGGTGATTTATGTCCGGTCGTTCTCTGTTTTAATATCGGAAATGAGGGAGCTTTACAACACACCGTAGATGTCTGATAATGATACTTTTCCCTTTTGCGGGGGTACTACCCATCTGTCCACTGATTTCCTTCAGAGCAGCCATCATCATGAGACGGATCCCAAATAAGAACTAGAAGTTTGGTCAACACCCAGAAGACTACTAGAAACAGCCTAGAAAAAGGTTTAGCTTGTTCACTGGAAAGGTTCTTGCTGGTCGGGTCTGCTTAGGAAGAATCCATGCCTATAAATCAACGCCGTCGGAGGCAGAGGTCAACGGGGAGGAGCCAAGAAATCCCACGGTGGATATTTTGTTCCTGTTCCACTTGGGCAGAGTGACACCAGTTTTAGTTTTTAAGCATCCTTTCAGCGTGTTCATGTGTCATAATGACACCTTCCCTTCTTTTTTCCTCATAGGGAAACAGAACAGGGCAGGTTGGTAATTTTTCTGTAGTTAGCTTCATTGGGGTAGTCAAAACCAGACCTGTAATATGATGAATAACTAGGAGCGGTATCATCTACCTCCAGTTTCTCCACGTGGGGTGGTGTTCTCGGTGATGGCCGCGGGTAGGGGGAGATGTTCTCGTCAGATCCCCTCGGGAGAACCGGTTAAGTTAGTATGAGGTGGTCGGGCGTGAGGTTTTAAGAGAGTTTCTTAGATCAGCTGTGGTTTGGTTTGATGGCAAAATCGTGCTCCTTGGCTCGCCGGTACAGCAAGGCCGAAGCTTCAACCCTGTCACAAAGAGAGGCTGGGTAAGTCAACGATGGATGAGAAAGAGGACTAGAAGGAGAGAAAGAAAGAAAGAGAGAAATCATCGGATATGCAGGCGGCATTCAGCTGCGTAAATCTGAGTAATCATCTCTCACCAGCCGGGATGAACAACAAATCTCCCCTTTGACAGAGCCCAGTTGACCTAGAAATCCAGGGTTTAGTCTCCAAAACTGATAGCCATGTTAATGAGCAAAGGCCTCCACCATCGGGTACCTTATCGGTTCCAGGGGCATTGGCGACCACGTGGGTAACCTGATCATCGATCTGGTTACTGCAAGCCGCACCGAATTGTTCGGCCATCTGCCATAGAGGGTGCAGATGGGGGTTGACCTCCCCGATTGGGAAGATCCTGCTGAAGACTACACAGCAACCAGCTAAGATCTTCCTCTGCTCTGAAGCGAGAAGAGTCCTCGTGTCTATCTTACTAAGGCAATGGTGTGAGAAGAAAATCTGGTGGATTCTCCCTATAACCTGTTCCAAAGAATAGTCAGAGGTTAGACCATTGAAAGGAGGATACGTTGCTTGAGGTTCTCAGGAGGGAGTCTGCACCGCTAGTGCAGATGCAAGAGTGCCATCCTCCGGTCTTTCATCACGATCAATCTCAAGAAGGGAAGGCCCGAGAAGTCCGAATCGGCGCCGGCTATTGGGAAAATAAGTATACCTGCAACAGATGGAAAACAAAAATCAAGATATTAATTAGACACAGACTATGAGGCAGATGATCTATTAGGTCATGAGACAATGAGGAGTGAGTACCTTTCCACAACAATCAAGTTCAGCTTATGATGCGGCCAGACACGAGCAGAATCGTCGATCACCACCACTGCTGATTCCATGCCCAGAACACCGTCAAGGTCCTTGCTCTTGGGCGCCCTCTCATCGCCGTCAAAGCCATCACCATCACCGCCCTTTGAGATGACCCGTCCAGCAAACAATTGCCCAGTTGGGTCCAGGACCTTGGCCATCTCCGTAGCATATAACTTGTTCCCCATTGTGTACAGGTGGAGTTCATAGAGCTTGCTTGCCTATAGAGAGGACATCGGCAAAGCACTGTCATCATCTTAGGAAAAGTATATTCAGAGTTGAAGTAATTCACCTACCTTCTCAAGAAAATTCCATATCCCCGGCCTTAGCTTTGTCCACATTCCCATGTGTGGGAGCCGGAATAGATGTCTCAGAGGTCTCTCCTGATCTTGCTCTTCCCTTTTCCTCAAAATATCTTCATGAATTGAGTCTATCTCTAAGAACTGAAACCAGCAGTGGAGATAGTTTCAGCTCAGATATCAGATGGGGACGAAAGAATGAATTTAGGCGGTTTTCTCCCTTACCTTTGCAGAATTTAGAAGAGTGTGATCTAAATCCAAAACAAGGCATAGCTTCCTGGCAGCAAACATTTTATTCTGCTCTTCAATCCTTCTCGTCCTTTCCATCTGAATGGTGGTCCTCTCTTGATCGTCATAACCATCTAGCAAATGATCCACATCCCCCCATGAAGGGCATGACTGTGGCTTCCGCGTTTCATGTGCCATAGCTGATGTGCTCGGTTGAGAGCTAGTAGTGATGTCTTCCCCCCCAGTGAGTACAGGCTGGGGAACATTCTGAGAAGGTAATGCGGTTTGACCAGAAACTTGTGGAGTAGAAGCACCGTTAGCAATGTTCTTAAGATTTTTATCAAACTGCTTTGCAATATCAGCGAGGGAGGTTGACTGAGAAGGAGACGAGGCTCCCAGTGACTGCCCCCCTTGTTCTTTTGTTGTTAAGGATTCCTTACTCTGAGTGTTTATGGAATGACCCCCGTTGACTTCACCCTTCTGCAATCTATAACAATGAAGAATTCGACGAGGATCACGGGGCTTCATTCGTATGCTCCCATCATTGGTTTGATTCTGAAAATGAAGCTGAAACAAAAAATCAGTGTTCGCCACATTTAAGTCAAACAAGACTAATTGGGAACTATATGGTGTTTTCATTAACTGATGTTGGAGTTAGCTGATATGATGGATGGAATGGGTAGACGATAGCCTTGTGCAGGTGCTTTCAAGACTCTCTGGTGTCTATGAGCTTTAGACGCGGGGGGATGCTTTGTTGGGTGTGGAGTGAGTGGTAGCAGTTAAATGATAAAGTCCAATCAGGGCATTCAAATCCCTACAACCCACAAATATTTTTCTAGTTAAATAAAATTAGGCATACCGTAGGAACTCTTGATGCCAAAACATTGACTGACAATTCCGTTTCACGTGATCTACTCGTGGTGAACGATTGCATTGTTACTGGAGGCAAACTAGCAACCTTCTGCTTAGCCTCAGCAGCTAATCTCTGCTGCTGCTCCATTAGCTGCATAAGCATTGTCGGGTTTACAGCCATGTCCTTCAATAGAACAGGCAGAAAAAGAACAGGTCGATTACTTCTTGACGGTGCACGCTCATTTCTAACATTTTCTGTCGAATTCATGATCTGCCCTCCAGCAATATCAGCTAGTCCTATTTCTGGTTTTCCACGGACAGTTTCCCCGTCTTCTATTGCCTGCTTACTATTACTGGGTTGATCCACCAAAACGTTATTATCCACTATCCAACCACCCTTCCCTGATTCTCTCGACTTTGATAAATCATTTCTCCGCCTCTTCAACGCATGATTTTCGGCAACCAACTCATCAGCCACTCTAACCTTGCTAGAGTTTTCTGTGGGCACTGCAGTAAATCCATTCCTACCGGCACTGTTAACACAGGACACAGTTTGTTTACCGCAATCAAGGCCACTAGATGTTTCCAGGTTAACCAACCTAAGCCCGGGATCTCTTCTCTGGGCCAATGATTTCACAATCGGTTTCATTCCTCTACCCTGACCAAGCTCAATCGTTCTGACCAAGCTCTGCCCCTGTCCGCCCTGGCTGTCTGCATTAGCAAAGCTGGAGCCAGAAACAACATGTGGACATGGTGCACATGAAGATGAGGATCTGGCAGCGCTGGGATTTGAACTAGAAACTTCTCCTTGAGAGTCTGCGGCATCATCTCTGCCCTCCTCCGATGGAGTTGGACTCGGGAGCTCATTGCCAGATGGAAGAAAAGAAGGATGAAAGTATTTCTCCTGGTAACTAGTGACTGTGATGCCATCTTGTCCACAGGTGTGCACCACGGCATCTCTGGTTTGATCTAGCTCCCTTGCAGGACCTGAAATGTGGGTAGCCTTCAGGTATGATGAAGATGGAATATTCTCACGAGTGGGTGAAGGCAGGCTATCCTCGTCATGGTCTACAAGGGGGTCCAACAACAGACGACAGTCCACTCTGGTTTGGGGGTATAAATATAGCTCCAACTTTGGCGATCTTGTGACAAAATGATCATCGTTCCTTTGACAGTCGTTAGTATTGGGTAGTAATGATGTTGACTTCAACTGAGAATTGCCGTCTATTTCTTTTTCAACAGCATCAAGCACCACAGACTGAATCATCTCATTAATCTGTCACAGATGAAGACAAAAGGTTGACTTTAATGCATCCCTCAAAGCAGGGATAATCCCAAACAATCCAACAGGGTCAAAGGAAGAACCTTCTCCATCTGACCATCTGTGAAGAGATCTGAGATTTGGTTCTTTACCCAAGAAAGCAACCTAAAAGTCAACAGGAAAAGAAAAAAAAAGAAGAAGAGTCAAAGGATAAAAACATAGGAAAGCAGTTTTAAAGGTTAATGAAGAAAGAAGAAGGACCTGGCCAGCGGATCCTTTTCCTGATCCTTTTTCTTCATCGAAGCCTGTCATCAGCTTGGAAACTTGGATCAGAAACTGCAGTGACATAGCAACAAATAATAATTCAAATAATTTGAAGTCGTCTTACAGAGTGAACAGCTTGAATGCCCGCAACTGCCTGCTGCAACAGAGAATCCAATACGGGAAGGTGGTTCCTTGACATCATCCTCTGCAAATTGTTGAAGATCTTCTGCAGCCGCGAGCAACAACTATGCAATGATCTGCACAAGCAAACAGCAGCCAGCTACTCGTTAGTTTACCATAATTCCATAGTCTGTGGCACCCTCAAGTAGGTCAGAAGCTTACTTTTCTGGATCTTCCTCTGATACCATCTCTAGCTCTTCAAGAACTGAAGCGACCTGCGTATCGATATCCTCAGCAAGCTCTGTTTCGCCATCTTCTTCTGAAGGTAGGGATAGCACCTTTTCATCAGTTATGTCTGATACGCAACTAGCAACCTCGTCAACGACCTCCTTCTCCCCTTCCTCCAACTCTCCCTCCTCTTTCTCCATCGGCCCATTGGACTCGCCGCTGTCAACAACGTAGCAGGCTTGCTGCCTCACCGAAGCACGGCGGACTTTCACCTCTGGCGTCCCCTTCTCAGGTATGAAGGTGGCGCGCGGTTTGTTCTGGACCGCCCGCGCCCAAGCGAAGTTGTAAAGATTGGAGGCGTAGTTCCTCTGAAGGATGGAGTACTGTTGCTCGTCCCCCATCCGGCTCCTTCTAGACCTGACCGACGGACGTCTGGGGGACTTCTGACGCTTGAAATCCTCCTCGGAGATCTCCTCCACTGAATCCGACGATATCTCGCCCTCTACCGCGAGGGGCATGGTTCCCTGCGTGGCCACGCGAGCTCCTAGCGTCTCATTCTCTAGGGTTTCTACAGGTAACCGGTGCGAAACAGCGACGCGCATATAGGGATGCAGACAGGAAGAAAACACCGCCAACGTCGCACATCCGCCTTCCTTACCACACTGAACTCTTCTAAAGGCTCGGCAGGCTCTCTGTGCAGATGAGAAGGCCCGGGGGTGCCCAAGAAGGTGAAATCAGGTCACGAATCATCTTCTCTCCGGCAACGGAGATTCAACAACTGGAGTGCAAACTTCCCTTCGAGGAGCGCGGGAGGGAGCGAGCGCCCGTTCCCCGCGTAACCAGGTTCCGTTCTCGAGGGCCAGAGATTGGGAGAAAACCCGCGGACCAGGGAAGGTCGCGCCCGTCGGATCTCCCTCGCCGAAAGGCAGCGCAGACACGGGAGGGAGGGAGGAAGAAGGAGAACATATGAAGAGAGAGAGAGAGAGAGAGAGAGAGAGAGAGAGAGGAGCGGGGAATGGAAGGCCTCGTGATCCAAAGGAATGGGGGCTCCTGGGGACACGTGGCGGCCTCAGCGGCGCCGCCGCGGTCGGCCACACCTGTGTCATTCGCATTCAGGACTGTTCCGTTACGGATCATCCCGATCGGTTCTGGACCGGATCCGGATTTGTTCCGATTGGTTCTCTTCAACGCCTGAGAAAACATCCCGAGATGAAATTATACACTTACACCTATTTTAATAGAGAGAGAGAAAAGGAAATCCAAGACCCAGACTTTCTATAAGCAGTTAAGAGAGAGAGGGAGAGAGAGAGAGAGAGAATATGTAGGAAATCTAAGGCCCAGCCTACAACATGCAGTTGAGAGAGAGAGTGGAAGAGAGAGAGAGAGAGAGAGAGAATGTAAAAACCCAAGACCCGGCCTTCTATATGCAGTTGAGAGAGAGAATGTGAGAAACCCAAGACCCGGCCTTCTATATACAGTTGGAGAGAGAGGGGAAGAGAAACAGAGAGCGAGAGAGAGTGAGAAACCCAAGACCCGGCCTTAAAGGGTCCCCGGGAATCTCTTCCAGTGAAGCATCTCCTTTAGCAAAAAGGCCGGCGGGAATGGATTCCCCAACAGCGGCTTGGCCTGAAAGGAAAGGCCTCGAAGGGAGAGACCGGCAGTCTAGCGAGAGAGAGAAAGAGAGATGAAGTTCTTGTTCCAGTGCCCGTGCTGCTCCTGCTTCTGCTTCATGAGGGGCAAGCTGAAGAAGCCCAAGAAGAAGGCCGCCGAGGGAGACTGAGCTCGAATGCACCGACGGAGTGAGTGCCGTCGTCAGAGTAAATAAGCCGTGAAGCCATGGGTTGAGGGTTTTTTCTCTTAGAATAATGTCATGATCTCCTAATCCTCCTTTCCTTCTGCATCGTTCTCCAGCGAGATGCCCAGTTCCTCCATTTGTTTTTCGACCGAGACGAGACCCGTCTGGGCGAGGAAGCTGCAGGGAATACACCATCAATGCGTCTGTGTAAGCAACATGTTTGGCAGTGATTTCATTGCAAAAACTGTGTTTCTTGTGATGTGTTCTAGATCCATCTCTGGAGATAATTAAGTTCTAAACGGAGGTGTTCAAATCTTCTTTTAAAACTGCTGCAAATCGAAGAAAAGTTCAGACGGTTGTTCATGATATATATTTCCATTGGTTCTGCATTTCCTGAGCAAATTCTAGCTACGAATTCTCTTCAACGCTAGAAAGCCCGCAAATATCTGGTTTGATCGTATTTCTCCTGGGTAAGTTTTCTGAAGAAATTCTCAAGAACACAAGAACACCTGCATAGAGCTTGGATGGTAAGATCTGCTGAAGTTGCAGCTTTTACGCAACTAGATCAGAAGAGTCATCAGAAGACTTCCAGATAAGTCAACTTCCAGTTGCAGTTTTTGGCTGATTATATTAAAATTATAATATAATTGTGTTAAATTAGCTAAATTATCCTGCCAGACTATTCTGGCAGGCGGAAAATTGGAAATAATATAGCCCCATGAAAAAAGTGCAAATAATATATCAAGGGAGACCAGCCATTCACCCATAATAGGAATAATAGAGGTAAGAAAACTCGTGGCCAGAAATATATCAGCAATGAATTCATGGTAGTGGAAGATAAAACTAACATGTCGATATACAGTAGATTCGAATCCAGGTAATCTCTCTAAGCCAATACTAAAAGGGGAAAAACAAAAAGGGCAAAATGAGAAGTTCATTGAAGAGGCTGCTCTTCACGCAACCAACCGTGTGATGTCCTCTCAGGTGAGAGTTCTTGAACTGCCTAGAACGTTCTTCCTTGGAGGAATCTTCTGATCCAAACCCCAATCTAAGAAACTGGTAGGTGCTTCTATGAATCGTAGTACTTGCGTTGGACATGGTCAATGGGGGTCCGAAAACACATTGTCATTACTTACATCAGATATGGTCGATTGGTGTAGAGCATGAGACACTGGGAAGCAAACCGAATATTTTATTTTATTTTTAAAAAGAAAGAATTAAATTATGTTTGCTAAACAATAATGCAGTTAATAATCGTCGATTTCTAATTTTTTGCATACATCCAAGAAAAGGCTGATATATAAGTCTAGAGAAACAGCTACCTCATGGACTCGATTTCCACAGTCGTTCTTCTTTTTCGATCCAATGGTTTTTCCTCCTTTGAAACGTATTTTGAGTATAGGACCTTTCTATTACGCAATATAAATTTTATTGAGTCATGAGAGATCTTGGGAATGCTGAGATACAATGAATGGTCCTGAACCCCTCAAGACTATTTGAAATGGGCAGGTTGTATGGCTACCGCATGACTCTTTTACTTGCCACTGGCAACCGGCTAGAGGTAATGAGAAAACTGTAAAAGCATGAGTTCTTCTACTCCATGTGAGACGCATATCCAGCTCTTTGAAAGAGGAAACAATAAACCCAAAGGTTTTTTCTTTTTGGATGCCCAGGAAACGAATATATAAGTGAAAAATATCACAGTTAGTCTATTAAGGGAATGGAACAAATATAATGAGTAAAAATAATGGGAACACTGACCTATTAAGGAGCACGAAAAGAACCCCACTTATGATGATAAGCAGCAGAACATGGCCAACAATCATAACATCAGTTGACAAGAATGCCAGAGCAAGCATGGCCGCCAGACTGAGGCCTAGCAACAGAAATACAATCTTAAGTGCAGACCATGTGGGACCCTGAGAAATGAGACAGAATCAGACACCTTTTAATAGAATAAAACGGTAAAAATATTAAATAAGGATATGATTTTATTCAACTGTGTTTTAAAAAATAAAAATGAAGCAACCAAGAAGGCATACGAACATTGACACCCGATGACAGTGCTCCTAGCAACACAGCTTTCGAGGATGACACATCTGCAGAAGTTTTCGAATCCATTGAGTAGCCTTCTGTTGCAAAATGAACAAAACAATGCAAGCATCAGATGCAAAAAAAATAGAAACGCATTCATACTGTCACTTGTGGAGACGAAACGAAGATGATTGTGATTGAGTTTTACTTATTTCATTTACATAATGTACCGGGATGAGATTTTTCCACGTAAGTGGTATATGAATAAACCATAGCTATTGGTACATCCATCCAAAAATATTCCGACCACAAACCGCCACACAGTGCATAGCAACATCAAAAAACTTAGTATCTAGAAGTACGGTACCTGATAGTTAATAGTTCAATATTTTGAGGTAATTTTATCTATACTAAAGAACTCTTCTCGTATAATATCTCAATTTATGGCTTGAGCATAGAAATTCCTGGAATATTACAACTACATTCTAACTGGCTAGACAAAATTGAAAAGGAAAAGGAATGGTTCCATCAAGTACTCTCGTCCTTCAAGATCCCATTCACTACTCACCTTCCTCTCTCTCTCTCTCTCTCTCTCTCTCCCTCTCTCTCTCTCTCTCTCTTCTTATCACATAACTTACTCATCCCTCCCCCATCACTCCCTCCCTCAGTCAGTCATTCTATCACGGATCTTTTCTTCTTCACCTTCCTATTTTATGAAGCTGTTGTCGAGTGTTACTCGTATACCTTTGATTAGTCTCTTTCAAGACGTTGCCTGTCTCTCATTTGTTTTCATAATTTGTACATAATTTGTTTAAGTACTGCATTGATTAGGTATCCTGCAACCAGATTTCTGGCGTAATTTTTCAATCGACTCTTCTGCATCACATCAACTTTTCGATCTTGCATCTAAAATGTTATTGGTTAACGAAATTAAACCTTTCTGACACAAGGTCAAGTGCCAGATATGCTCCGTTGAATAATAAAAGGAAAAATAAGGACATGGAATTTGATATCCTGCACGAAAATTAGGGGAATCGGCTCAAAGGCCAGACGTGACCTTTCAAGAAGCCATTTTCTGTGTCGATCTCAGCCGGAGATCTGAGTTTACTCTTTCAGTGTAATCGACCTAGAAACTGATTAAAAACTCAGAAAAACATAGGAAAAAAACTGAATAGTTAACTCAAAACTCAGACAGCCACAGATTCCTGTCGACATGTACCAAGTTGTTTCCAGTACAGATAAACACTCTGCTTTGTTTTTGGATCGATATAGGAAGAACTACCTTCCATCATCAATCCTTGTCAAGTTACTTAAAAGGAAAATACCCTCCTTTGTTTCCTTATGCACCAAGAACCATGAAGTATTAAATATGTGATAAGAAAATCCGGTCGAAGCATGAAAATTCAAATTTATCCATTTAATTACGGAGCAGATATATGTTAACTCTCTCTGAAATCCTAGCCGAGTGTTTTCCAGCAGAAAAAAAGTTTGGATCAATTTTGGAATTATTCACAATCCAGAGGTGACATTTTATCATGCAAGTATCACCTGGGATCTAGATATTACAGCCACATTTTTGAAGAAAATCTGGCGCAGGGCAGTGTGGCATGAAGCAGAAAGCAAAATTTTCACTTGTAAAGATACTTTTGGGATCCAAAACCTTATAGAAATCCTCAGGCATACTTGCTGATTCTAATCATCAATATCAAGGTACTTAAAAAAATGGGGTACGATTCATATTTCGTACACAGAAACACTATTGTCATTCAAAATCATGGAGGCACATCTCATAGACTTGCTAAATCTATTTAAGCAGAAAAAAAAATAATACATACGAAATTCTCAAACAGTTTTTTTTCAATGTTTAGCTGAATTGTTTTAAAAGATTCCGATCAGATCCTCTATCTGATAAATAATACTCACTAGATCTCAATATTTTCAAAATCTAAGATATTCAAATGTCTACCATCTATCCTTATCAATGCAAGTTTTGTATTGAGAAATGCGAATCTAAACAGAAAATGGATTTATGAAGAAAATGCAAGCGGCTATAAAATATAAAATGCATAAAGTTGCAACGATCTGGTGGCATGCAGTTTGAAATGACTATACTATTTCCAGCCTGTTGACTACTCATTTGTCATTAGCTACGCATTATCCTCTCATCTATCGTTAATTCATAGTAGGGTTCTTTAAAAACCAAAGAAGGCCAATTCCGGGGCCTGGCACATTCAACAGGAAAAGTGAAACTCGAATTTTGAGCATCAATCAGGGTAAATGTGCATTATGGAGGTTCTTTATGTAGTTTTCTCCACAAGTGATCATATGTTCTGTTTTGGTGAAGTAAATGTCACCTGGAAGACTGGAAGATAGATACATCTCGGCTCAAAAGGAAAAGTAACACAGATCGAACTCAATGCACAGTTGTAAAAGAAATGGTCTCAAAATATTGGTCACCTGAGTATAATATAGAATGGACAAGGATGCTGGAGACCTCAGCTTCTAGGCGACTTTCCGGCCTGTCTTTACAAAAGGCAGCCTAAGTTGTCTCGTCATAATATTGTTTCAAAATCAGAAATTGAAATACTTAAAATTTTGAAAAAGATTACACCAGTATTCTGCTTTTCTTCCGCACAAGCGCTCAATAAATTCTCAAAATCTTCTTATTGGCTAAGATGTGTCCTAAATGAAAGAGAAATTTGGATGAACAGGGGAAAATGCCAGGGGGGCCGTTGAGGAATAAACAACAATCATCAAACCCAGGGACCCCGAAAGTGAGTGCCGGTGTCATTGCGAGATGATGAAGCTTTTATGACTAAACATGGCAGCGAGAAGAAACCACGATGGGTGAAATAACGCTGACGACGAGGGGGACGATGTTCCGCACGAGTCGTCGGCATCGCCACAACGCGTGTCCAGAGATGATGTTGATGATGATGACTTCCGGGGCATTAATTGTCAGATTAACAAAATATAGCAACGCAGCAGAGAAATCGGAGATGAAAGACGACCTAGAGAAAACACTCGGCGAAGAAGACGGCGGTAGAGAAAAAGAAGAGAGTACTCTGATGCTCTCCTTCAAAGCTACCTCCCCTTGAAACCAGTTCCGTTCTATGCTATCGCCGATGCCCGTGAGTGGCATCTGTGACTTTTATGTTTTGGCTCTCAAAACCTGTGACCTATGAAGAGGAAGACGGCGAAATTTGCCCGCCGGGTAGGACCTAGACGAAAGCCACTCTCGCTCGCTAACCAGAAACCCCGCTGGAGCATTCGACAATGCCGAAAACAATAGTTGAACCGGACGTGCTACCGAATTCCAAGAGCTACGTTCAATTCCCATCTAAATCCATTTTAACAGATAAAACGGTCGAGAAATATAGTTACCTCCGCGGTGAGGAAACAGTGGATGGAGGCCGGCGGTGATATCTGCTCTCCCTCTCTACAGCACCGGCTGCACCTGGAGATGCGAGGTGTTGCGGCCGATGATTCCCCTGATGGCGACGGATCTCGGTCATTCACTAATCCTTACTCTCTTTTCCCCCGTTGTTAGACACGTCTTCGAAGACTATCACCTCCGATGAGAGAAGATCCGCCTTGACGACGCCGCCGGTGAGCCCACGCGGCCGGACCACGAGTTGCTCTGTCGACTTGCGGTGCTCCGGACGATCTTCTCCTTCGTCCAGGACGGAGGTCGACTTACAGCGGTCATCTGCACTGCGTAGAAAATGACTCTCTTTGAATTTCTTTCGTTATTTATCTATGAATCCCCGTAATCAATGAAAAAAATAAAAACCTTCCTCTTTTGATATAATTGGGATTATACATTCAAACAAATTCTAATCCTTGCAAGGCGGTTCCAATCTAGCCATGAAAAACCCCTGAATATAAATAACCGTCCTAGTATGTTATGTAATTGGAAAAAAACCTTTTTTAGACATCTTATGCTGATATTTAATTTATTTCGTTGGCAACTTTAGGACTTTTGTACATAAACATAAGGTCAACGGGAGTTTATAATAAAAACAACCCAAAACGAGGAGTTTTCCATAATTTATCTTTTTCAGGGGTCGTGAACAGAAAATTATATATCTTATATTTGATTTTTTACCATCAAAAACGATATTTATATCGTATAATTGGATTAATTTATAAACACCTTATAATTGGAAAAATAATAATTTAAAAACCTGTCCCCTTTTCCCCTTTTTTTTGAAATATTGACATGATTTTAGTGCGGAAAATTGGAGAACCTATCACTCTTCTCCAAGTGGGCTTTGACTCTATCGACTTCCAACGTCCCGTCTCTTTCTTAAAAGCTCAGGCCCCAATCCAAATGGATCCTTGTGGGGACCCGATCTTAAATATTAATAGATAATATTAATATATTAATGTCAATATTTCGACATTAACCAAAATAATGGAAATATATTTTTCATAACGTGAAAGAAGAGAGAGAAAAATATGACGGGATGGTTATCGTCAATTATAATATTTTTAAAACGTAAAATAATCATAGGGAACAAAATTATCACCGAATATTCACCGCGGGTAGATATTAATTAAGAGATTATTTTAAAAAATAAAATCGTGTATTCGAACGAATCTCTGTCGAACAGGTCCTATAAGGTGGGGGAGGGGGGGGGGGGGATGTTGACGGCTGAGGACGGAGGTGGAGACCGAGCCGGTTAGCGGCGGCCGTACGATCCCTTGAACGCTATCTTGGGCCGGAGGGGGACTCAATCTACGTCCATCTTCGGGAGAGGGCAGAAGCATTTTGGGCCCCACTCGTTCCTCCGCTGCCGATTCTTTGAATCGCTTAGAAATCCGGCCCCTTTAAAACTCTCTACGCCTCTTGCGCGGGGAAGGGAGAGAAAGAAAGAGAGATAGAGGGTCTGCGGCGCCGCATCCTCGTTACGATCCTCCTCTTTGACGAAGAGGGAGGGCGAGTGGGACTGAGGGGAGACGAGGGTTTTGGGGGGTGCCTGCCTCTGCGACCGCCGTCACCGCGCCGCCTTTTTTTTCATGGCCAACACCGCCACCGCCACCGCCGCCGCCGCCGTCACCGCCGCCGCGCACGCTACGGCAGGCAGCGTTACGGCCTCTCGGCGGCTGTCTTCGGCGCCGCAACGAATAGGGCAGCGGCGTAGGCGGCTCTTATCCTGTGGGGCTACTTCACCGGTGCCCTTTTCATCAGGGCGCCGCCTGCACATCACTTATTGTTCTTCTTCTTCCTCCTCCTCCTCCTCCGGCGATCCCTTCCTATCTTGGCAGGGAGGGAGAGTCGAGGAGGTGGGCGATGCCGGCAACGTGTTCGACTGTGGGAACGACAAGCCCCGTGAAGAGTGCGGAGTGGTGGGGATATTGGGCGACCCCCAGGCTTCGCGGCTGTGCTCGCTCGCTCTCCACGCCCTGCAGCACCGCGGCCAGGAAGGCGCAGGGATCGTCTCCTGCGACGGGGGAACTCTGAAGTCCGTCACGGGGCTGGGCCTCGTCTCAGAGGTTTTCGGCAGCGACCCATCCAAGCTCGATTCCCTCCACGGGAACGCCGCCATCGGCCACGTCCGCTACTCCACCGCAGGCGCCGCCTCTTCCCCCCACAACGTCCAGCCGTTCCTAGCCGGCTACCGATTTGGGCAAGTCGCCGTGGCCCACAACGGCAACCTGGTTAACTACTCGGCCCTTCGCGCTCGCCTAGAGGACAACGGGTCCATCTTCAACACCTCCTCGGACACCGAGGTAGTCCTTCACCTGATCGCCATCTCCAAGTCCCGTCCCTTCGTCGCCCGCGTCGTGGAAGCTTGCGAGCAACTCGAGGGGGCCTATTCTCTCATCTTCCTCACCGCGGACAAGCTCTACGCCGTGCGGGACCCCTACGGTTTCCGGCCTCTTGTCATGGGCCGCCGCCGGCTCACCGGAGCGGTGGTCTTCGCCTCCGAGACCTGCGCTCTTGACCTTATCGACGCCCAATATGAGCGCGAGGTCAACCCCGGCGAGGTTGTCATCGTCGACGCCGACGGCAGTATCTCCTCCCTCTGCCTCATGCCCCATCGTCAACGCAAGGCCTGCGTCTTCGAGCACATCTACTTCGCCCTCCCACACTCAGTGGTCTTCGGACGGCCCGTCCACCGGGAAAGGTACAATTTTGGGGCTACCCTGGCGAAGGAGTCCCCTGTTCCTGGGGGCGCAGACGTGGTCATCCCCGTTCCAGACTCGGGCTTCTTCGCTGCCCTCGGTTACGCCGAGATGTCGGGGATTCCCTTCCAGCAGGGCCTCATAAGATCTCACTACGTTGGCCGCACGTTCATTCAGCCGTCCCAGGAGATCAGAGATCTCGGTGTTCGGCTGAAGCTCGCCCCTGTTCGCGGCATCCTCGAGGGCAAGCGCGTTGTAGTGGTCGACGACTCCATCGTCAGGGGCACAACGAGCTCGAAGATCGTGCGCCTCATAAGAGATGCTGGAGCAAAAGAGGTGCACATGAGGATCGCCAGCCCGCCAATCGTGGGGTCTTGCTACTATGGAGTCGACACGCCTTGCTCCGATGAGCTCATCTCCAACCGGATGGATGTGGAGGGGGTGAGGAGGAAGATTGGCTCCGATTCACTGGCATTTCTGTCTTTAGATAGCTTGAGGATATCGCTAGGGGAAGAGGCGCCCACATACTGCGACGCTTGCTTCTCTAGGGACTACCCGGTTCAACCCATGGAGTATGAAGTCGCCAGGGCAGAGTTATGACCTCCTGTTGACGGATCAACGTGAGTTCCTGAGTGGATCCGTACATTCTGACCTTGCTCGAGGGATGAAGTTCTAAAGAAAGATATATAGTTTTCCACTGTTCATCTGCTGACTTAGCTGGTTTAATTTGTTCGGGGGCTTGCTTTGACAGAGAAATGCCTCTCTCATGCGATATAATTATGATTACGGCAAAATATTGCTACTTTTTTGTCAGAGAAATATGGCCGACTCTTTTAAGCAAACTATATTGTTCTGTGTGCCTTTTTCCCTTCCATTTTAACGTCTCGAAGCTGAAAGCTTCTGTATGCACTGATTTGAATCATGGAAAGCTCTACCCTCCCTTTTTAAATAAGAAGTTGGTGCTTTTTGACCATTTATTCGGTCAATCCATTTTTCGGCCACATTTTATCCATTTATCTGCCTTGGGAATGCCGATTTTGCTTATTTTTCTTGACAATTTCCTACATATCGTCTGCCTATTCAGTCGCAGAACAGGGCGTCTTCTACACCTGATTTCCTTGAGTTGTCAGAAAGTGGACGACGCTTACAGCTCAGGGGTGACTGTTTTTTTTTCTTTTTTGCATATTTGGCTTCTGAGTGGAGGTGATCTGTGAATATGACATGTTGCATGTGCAGGAGAACCTGTTCCTTACGATACCGAGTTTGATTCTTAGTCTTTTTCTGAGAAACTTTAGAAGAATGTTTAACTGATCGCCAGTTTCTTTGACTACTTACTTGCCTCTCCGCAAGTTTTTTGATAAGATTTTTTTTTGTTCTATGCTAGGGCCGTTTTTTTCCCTTCTTCGTGTAGACATCCTCAGTTTATAAAGAAAGTGTGCTTGCGAATATTATGGGCTGGTAGGATTAACCCTCTAGCAGAAGTACTCCAGTTGAGATCAGAACCTAGTAAAGAAAACCAGGAGAAGTAGGAATTCCAAGTGAAAATTTGCTCAGCCTGGATGTCTGATTCTCTGTGGCGCGCATGCAAAGTAGAATGCGTCTGCTTCTACTTTGCTGCTGTGCTGGATCGCCCCTGGATTGATTCTTGAGCATTATTCCGTCTCTCTCATGTCAGTGGTAATCATGTCAGATCTATCTGGGTGGGTTGGCTGACTAACATAGAGTCCACCATCTTGGTATAGATTGCACCAATTTTTCGCAGTGATCTGAGAATGCAGGTCTACATCCCTGTTTCTTGGTTGAATTTAATGAATGCCCTGAACAAAAGATCTCCCCTTTTTAGATCTGAATGTACGATTTGCAAAAGGGGCATTGGGAGTTTCCGTTGGACTATTATGGGATATGCAGCAAACTCTATTTGCCGCCCTCTTTGTCCTCTGCATCGGGCTCAATATTTGGTCTCTTGAATCCGCGCACATAGGGTTGTGGATTGACTGAGGATTTTCCAATCTTTGTTCATGCCTGGTTTGAAAACAGCATTGACTTGAGCTTCCCAAGACTTTGTCAGCTTCCCCTAGAATTTACCAAAGCAACGACTTGCTTTGGTGGTCTGGTTATTGAAATCTAATCGTACTGTTCCAAGAGAGTGTTGCTGGTTTGCGGAGGCCTTTGGTCTTATTGTGCCTCTGTCTGGAAGTCGTCTTGCTTAGTTCTGTCGGGCATTTCTTAGTAAATTAAAAGAAGAAAAGGGGGAGCTTCTTGTTTCTCCTTCATTTCGACTAATTATCTCCCATCATTATCAGCAAAATAAAATAAAAAAAATAAAATCCACGAAAACTGATCCAAACCCAGAGTTCAGGTTGATTTCCACGCTGAAAATAGGCCCGATTTTCACTATTCGATGTACCGATCAATCTCGATTCGATTCGATGTAGGCCTCAATGGATCTTCATTGAGGGGCTCTCTGCGGGTAAGCTATGAAGAACATCGGTAAGTTCTTCCTGTCTTCTGCTGCCCCTTCTCCGTTTCTTATGGCGTTAATTTTCAAGAAATATTATATTTTCTCCCCTAAATCAATTTTATTCTTGTCCCTGCATGTTTTTATCATATCAAGGAGTTGGGATCTTTGCAAGCATCAGCTGCGAATCCCGGCGATTTTTCGGCCCACTTGTGAAATCAGACCGGAAAACGGCAAGTAGGTCTCTGGAAATGGGCTCCGATTGTGGGCCTCCCTTTCGGGGACCAGCCGACTAAACGGGCCGTGACATCGTCGTTCATGGGCTTTTTTGCATTCCATCTGATTAAATGAAATTATGAGTTAATTATTTGATTAGGAGTCGGACCGCAGATAGGCCTAGAAACCTGACTGAGATTTCGATGGGCCTATGGGAATATTGACTAGACGGAGGGCTAACATATAGAGAGTGCCATAGCAAGCGCGGGTCAAAGTAGAGCTGAGCCGTCAGGCCCCCTGACTTGCCTTAATTGCTGCCGGGGCTAGTCACGTGCGGCAGGCCGTAGAAACGAAGGGAAGATGGCATGTCGTGGGTGGGTCATTTTGTTACGTGGCACTTATTCTCGCGCGGTGTTGTGTATTGCCACTGTGTCTTGAAGTCAACTGAAGGCGAGTCGAAGTTTTGCCATGGGAAGGTCAAGCGAGAAGAATGTGGAGTTCTTAAAGGGCATAAATGGCTTAGAAATACACCTCTTCCTCAGGTAAGAGGCCTCCAACAGAGGCTAGTTTCTCTACGAATTTCCTCATCGAATTAGATCAGAGAGAGAGAGAAAGGGCGCGGTTATGGTAAGGCCGAAGCATTCGCTATGGACTTCTGCCGTACAGAAGAGTCATGACATGATTGCCCGGCGAGTCCGGCAGCAGCTGCACCGCGTCCCTCGTGCACCAGATGCTGTCTCGCACGTGCTGCACCGTCAGAAGTGGGTGTAGCTGTTGCCCTCTGCATCTAACCTCCACCTGTTGCATGCCCGAGAGAGTTACGTCGCAGCACTGATAAGGGTATTAACAGTAATGATAGATAGTGAAAGAGCTGATGGCAACCACGGCAAAAGAAAGGCAATTAGTTGCCCAGTGGGCACCAGAAACTTTGGTTCACTTTAATAACGATAATATTACCCCCTTAATTTATGAATGCTTGACGTCATAACAAAACCTGCGGCAACATGAATTGATCTGGGGGCGGACCTACTGATGGAACATCTATACAGCCTCGTGCCTCTCACTCTCTCCTTAATCTATCTCTCTCTATCTATCTCTCTCGCGAATCAGTGAGAGACTTCATCCCGCTTCTTTCATTCTTTCTCAGGCTGGCGGCCTGCCACCGCCGGCTTTCCTCGTGACTCTAATGCTATCAACAGTAGAATATAGGGACGAGTGGAAAACAGGTAGCCTCGGGACGCCTCTTCATCCGTAGTAGGTGGGGAGGCCCGCCGCACACATTCTGTAGATAAGATGTGATGGATAAAGATCGAGAGAGGGCAAGCGCGAAGGAGTAGTAAAAAAGGTGGCAGATCCGAGAGGCACGCCGAGGAATCGTCTAGAAATTCCTTTCAGCTATTTATTTATCAGAGTGACGGGAAAGGTTGGTGGCCTGTACATATCCTCCGTGTCCACAACCTAACCTAAGCAATCTCATGCACGTCTCCTCACGTTCCAAAGCCCCCATCTTATCCTCTCCGCCCGTCTGTCTGTCCTTCTGTCCCTCTCTGACGCACCGCCGACCGCGGTGAGTGGAGTGCAAGGAAGAAAGATGGAGGAATATTTGACTTGGATTGGCCTCTACGTAACGAGGAAGAAATGAATACTCTGTGTGTGTGTGTGTGAGAGAGAGAGAGATTCACACCTCGTCTACTTCTCAATGTTGCTTGCAGCGTATTATAATCCTTCACGCACACCGTCCATGGCTGTTGTGCGTGTGGGGTTTCCACCCTGTCCTCATCAGGGACTTTGAATGATTCCCCCATACATGTATCCACTTCTCTCCCATGCAGCACCTTCTCTGACTATCAAAGCGCACCTCTACGTTGAGTGTAGCAGACGGAATAATGGGGGGCCCTTCAATATTCCAAAGCCGAAGTGCACTACCCAGCCTCCCCGATGGGTCCCAGAGTGTCAGATGAGCCCAGGCCAAAACACGACGAGACAGGTGAGATAGCGTCCAACGCATGCGGAAGGGGAGCATGGGCCGAGACTCACCTAGGAGGGACTTTAAAAAGGGCTGCGAGTCAACGGCTGCCCACTTAGCGACTAGTCAGCACTCTTCGTTCTGGTTTTTCTCCCCAGGCTTTCCTCAGCTAATAGAGCAGTATCTAAAACTTCTGGGAAAGCGCCTATCTTCTACAAGAAGTAGAACGAATCACTGTTCCCTCGAGAGAATCTCCCTCTGGAATGTGGGGTTCTCCGATTAGTGGGGAAGTGCATCCTACTTGTCAGGCACTCTAAACAATCATCGGACTGATTGCTCCCCCTAAGCAATCGTTAAGATCAACCAACAAGAGGTCAAACCGATGTCAGGTGAAGAAACCAGGAAGGAGTATGTGCGTGTTGAGCGTAAAGTAAACCAAGAAAGAACAAAGACTAGGCTTTCTTGGTTAAGATAAGCGAATGCCAGCGCCAGCAGCTCATCACGATCAATACAGGAGGCAATGGGTAAAGAAATCACGGTACGGACACCCTATACTTATTTAAGTTAAAAAAGAGGAAATCACAGAAAAGAGTACAACTATAAAATTATGAGCGCGCCACATGCCGAAACTATTTCATGATGGGAGCTTCAAGGTTGATTTTATAACTCCTAGGGTATGAACTCAGTAGGTGATTATTCTCCCGATGGGGTTTTTCAATGACGATATTCTGTAATCAGAAGGTGAATGAGCAATAGAAAACTTTGAGACCGGTAAACCAGCCTATATCTTAGATAGTTCTCTCTTGAAGAGAGAAAACATATCTAATGATGCTATCTTTTCTTGATGAATATCTTGCAGGAGACAATAGAAACATACACAGATAAGAATGTCTTGGAAAATTAACTGTGCAATAGAACACGATAAAACGTGACGGTTATGGGTCAACAAAAAAAACACCAAATATAATGGAGATGATGTAGCAAAACTTTCTTGTGCATGATAAACATTTCAACACATTTTTCATTTATCATCGGCCGCAAAGAGACAATTGCCACGAGCTATTTTCAATATGCAGCTTATCTCATCTTTTAGCGATTGTTATTATGGGATATTTGTTGTTTTGACCGAGGATTCGAAAAAAAATAAACGAGATGAATTTGATAGGCCTGAAATTACATTATTAGCGCCAAAATATGCACCACATTCACATGACATTTAGATAATATTAGCTAAAACATGAATATGCGACTTTTTATACGCTCAACTTGCTGTTATAGAAGAACTAAACATACGACATTGGAGGAAAATAAAAAGTTCAATTTTATCATAATGGGATTAGCATGTGGATAGATTAGAGTAAATTAAACAAAGTATATGACAGATAACGTGAAGTTAAATGGAAATATTGAAAATATCTTAAATTCACGAAGGTATTGCAGTTACAAATGAGAAATTTCTAATTAAAGAACAAAAGGAAATTCTAATGATTTTTCGATGGCTGAATCACAAGGCTGACTGCGAGCTGAGTGTTTGATACATTCTATCTTTATGTATTGTCAGCTCTACACAGCATGATGTGTAGACTCATTTAGAAAACTGATTTTTTAATCTAAGTATCAAGTTCCTATCCTACATAACTGCAATAACATTGAAAACTGAACAGTAAATCATGTTGCCTGACTTATCTATTTGCTTAATAGACTGATCTATCTTCCAGTTTACATTCCACATACGTAGAGATGAGATCATCGAAGGATAGAAAACAAGCCAAGAGTACTTCCAAAAAAAGCGTCAGGGAGTCATTCTCGGGGAGATGCAATAGAGAAGGGAAATACGCGAAATAAAAATAAAATACAGTCCAAAGGTAATGAAGGCGAATTGGGGGGCTGCTTGTAGTCCAAGTACCTTCGTAGATGCTCATATTATTCGTAGCCAGGCTCCCATTAATACCATTTCAAAGTATTTATGAGAAGACATTCCGAGCTACTTTTGAACAAGTTGTTCAAAATTTGATCTAAATAGAGAGGTTCAACCCAGAACAAAACGCGGGAGCATACGACAGAATTATGGCAGTCAACATCAAGTTTCAGGTAAAACATTTAAGAAGTAGAAAACTTCAACTGGAAGATTATAATCAACCACAAGAAGTTTAATTTGTGAGGCACTCTCTCGAGTGTTAGAACTTGATCCTCCATCGAAGCCTCCAGTGATTATTTTATCGATGACTGAGTTTTCCAACAATCTACAGCGGAAATCAAGCTAGCGTATCCTTTGATTGAAGCTGGGGATTTTTCTAACGAAATGGCAATAATCCCGTCCCCTTTTGTGCAACATTAGCTCAGGAAGCGACAAGGGCAAGGCGGCATCCACCATACGCAGATGTGGACCATTTATAAGAGAGTAAATTGTTCCCCGTACTTTGTTTAAGAAGGGAACCTTAATCACTCACTGAATATCAATATTTAACGTCACGCAAAGGTCGCTTTTATTTTCTTTTTCCTTGAGAACAAGTTGCTTTTCTAGGGGGGCTCATAACGCTAGGGTTTGTAGCCGACAAGAAACATTAAGACCTATATGTGTGTAACTCTACTCAACACGCTTCTGACTAAACTCTCATCCCTCCGGCACTGCCCGACAAGAGGCCAGAACCCGTTTGGAGATATGAGTAGAGGCCCTTCATCAGAGCAAGTAATGATTTGATAGCTACCGATCTATTCATTTATGGAGCAAACCCGCCCCCACCCCCCTCGATATGTATTTCCCACCAACAAAGACTACTCTAGATGATGGATCTCACTGAAGAGCTCCACCCGTACACTCCACCCTATCACCCTCCTTCAGTTCAGAAGTGTATATCATGTTAAGGGTCGTATCTATGGAAAAGAAAGAAGTTGGTGTTTAGCGGTGATCCACTCGCTATATTCTATCAAGATGAGCGGGTGGTGACAAGAAAAATCCTACCTGTTTGCCGGCATCGACTAACTAGCTATATTGTCATTAACAAGAGCTGGGAATAGTTGAAGAATGGGGTTGAGTACCTCTGATTCGTCATCCAGTGACAGCTTATTGACCAGGTACTTCATCAGAAGCCTCACCGTCATCCTTCCATCCCTGTCGGAAAAAAGATAGATATAGGAAGGAGTGAATAAACAAGAACAAAACAGTACACAGGAATCGTGGACACGCTAATTGAAAAAAATAAATGCTGAAAGAAAGACGAACGATGAAAAATAAGATGGGAGAGGGAGAGGAAGAGCGAGCCAGCGAGAGAGAGAGAGAGAGAGAGAGAGAGAGAGAGAGAGAGAGAGAGAGAGATACTTGATTCTCAAGTAGCACTTCGGTATCTGCGGGAGAAAGGGCTCTCTCGCCCTGCATTTAAAACACAAAATTGGACAAATGGGTTAGAAAGAAATCAAATCGATGGGACGACCGAGATAAAAAGTTGGAACTAAAGCACGCGTAGTTTCCCATTCCGCTATCACATTCCAGGGGAAGTGCAACATTCCCAAAGAGCCAGCCTAGCGGTAGTCGTATTCACCCGCCGCTTTCACCACTAAACCTACAGCATGAGATGATAAGAAGAAAAGGAGCTGAATCCCTCTAGAAGTCTCGTTGGATGCATACAGATTTCGATCATGGTAGTCTTTCATGAGTCTTACTTTCACTCTCCACACCATAAGCACATAATGGTCAAGAACTGATGGCATATAAGTGGATAGATAGACCACTGCTTTCCTTTTTAGCTTAGGTAATGATCCCCCCTCCTACCTACACACGCATTACTCACTGGGTTTGCGACGCCTGCAGGAGGAACCACACGCCGGCGTGGGTCCGCGAAGGCGGGCTCACTACCCGCATGCCCGACGGCGAAGCGCTGGTCTGTCCTCGAACCGTAGAGCCTGAGACGCCCGGCGCAAATTGGCGCGCGTTGTAGGGGTGCGACTGCGGCGGCGGCGGCGCCGTCGATGTCGCCGTCTGCGCGTTCCAGAAGGGCCCCCAGGTCAAGTCCGGCGGATAGGCGGGATAGGTCGCCAGCCCAGAAACGGGGTGTGGCGGGAAAAGCGGCGTCCTAGGAGGCGCCGCCATCGATAGGGATGGCTGATAGAGGTGGCGGTTTTCTTGCGTCCTCCCCCGGAACAAATCAAGCTCCAACTTCTCCCCCATCCTGCTTTGATTGTTGTGGTCGACCTGGACTGCTTCCAACTTGGGCCTCCCCGGAGAGGAGAACCCATCGCCCCCGCCACCGCTGCTACTCCACCCGATGCTCAACCGTAGCCATTCTTCGTCTTGCTCTTTGCCCTTCGAGCAGGTTCCCACCTCTCCTCTCTCTTCTCCTTCCCCTCCGGTTGGCTCCTCGTCTCCAGCGCTTCCACTGTTGCTCTTCGAATGGTCCTCCCCGGCCATGACAACCCTCAACGATCTCACTGAGAACCTGCCATCCACGGCTCCTCCCCCCGTGTGAACGTCGTAATAACCCCCTCCATAGCCATCGCAGTATCGCCTGTGAGGGTTCCCAGCCGGCACCATCGTTTCATATCTCCCTTCGCCGAGTGAGATCCCTGGCGATCCCAGCTGAAGGTAGGCAAGGAAGAGGAGATCCCATGACAAGCTCCTCCAGATATTGGAGACAACGAGCGAGCGAGAGAGAGAGAGAGAGAGAGAGCGCGGGGGGGCGAGGGAAACCTTGTCTGTGCGATGACGAGGAGATGGATAGTTCGGGGGCTTTTGGATCTCGCTTTCCCCTAATTCTCCTTTTTTGGAAGCTTGCGGGAACCTAACCACTGCCACCATACGAGCCGGCGGGTGGTCGAGTCGTCTTGGCGTTCATTTATAGTAGCAGCTCCTCTCGCGGAGATCATCATCTCCGAGCTGGAGTCTCCTCCCCCTGTCGCATTACTGTTCGTTGACAACACATAAACACACACATCCTCTATGTCGTACGGCTCGGGAAAATGGTTTTATTACAAACCGAGCCGAAGAACCCGCTTTCTCTCCGAGATGAAAATGGGGAAAGAATTTATGACAACGAGGACAATAATATAATATTTCACGTAGATTTGTAAAAAGACTAATCATCACGTCTCTCTAAAAAATTGGTCTGGGGACATGATTGCTTCGGACAGGTGGGTGTAGACAGAACTCTGTGCCAAACTGCGATAAAGGCCATTTTATCATTCTATTTACGGAGAACCCCTGAGGATTCTAGAAATTAGCTAATTTTCCAGTAGTATTGTGGCAACGAAGTGCTTATATTTACCGAGACGGCAAGGGTTGGTCTGGAGTCGGATGGAGGTCCCGTGTGCTTGGTCTGGAATAAGCCTGCGTATTGGAAGGAGAAGGTCAAAACTCGTGATTGGACACGCGAATCGAATCGAATCGGAAGGGGGTTCTGATTTGACGGTGAAGATCAAATAGTTGGAGGATATATAAAACAGGAGGAAGAGAGAGAGATAGAGGGGGGGGGGGGAGGGAGTCGAGGATATGTCTTCTTCACGTGCATTGTCGCAGCCGGTTGACAAAATCTTCGTAGGAATACTAATCCTTTTGATCGGCAAAATAAGAAGTAGAATTCTTTTTCAATGGCTGATTTTTTTTATATATTTATAACCATTTTTAGACAGCATAACAACATCATATCTCAGAGATTTGGATCTGTAATTTCGAATTTAATTTAGCGCACCCTATTCTTGTCAGCATGAATGTTTGCCACTAAAAAGCATGATTTGTATTTTTGGCCGCTGTGTATGAATAATTTCGTGAGCACACGTGCATAGCGGAGATTAGATTTAGCATTCGCAATTCCACCGAGATAGATGTTAAATGCTATGATAAAGAACACCTAACACAGTACATGAATATGATTGAGTTTAAATACTTGAAGACAATTATATCGATATAAAACTGTAGACGATGTACGATGCTCCCGTTTTTTTTACTATCTATCATTAAAATCATTAACAAGTGCGTAAAAGGTCTTTATGGATATTGTAAATCTTAATGGAGGTGCTATGTCACTTAAAACTTGTAGATGTCACATAATCAGTTTGTACTAATATTGAAATGTTGAAGTAACATCAAGCTATTCAAAATGGTCATGATGTCAATTCCTAGTTTTCATCCCATTTGTGAAGTTCGGAGATATCAGGAAACAGATGATCAGGAACAAGCGCATTTAGCCCCGTTCCGACTTTCTCACTTAAACGAAGACTTTTTTGAAACGTAAAAATCGCTATTTCCGTTAAAAACCTGTCATTTTCTTGTAATGTCTGAATAACTTCCGGCTTATAATCTGATTATATGTCATCTCGTCCTGCGAGCTTATGCACAGATATATAGATGTATTGATTCATGTATTGGATGGATTTCACCGAATTTGGTGGATTCAATGAAATATGGACGCCTATTCCTTTCTCTTGGGAGGAGCGTCTCCTATTCTTATCCTGATTTGCCATGTGAACCTTTTGTTGGTAGAAATGGAGATATCTGTTAGGAGCCCTTGAGCCCAGCGTCGAATAGTGAAATCTGACTGCGGGTTGGAAGATGTACAAGTTAATCGCAAGGCGGTAGGTTTCTGTGTCGAAGGTCATCTACAGGTGTGCCTTTTTGGTTCCTTGAGAATTGTTCCCCCGCCTTTACAAGGGTGCCAACAACATCATCACGTCCTAGCTTTATTAAAATCTGAACTTTTTGATCTCAACGACTTCGTGAACAATTATCTTCACATGAAATATATTGTATATAGTTTTGTGGGTCCAACATCAGCCATCGATACTTTTTTCAATCAAATAATTTGATGCCTTAAAATGGAGGATCTTTGGCAAGCTTGGGTGTGGTAATAAAGCATCACAAAAACATTTCCCAGGTGTATGATATTTCAGGCGATTTTATCCGAAGAGCCTTGCGTAAACCATTAAACGGGGCAGTTTTATCAATCATAGAAGGTCCATGGTGTTCAATATGTTTACTCACATATAAAATAATCGAGTTTCCAAACGGTTCATGTTATTTAAAAATGCTACAGCATGAAGAGAACTAGGGCGATGTGACTTGGGCTATAAATGTAAAAATATACAGCTTTGACTTCACGAATAAACACCATTCAATACCCGTGTTCAATTGATTTACCCCCTACTCTCCCACCAAGATTCGCTTTATTTTTGTGTTTTTTCTTCGGATAAACCTCTTACTTACTGTTGTTATTTAGTTATGAGACTTAAGCACGCATTTCCTTCGGCGAAAATAATATAAATTATATCCTTCGGCGAGAAAAATCGTATGGATGATTTAACCAATCCCGTAAAGAAATTCTTAATCGCATCGTCACCTTGGCCTATCACTAGTTTGAAGGTCAATTACAAATGCAATATTTTTTATTTGTCTCAGTCCATATAAACTTTTTTTATACATTGAGACATCTCTCTCTCTATACGCCCACATCATAACGTTAGAGTTCTAGAGTTTTATAATTCGCTGGTTTTAGTTCTGATATGTTGATCTACCACTAGTGCAAAGGTAAATGTTTTGATGAATCCTGCAAGCTTCGAGAATGGTTCGAAATAATGACTTCTAGATCGACTGAGACAAAATCTTTCGAGCCGGACTAACGGGACTATCTAGTACGGTAAAATCTGTCTGGTTACTTGCACGATGAAAGCATAGACTACAGGCGGTATGCTTCCTCTGACCTGGCACCAAAGAAAATTCTTCACAACATACGGAAAATATCCTTTTGAAAACCATGCCATCATGCCCATTCCAGGTATATTCCTGTCGTCTTTTCCAAAGCGGAGAGCTTCGAAAACGGAGGGGTTACGAACACAGCTCGACATGTCCAGAGTGCTAAAAGGACGCGCTGCGCCACAGAACAGGCAGAGTGGACGTGTGTTGCTGAGACCAGATGGCATCCTGCTTGACGTACTAGGCTACTAATAAGTCCGCTCTCGCACGCTTTTTTAAGATAGGATCGAATCGTGAGTCTCGAACTACAGTCGTTTGTCTATGTATCAACTTTCTCGCTTTGTACAGACACCGCTGTGGACTCTCCCCATACAGTGGAGCGTAACTTTCAGAAAACGAGTCGTGATCGCCACACAGTATTCGTTGTCAAAACGTTTACAATGATTATACTGTCCATTTAACGTCACCCGTTTAAAGCTATTTAATTTGGCCCCAAAGGTTTAGAGTTCGTGGGTTCTTCGCGAAGAGAATGGATGCTGCCGCAAAGAAACATCCGATATTCGTTAATTGAATCCTGTTTGGATATTGGAATCTGAGAAAACATCCGCTTAATGTTCTCCTAAACAGCTCTTTTGCGGTGAGTGGAGTGGAATCCTTTTTCCCGTCTAATTCTATTTCAGCATGGTAGGATGAACCTCACGAAAGTAAGGCACGCGTGTTGCAGTCGAAGAAAACACTGCCTCTTTTCTTTCCGTAGGAGTCAATATGGAAGGAGTTCTCTTTTCTTTCCTTGCATTTAACTTTAGCCTAAGAGGGAGAGGAGAATGGGACACTTAGTGAATGTATTGTGGAAAGTAGGGGGTGAGTTTCAGTGACGAGCTTCGCGATCCAGTGCATGGATAGACGATTGGTCCGTCTGACGCCCCTTGCATTGGTCCCTTTGACCGGTCGGGATGACACCAGATCGAGCGTCGACATCATTCCCATTCTTTCTCAGCCATGAAGCGTTTGAGGGAGGGAGAGGGAGATAGAAAGGTAGAGAGATATGGAGACGGAGAGTTTATTATTATTATCGATAGTAATATAAACTATCCGCTCACCAAAGGAGCACATAGCCGCGATTAAAATATCATACGACGATGAGGACAAATGAAGCTGAAATCTTTTTACCACGGTGGCTTATTTGCAGCTTTCTCCTTCTTCTTCGTCCTTTTTGAGGTCGCGGTCCATTGGTGAGCGTGATGAAAAGAGTCCTCCCAAGTGTTGCATGGGGGCGGAGAGTAACAGTGAGGACCTTATGGATGGGTGGGATAACTTAGGGATACCCTTCGTTCGTTACCCGGTCTGTTGTCAGTGTTTGCTCTTTGTTTCTTCGCCTGAGGGGATTTATAAAGGGACCCATTTTTGTCGATCTTCTCGTGGGCGAACCACCATTAGAGCTAGCGGCAATTCATGCCACCTCCCTGCGACAGAGATGAAGGGGCTGAGAAGAACGAACCCTCTCTCTTTCTCTCGCAACCATTGGTAAATTTTTCTTACGAGTCTTTGATTGACACACGAAAGAAGATGGAAATGAGTGATGTCGTCACCATGCATCATCATCATCGTCATCAATGCATTCACCATTTCCACGAGACTTTCAAGGAGTGAGAATAAAGGAAGCTGTGTTACATGTGGATTCATGAGTGTTGTGTCAGAGTGTGCATGTGAGTGGGCTGCGTGTGAGAGTGGGAAGAGAGCAGCGCGAGATAGAGGAGGGAGGGGAGATCTATTTGATGATTGTTATGAATGCATGCATGAGTTTGTGTGCGCAGGGACTGGTGTCAGCTTACCGCATTGATTTCGAGATCGTCTACATTGTCTTACTATTAAAATTGAAGTCTTGGAGGATCTGATTACTCCTGCCGCCGCTCGCCGTCCATTCTTCTTTGTTCATGCTCGGCTGCACCGGCACCGCCCATCTCGTGGCCCCTGCGGCAGGCTCGGGGGGATAAAGTTAATGAGATGGGAACAAAAACATCTGAAGATCTGAAGCACACTCTTGCAGTCGAGAGGATCCTTCCCATCAGAAGGACATTCACTGACCTGGCTGGTCACTAAT